ACCCCCCCCCCCCCCCCGGGAAGGGGAAAAGTGAGGGGAAGATAATGTTTAAATGGAACATCAGGAAAACGAAACTTCGAAATTTAAAACAAATGAAAGCCCAAGAATGAATATTACATGATTTGTGGTTGACGTCCTGGAGCTACTAATATTAAGTCGTCTGCATTCATTTGCATTTAAATTATATAATTGTCATCATCATAGCATTTTTCTTCATTCCTTTCCTCTTTCATTTCAGATTCTTTTTGTTGCAATTTCGTTTCGTTGAATCTCTAATGTGCTTGCAAAAAATGTGCGAGTATGCAGAGCGATGTTCTTCATTTCTTCGGTTGTTGTTTCTGCATTTCAGAGGGAATCTTAATGAATAGATGGAAGAAGAACCAAAAATAATTTCGGGACAGGTGGTTTCAACTCAACTCGACGTAACTTTCTTATTCGTTGCTTTACTTCTTCTCATCTTTTCGTGATTTTACCTCCAAACGATTGATGTTTATTTGTGACTTTTAAAAGTCATTCTTGTTCGAGCGATAATTTGTCGAATCACATAAATAAGTCATCGAACCAATTTTATTTGGTAATCAATCCAATTGACCGAACATCCATCGGACATTAACATTGTTAATGAGAATGTTTAATTTATTTACAATTACTTACGACGATCTCGTTCATCAATTTTCATCTCACACATGAATTTATTCGAAAAGTTTGAATCGTGTGAAGTTCTGATCGTGGATATTAATTGTTTCTCGTTCGCTTAAGAGAAACAAAGTAAAGCGATCGAAAGAATTTCATTCCCACGACTTTTGATCTTCACGAAGTTCGCTTTTTCAACTTCGACACATCATCATCCTCTTAAATATGATTTCGCTCGAGTTGTGTTCGAGTCGTTTGTTGTCTGTATCAATTTCGGGAACACTTGAGAAAGGCTTTTCGCTGTTGTTGTTGTTCGTCTTTCTGTTAAATCATTTCATTTTTCACGACTCGAATTTAGAAACAAAAAGCATGAAACAATTTAAGACGAACATCATGTTGATCGTCTGCTGAATGTTCTCATCGGAATCTTTTTTTTCCTTTGAATGCTCAAAAGTTCTGTGAGATGAGAACTCAACTCAAGTTTATTTCGTTTCTGGACGCAATTTCATAATTAGACACGAACAACGAATTTTCCGACAATTCTTTTGCAATCTTACGAGAATTTCGCCTGATAACGAAAATTTGTTGTATGGATAGCAAAATAAAATTTCGTGAGAATTTCCTGCTTGCTTGGAGTTCAAATCTGAAATGTTTTCTTATCAGAAAAAAACTTAGCCACAAATATTACTCACAATGCTTTTGTGTTCATTCGGTGACTGAAGAATGAAGTAATTTGATCAACTTACAAACAACTTGTGTGACAATGTCAACTCTCGTGAAAACTCATTTAAATCTTTCCACGTCATGAACTTCTTCAACAGTTTCATAATTTGTTGTCAACTCATTGCATCGTTAAACGAGTTTCATCCTTCTCAAAATTCATTGCACTTGTCCAATATTTCGAAGAAATTGAAAATGTTTCAGTCTCATGAAAAGAATTTTCTGAGTTTCATAAAAGGAAACTTCTGAAACTGCATTCATTCTCTTCCACATGTGCTTGAATGAGTTACGCTTTGTATCAATTACAACTTGAACTTCAACCCCTTCGTTGATGAATTGAAAACGCGGAAGGGTGAAATTTGAGCATTTGAATGAGTTGCTTGAAACTTCTTTGTCCAAATCGCGTTTATAAAAACATTTTCCCATCACCAAACTTTGCAAGTTGTCAAGTGTTTATGAAATTTCAACGTTCACGTCTCGTGATATTCGATTTCACTTGTTTCCTATGTAGAAATCTTTCAACGATTATAATCCATAGTGGGAATATGATTGATGATGAGACAAAGTTCCGCGTCACAAAAAGAGTTAATTTCAATGGAATTAACCATTTTTATGTTTCCACTGATCATCAACATTAATCAACTGCATTTGTCACGATAATCTTTGAATTTTTCCCAACATTTCCTTCCTAAGAATGATCAGATGGATGAAAACCACATCAGCAAGTGCAAATGCTTCATCCATGTGAAGTTTAATCTTCTCGTTTGTAATCAGATGCAAATACGAAACGGATTAAAGTGTTTAAGTATCTAATGCAATTGCACACTCGAATGTTTCATGACAGATTTTAGTCTGTAAATAAATAATAAAAAAGTTACCGCAATTCATTTCCCACTTGAAAGTCTTTCAACCCTAAAAAAATTGGATGAATAAGCAACGAACGATCCCCGAATCTAGTTAATAAAATTTATGTTCTCATAGAATTTCCATGAATAAAAGTAAAACAACATCGCATCACAGAAATTATGAAGTGAAACATTAATGAGGGTAAAAAGTGATACAATTGCTGCTGATCAGATCTCAACGTTAAATGCAGCACAAAAATATTTTTATCACAGATTTTTCTTTCCTTTTTTCACGACATCGAGTTAAATCGAGTCGATTAATATCGCACATATGCAGATGATTACATGGAAATGTGGAAAATTGTCACATGTTGATTTGAGTTTATGTTCAGTTTATACGCAAGTTGCTCGATTGATGAAAATTTTAAGACAACAGCACCTGGAAATTCAAATCATGCTTCGAGTGCATAGAAAGAGAATCTCGAACTTCCTGTCTCCATCTTCTCATGTCGCTTGTGAATGACAATGACAAAGACGACAGAAAATTATTATTCAACATTTCCGACATGAAAACCTTCAATGAAGTTCTTTCGTTGAATTGTTTTAAAAAGAATCGTGCACAACGAGTGAGTGATTGAGAATTCTCAATTGTTTCAAAAGAAATTCCAAATTTGCATCGCCAGAAAAAGAAAAAGTTAAACATTTGCTGTTTATTTACATTTTCATGTCTCACCCCTCAACAAAAAAATGACAAAAACTTGCACAATAATTTTTATTATTTATGATTCGGCTGGTGCTTCATTGTTTGTGTCGAGAGAAAAAATTGAATCAAATGTTTCTCGGGGTTAATTGAAAAGGAAGAAGGAACATGATCACTTGAACCGAACCATAAATTGTCATATGAACAATAGAATACTAATTTTTGCAGAAACCTCTTGACCTCTTCCTTTTCTGTGAATGTTTCAAAAATAAATTTTTAATAATTATAATAGAAAACTCCCCAATGCCAATGGGAAAATTTAAGAAAGAAAAATAAGTTTTTGTCGCGTAATAAAATTACATAAATAAGAAGCAAGCAAACAAGTGTTCAGTTCGCCAACATAATCCAATAATCTCAATCATGAAATCTCTCCCTACATTACTTTATTGTTGAGTTTAAAGCGTTTTAAATTGTAAAATGATCCGTGATCTGATGTTAAATGTTATTGAGATCTCATACAAGTTGATGCAACTTCCCCTTATGTTTAAACTTCCACCATTGATAGTGGTTGCGATGCTACACGAAGAGTTTTCACAATTAAAACGCGGTCACACACATCGAGGGTTGTGAGTTGGGTTGATTAACGATCTGGGCTTGAAGAAGGACTTGGGCAAAATTTTTTAACTTTACAATTTTCCATCCACTGATTACACAATCGAAACTAATTTTTTAAACATTTGTTTACATTTCTCTTGCACTTCATTGAAGTGTTCGACGACACTTGATCATCGAAACACCGAAGCACACTAAACGAATCTCAATTTAATTTTTATTGCACAATTAAATCGATAGCAAAGCAATTGCTGATTGATCAATTCGTTCCTGTCCATAAATTAAAATTTGTTTTGTCATACCCATGTAGGTTATAAAAGAGATATTTAAACTTTACGTCCTCTATTCATATATTGATATTTGAATAACATTATTCATTAAAAATCATTTGAACTTTAAATTAGTCAAAATGTTAGACGGTTGAATGATTTACCACAGGGCGAATGAATCTTAAAATAATTCTTGAACAAATTCGTATTTCATAAGTTAAACTGACAGATGCTTCCATCTCATTCAACAATGAGACTAAAAATTCAAAGATTTCAAGAATCGAACGATGTTTTTTAGTGATTTAAAAAATTTAACTTCCGATTCGACATCAAAACTGTTAAAACTGATTTTACAAATTATCTGAATCATATTTAATTATGATTCTTACGAGGAACCGAACCTCAAAATCATATTTTCTTCTTTCTTTTCATTGTCATGAAATAATCCTCGACTTTAATTTGGCTACCCAATGCCAGTCGTACTCCAATCACGCGACTGACACATCAAAATCATTAAAAAAGATTTCGGTTTTAAAATGTTAGACTTGAATGCCTTCTTAAATTTTTTGTGAGGCAAATAAAAACTGTTGAGAATCGTGTTGTAAAAAAGAAGCCACCTGCCTTCTTTTGCTTGTGTTCGTCGTCTTTTTAAGAGATTTTTTGTTCTTGTTTCTTTTTTACTCCTACGAAACACAAAAAAAAGGACGTTTCAAACTGAAACTGTTGCATTTCTTAAATTTTATTTCTATGACTAGAAAAAAACAGATCACGGCACAAAAAAAATATGAACCTCCAACATATGTCGTCGTTGAAAATAGAAATATTCTGAATCAACATTAAAACATTTTCAAAATTTATTTGACTATTCTACTGTTTTAATTTGAAGCTCAATTTATGACACTAAACATTTTATCAGGATAAATGAAATCGTAATGTGATGAAGAAAATTTATTTTCAAGTTTTTAGTCGCATATCTGAGGATAAACATGTTGCTTCTGCTTTCATATTTGCCAAAGAAAAACATTTGATAGCAACATAAATATTAATGATGTTCCATGCTGTCATTATGTTTCATATTCAAAAACGTTCTCAGAAAATGTTTTCCCTTATCCAATATTCAAAAGCGGAGTGTAAACTACACAACATGTTCATGACACACCAACACATTAACTTTCATGAAACAGACGGAACGATTAATCTGTTTTTTGTATCAGTTCTTCTTCGAACGTTGTCGGTTTCAGTCGCTTTCTGTAGTAAGTGCGCGGGAGTTATTGCTTCCTTTTAATTTCATCGTTTGAAGATTAATTATTCACAAATCTCAAAGTTTTTCCTTTGGATTTAATTGATTCGAAAATAAATTGAAAATTAATGAAGATTGAGACGTCAAGTGAAAGCAAAATCATTTTGTGACCAAGTGAAGCTTTTTATTGAAATATTTATCAAATATATAGAATCAAAATAATATTTCAAAGAAAATTAAAAGATTTTTAGTAAGATTATTGAATTGAATTTTGAATACATAAAATTGGATAACTTATTGAAGTGAAAGAAAATAATTAATTAACAATGACAACGGAATCTATTCACATACCGAGTGACACGAACTTGGATTATCAAATGGTCGCTCAAATCGTGGAAGGTTTGAAGAAGGAACAGAAAATTATGCTGCCTTATAATGCAAGACTGAAAATGCATACTGAACTCAGAATGCTGACTTTTTGGAGGTGCGTGGGCGTTGAAGAAAATTCATTTTATTTTCGCAACATTAAAAATTTAAATGTAAATTTCAGAGCCATTATATCTGAATGCATGGCGTCATTTTTGTACGTGTTCATCGTTTGTGGAGCGGCTGCGGGCGCCGGTATTGGGGCTTCAGTATCATCTGTCCTTCTTACAACATCCCTTGCTTCGGGTCTTGCCATAGCTGTTCTTACGCATTGCTTTATTCATATCTCAGGTAAGAAAAAAATCTTGGAAAATCCGCTGTTGCTTGCCATCTGCTTGCGACTTGAATTTATGATTAGTTCTCATTTTCTTTATCCATTTACCTTCCTTTCCAAGGTTATAAAATCATTTAAAAACGTATTAACATATCCGATTGTTTTCCAGGCGCTCATATAAATCCGGCTGTCACTATAGCTTGCTTTTTTACTCGTCTCATATCTCCTTTACGAACAACGATGTACATCGCTGCACAGCTTGGTGGTGGAATTGCCGGTGCAGCGCTTCTTTATGGGTAAGGATTTCTCATAATGATTTTTTTAATCTCCTGATCTGAATCTCTGAAAAACCATATGTTGCGCTTCTGTCATAATTTCTTTTTAAGAATGGTGCTTGTTAAATTTATTTCACCAATACGACTGCAAAGTTGATTTTTTAGTGCAAAGAAAAAAATGTGAAAAGAAATATTCAAAAGAAGCATACATGAAAGAAGGGCAGGTGGTTCTAGATATGCGGAGTTTGGGTTTAGTTTTCATTTCATGCTTCAATCTGACATGGAAAGAAGAAATAACCAGAAAGATTTGAAGTGAAATGATATTTTAGAAATGAAAGAAGGTAGAAAACATTGACGACCTAAAAAGGTTTCTAAAGAATAGTTTAAGACCTACGCAAAGTGTTATGAAAAGCAGCGAAAAAGTGTTTAGAATATTTTAATTTATTTCGCTTTAAATGTTTTTGGTTCTCACCGTCGTATTAATTCGTCGACGTATGTTGCTTTAATCTTTCTCGCTTCTCACCATTCTTGATCACAATTTAAGCTGATTTTGTTTATTTTCTCAGTTCATCAACATCAACAGAGTTTCGTTTTAATTTATCTGTTTGTTGATCAATCAGTCATCGTGGGTTTGACTTTAGTGAGAAAAAAATGTGATACGATGAAATGAAATTGATTCAAGTTGAAGAGTTTTCTTAGGTCGTTGTGTATCTTAAAATGTATATAAACACATGGAGATGTAAACAATACCTTTAGATATCTGCTTCAGTTATAGTGTCTAACGAGTCGTTAGATATTCCTAGAAAATTATTTCATCTTCCCACACATCGTCTTCGTCTGCAATAAGCATTAACAAACTATTTTAGAATAAATCCTTGCAATTGTAAAATGCAAGTAAATAAACCGTAAACTCATAATTCCCCTACCAGGTAAAAGCGACTTTAAGAAGATTAAAAATATGCATTACGATGTTGAACATAGAAAATTTCTTACAAATAGCAAAGGGAAGGAATCGTCTTGTCAAGCAAATATTTGTTGTTCTGTGGAATTAATTTGAAACGCATCTCATATTTCCTGATGTTGTGTTCCTTGCACCCATCAAATATTAAATTCCTTCTTCCTTAAGCTCTGACTTTTAACCATTAGAACCCTCTGAAAAAGTGTCACAAATGAACCAAATCGATCTTAAAATGACAAATGAGCGCAAATACAGTAGCGGAGAAAAAGAAATTATGATTCACGGTCCAAATAACTTGAGAAAACTGAATTTTTTGCAAATAAAAATTGTGATATTGCGGTTAGAGGAGTAAAACAAGAAGAAACCGACAAATATTAATGAAGAACAGAAAACAGCTCGAGAGAAAAGTGATTGCACGCCTTACAAATGTGATTTGCGTGGTTGAATGTCATGAACATTAATCATAACCCGTCACCGCACTTTAAATAAAAATTATGTGAAAACAGAAGCTTCGTCTGAAGTCTCGTCTTGTGTTTCACAATAGGGAAACGATGATGAAGTGACCAAAAATGTTTTCAGAACAAATGTTTGAGCGGAATTTTTAAAAGCATTTTTGATATCAAAAGGCAGGAAATTGTGATTCTTTTCAAATCATCTCCAAGAACATTAAACTTCTCCAGGTGTTAGTTAAATCTTAAAGATTTTTTTCTTTCTTCATCGTCATTGATCATTGTTCGTTTCGATGTTTGCATTCTCAGAAAATAATAAAAACTTGTATGAAGATTTGTTCTGCATGAAATCTGTTGCGCAATTTCTTTTCATAAATTCCTCAAGATCCAGTTCTTAAGTCGTGAGATCAACTTTATCATCTGTCTGACACGACGATGTTCAATTTATTGAATATCGATTCGCGCCAGATGATGCAAAAAGTCAATATTGAACATGACGTGATGATTTATTCATGATTTTATTCAATGTTATTTCACTTTTTCATGGCTTAAGAAAGCGACATGAAATATTGCGATTCAGTTATTTATCCTATTTACAAAGCTTTTTGTCACATTAGGAGGGGAGTGAATACATATTGTTATTTTTAAAGAAATTCTGCGGATTTATCACATCAAATATATTTCGTTTCTTCTTAAGTTTCTTTTCATTCATCGACTTTTATTGCGTTCGTAATAATAAACAAAGAAGATTGATAATGGATACAAAAATAAAAGAAACAACACCAAGATATCTTGATCTCAATCTTCCTAATTATTCTTAATCGTAGCCACTTTCATATCGTACACATCTCTGATGCATGCATCAAAACTTCTCAAAAGAGAATTGAAAACATGTGTGGTGTGTCAAAAAAGAAACTTAAATTAAGTTTTCAGTCATTAAAAAATTATGAAATTTGATACTTTAGAGATGTTTTTTGGAAGATAAAAAAGTATGGCTTGAAGAATGTCTCAACTTTCCACTTAAAAAAATTCTTCTTTAAGACATGAAATATAAAGAAGTGAATATCTTTTTCACTCAACATAACCGTCACTCGACATAAATTTACAGCTGCAGTTTATCATTGAATCTGCACATTTGTTTATTTAACTTTCAAATGTTTTCATTCTTTTGGACGTTGTCGTCGTCAAGCTTCGTATTTATGATAAGGAAGGCAAAATAAGAAAGAAAAAACGAAATTTGAGTCATCAGCCCAAAGGCTCAAGTCAAGTCCCTTGGAGACATTAAAATAAATTTGAATTTAGTCCGGAACGTAATAATAATATTTTCAATGTCAACAAGTTTGATGCTGATAAGCTTTGTAAATGTCGATGAGAAATAAAAATATGTGCCAGTGAAATATCAACAAAAAGAAAAAGTTTAACTTGCCTAAAACTCCGAAACAAAATTTGTTCAATTTCATTTGAAACTTTCGATGAAAATCATGAAATTTAATTTATGGACAGGAACGAATTGATCAATCAGCAATTGCTTTGCTATCGATTTAATTGTGCAATAAAAATTAAATTGAGATTCTTTTTATGTGCTTCGGTGTTTCGATGATCAAGTGTCGTCGAACACTTCAATGAAGTGCAAGAGAAATGTAAACAAATGTTTAAAAAATTAGTTTCGATTGTGTAATCAATGGATGGAAAATTGTAAAGTTAAAAAACGTTGCCCAAGTCCTTCTTCAAGCCCAGATCGTTAATCAACCCAACTCACAACCCTCGATGTGTGTGACCGCGTTTTAATTGTGAAAACTCTTCGTGTAGCATCGCAACCACTATCAATGGTGGAAGTTTAAACATAAGGGGAAGTTGCATCAACTTGTATGAGATCTCAATAACATTTAACATCAGATCACGGATCATTTTACAATTTAAAACGCTTTAAACTCAACAATAAAGTAATGTAGGGAGAGATTTCATGATTGAGATTATTGGATTATGTTGGCAAACTGAACACTTGTTTGCTTGCTTCTTATTTATGTTATTTTATTACGCGACAAAAATCTTATTTTTCTTTCTTAAATTTTATCATTTCAGCGTTTCACTGCCAGGCTACCAAGGCAATCTTCAAGCAGCAATATCGCACACCCAATCAGTGTCATCATGGGAACGTTTGGGAGTGGAAATGATTCTCACTTTTGTGATTGTGTTCACTTATTTTGTATCCACCAACACCCATCGAAAAATCTATGGAAACTCAGCAGCAATCATCNAAAAAGAAATCATGAATAAAAAAGTTTCGAGCACAACACAAGCAAGGAAAGGCAGGTGGTTTGTTTTATGAAAAGAACTTCAACAGTTTGGGGATAAAAAGAAGCCATGCCATGACATTCAAATTTGAGTCTTTTTTCTTTCCTTTGATTTCTTGTTTGATGGAACAGTCGCGTGATTGGAGTGTGGCCAACATTGAGTGCCCAATTGAAAACGTTAATCAAAGATAATTTTATGTTTTATCGAGATCCAAAATTAAAAAGTGCGAATGAAAACTGAAAAGAAATTCAAAGTTATGATTAAGAATTCAAATTACTTTAGTGCATTGCTAACAAAGGGAAAGATGAATTCATGATTCATTAAATTAGCTGCTAATTATGAATAGACACGATGCGAGTGTCATAAGAATCATAAATCAATTAACAACTCTTGCGCTTGAATTTTACTCTTTTTTGTCGAAGATCGTTTTTTATCCGTCTTTGAGATGCTTCTATGTCTATAAATTTTCTTCAGGCATCAAACAGCATCTGCCCCTCTTCAAAACGAGTCTATTCTTTCGCATTTTTTGTTCCATCTTCCGCTCAAATTAACAACAAGCGGTTCATCAATTTTTCAATGTTTAAGAAGTTTTTTAGTCGGGTTTCCAATTTTTTTTTACATATTCCAAATTGAAAAGGATGGTGGCGTTTGTAAACTTGAACACAGTAAGAAGCCTCTTGATCTGTTCAATAATTAAGATGCTAAGAATTATCCTAACATATTTCCAAAATCATATCAAAACAAAATTTAATTTATGGACAGGAACGAATTGATCAATCAGCAATTGCTTTGCTATCGATTTAATTGTGCAATAAAAATTAAATTGAGATTCGTTTAGTGTGCTTCGGTGTTTCGATGATCAAGTGTCGTCGAACACTTCAATGAAGTGCAAGAGAAATGTAAACAAATGTTTAAAAAATTAGTTTCGATTGTGTAATCAATGGATGGAAAATTGTAAAGTTAAAAAACGTTGCCCAAGTCCTTCTTCAAGCCCAGATCGTTAATCAACCCAACTCACAACCCTCGATGTGTGTGACCGCGTTTTAATTGTGAAAACTCTTCGTGTAGCATCGCAACCACTATCAATGGTGGAAGTTTAAACATAAGGGGAAGTTGCATCAACTTGTATGAGATCTCAATAACATTTAACATCAGATCACGGATCATTTTACAATTTAAAACGCTTTAAACTCAACAATAAAGTAATGTAGGGAGAGATTTCATGATTGAGATTATTGGATTATGTCGGCGAATTGAACACTTGTTTGCTTGCTTCTTATTTATGTTATTTTATTACGCGACAAAAATCTTATTTTTCTTTCTTAAATTTTCTCATTTCAGCGTTTCACTGCCAGGCTACCAAGGCAATCTTCAAGCAGCAATATCGCACACCCAATCAGTGTCATCATGGGAACGTTTGGGAGTGGAAATGATTCTCACTTTTGTGATTGTGTTCACTTATTTTGTATCCACCAACACCCATCGAAAAATCTATGGAAACTCAGCAGCAATCATCGGTGCAGCATATTCAGCATGCAACTTTGTATCGGTAAGTTTCGAAACTCCCGCAATGATTTCGTGTTGAAATACTTCAGGTAGAGATTGATGCTGTTCTGCATCTTGAAAAAAATGTTATCCATGCATGATGTTGCAACTGAGACAAGCAGAAAAGAAGTGAAAGAAGAACAAGAAAGAGGGAAAGAAAAGAATATTTCATCTCCTTCAGTATTTCATGTCCTTCTTTTGTCCTTTCTCCATTTTCATCTCTCTTTGTTTGTTTTTGATCCAAAGATCCCTTTTCTGAGAAGTTGAATAATGTCTTGTTGTTTTTGCCATCTTGTGTCTAATCGATTGTTTTCTTTTTTTGGCAGATGCCTTACTTGAATCCAGCGCGCGCTTTGGGTCCATCGTTTGTTTTAAGCAAATGGGAAAATCATTGGATATTCTGGGTTGGACCATTAGTTGGTGGAGCAGTTTCTGGTGTTCTTTTTGAAATCATTTTCAACTCGAAAAAACGTAATCTCAATGGAAAAGATTCCGAAGAATCTTCGAGTATGAATTCTGATGAAGAAAATTATGATTTAGACATTGAGAAATCGAATCCAATGCAACCGAAATTCCACGGTGGAAACTTCAACACATATCGAAGTGCACAAGGTGGAATGAAGCAAATGGGACAATGTCAGACAATGTATCAATCGAAGGTTGACAGAGTTGAAGCAATTTATGGTGGAACAAGATCGCTTTATTGTAAATCACCATCATTGACACGCGCCAATCTTCACCGATCGCAATCGGTTTATACAAAAAGCAATTCAGGAACTCCACGTGACACTGGCGTGTTACGTTCTGGGCCACTAGTTCCAGCTCAATCTCTCTACCCTCTTCGAGTTGCTGCACCAAATCAACAGAACACTCATTTACAGAATCAAAATGTACAGAATCAACTTCAACAAAGATCTGAAAGTATTTATGGAATTCGAGGTTCCATGCGTCAGTCAAATACTGAACGAGTAGTCGCTGAACGTCAAATTCCAGAACGTGAGAGCTTCCAACCAATTTATGGTTTACGAAACAATCCAACACCGAATGAAACAGTAAATTATGAATCACGTGAAGAGCCTGTTAAATATGTACGACGTCCCGAGTCTGTTTATGGCATGTCAAACCGGAGAATTCAGTCAGCACAATCTGATGACAGTTCCTACGGTTCTTATCATGGTTCTTCACTTACACCACCCACTCGTGGAACACCACATAATGGCACATTTCAACCAACAACTGGATCGATGATGGGACAACAACAGCAACAACAACAGCAGCAACAACAACAGCATCAACAAAATTATGGAATGATGCCACTTCCAACACCTCCAACACAACAACCACAACAACAGCAACACCAGCATCATCATCATCAGCCATCACATCATTCAACCACCCAACAACAAAATCAAAACGAAAGGAAATTATCAACGTCAACAAACTCATCCCAACAAGTCCAAAGGAACGTTGAGTTCAAGGAGTTTAGTCAGAAAGGATCGAACGTTCATCCAACCTCAAATCCATTACCACCCCCACCTCCACAACATCAAAATTACCAGATGCATTCAATCAGACAAAATTAATTGACTTCGTACTTTCGAGATTGATCGAATATTGGACGATTCAGGGCTGTTGATATTAAATGAAAGAGTGAGAGTTCACCTACTCATAAATTTACTTACTAATTGTGTATATAAGAATGTGACTTCACTGATAATAGAATTCAATTCCCTTTTGGGGAATATTTATTGTACAACATATTGATCGACATCGGAAATTATTTTCATCGATTCGACTGACTGATTCCATCAGACATTAGAAAGAAGAATTCAATTTAGTTTAGTTAGATTTTTTTTCTTCTCTTGTTCGTATATTGAAACATGGCTAATTAGTTTTTAAGGCTTTTCCTGTCTGTGTAGATATTTTCATTACTATTAATTTACAAAACAACGAATGGATATTTGTTTCTTTTCTTCTATGAAAGTCGACTGAATTTCTGTTTTAAATACATAGTTTCAATGAAACCTGATTGCATTTTATATCTTTGTAACTGTAGATATATTTTATGAGAGAGTTGTAAGTATAAAATATGTTAAGATCAAAAATAAAAATAAAGAAACATTTCAACATGAAAATATTTTTTAATTTCTTTAACGGCACAAAATATTTCTTTCTCTCTTTTTCCAGGAATGTTGCAAAGAAAACATTTAACAGAAAAATTGATAAAAATTTTAATGCTTTTAAGATGTTGAATTGTATCTCAAAGGACGAAAGGTATCCTTCCTTTGTTTGATCCTTTTGTCGCTTTTTAAAGGAAATTGAACATTTTGGTCTCAAATATCGCCAGGTAGAATTCATGCAATGTTATTTAACGCTGTTCAAAGCATTTTATTTGGTCGAAAATATTTTTCAAACCACCACTACGTGATTGCTTCAATTATAAATTATTCTATCACGTTGCTTAACATGATCTTCAAACTGAATGCTTGTGCACGACAAGCAATAAAAATTAATTATTTCAGTTAAACAGTCGTTTTTGAAAATGACCATTTATGAGATTTGACAATGAAGTTTGTTGAAATCGAATGAAATTCATTAAACTGAATTTATCAAAATTAATTATGTTTCAGATAATTTATTGATGTCGAATCGGAAGTTTAATTTTTTAAATCATTAAGAGAAACTTCTTAAATCTTTAAAAAGCGTTGAATTTTTTAGTCTCATTGTCGAATGAGATGGAAGCATCTGTCAGTTTAACTGATGAACTATCGTATTTGTTCAAGAATTATTTTAAGATTTATTCGCCCCTTACTCGAATCATTCAACGGTCTCACATTGTAATGAACCTAATCTTTTTTATAAGAATTCAACTCTTTGAGCATTAGATCAAAAGTTTAATGAAAGAAATAAGAAAAAATTAAAGAAAATTCAGATAATGAGAATCCTGAGAAATTGAATTACGATCTGATGGTAAATTTTGATTCGTTAAAATTTAGGAGTTTAAATTTTTTTTCGCCAATTCAAATAAGTAATTCACAAACCTTAATTTAAAGTCGTTTTAATTTATTATTAACAGTGCCAAGAACTAAGTGATGACGAACTTGCAGACTAAAGTACTGCGTTAAGACTGGAAAATTTAAAGGAAAGTTGCAAGCTTATTATTGCTTCAGAGGTTCTCACAAATTTCTTATCCAACTCTAAATCCAAACATGTACATCATAGAAAAAGGTCAAGAGGTTTCTGCAAAAATTAGTATTTTATTGTTCATATGACAATTTATGGTTCGGTTCAAGTGATCATGTTCCTTCTTCCTTTTCAATTAACCCCGAGAAACATTTGATTCAATTTTTTCTCTCGACACAAACAATGAAGCACCAGCCGCATCATAAATAATAAAAATTATTGTGAAAGTTTTATTCATTTTTTTGTTGAGGGGTGAGACATGAAAATGTAAATAAACAGCAAATGTTTAACTTTTTCTTTTTCTGGCGATGCAAATTTGGAATTTCTTTTGAAACAATTGAGAATTCTCAATCACTCACTCGTTGTGCACGATTCTTTTTAAAACAATTCAACGAAAGAACTTCATTGAAGGTTTTCATGTCGGAAATGTTGAATAATAATTTTCTGTCGTCTTTGTCATTGTCATTCACAAGCGACATGAGAAGATGGAGACAGGAAGTTCGAGATTCTCTTTCTATGCACTCGAAGCATGATTTGAATTTCCAGGTGCTGTTGTCTTAAAATTTTCATCAATCGAGCAACTTGCGTATGGATTGAACATAAACTCAAATCAACATGTGACAATTTTCCACATTTCCATGTAATCATCTGCATATGTGCGATATTAATCGACTCGATTTAACTCGATGTCGTGAAAAAAGGAAAGAAAAATCTGTGATAAAAATATTTTTGTGCTGCATTTAACGTTGAGATCTGATCAGCAGCAATTGTATCACTTTTACCCTCATTAATGTTTCACTTCATAATTTCTGTGATGCGATGTTGTTTTACTTTGATTCATGGAAATTCTATGAGAACATAAATTTTATTAACTAGATTCGGGGATCGTTCGTTGCTTATTCATCCAATTTTTTTAGGGTTGAAAGACTTTCAAGTGGGAAATGAATTGCGGTAACTTTTTTATTATTTATTTACAGACTAAAATCTGTCATGAAACATTCGAGTGTGCAATTGAATTAGATACTTAAACACTTTAATCCGTTTCGTATTTGCATCTGATTACAAACGAGAAGATTAAACTTCACTTGAATGAAGCATTTGCACTTGCTGATGTGGGTTTGCATCCATCTGATCATTCTGAGGAAGGAAATGTTGGAAAAAATTCCAAGATTATTGTGACAAATGCAGTTGATTAATGTTGATGATCAGTGGAAACATAAAAATGGTTAATTCCATTGAAATTAACTCTTTTTGTGACGCGGAACTTTGTCTCATCATCAATCATATTCCCACTATGGATTATAATCGTTGAAAGATTTCTACATAGGAAACAAGTGAAATCGAACATCACGAGACGTGAACGTTGAAATTTCATAAACACTTGACAACTTGCAAAGTTTGGTGATGGGAAAATGTTTTTATAAACGCGATTTGGTCAAAGAAGATTCAAGCAACTCATTCAAATGCTCAAATTTCACCCTTCCGCGTTTTCAATTCATCAACGAAGGGGTTGAAGTTCAAGTTGTAATTGATACAAAGCGTAACTCATTCAAGCACATGTGGAAGAGAATGAATGCAGTTTCAGAAGTTTCCTTTTATGAAACTCAGAAAATTCTTTTCATGAGACTGAAACATTTTCAATTTCTTCGAAATATTGGACAAGTGCAATGAATTTTGAGAAGGATAAAACTCGTTTAACAATGCAATGAGTTGACATCAAATTATGAAACTGACGAAGAAGTTCATGATGTGGAAAGATTTAAATGAGTTTTCACGAGAGTTGACATCGTCACACAAGTTGTTTGTACATAAGTTGATCAAATTACTTCATTCTTCAGTCACCGAATGAACACAAAAGCATTGTGAGTAATATTTGTGGCTACGTTTCTTTCTGATAAGAAAACATTTCAGATTTGAATTCCAAGCAAGCAGGAAATTCTCACGAAATTTTATTTTGCTATCCATACAACAAATTTTCGTTATCAGGCGAAATTCTCGTAAGATTGCAAAAGAATTGTCGGAAAATTCGTTGTTCGTGTCTAATTATGAAATTGCGTCCAGAAACGAAATAAACTTGAGTTGAGTTCTCATCTCACAGAACTTTTGAGCATTCAAAGGAAAAAAAAGATTCCGATGAGAACATTCAGCAGACGATCAACATGATGTTCGTCTTAAATTGTTTCATGCTTTTTGTTTCTAAATTCGAGTCGTGAAAAATGAAATGATTTAACAGAAAGACGAACAACAACAACAGCGAAAAGCCTTTCTCAAGTGTTCCCGAAATTGATACAGACAACAAACGACTCGAACACAACTCGAGCGAAATCGTATTTAAGAGGATGATGATGTGTCGAGCAGCTCGAAGTTGAAAAAGCGAACTTCGTGAAGATCAAAAGTCGTGGGAATGAAATTCTTTCGATCGCTTTACTTTGTTTCTCTTAAGCGAACGAGAAACAATTAATATCCACGATCAGAACTTCACACGATTCAAACTTTTCGAATAAATTCATGTGTGAGATGAAAATTGATGAACGAGATCGTCGTAAGTAATTGTAAATAAATTAAACATTCTCATTAACAATGTTAATGTCCGATGGATGTTCGGTCAATTGGATTGATTACCAAATAAAATTGGTTCGATGACTTATTTATGTGATTCGACAAATTATCGCTCGAACAAGAATGACTTTTAAAAGTCACAAACAAACATCAATCGTTTGGAGGTAAAATCACGAAAAGATGAGAAGTAAAGCAATGAATAAGAAAGTTACGTCGAGTTGAGTTGAAACCACCTGTCCCGAAATTATTTTTGGTTCTTCTTCTCTTCTTCCATCTATTCATTAAGATTCTCTCTGAAATGCAGAAACAACAACAGAAGAAATGAAGAACATCGCTCTGCATACTCGCACATTTTTTGCAAGCACATTAGAGATTCAACGAAACGAAATTGCAACAAAAAGAATCTGAATTGAAAGAGGGAAAGAATGAAGGAAAATGTTATGATGTTGATAAGTTTGAGTTCATTTCAGTAGCTTTAAAACTTCAACCGAAAATCATGAAACCTTTAATGGGAACAAGAAGAGACATCGCTGTTGATGGCACTAAAATATTTTAGCAATTGTAATTTTCGAAACATGGAAAGGAGAATTTTTGGCATCAATTAACTTCAGTTTTGTTTCGTCATCTGATCTCGCGATAGAAAGCAAGTCAACAAAAACTTGATTTCACATCCTTTGTGAAGTTTTTGTTGACGGGAGAATTATTACAGCAGCGAAATGTCATTGTTTGTGGAATAATTACGATATGAAGGCGAAACATGTGGCCGATAGTTCATCGACATGGATTGAGAATGGCGACGAACGCATTCAAAAGGCTTCTTAATCGATTGTTTGCTATCTGCATGACTCTTTCCAGTCACAGTTCAAGGGCTCGTTAATTACATGACCCGTCAATGTCTGAATTATTATCCATAACGAAAATAAACTCGACCATGCAATCTCAAATGGTTGATGAACATTTGCTTCAAACTCCACACGTGACTGCATCGGCCGTAAATTTTTATTTCACGTCGCTTGAAGTGTTTTCGTGAAGGTTATCAAAATCACCTGCTCATCGTTCATTGGTTGATTTTGGGATCTGTTGAATATATTCTTCGATTCATTTTTCATTGAAATGCATGTTGAATGCAGCAACATATGGTTTTGGAATTGAATTTCTAATCCTCATCCTCTAAATCGAGATCAACAAATGATTCTTTTGAAATGCTCAAATCTAAAATTAACATTCGATAATCTTTTTACCAGGTGACGTCTTGACAATTTCATTTCAATCTGTTGCTTGTCGTGACATAATTTCTTGTATGATTGAAAGAATTATGTAAAATTTGATGATATTTTTCAAAGTTTGACACAATGTGTTTGTGGTCAGACTATCAAATTACATAAAACCATTGAATGTAGTTACAGGTATGTAAATTATTTCTTAAATACGCGTTACTTCTTCATTCTCACACCATTCAACAATCAATTTAAAGATTGAATTATCTTTTTCGTTACTTTTCTTAACTTCATTTGTCATTTGGATGAATGACGAAACATTCCCAGAGGGTTCTTTCGGTTAAAAGTCAGAACATCAATTGATGGGTGGAATGAAAACAACATCAGGAAATATGAGATGCGTTTCAAATTAATTCTACAGAACAACAAATATTTGCTTGACAAGACAATTTCTTCCCTTGATTTCTTTAGAAAAATGTGTGGATAATATTAATATCCAAGCTTTCCTGTTCCCAGCGAAGGTCTGTCATCTTAAGAATGGAATTCTGCTGGTTCCATCATAACCACAGTTAAATTTGAATCATTCTATGCATTGGAAAGCAGTTAAAAGTACAAAAACATTGTTAACATCATTTGAAATTCCCACATTAACTCCACCACAATTTTTATTCCCATTTCCAGGTGTTGGTCTTACTCAAACGTCATCTTCGATAATTTCTTGACATTAAATAATTTAAGCAGCTTTTTCATCTTGATATGATTTGTGCAATTTCAATAGTCTTAAATTTTTCTAAGCTGTTGAATTCAATTAAAAAATTTTCATCTTCTCTTTTCTTGAAAGGGTTGAAAGTTTCAAATGTTTTTCAAACATGCACATTCAGAAATAATTTTTTATTACAAATTTTAAAAATAAAATTATGTTCGGAAAATATTTTAATGCTTACTATCAAACAGATGTCGTATGCTGCTAAATGAAATAACGTGTTCAATTTTTTTTTTTCTTCTTCTCCTTCTTGTGATCCTTTTTTTCTTAACTGAAACTTCAACACAATCAAAACAGTTTTAAAATTTTTCGAAGATTTTGTTTTGTGAGTTCCTCAAAAGTTTTCTTTAAATTCATTTAAAAAATATAAAAAGAAATCATGAATAAAAAAGTTTCGAGCACAACACAAGCAAGGAAAGGCAGGTGGTTTGTTTTATGAAAAGAACTTCAACAGTTTGGGGATAAAAAGAAGCCATGCCATGACATTCAAATTTGAGTCTTTTTTCTTTCCTTTGATTTCTTGTTTGATGGAACAGTCGCGTGATTGGAGTGTGGCCAACATTGAGTGCCCAATTGAAAACGTTAATCAAAGATAATTTTATGTTTTATCGAGATCCAAAATTAAAAAGTGCGAATGAAAACTGAAAAGAAATTCAAAGTTATGATTAAGAATTCAAATTACTTTAGTGCATTGCTAACAAAGGGAAAGATGAATTCATGATTCATTAAATTAGCTGCTAATTATGAATAGACACGATGCGAGTGTCATAAGAATCATAAATCAATTAACAACTCTTGCGCTTGAATTTTACTCTTTTTTGTCGAAGATCGTTTTTTATCCGTCTTTGAGATGCTTCTATGTCTATAAATTTTCTTCAGGCATCAAACAGCATCTGCCCCTCTTCAAAACGAGTCTATTCTTTCGCATTTTTTGTTCCATCTTCCGCTCAAATTAACAACAAGCGGTTCATCAATTTTTCAATGTTTAAGAAGTTTTTTAGTCGGGTTTCCAATTTTTTTTAAATATTCCAAATTGAAAAGCATGGTGGCGTTTGTAAACTTGAACACAGTGAGAAGCCTCTTGATCTGTTCAATAATTAAGATGGTAAGAATTATCCTAACATATTTCCAAAATCATATCAAAACAAAATTTAATTTATGGACAGGAACGAATTGATCAATCAGCAATTGCTTTGCTATCGATTTAATTGTGCAATAAAAATTAAATTGCGAATTTATTCACTTAGATGTTTCGATGATCAAGTGTCGTCGAACACTTCAATGAAGTGCATGAGAAATGTAAACAAATGTTTAAAAAATTAGTTTCGATTGTGTAATCAATGGATGGAAAATTGTAAAGTTAAAAAACGTTGCCCAAGTCCTTCTTCAAGCCCAGATCGTTAATCAACCCAACTCACAACCCTCGATGTGTGTGACCGCGTTTTGATTGTGCAAACTCTTCGTCTAACATCGCAACCACTATCAATGGTGGAAGTTTAAACATAAGGGGAAGTTGCATCAACTTGTATGAGATCTCAATAACATTTAACATCAGATCACGGATCATTTTACAATTTAAAACGCTTTAGCATCAGAATTATGCAGAATTCAGATAAAGAAGAGTAAAAAATAAGATTACATGAAAATATTGATTACCTGCATTGATTTTATAATCATCAACACGATTTTGATTTAAACATTGACTTGAGAATGAAATCACCTTATAAATTAACAAATACGTATGATCACAAATGTTATCTCGTGAAATTCTTTCAGAAGGTATTATTAAGCACCATTTTTAACATTGCATTGGAACAGTTTTTTACCTTCAACATCCTCATCAAAGCAAGATCTAACTAATAATTACCATTAATCAAAAGATTGGTCTTTGACTACGTCGTCATCTGCAATTATCGCAAACATTTTATTCCAGGATGTTTCATCCGCATCTGCAACAATGTAGCGTCGTTTGAAAAAGGAAGTTGAACCCAAGAAATATGTAAGAATCGGAAGTTTATAAAATGTTGCACTTTTTTTACTGCCAACCTTCGAACTAAATGTTTTGACCTTTTCATGCCACGACACACTCCTCGATTCAGCAAATTGTGCAAACACAAAAATGGGGAAACAGAATGATTATGGAAACACATGTTGACTTTTTTATGAAGGGAACTATTTGCGATTCATTTTTTATTGTAAAAGTTTTGCTGCACTATGAATATCTAAACGTAACAATGGAAAATGCAAATGATGTGCAATTGTTTTCACTCGTTTAGGGTGGACATTATGATTATTTGATTATTGAATTGGTCATCCCTCTGCACGACAATATTGTTGTGATGACTTTCATGATATGAAAACAAATAATCCTAATTGGATAATGACATGAAGATCTTCTCATGAGTATTTGCATGTGATCAACACTTATGGAGTGAATTTTTTTATTTAAATTTACTTTCGTTACTTGTGAATTTTATTTCTTATCGAATTGATTTTTAGTTAAAAATGTTAAATATTTTTATCAAATGAAATCTGAACGAAAGTTTTTATGTAAAACTGCTTTACCGACAAGGCTAAGAAAATAATGTTGGGTTATGAGAATGCATAACTTTAAGGGGAAATTCTATTACAAATTAAATGATCGTTAAATAAAATCAATTTCGAAAAGTTTATTTTCAACTGCTTATTGAAANGGTTAACCTAGTACTCGAATAACCGAAAAAAACAGCCGGTTATCGGTTCTCGGTTATCGGTTTTGATATCTATATTTGCATGTGATCAACACTTATGGAGTGAATTTTTTTATTTAAATTTACTTTCGTTACTTGTGAATTTTATTTCTTATCGAATTGATTTTTAGTTAAAAACGTTAAATCTTTTTTTCAAATGAAATCTGAACGAAAGTTTTTTATGTAAAACTGCTTTACCGACATTGATATAAAATTAATATTGTGCTCTGAGAATGCATAACTTTAAGGGGAAATTCTATTACAAATTAAATGATCGTTGAATAAAATCAATTTCGAAAAGTTTATTTTCAACTGCTTATTGAAACTCATCATGTATCTACTTTTTATTCGTATTCCGCAAAGGTTAAATCAGATAAATATTCTTCACATAAGCAAACAAATAATTGAACTCGTTTTCCTTGCGCTTTAATAACACATGTGCAATGTTGCTGTTTCCGATTCACCGCGCTTGTTTATTTTATGAATCAAACTCGCGTCGTCGTCTGATGGGAGTAAAAAGACGAATCCTCATGCACCAAGTGAAAGAGAACGAATACAAAATTAAATTATTTTTAATTAACGATCTCAGAAGAAAGAGGAATCATTCAAAAAAGATGAAACTATAAGTATTTCATTCAATTGGAGCATCGTTTAATGAAAATTAACCGTCGACCCTTATAATTGAGTGCAACATGCTTTTTTTCTTAATTTACTGTCTGTGGTTCTTCAGACTATATTCGTTATCTTTCAGGTTCCTAATGTTATCGTTTCTTTATTGTTCGAATTGTTGACTAATTTTATGTCACAACAAAAATCCTTCTTTAATCATTCGTTGTCAGACCACTCAAGAACTCATAAATAATAACATTTTCTTTGTCAAAATTTACTGTTCTCTTATCAATGTTTCAATGTTTACGAAAAAGTAATTAAAAGTTTTAAAGAAAGTGTAAGTAATAATATTCATACAAATTGTTAAAGAAGTAAGTCGTTTTATCTTTCCTACAACCATCTAAACAGAAATAAGCATTTCCACTGGAATTTTATGCGATAAACCTTTAAAACAATAACAAAGTCAAGTTGTGCGCTCACACATATTTCTTTCAAGTCGTTCTCTCCCAAGAAAAAAGTCACAACCACCAATCAACCACTCGCGCTACGTTAAAAGTAATATTTTTTGTCTTTACTTTCAGTCATTCATCACCACTCGCTTATATCGGTTGCATGCTTTTTAAGTTAGTTTTAAGCTTAGTCTTGTTTTTCAATATCATTGCAATCGCAAACTTAAGTAATCAAAGGTAATAATAATTATTAAATAAAATCAAAAAGTGAAAGAAGAGTTCGGAAATCAAATGGAAATTATCACCTGAAACAAAAGACTTACATGGGCGTTGGTTAATACAATGTGTTTGATGTTGAGAATATTTCGAAGCGAATTTTAGTGCTGATATGAAGTTATATGTAATTCCAAATGTTTTCACAATAATTGTTCTTCTTATCATTGGCGTTATCAGTATTTCGATAGAATAACAGGTGGAAATTGTGTTTGTGGGTGAAAAAAATCGACATATCAACTTTCATTGCAAAAAGTAAATTAAATTTAAGTTAAAAGTTTTCATTTTGGATATTATCAATTTCCATTGAACAATTAAAGAATTTAAACCTTAAATTCAGCAGAAAATGACTAAATTTCCAATGAATTTCATTCACTTGACTTCAATTTACACGACGTTCAACCTTTTATAGTGTTTGTGTTGACTCTGAATCACCGTGACGTCACAAAACCTGTTCCTACACTCAACACACGGTTCGCTGTATCAAAATCAACACAAAGAGAAGATACCTGACTCTTTTTTTATGCTGTTTGACTTTCAGTTGCACAATCTCTCATTTTCATGCACTGCAGTTCTCGATAGTTGTTTATTTTGTGACACAATTTTTGGTTTCGGTTTTTAACAGAAAAAATCTTTTCAGTGACTTTGAATAAACAAAAAAAAGTGAATTAAAGTTGTGAAAATATAACAAAGTTTAGCTATAAATAAATAAGTTAAAGTTTACTGACTGTGAGGTGTTTACATATAATGTCTGCTTGTCGTTAAAAGACTGCATCATCACAAAATATTGAAGTCAATTTGTTTCTACCTACAATACAGTGTTGAGTTGTTCCCTTTATGCATTTATTAATTGTTTCGTCTGCTGTCAGACGAATGTGAATATTCTAATGAGAAATGGGCTAGGAAACTGATCATTAAAATGTGATAAGGTGATTGGAAATTGATGGACGAACAATATAATGAAATCATTTAGGCTGAAAATTGTGTTTAAGTATTCGCAAACAACGCACAAAAAATTTAGTTGGGTGCGGTTGGTTGGTCGTTCAACTTGGTTAGTAGAAGTTAACATTAAAACTTATGCGATAGTTTTTTCTTTAAAGGGACACGAAAAATGTATTCATTTGTAGAAAATCAATAAACAGGGAGGGAATATGAAGCCGCTAATCACGCAATGCTTCATATTTCGTAATTTGAGAAAGTTTTCTTTATAATTTTAATTGGGAAAAGTCAGTTTAATGTGTAGAACTCAAGGTTTTACCGATCACAGCCATTTCTTTATCTTATCAATGATTGATACTGATTTTATACACTCAATACTGCAAACGTGAAGCACAACACAAAACTTGTTACAAACATAAATCGCTTATCATCGAAATATTCAGATAACAAAAAAGAAAGAAAATCAATGAACAGAAAACTATTTCCGAACATCATCCAATGACGATGACAGTCAATTAGTCTCAATTTCTTCTAATTAAATTAAATTTTTTTCGTTCACAGCCCAACTCAATCTCGAGACCGCATCATCAAAGGCTGCTGATTCATCAAAGAGAGTAGAATTTGTAGTCAATTAGTGGCAGCATGCTTCATTCATCACATTCACAATGAGCTCGCGAGCGTGTTCTGCAATCGATAGTAAAATTTATGACGTCACGTGAAGCTTTTCTTTTCTTCTGTTTTTAAGTTTGTGTTCAAAAATCAAAGAAGCGACCGTGAAGAGCGAAAATAAAAACTTTCGCGACGAGATTGTATGAGTGTTGAGAGTAGAAAAGACGTTGGAAAGAATCAAGCAGTGTTTCGTTTATAACTTTTTTTCCTTCTTCTCAATTTATTTGTGTTTTGATTTGGTAGTGAACGGTTGAAACGAAGAAACTTTCATGTAGACTTTTAAAAGTGAAATAAAAATGGCGACACGCAAAACAAAACGTTGCCTTGGTGATGGTAAAAGTCCATCAATAAGTGAAATGAACATAATTAAATTATCAAGAATTGTTAAAAAGAATATGTTTATAGTGTTTCTGATAAGTTTTGTTGGATTATGGGCGTTGAGTTCAGCGCAGCCACAATATCAAGGCTACAATCCATTGCTTGGCGATCGTGATCCGAGATTCTATTCACGTCCTGGTGTTGACTACAAACCACCAAATCCTGGCGACGATGAGTACAGGTGAGATAGTTTTTCTTGTAAATTGTGTACATTTAAAGTCACTCAACCACGAAAAGTTCTTTTAGGGTGGGGCTCGAAAAATATTTCATTTTAATCGCGAAAACTTTTTTCCATTTCATTAAATTTCCACGAAACATTTCGATTCATCATTGAATACGACATTAATCTATAAAATGAAGAAAATAGCGTGAATTTAATTTATAAGACAATGAGAAAAAAAGTTCCGTTGCTTTGCTTTACTTTGCCCTTTTCTATGTACAAATAACAATGAAAAGTGCAGAAGAAATACCTATTTTTAAAGAAAACTTTCTTTGTGTCCATCGCGTGGAATTTAATTTAAAGTTGTGTTGGTGTTGAGCTTGCTCCATGTTGTTCAGCATGAGAGAAATAACAATTCGCGCTCATAATTCATGTTGATTTTGTTTATGTTTCCACTGCCAGTGATGCATTTAAATGTCATATTTTAACAATGAATGTTGATGATTGAAAGTTTCTCAGATCACTTGAAAGATTACAAGAAATGATAGAAATTTCTCTTACTTACAGAACATATTTCCACAACAATCGTCGTTATGGATATTATCAACCTAATGGATATGGTCAAACATATCCGGGACAAAATCGACCTGAACAATATCCAGGAAACACTGGGCTTGGTGACGATCGCTTCAAATACGACCCTGTAAGTAAAAAACAATTTTCTTCTATTAAATTAGTTAATGTAATTAACATCTGTTGATCTTGTGAGCTGTAAATGACAATTATTGAGTTGGATTAACTAATTGACGACTTGGGTGTTAATCATAAATAATTTAATTAAATGATTCACATGTTGAATGTGAAATAAAAGATTTGAAGAAGAATGTTCAATGAATATTGCATAAACATGGCAACACAATGATCGGGAAATGCGCGTTAAATGGCATTCAAAAGAAATTCTCTTCATGATGAATGATCGTTAATTGTTGGATATTTACATGAGAGAGAAAAAATCTGTAATTAATTATAATTGCATATGGTAAAAAGCAGAATGAATTCACTCTCACTTATTATGTAATTTGCTTGAAAACTTTTATTTTCATTAACATTGAAAGTGTGTCATGCGGTCATGAAGTTAATTAGTTACAGACTCTGTAGAGATCATCACGATGAATACAATTTTCTTGACTCAAGAATAATTTTTATTTCATTTATCAACAGAATAATCCAACAAATGTTCAAACACCTTTTCCCGGTGTTCTTGGTGGATTTCGTGAAGATCTTCAAGGAAAGATAAGACGCGACAGTTTATTATTAGATCGCGATATTTTCGTGCAGTCAAATTATGGAGAAATTCAAGGATTTAAAGTTCATCTTTATGACAATCCTGATCCCAATTCATATTATCGACCATGGCATCAAAATGTTGATCGAATCTTTGGCGAATGTTCAACTTTTCTTGGGATTCCCTACGCTCTCCCTCCAACATATGAAGGTCGTTTTAAGCCGCCTAGAAGACATAGAGGTTGGCAACTTCTACAAGCTGTTGACTACGGGCCAGCATGTCCACAACCAGTTCAATATGTTGGGGCAACTAAAGGCATTCGCGATATGGACGAAGATTGTCTTTACTTGAATATTTTCTCACCAAATGTAAGTTGTTAATTCACCTTCTCAATCTTAATTTTTGGTGACATCTTTTTCTTCATAAAAATTTAGACGAAAGCGGGAGTTGCACAGAAATATCCGGTGATGATTTACATTCATGGTGGTGATTTTGTACATGGAGCTTCAAATCTTTTTCCTGCTCATATGATGGCAGCTTTTTATGATGTTGTCGTTGTGACTTTTAATTATCGACTTGGAGCTCTTGGCTTCTTATCAACTGCTGATGATAATAGTCCTGGAAATTATGGAATTCTTGATATGATTGCAGCGGTTCAGTGGGTTCATGAAAACATTGATTATTTTAATGGAGACAGAAATTTGATCACACTCTTTGGACCTGATGCTGGTGCTTCAGCAGCTGGTATTTTGATGGTGGCACCACAAACAAGAGACATTGTCACAAGAGTCATTGCACAATCTGGATCAGCATTGGCTGGTCAAGCTTTTATCTACGATCGATATCGAGCACAAAACACAAGTCGAGTGTTCGGGCAACTTGTCGGGTGTTCGATTGAATCTTCATGGAAACTTGTGAATTGCTTGTCGAAAGGAAGATCAATCTACGAACTTGGAAATGCTGAATTTCAACCACATGTTGGCCTTTATCCATGGGCACCTGTTATGGACACCAATTTCACTTTTCCTGGTGATAATTGGTATGAAGGTTGGCGTGAAGCTGATTGGCATTTTATGAATGAACTTCCTGAAGATCTTGTGAGGAAACGAAAGTATAATCGAGGGTTACATTACATGACTGGAGTGACAACACAAGAAGCTGCATATTTGATTTGTGAGCAGCAAGAATTTAAATTGAAATATTAACTTAAATTTTTATTTTCTCAGATAACAATGAAACTTTGAGTCCGAATTATGAAGTTGATTGGATTTTTATGGAACAGAAGATTAAAGAATTCGTTTTTCGTTATAATTATACTTTAAATCCTATTGGAGTATACGAAGCCATTAAATTTATGTACACTTATTGGCCAGATCCCAATAACAAAACTCACATTCGTGATCAATATGTTCATGTAAGTTTTATTTGATTTAAGAAATTCAACTTGATTTGTGTCTTGGATGAGATTTTCTTTCATTCGACTTAGCAAAGACACCAACCAACAATCCTTGAAACTTTTAACGAAAGTTTTCTTTAATTTTTCAGATGTTATCCGATTTTCTATTTCGAGCGCCAACTGATAAAATGGTGAAACTTCTTGTTGAAAGAAAAGTTCCAGTTTATTATTATGTTCTTAATACAACAGTCGAAGCATTCCGTCATCCTGAATGGCGTAAATATGCACATGACAATGAATATTACTTCCTAACTGGTGCACCTTTTATGGACGTTGAATTCTTTCCCAAAAAGCTTCGTTTGGAGCGAACAATGTGGACTGACAATGATCGCAATATGAGTCATTTCTTCATGAAAACCTACACAGATTTCGCACGATATGGAAATCCAACACCATTAGGGGAAGTTCTCGGTCTGCACTTCGATAAAGCATTTAATGGCGAATTGAGATATCTCAATATCAACACAACTTACAATTCTTCGATACTTTTAAATTATCGACAAACTGAAAATGCTTTCTGGTCAGAGGTGAGTTGACATTTAAAGCATTTTAGTTACGTTTTTATAAATAATATTTTGGATTTTTCAGTATCTTCCAACTGTCATTGGTGTTCTTGTTCCAACTTATCCCCCATCAACTGAATTCTGGTGGGAGCCAAAAGAGCCTCTTCAAATTGCTTTTTGGAGCATGTCAATTGCTTGTCTCATTCTTCTTGTAATTCTCGTCATGTGTTGCATCTTATGGCGAAATGCGAAGAAGTATGGACTTGAGGTAATCATTAGAAATTTCTCACTTAAAATAAGAAATAAGTTTTGCTTGCATGAAACACGGGAAAACGGGAAATTTCTAATGATTTTCCAAATTTTTTAACTTATTTTTTATACTTAAAAAAATTAATTGTGTTTTTAGGGAGGTGGACATGCAGAAATTTTACGACGATCCTTTTGTGGATGCGGTCGAATCTGAGATGAATGGAGGTCTCGATAATCATCTCGTTCAGTCTCAACCTTTAAGAGCACGAGACGTTTATCAGTACAAAAATACGCCATCAAAATTTCCAAAGTCTCAAAGCGATTCGCAATCTGTTCGGTCGCCAAGTTCATTAGGAGCTACATACACAACAAAAGCAGGAAGTCAAAGCTCGTTAAAGAGCGCGATCTCACTTAAAGAGTCACCATCATTCCCCATAACCAAGGATGTTCCATTCGAAAAGAAGGAGAAATACTCTGATCGTGACATTGACATGAAGTCTGATAAATCGGAACTCACAGAGAAAGATTCGATTATCAGTTCCACAACCACCACAAACACGTCTTCAAAGCGAGATCTACTGACTAGCAGTCCCGTTCCAAGGCCAAGAACACAGATCAGCAGCAACAAATCAAGTCGAACTCTTCTAGATGGTGGAATTCCACAAACAGAAGTGTAAATAGAGGTTAGATTAAGTTTTAAGAGATAGATTAAATTTTTTTATAAGATTAGATTAACAATTGGATGATAAGATTAAATGTTCATGTATATAAACGTCAAATTCATTCCATTTCGCAGACTCCGTCACTACTTAGCAATTAAGTAGGTATATAGCATAAAAGTATCTTTTTGTCAAACAAGAAGAAAGTTTTAATCTTAAATTTAAGCACAAAGTGCCTTTGTACATTCCAATAATGTCGCTATGATTTAAAAGAAAAAAAATTACAAAATGTTAAACATTGCTTTAAAACTTAAAATATTTATTAAGAAAAAATTATTCTATAATTTGAATTTTGTGTATTTGTGTGTCTCTGTTATCAGTGCTCCGTCCAACATAAATGTTTTAGTAATTTAAGAGAAATAATTTTTGTTAGGCCAAATCGTGCAAATAACGAAAGAAAAACGTTGTAAATAGAAGTTTCTTAAATGACGATCTATTTTCATAAAAAGCTTTCTGTTGTAAATAGCATTTAACAATGTTTAAGTTAGTTAAATTAATATCTAAGTTTCATAAATACATTCTTAAGGTTTGACCTTAATTTAATTAAGAAACAAAACACTTCATTACCATTTAAAGTATTATTTTGTAGTGAGAATTTTCTTTATGACGAAAATAATTTTTTTTGCTGCTTCTTTTTGCTTTTGTGTTGTTGTAAAATTTACTCAACATTTCTTTAGTTAACGTATTGAACCATCTTTCAAGAAACAGTTTAAAAGGTTTTTTATCATTGAGAAAGGAAAATTCATAGAAATATTAGATAGTAGATAAGTTAACGTGTAAGTTTTTCGCTTCCAAAAAGGAAACAATCAAGAATGAAACATATTTTTACCTTTCCATAAGCATCACAATAAAAGATTTAAGAAAAACTGTTGATAATAAAAGAAAACTGAAAGGAAATTAATAAAATGAAATATTTTTTGACAAATAAAAAGACTTTTCTGTTAGTTTTATTGTTTATTGCATTCTTTATTCAGAACTTTCTTTGTAAAACTTGATTTATTCAAAACTCACGGCACATTAACAATCATTGATATGAATTATAAAAATATCTTCATGCTTAAATATTTATGTAATATTTTAGTCAATTTAACATTTGTTGGAAATGCTAATTTTCCTTTCGTTGAAATTATTTTAAAAGATTTTCTTTCAGATTTTTTCTATCTTCTCGAAATCAAATCATCATGAAAATAATTTCAATGAAACATTCCTTTTTTTGTAACTTTATAAGCGTAGTAAATTTCTTTTTTATGTCCATCGTGATAAGGTCATAAGGATATCAGTTTTGTTAGTCTTTTCATCATACACAAATTTTTTTTTTAGATTTGGGTAGTAAATTTTAGTTTCATTTCTTTTCGGTTATTTGTATTTTTGTAGTTTTTGAATATTTCATAGTTTATGGATATCATATCTATTGATGATTGGCTTTGATAATAAGTCTTATGTTGACGATAATTAAAATTAAAACTTCTTACAATTTAATGATTGTCTCAATAAGCGTAATTAGTATTTTTTTGTAGCAATTTTTCTTCTTAATGTTTATTTCAGCAATCAAAATATCCTTAAAGAAGGCATTAAATTACGATTAATGCAATAAACATTAATTAATGTTGAGAAAACTTTCATTTTTGTCTTAAGACTTGATAAGTTTTTCAATTATTTTTTCTTTAATTTATAATAAAGTTCAACTTGAGTCAAATTATTTTAGTTCCTTATGTCCTCGAACATATTTTTTTATTAGCATAAATTTTTGTTGCATAAGAGCATGAATTATTTTTGAGCCTTTCAATGGCTTTTCTCAAATTTTCCTATTTTTCTTGTTTTTCAAAAAAAGTTGTTTGGTTAAAGTAAATTGCAATAAAATTTGAACCGCAATTTGATTGAGGAAATATTCAGTAGCAAACATTTTTACAGTTTCTTAAAAACAATCCTCGATCAAAGTTCTTATCTACTTAAAGTAAAATTTTTACAGTTCTTACTTGACATGCTTGTAACTTTTATGAAAAAATTTCTATTTAATTTTTTTTTTTGAATTTTCTTTCAAACTTTTTTTGTCTATTTTAATGTTTTTAATGAATGCACACATTTTTGAAGTTAAATCAGAAGACAATTTTCATTTATTAATAATTTGTTGATAGTATGAGAGAGTTAAAGTATTGATCGATTGGATATTGTGATAAACAGAACCAACACTCAAATGATTTGATATTTTGGCTGTTTTCACAAACGCATGCCTTCGATCGTCTCACCTTGTTCCATTGATTGATGTCAATCATCTAGTCAACTCACTCTCAATTGAAATTATGAACAAACTCTAACAAGTTCTTTGTCTTCGATTCAACTAAAATTTTAAATTAAAACTATTAAAAACTTTCTCATCTCTCGCGACATATTGAACCAATCGAGGTCTTCAAACTCTTTTTTTATTCAATTTTTTCCGTCATCGTCTTCATGGATCAACAAGGAGAAAAAAAATTATTCAAAGACAAAAAGACTCGACACGGTGTAAACTTAAAGACTAGTTTCATATAGATTAAGTAAGACTTTGGGTTCATCCTTTCTTCCCTTCTGTAAATTGATTTAAAAAATTGCATTGCTATAAGTGAAACAAGTAGATAAATTAAATTATTGTTTTTCATCTCTCCTTTCATCCGAAATATTCACATAAGAGACATCAAACTTATTCAAATCAAGCCCTTTTTATACTTAAGCTAAGAAAATTCAGAAAAAGGAAAGGAAATTAATTGCAAAAAAAATTCGTAAAGTTATAAAAAAAAATTTTGAAAATCACAAAGAAAAAAAATTATCTAAACGAGATCAGACAGACAAAAACTTTTCCTTTTCGTTGTCTGAGTTTTCGTCAACTTTAGTATGTGAAAAATCTTGCAGATTCTTACTTCAACTTTATGTCATGACAAAAAGTTTTCTTCGGTATGAAATTTTGAAAATTTCTTGAACATTTATGACTTTCTTGCACTTTTTTTGTTTGAGAATGTTTGGCACAAAGTGAAACTTTCTCGACGTTTTCATTCTGACTACTTAAGAAAGAGCAAATAAAAGAAAGTAGTAACAAAAGGAGAGAAAAAATTAAATTCACTTTTCAATGCGGATTATTTAAATCGATAGATTTACGATTGGATGCAGGTGGTGTTAAAATTCCAGGCGGACATGGCTGTGCTGATGTTGGTGCAGGCGATGCCTCTTGTTTGATGACTGTTTCATTTGCTTCTAGATGATCACGTCTTTCAACTCCGCGATCCTAAATTAGAAAAAATCAAACTTTATAACTAAAAGTCTACCACTTCAATGGAGTATTCAATAGTTTTTGAAAAACATCCAAGCTCTAGCACATAATTTATGAAAAACTTACAAAAATGTCTAATGATGTGGAATGTGTTTGGATGAGAGGTGATGGATCTTGCATTAGATTCGGACAGACATGNCTGATTCATTTGCTTCTAGATGATCACGTCTTTCAACTCCGCGATCCTAAATTAGAAAAAAAATCAAACTTTATAACTAAAAGTCTAGTACTTTAATGGAATTTTCAAATTGTACTAGTTTTTGAAAAACATCCAAGCACATAATTTATGAAAAACTTACAAAAATGTCTAATGATGTGGAATGTGTTTGGATGAGAGGTGATGGATCTTGCATTAGATTCGGACAGACATGAGACACACCATATGTCATTTCAACTTGATCATTTGTCTCTTGAAGCTTGATAGGATTAAAATGTTCGTCTTCTTCTAAAACTTGATAATATGGTTCCATCCATTTAGCGCATGGAGCAATTGATGCCCAATCAAGACCCGATACACGTGTCGCAACATTCTTGTCAATAACATGACTAATCGCTGCTGCTGCAATTATTGAATATGGAAAATTTCCAATGCCAACATCCAACGAGCAAACATCGACAAGTTGTGCTGTTCGTGCATAATTGAGTCCCGAAAATTGCGGATAAATAAATGATTGGCTCCATTTTGATGAGTTTAATATCAGAAGTGATTTTGGATCCATTCCCACAGCATCAGTCTTTCCCGTCGTATCATTTAATTGCATGTAAATGCTGACCCATCCAATTATTGTCACAGGCGTTATACTCCAATTAAGTGATTGAAGAATTAGAATTTCTTGCTGTAAAATGTCTTCTTCCGTGCAAGCACTGTCGGTAACATAAGCAAACTCTTGAAGTTTTGGTGGATAAATTTCTTCGACCTGTAAACATAAAATAATTTCGTAACATTTTCTTCCATTCAAATTTGATTTGATATCACCTTTGAAGCTATGAACAAGCAAGTAATTCCAATCAATTGAAGTTGATTTTTACTGATGTTATGCTTGAGTGTTAAATAACGATCCAGATAATCAACAGTCAGGTAATATGTTTCACGATGAAGCTTATAGACTTCGCAAACTTCAATTAACCAGTCTAAAAGTATCGCTCGCATTCTTGGCTGAAGTCCTGGATGATTATCAAACATGTTAGCATCACGGCTCAAAGAAGCTTTCTCATCTTTCCGCACCATATTTGTCCATACAGCTTCACGATTTGCCCATGGCAGCATGGGAAGAGGACAAAGTCGTTGTTCACTTGTTGGTGTCACATAGCATGGTACTGAGTCATCAATTTTTGTTCTAAATTCAAGGAAAGTTAACAAAATTTTTCTTTTAAGAAGATAATTAATAAAGCTTACTTGTAACAGATCACATTCGTTGGTCGTTTCTTTAATGTGTGTGGCGTCTTTTCTCCTTTGCTTGCTAATATCAATGCAGTTTCATCTGTCAATTTAGTTCCTTCGAAAGGACTATAAACGTTACCGTAGTCATCCTCGTCATATTCATCGCGATCTAAATCTGTGATCACATCAAAATCTGAAACTTCACTAACAGTATGAGTTGTTGATATCGATTCAGCTGGTGATGGAGCGACTTCAACTGGCACTGATTTGTTGCTGTTATTGATGCTTTTGCTATTGACAATTTTCTTAATACTAGAATTATTTACAGTTTGACTATCACGTTGATTGACGGCGAATGATGATGATGCTGTTGAACTTCCATCAACTTTCAATTGACCAATTGTGTTTGTGAAAGTTTTTATATTTGATGTTGATGGTGGCACCGAAGTTTTTTCATCATCAGACGATGACAAATGAGAGGAATTGATTGATGTGGGTGGTTGTGGTGAAAGGCTGTCATCAGGTGATGTTTCAACTGACGACACTGTTATCAATTGTGATGAAACGACTCGTTTTATTTGTCGCTCATACTCGTCATCCTAAAGGAAAAGAAAAACAAAAAATCAGCATCTGAGATTTTCATTTATCGCGCCAAAAACTTTTCCTTCATTTGCACTAATTTTAACTCAAGGTGTTCGTTCATTCGTTCGTTTAATGAACAACATAAACAATTTTTTTTTCATTTCATTTCGTTCTCATGCAAGTAATATCATTTTGATAAAGGAAAGAAAAAAACTTATATTTTAAATTGATATCAGGGGGAAATTGAGATTTGTCGTACGGTGAAAAGCTGAGAAGAACAAACAAGAAATTGAAGACAAAAAATGTTTTTTTTTCTCAGACCCGGCAGTAAAAGACTTCAATGAGAGGTTGCACAACATGCAAAAAATGGCATTAAAAACAGCAGCAACAGTAAGAGTGGAAATAAATAATTTATTTAGGGAGATGAATCAACATAAAAAAATGTTTCTTTAATGTAGCAAGATTTAATGTGCCATGCGCGCAAGATGTTCATCTTTTTTCTATCGTCACATTTTTATAGTTGAAGATCGTGAAGAAGAAACCCCGAAAATAAAGTTTATTCGAGGGCATTTAAATCTATTTTTATATCTTTTTGGCAGATTCTTCGCCAATTTCATGGCAATAAGAAGAAAACCAACAAAATTGATCTTCGTCTCTCCTTAGAGAAGAAGTAAGTGAATGAAAATATTTCAACAACAGCAGGAGAAACCCGTAACTTCTCAAAAGGAGGAAACAAAGGTGAGCAGATGCAGTTACCGTTGCTTTCTTGAATTCATTATATTAATGTTTTTCTTTCTTTCTTCGAAAATTATCAAATTCTGACGTAAGAAAAAAGACGACACATTTAGACCCTTTTTTATGAATATTAACTTTAATTCATCCATGGCACAAATTGCATGATATGCTTGAAGCCTAAATGAAGATCTTCCCGATGGTATCCTTTCCGAAATGTATTCAAAACGTAAATGTAGTCAAAAATATAATTAATATAAAAAGTCATTTGAAGGAAGTGAAGTCACCATGTAAAGAAGTTCTGCATCACTGCTCTCCATTTTGTTCACCGCTGGTTGTCCTCTTGAAGAAAGCAATGAATTTTTAAAATTCCTCTACACACAAGATGTCAACAATAATTTCGGTGGTCGGCACTCATTTGAATTCCACTTCGTGGTTCACTCTTAGAATGACTGCGGTAATGTCGTTCATAATTCTTTTCCTTTTCGTTCGCGGACTTCCTTCTATTGTTTCGATCTTGACGTTTAACAGCACGAAGGAACCTTTCTCTTTACACTTTTTCTGAAAGTTCTTTTTTTCTTAATATCAAGGAAGAAAACCTCCGAAACGAATGTAATTAATTGTAAGAATCTAACGAGATATCATCACAAACACAATCACTGAGAACAACGCAAAACTTTTCTTTTCATCCCCTTTTAAAATATTTTTGATTCTTTTCTTGATTCGTCTCAAATCTTTTTTGGTTTCCTTGAGGGGACACAATAATTCAAACGACAAACAATCTTCACGTTTAGCAAATGTGCAGCAATTGCCGTCTGCTGTGCGTTCGATAACAAAAGAAATCTTTTCCTTCCGAGTGAAGAAAAAAAATATAACAACAACTTGAGTGCGATTACAATCAACGGTAATCAAGGGAAAAACTAAATAAATAATAAGATGAGAGTGAGAGAGAAGAAAAGTTCGTTAAAATCGAATAAAATGGGCAAACGACATTTGCACACTCACTAACACCAGCCGGCTGAAACAACCTTCTTAGTGGAAAACTTCTTCTGAGTAAGAAGAAAAGAGAAAGAAGGTAAAAAAGTTCTCCCGTTTTAATCCTCAATTCGGAATTTAAAGATCCCTTTTCAATGTAGTTATATCTGCACGTATGGGAATTTAAAAGGGCTGGTGGAATGTCGAAGAAAAGACCGATGTGTGACAGATGTTTTTGCCATCATTGGAAGTGGCGTTGACGTTTTGCATTTTACAGGTAAAAATTACTTCACATATAATCAAATGGATGAAGAATAATTTCAAGAAACAAAAGGAAAAGTAATAAAATATTCTCGAAACTTTTATTATCTTTCATTTTTTCTGTCTTTGTCTTCAATGTCTGTAATTATGATTATTCAGGAAAAACTATTTTTTATGGTAATTGTTTTTGAAGTGAAATAAATTATTTACCTAAATCGAAAAGGATCTAATGGAATTTTTAACAGCTTGGGATTATTCATAAGTTTAGGAAAAATGTTTTAACACATTTAAATGACGTTGTTAAAAATCTTATTAGACATCACAATCCAATCAATTGAAAGCATCGAAGCAACAGCATAAATATCTACATATATTTATGTACATCAACCAATAATTCAAGTTATTAACAATTACACACTCAAATGTTCAAAAACAACTCCTTGATGGTTTTTTTCATTTCTCACCGCTTCCCTTCAATGTACTTATAAAAGAAATTCCCTTACACTCGTTTCATGCTATGTTGTATGTTATGCAAATTGCATTCGACACTGTTCACAAAATGACATTTCATCAATCGATTTACGCAGTCGATTTTGATGAAACAAGAAGGGTTCGTATGTGACATATTGAGTAGAAAACTGGATCGTAATTGAATTTAAGCACGAAATTTGTAGATTAAGACCCAAGTGCATCGCATCGCAGTGGTTATTGATGACAATTTTCTTCAACAGAACTAATTTAAAACGGCAATGACACAAATATTTAAATGAATAAATTGAAGGGTTGAAAACTTTTCTCGACGTTCGACGAATGTCCCCGAGCAAATAACAGCAATTACTTCAATTTAAATTGCCGTCCATCGTGAATGGACAACGCTTAACATTGTGTTCAACATTACATGATGACCATTACTACATTTATGATTCTAGTTCTTTTCCCTTCTACTAACTAATCATTCTAGCTGTTTATTGCGTGAATATGTAACAGGAAAACGTGTTTAGAAATACTTAGCGGTTGAACTTTCTAATGAAGTGAATGAAGGGCTAAATTTGGTTTGCACTTTTGACTTCTTCGAAAATTTCTCTTCGCGTTATTTTCTTGTTGGGAGATTTTTTATTATTTTTTATTTTCTATACAAGAAATTTGATTCCTTTTAGCATGCGATGAAATGAATAAAAATTGACGAACGCAAAAAAAAATGACAAATTAGATTGAATGAGTTTTAGTTGACATTAACAGGATGTGGAATGTCAGGTTGAAAGGAAGATGAGAATGAAAAATTACTTACACAGCTTGTGGAGATTTTACGCTTTCGACTTGACCTCACTGAAGACGATCCTGTTGATCTTGATAAACATCCCTTTTGTCTGCAAAAAAGAGAAAATATTTAAAGTTAAATAACATTTAAGCAACCGGCATCCAAAACATGAAAATTTCTTATGAAATTGTCATCAAAAATTCACATTTCTCTTTCTCATGCTCATTCTAACTTTAAATAAATATCCGCCAACACATTCAAACATTCATTTCAATCGACATTATACAACAAGTAAAAATTAAATTTTATTGTTTCCAGAAACGTGAAGTGAAGCATTTAAATAATGGTAAAATAATCGTGAATGTTTATGCCCATATGTAAAGCATACAAATAAAGATCGTGGCGTCCAGAAATGTTTAACTAAATATGTAGCGAAAACACTAAAACAAAAAATAAAAATAAATAATTTCGGGATGATCTCAAAGCAAAGAGATGAGAAAGAAAGAATGTAAAGAAGGGAATAGAATTATTGTAGATATTTAAATGTAAACACATCGACATATGATCGCCGCTACTTTCCTCAAACATAAAAACTCACACACATATTTCATATCGCGTCTGAGTTTTATATTTCTCTTTTTGGGAGTGCTGATGATGGTGAGCGCGCGCGAAAATCTGTTGAGTCGAGCTCGTATGTGTTCGAGAAGATGAATCGAATGGAGTGAAATGAAATGAAAAGTAATTCTTCGCGCCAGAATTTCGTTTTTATTCTTACGGGTGGTGATGGTCGTCGACATAATGGAAAAGCAAATAATGAAAGTAAATTGAAAACGATGACAAAAACAGCCGCCAGGTTGATTTTTTTCTACTTTTTCTACTTTTCCATTCATCGATAAGAAATTTTAATTCGTTCAAATGTCAGTTTTGATATCTCGCGATAGAGAAAAAAGAACAAATTCCATCACATGTCGTTGGTGTAAATGGAAAAGTATTCGAAATTCGAATGACACAATCGTTGTGTTTAATCAAACAATCAACAACCTCCCCTAACTCACTCGACTGAGTGTCAATTAAAAAGTTTTTTTTATATGTCATTAAATATTTGCCCACTAACAAAAAATATGAGAAAAACTTTTTTATTTCCTGAACCTCGCGCCACGTCAATATCGCACCCCATGAGCAGTGAACAAAGTCATAAAATATATATTTAGTTTCACAATAATCTACGCAATAGAAAAAGTATTGAAAACATAAAATAAAAAAAGTTTCAGAAAATTATTTGGGTTGTGACCGAATCACACAAGTTGCAGTTGACGTTGTGTGATGGAATGCATTGGAAAGGGTGTTTGCACCGGGACCAACCTCTATAATATTGTCCAACAATTTCCGACATCAATTAAAGTATTTCCTTCATTTTCATCAACAAGCTACTCATACTATTTAATCAACAGGCGCGATCACAACTTCCTCTAGAAATAAGAAACTTTTGCTATTCTTCTACATATTCGCATGTATTGTTGCGTTACATACTCTAGCAGAATTACATGGACCATTCATATATTTGTTTATTACTTAAGATTCAAGAAGAGAGAAGCAAGATCAATGTTGAATGATAACAAGAAGAAGAAAATAATAAAAAAAGTTCTCTTCAATTCATTTTGGACACAAAATGGCGCTTAAATTTGTTGGTAATTTCAAGAGGGAAAAGAAAAACTTTTTCATGCATCACAGGGTACCGTTCTTAGGATTGAAGGACGTCCAGCTGATGCTTCTTTCTTCCCTTTACTGGATTTCTAACCTTTATGATCTTTTGAAGCGTCAGGAAAAACTTGAAATACGAGAGTTTAGTTTGGTGAAGAAATAATGTTAAAAATACATTAATTAAGAGTTATACATGGTCAGTCCCTGTTTTCACAATTAAAATTGATTTTAAATTAAAGTCAATGAGGGAAAAATAATTCTCAAGCATCTTCATTTTCATATCAAATGTTGTGCGATGTTTAGACGTGTAGGGTGGGAAAGAAAGATCTTCTTAAACTTCTTAGAATCAAGGATGATCTCTCATAAAAGTTAACAAACAATGAAATGATGGAAAACAGTTATGAGAGATAGATGCGTATATGCGATGGGGCAGGTAAAAAACTTTCCCATGTGAATCTTTCAGGGAGTGAAATCAAAGGACTCGCTTCTTATTCTTCCTTTTTTCGCCATACAATGACGATGCAGGATGAAAAACGACACATTGGATAGAAAGAAAGAAAGAATCTGAACATCAAATAGAAAAAATCTCATTTTTCTAGATATTTATGTTTATTCTTAGTTCTTAGTGAATTGGGACCGGACGTGAATAAAAATCGAATGAAGTCTGAAAAATGCAATTTTTCGTCTTTCTCGGGCATCGAAATCTTTGAAATTTATCGAATGTTTGGAAGACGGAAAGAAGGAAACCAAACTTCACCCTCTTGTGTTGTTATTAAGTTCTTCTTTTTTTGGACTTTAAATATTAATTTATGAGCATTTACTTTCCGTTCGAGAAGCTACAAGTTATTATTGTTTCATCACGACGTTATTTTACCAATTTCAGAGACTCACCGGGTCGTCATAGTTGAACATTTAAGAAACATACAAACTTGACTGCAGACCCTGTCGATGCACAAGTTGTTTATGTATTTAAAGCATGTGTTGCAATCCTACCAGCAACATGTTAAATTGCATTCAAAATTCGTTTTGTTTCTTTTTCTGTCTTCCATCCTTAACACAAGACATGAAATGAAGAAGAAATTAAAGAACTTCGTTTGGCAAATGAAATCTGGAAACCATTTTTAAATGGTCCAAAGATGTATTTTCTCGTTCACATATCCTTCTTAACGATCTTTTCGGTCATAGACCATTCATTTGCCATTTAAACCGATTTGAATCTTACAATCGGCATCAACTGAAGAAAAAGCATCTAAGGGATGTTGGAATGTGCAGGCAAAAAATTAACTTCGCCCCTTCCAAGAAGAAGCATAAATCAAATGGAAAAAAGAAGAAAGATCCCTGAGACTTTAGTCTATTGTTTGGTTGCAGAAAGGACTGTGATGGAACAATTTCTTTTCATTAAGAATTGCAATTAAGGGATGTGAGATTGGAAATCATTCATTTGGATCGAATTCGATAAGGCCCGCCCGATGATGTAACGATTTCTGAATCTAATCTTAAGAATGATTTTTTGAGCTTTGCTCAATACACGCACGAATACAAATCTTTAATCGATTCAAATCGCTATAATGCTTTAATGATCACACGTATCGATGACGGTTCTTCAGTTTTCTTTTTACACCCAAGAATTGACAGAAAGGAAAAAAAAACTGCTTGCCACATTAAAATTTCTTAAAGTTTTCTTCTTTTCGGGGACAATCACACTGATCGCTCATCATCAATGACGTACCACATTGTACTTACTTTTCTAAATCCATTATCGGCTTGAATGCCGGTCTTGGGTCAGTGAAAGACGACTCTCAATTTGGAATATGATGTTTTGCGTGCTGAAACGGGTTCACGTTTTTAATTAACACTTTCACCAGATTCAAGAACCCTCTTTGCGCTGTTCAATTTCTGATCCGATTGAGTATTTAATTCACTGTGAAATTCCACTGAATCAAATGATAAAAGCAAATTCTTGTTCCTTAATTACCCCCTAAAACGAGGCGACTTTTTTTTTGTTGTTGCTGTGAAATTTTTTTCTTCTTTCTTCGCGATTTAAATGGCTGCCTTCTACGAAATTATTTTTTCTGTGCAGTCAAACTTTCGAAAGAGAATTGAATGATATATACAAAAGACACCGACCTAATTCAACTTGCAAATAAAAGCCTAAATTATCGGCAATAACATGCACTGAATTTCATGAATTTACTTGAAATGTGACTTATTTAATTCACTCAGAAAAACTTTTCAATTTTCTGCGAATGTGGCCGGAGAGTAAAAAAATTGACAATGTCGACGAAAAAAATGTGGAGAATAGGAAGAGAAATTGGCGGGAAGCTCCCAAACTTATTATTATCATGAATACACTTGAAAGTATCGTCCTTGATAGAGCAATTTCCAAGGATTATTTTGATATAAAAATTTTGAGAATCGCAGCGATCCTTGCCGGTTAAAAAGGACTTTAAGCTTTAAGCGCCAAATGATGTTTTGATATTTTTGGAGCGCAATTTTGACTTGGCGGCATCTTAATTTTTCTGAATGAAACACTATGAAAGTATATATTTTTCATGAAGTTAGAATAGATCACTTTCAGATTATGCAATTATATTAATGGTATCCTTAGAAACACGCAGGATATATCAGAAATTACAACAGAACCTTTAATTTTTCTTTTTTTCAATATTTCTGCATATTCTGTCAAACAATGAAGTTAAATAACTTTGAATCTTATCGAACAATCACTTTCGCACTTTAATTTATGGCTTTTCATTCAATCGGACCAGAAATTGGAGCAAAATTTACATAAACTTTAAACCCATATTTTAATGGTTATTTTCATTAGTATTTAATGTTTTCACTAATTTCATTGAAATTATTCACTCGATTATACCTTTTTTGTGTAATAAAGATGATAGATTACATGCACAAAATTTTAAACAACATTTGATCTTAACTGCTTATACTGGAATGACATGAATGAAAGAAATGTTTGTAATGGAATCAGGAAAATTTCTTCGCTCAACACCGAACACTCTGCTAAATACGGAAGGTAAACATTCGAAAATTCGTAACTTAGAGAGGTGACATTTTTAGGGATGAAATTGTATGGCTATATTGGGTTCGAAGGCTGTTCAAACTGTTTTGACTATTTTGTGTGTATCAATCTCAATCATTAATCATGATCACTATTCTGTATATATTAAAAATGAAATTTTTGTTTCAATTAAATATTGGAAGCGACGCTTTACACGCGGGAAAACTTTAAAAAGTTTTATAGCATCTATGAAAATCACCAAATAAAATCACCACAGAGAATATGAAGCATGACGATTGTGAATTATTGTTGTTTAATTGTTAATTTTGTTTTCTTGGAATATAGATAATAAATAGGCAATAGTTACATAAAACAAAAGACATTATTAAAGATATTATTCAATGTTCTCTAATCCTTTTGTAAAAACTATTTGAAGCATTTTATCAATGAAAGTTTAAGGAATATTCCAATTGTATGACTTATGTATTGCTTAGATTTATGAAGAAAACGAATAGTTATACTTCATCCCAAAAGATATTGACAACTATTCAATTCTTAATAAATGAACATATTTGACTACGCCGGAAAATTCATATGTTTTATAGCAACAAAAAAAAATGAAACAGAACGAACTTCTGTCTCGTTCATTTTATTTCTCTCATATTTTCAATCTACACAAAATTTACTTCGAAATTATTTAAATAGGTGAATCTTTGAAACCACGAGCAGCATAATCAGATGGTTTCGATCTATCGCTCAATTTTGGATATCCTTCATCACCTGGAAGGCAAGCTGTTCTAGAACTAATAACTCGCCAGCCTCTCTTTCTGGTCCAATCCTAAAACATCAAATGCAAAATATTTAGTGGTAGAAGAATTTCGATTTTTTTTGTGTTTACTCACATTTTGATGATATTTGAAATAATAATAACCAGCATAAATTCCAAATGTAAACATGACGAACTTTCCAGTCCAGAATCGAACGTGTTTTGCGGCATGTTCTCCCTGAAGAGAATAATTAAATATTGTTTTGTTACATCATCAAAACATAACAAACAAAATAAGAACTTACAATCATTGGTCTAATATTGTTTTCAACAGTTACTAATGGCCATTGATAAAAGCGACGAATTGGATTTGTAATTTCTTTCCAATATTCAGGAACATAACGAGGTTCGCTTTCTGATAGAATTTGATCTTTAAGATATTGTTTTCTCCATGCACGTTCCTGATCGGTCATTCCACGCAATCTCTCGCGTTCCCGGACTAAACGTCCTCCTATTGGGAATGCTTTCACTCCTCCTGTTGGTGATTGAGCCATTATGATGAAGAAAAATACTCAACAGAAGCAATTAAATTATTTTTTAATTTTTTTCTTCTAATGGAGACGATAATATTTTCACTTAAAAAGTTGAGCAAATTTGCTTCAGTTTTCCCATGAAAGACGATTTTATAGCAAGTTTAAATATTTGATATCAGTTAAAAATTTTAAAATTCGTCTGTAAAGTTAAGTGTAAAAAATGATACTCGCATTCACTCAACTAGACCCTTATAAAACAATTAGATATATACTATGTGTTATTATATTTCTTCGCATTTAAATTCACCTTTATTAAGAACATGATATCGGTCTCAATTTAGTGAAATGTTTTAATCTATGTGATGTGATCCTTTGTCTAATGGAATCGAGTTTGCTTCCGCCTTACTTAGACATAGACTTCACTAATCCTGTCACTTTGATGTACAAACAATTGTTGGTAACTTTTTTTAAAAAACCAATTGACATACAAAATAAAAATTCCTTTAAGGTTTTAAAATTGAATTTAAGGTTTCAGCAAAATTGGAAAAAAACTAATACCTACCAACTTTCCGATGGAAATTCTTAAAAAATCTTCAATGTGGGATAAATTGAACTTGACAGTCTTATTCTTTTTCTCATGTATCGAACATTTTAAGCAAAACCTGCTCGAGACGGAAAAGAAGAAAAGTTTTGTTGAAGTTGAAAGTTTGTGAGGAAGTTGTGGAAACAATTTTGCTATCAATATTTTCTTGGTAAAAATTCAATTTCGGATATCTGTGAATGAGAGAGACGTCGTAATATATTTTAATCGCATTGGAAAATGGAATTATAAAGATGTAAAAACATGTAGGCGGAAAAAGAGATTAAAGTCAAATTGAATGTCATTATCTTTGAAATTTCTTCCTGGTTTTGGCTTTTTTTCTTTTTTCTTCCCCTTCAATTCAAATTCTAAGTGAGCTCTCAACGTCATCATATTTCAGCAACCAATTTATATAATTTCTCTTTTTTGTGTCTCGTTATTGTTGAGTCGCATCGCGTACAGGCTGTAGTCGACAATCCCAAGCTCTTTTAAATTTTTCTTTTTTTTTCAATTGCTTGATATCTTTTCCGCCTTTTTCGGGTCTCATTTCTTCGGCATGTCTGCATCATTAGCTACCAAATTCTCCTTTAGACATTTTCGTGTGACAAATTTGCTCGCATTTTCTCGGATCGAATATGCTTAATGCGATTCAGAATACTTCCGTCACGGCTTTGCATGGAACGAAGCATTTAAATTTATGGTTGAGCTCCTGACACATGTTAAATCAATTAAGCAGACAAATGTTTAACAACAGTAAGGAAATTTTGTTTACACGATTTCCAATGTTTAACAAATTTTTCATTTATTAAAATAAATATGCAATAGATAATAACTTGTTAAAAAATAATGTAAATTTCAAAAAGAATATAAACTTTTCTAAAAATGTCCTTGTACATGAACTTCATACATAAGTAGATACTTGAATATACGAGCATACGAAAGTCTTTAAATGTTCCAAATTTTGTGTAAAATCTATCAGATATATGATTTCGCCTCAAGCTCTTTACACAAAATGCTAAGATGAAAAATCAAATTAACTATTAAAGCAACAATCACATTGACATTCACTGTCAAAGCTGAAAGTTTCTTAAGAAAAGTCAGAAATTAAATTTAATTTGCTTAACTTCTTCCTACATCCGCCATTCTCATCGAGATTCAATTATCAAGGCATTAAGCAGCTATTATCTTGATATCGGGAAATGAAGATTAACTGTAGAATTTATGCATAAACATTTATCTAGACAAACTTTTCCTTTTCACGTTATTACACTTGGCATAAGTTTCCTAGAAATTTGGAAGCATCATTTGATATTAAACCTAATTGTGAATTTTCCAATTTTAGTAACGCCTCGAAGTGTGCTTTCATAACGCATTTTCAAAACTTTTTCTTTCTGGATTAACTTATATTTAGCTTAGAAGTCTCAAGCAAAGCAACCGCGTGGAATCAGATTTCAAAGAAAAGGAAGCGACATTCACGAATGTGACATAAAGCATAAACAATTCTAATTTATTCATTAAATGAAAGACGCTCCAAAGCAACGAGTCATTAACTGTATGTTTAATCTAATTAATTCCCCGTTCGAGTCGCTGTATTAATGCACTTCAGAGGAATTCTTATTGCTTTTTTTATTGCTTAATTTCCCTCTACGCTAGCATGTGGGGGGAAAATCTCTTTCTCCGAAAAGAAAATTACGTGAAACATTACAAGTTTGTTGAGTTCTCTAATTACGAGTCTTTTTGTATGTTTACGTAAGGATTTTTGTTTTCATGCTTTTCAATTATCTCTTTTTTTCTTATATACATATTCCTTAGATGTTCTTTTTCCTTGATTTTCAAACTCGTAGTAGGATACAAAATGGAGATATGAAAAAGGAAATCGGAGAAGTTTGCATGTGTTGATCTTTAAAATTCATTGCTTCTCTCTGTTTTAAAATCCACATTTTTACTATGTTACAGGTACATAAACAAGTATTTGAAGCTGACAAGGCAAACATCGAAAGCAACTTTTCAAAACATTACATTGAGTAATTGATTTTAAATTATTTGTTTAAAGTTTTCTGATTGTTGTTTGTTTTAAATTTTCCTGGAAAACACTGAAAACGAATATGCAAAATCTCACCAAGAAAAATAAAAAATCAAGTCAATATTTACCTTGAATAAAAAATATTTGTTTAAAACCAGATAAAAATATTATATCTAGATATAACATTTATAAGTACACAAGAAGATGTATGGTAAATGTTATTGTCGGTTTGAAAAGCATAATAATCAACGTTTGCAAATAAAACGAAACAAAGAAGGAAAATACCTTTTTCCTCATCCAGAAAACCTTTTCCAAAACAATTATAATTATGCTGAGTACAATTAAAAAGAACACATAATTTGTGGAAGCGAAAACAACACATAAAACTTTTTAGGCCTTGAGCCTAGAACAACCCAAAAATTACTTAATTCATTACAAAGGGAAACTTCACAGAATTTCTACATTTTTTTTTGTTTAGTTTCTGCTTTCGGAAATTTTACAGCAAGTCACCGTCACCAAATGAAGAACAACTTTTAATTTTGAATGCAGTAAATTTTCAATATAAATAATCGTTTAACAAAAAAAATTCAAACAACTTCATAAAGCTTAAATAAAAAACAAAAACAAAATAAAAACTTTCGAATCACTAAATTGAGACAACAAAGAAAAAAACATTGCGAAGCCAAAATTTAATATTTAACTTTTTCCTGAAATGTTTCATTGCAAATAAAAACAATTGAGACCTAAATTTTTGAAGAAAAGCAATTGAAGGAATCCACAGCATTTAGCTGCTTATTATGCGACAATATAAAGGAAATGTAAATTGTCGTGGAGACGTTTTGTATGAGTAAAATTTTCTTTCTATCTAGATACTTTCCAAGTTATTTTCTCTGGAAAAAGTATCAAGAGTAAGATAAACATCACAACTCTCTCTCGTTTAGTTGATTTTCTTTTTATACTTTTAGGAAACGAGTTTCATCTCGTCACACTTGGTTTAATCAGGTTGTAACAGTAAATTTGACAGTAAAACATCCACAATAAGTATTTGAGCTTACAATTTGTTTCGTCATCACATCAGCTATGTACATGTGGAAAAGGACAAGTGAAGAAATTCATGATGATGAAACGATGATGGAAAAGCTTTTTGTGTATATATCGACTGTAACATGATTTTAACTTTTTTTATGATTAAATGGTTCATATGCATTAATCTTTACAAATTCTACGTATTTTGGTAACAGTAGATACTTACTTAAATATAATTTATGGGATATAAATATTAACATTAAGTGCTTTAACGATTCTTTTTAATTAAAATATTTGCATAAAACTTAACTCGTATCAAAATGTAAAATCGCATAGAGTTGGAGTTGAAGATAATAAAATTATTTTATTTTCAATTATCTACGTAGTTCAGCACAACAGTTGTCGTGGAATGTTTGCATATATTTAATTATTCTTGACTTTATTAAAATGTTGACGTAATCAAATTAAAGAATTATTCAGCAAGGTATTTAAAAGAGTTGCAAACAAAAGAACTTTAAAATATCTTGAAAGTAATAGATAACTTGAGTATCTTTAAGGCCCTTTCTCGTATTTATATTTTCCTTCAAATCATTAAGTAATTAATTTAATTACAAAATTACCTAGGAGTCTATAATAATTGCTGTGATAAATAATTCTTAGGATTGCTAAACATAAAATTAAACTTCAGCATCAAATTGACTCGTCTCTCGAACTAAATTTGATGATGAAAATACCTAGTAATGAAGCTTATTAATTTATGTATCATTGAATAGAGTTTTACTCAAAGTTTAAAGCAAACTTCAACCTCAAATCAGGCGAATAGAGTTTAGGACATTAAAGAGATATTCGATAGTTAGAGATAATTCGCACTCAATTAGAAATTAATTTAAATAAATATTCTCTGCTAATGGAAAATTTTGATTTCATCATTACAATCAAATGAACATCACGGGAATTTCAGATCCCAAGTTGAATTCAATAAAGAATCCTGTTTTCCGTATGCTTTCCAAAAACCTGATTTTCATGATTAATGGGCTTGAAAAATATATTTGATTGAAGTCGTTCCCGCCTCGTAGAATTTCATTTGTTTCGTAAAAAAATGTTCACGCCAGCAACAATTCAATTAATTCACTGTAAGTGGGTCCTCGATGAGAAATTGTTTTAAAGTATTACAGATATTTTGGGTATGAAATGTGAAGGGGATGAGAAGGTGAAGTTTTCCATCACACTTTGCTTTTGTTTTGCTTGTTTCAATGGGACTCAGCTACAATAACAGATCTTGAAATAAAAAAGAGAACAATTAGAAGAAATTCCACATTTAATTAATTGTTTCAACATAGAAATGAAATTGAAAATTTTCTCTTTGTTCTAGTTGAAGGGCAAAGTGATCGAATGAAGTGTAAGCATCAAACTTTCCATCAATGTCATGACATAAAAAGAATAAATTTTTATCAAATTACATATGTTCATCAATTTAACATTAATTTCATCATCTGAATCATTCACAAGATTTTTAAATCTGATTCGAAAGTTCCACAAAATTTCCTTTCCATAAAAACTCAAAAAGAAAGAAAAAGTAAATCTATAGGACGGTCAAAAGGATAAACTGAAATAAAAATGATAACAATAATGTGAATCAGCTGCTCGTTTGGAAAGTTAGGCTTAAAAAGGAAAATAAAAGATTGAAAAGTTTTGCTACTTACATGAACCTTAGGCTTTATAAATATGCAAACCTTACTTGTTTGGTATATTACGTAAAGGATTCGGAAAATAACTTCCATACATATTTAAGCTGAGTTATGAATTATTTTCTCCACCCAATTCTCATGAATGGATCATGAACAAATCATAAACTTTATCACACAGCATACTTTCATTTCGAAAAAGAAACTTGAATTTGTATCCTTTTTTTACCAATAAAAAAGAAAGAGAGGATTAAAGCAATAGCGGTGGAGTTGGTTTAACCTCATCCCTTCTTAGGTGAAGATTTTGTGGAAGGAACTTTAGAGAGGGAGAGAACGGATTATGGTAAACGCACATGTGTTCATTTGACGGTAATGAAGAAATTGGATCAGGAGCTTTTGATCCCTTTTTCATTCTTCAGAACGATTTTCATATCAGAAATCCAACATTCGAGTAAAATTATTACACGCAACGTGTTTCTGTGTGGTATCTGACGTTTTATGAATTTTCAGATTATCATAAAGCATGCAAAGTCAAATTAATGGCATCAAGTGGAATGTTTTCGGGTCAAACCAGAATATTGAGGTGAACGTCAGAGTGAAGAGGGTCAAAAGTGAAATCGTCCTGAATGATAAGATTGGCTGACCGACAGAGAAGTCTCAAGTCACACGCAGTTACGATGAGCTTCAATTCCAATGACAGGAAACTTTGTGATGTCATGACACGCTGCTCGTGTTAATTCTTACTTAATTAATCATTCATAATCTTTCTCAGCATATTAAAAATTCTAGTTTCCATCTTTCTGTTTTCAAACAAACAAAAAGTTATTTCACTGACAGTAAAAAGCGCACAGATGAAAACGACAAAAGAAGATTAATTTCAGGGTCATTATTTGCATTTCCATTTCTCATGCTTTGTGGTTGCACATAATTTTTCTTTCTGTTTTCAGCTTTTACTTCCCCTCTCTTGTCCACACTAAGTAAAAGGATTTATTCAAGCTTTTTCTTTTTGTGGAAAATTTGCACATTTCTTTCAAATCATTAACTAGCATGTGTGCCCTTTTTAAGGAAAATGAAAAAACTGCGAATTTATCAAATAGAAGGACTTAAAAAATTTATTAACAGGTTAATTGTTTCATGAACTTACATACATTTTCACACATGTTCCTGACAAACTCATTATATAATATCATTAAATTGTTATAAATATTTCGTACAAATCTGCAAATTCACTCACCACACCAGGAAAGCCGTTTTATCTACATACACAGGAAAAGGATTTGGTTGGAAGCTAAATAAAGTATATGATTCAACTAGAAAAGATTTATATATTCCAAAAGCAAACAACGGAACCATAAGATTTATGATGATTCTCTGCATTGTTTTGCTTTATTTTCATTTTGTTTGCTCAAAGCTTGATGTCTGAAGATTGAAGACCGAAGACCAAGCGCCCATATTAAACCTACTGCAAACACAAGGCTTCTTCTTCCGCTAACTGATCACTAAGATTTATTCCAGTCATTTCATTTTGAGAACCTTTAATATGGTTTTTGAATGCAGAATTATTCAAGAACATTTTCATATCTGACATTTCATTTCTTGGTGGAAAATCGTTTTTCCTTCTTTGAAAAGAAACGATGACGTATTTTGATAATAACACTTCAGAAACTTCATCCGAATAAGAGTAATTGCATATATTTTCATTAATAAGCAACATTTTTTGACACGATAAGGAAATAGAAATTTTCTGATGCAAATGACGTTATGATTAAACTTATACATGCTTGTATCATGCAGAGCGTGGTGAGTGAAATGTTTTTGAATTTAATTTATGATTTACGATGAAGAAAACTGTTAGAATAATTACCAATCCAATGCCCAACACTGTTTTCATACTTATAATGTAAGCATAAACATAAACATGTTTTTCGATAAAATTCAAAGTTGAAAACATTCTCATCTCATGATGGCGTTATCGTAGATCACAAAATTTTCCCCAAGATATTATGTCCAAAACATGATGGAAGGTCCAAGTCTAAGCATATTCTTATTTATTCGTTCACACACGAACACCTAGTTTGTATTCAAAACATCCTTTAGCTTTTAGTGTTGTACCAAGAAGCCGCTTGAAGCGAAGGTTTTTATACTACGTGAGATTTTTGCGCTTTCTACCTTTTCCAATTTATATTCCAACGTTGTGAGTGACACTAGAGACAAAAAGTTCAAATTCTACGTGCTTTACACCTTCAAAGCTCTCTAATGTTAAAGTATCATCTGGCCAATTTGATATCAGATTTTGAAGGCATGCGTAATTGTTATGAGATACACAAGTACACACATATTTACAACTTTAAGGTCGGAATGAAAAATGTGCGGTTTTAAGATAATAAGTTTTTGCTGTTGGGATCTTGTTGTTTATTGATGTCAACGTTGAGAAGTTTCTTGATTATATAAAGAGCTTAACACAATTAGATTGAGGATTAAGTTACGTTTGGGAAATATAAAACGTATGATGCTAACTCAAGGTAAGTAAGTAAATTCTTCAAGAAATTGATCGTAACAAATTCAATGACGATAAACATAGAAAGAAAGAAAAGAAATTCTATTTGAACTTTAAATTTATTTATTTGAAAAGCATCTTTCTGAATCTTGTTTAAAGCGATTATTTCAAACTCTGTAAATTAAACGGAATTTCCCACAAAAGTCCCCGCTAAAGCTCTTCACGCTTATTGTATCTTGATTGTGGTAAAAAAACGAAAATAGACTGAAAAAGGAAAGTCAATCCGAATCTTATGGTCACGTTCTTTCGATTATTGAGATCAATGATAGGTCTTTCAACAATAAATATCCATTCTTTCTCTTGTTTGTCTTTGGAGTGTAAAGCAAAACAGTGGTTCAAGGATTAGGAGGCAATCTTCCTTTTGTAACAGTTTCTTTTACAATCCATTATTATTTATTGTTTAGAAAATAAAAGCTTTAATAAGAATAGAGAGTCTGATTATCAGTCCACTCACGGATTTGTCTTTGCACGTCTTTTTTTATCTTTTTCTTTTTCGTTTCGTAAAGCATTAAACAATTGTGTAGACGGATAGAAATGGACAAATTTCAACAATCGCTGACAATAATCGACGATGAGATGCTTCTTTATTTATTTCGGCTCATCATATCCATTCCTTTCCTGTTTTTCTACCATCCATTATGTCGCAATCCATAAAAAAATGCTTCTAGAATTCCACAAAGTAAACGTTGTTGATAATCGTAACTCACGTTCGTTGAGCTTTCTTTCCTTCTTACTTTCTCCATTGTACTGGGTGTGAAAAACGAACAGTTTTTTTTCCTCTTTCTTCTCAGAATGGGAGGAAATAGAAGAAGAAAGAAAAAAAAACGTATAAATTATTTATGACATCAAATATAAGCAAATCATCATCAATCAAAATACATTTTCCAAATATGAAAACGTTAAACATGAAGGTTTAATGGGCTTCCGGTTCTCGGAGAAATAGAATTTCCAATGCCAAAGTAATACGAACGTGTAGAGTGTGTGCATGTTGTGATTTTTCTTCTCTCTTTTTACTGCGGAACCGTCAAGTGGGCAGCACTCGTTTACTTTTGTACAACACAGGGAAAGAACCTTTTTGATGAACTCACCGACGAGAACCTTTTCCCTCAAATGTATTTGATATGAATTATATAATAGAAATCTGAAAAGTCAATTTCAATGTGGGTGACTTTATTACTGATTTTCTTTTTTATAATAAATAGAAATTAGGAAAATGCATTAACAAAATAAAAAGAAAAACTCACAAAATTATTTTTTTAAAAACATTTTCCATCAGAATTTATTTTCAATTACAAAATATTCATTAACACTCACATTAAAAATGAATCGAAACGTGAAGCTATTTACAATTTTCTTTACATAAAATTTATTTATTTTATTTTTCTTTAAATATCTAGATCAGTAAACCAGTGAAGGAGTCAGTTGACCTAAAACACGGAAAGGAAATCTTTTCATCATTGACACCCGTCACAGATTGTCCATTCATTCACTTAAAATGAAACTTAAGAAAAGAAAAAAACTTCCATCGACCGTTGGCTTAAATGTAATCAGTTCTGTTGAAAATTTAATTTACGCTACGCACGTGCTGCCTTCAACTTTTTTTCCTTTTTATTTCTTTATTCCTTTTCTTCAAAAGTTCATTCAATACGATTAAACACAACTTTCGGGTACTTTACCGGACATAAGACGTTCTTTTATCTCTTCGTTTATTGATTTGGCCGCTTGCTTCGATAGTATTGTGGTGCTCATGTGGAAAGCCTGTCATGAAAGGTAATTTTTGTCATTACTTTTATTCTATTTCTTAACTTTTCAACAGCAAACTTCATTAAAGCTTTTTCTCTCGCTGTTAAACAATGAAAATCTTTTAACCCAAACTTCTTCTTCCGAAGCATTAAAAAAGTTTTCTTTTTCTTCTTTCAAAAAATAAAAAAGGAAAAGCCTCACAAAGGGTTTTCTACTCTACATAGTTCGCTGATCTCTAACATAAATAAATTGGAGTGAGCAAAAAAAGAAAAGGAAAAGCTTGAAGTCAAAAGTTTCCAGAGAAACATTTCCCAAGCTTATTCTCCTCGTTTCCCTATACACTGAATCAAAGTTGAAGGAAAATATATTGCTATTCGAAAAGAAAATGTCATCTCAAGTTCAGTCCGAAGAAAAACATACACAAATAGACGATAGTCTTGAAATCCACAAACAAATTCCCAAAGGGCAAGAAATATTTACTCGTCGAGTGAAATAAACAATAAAAGAATATTTTCAAGCTTATAAAACCAATCCTTGGCATTATACTTAGGTGTGGGTGTACATATAGCAGACAAATGACTATATTTAAACAATTTATAAAAGAAGAAGAACAAGAAAGGTTTCATTTTAAATTTTTAGAAATATTTAAATGTTGAGTAGCAGCAAAAAACTCGCAAAATTTAATGAAATTTCAACATAAAAACATATTTTGATTCGCAATGCATGAAATAAGAATCATAGATTTATTCTTACATCATTATGTTGATATGATTTATAGCTGATAGCTTCCGGTGCGGTTGATATCGACGAGCCTGTAATTAATGTGAACAAAATGAAACATTAATTTGTTGTTTCCACATAGGGAGATAGATAATTCTATTGAATTATGTATGATTACCATACTGATGATATGAGGGAATTACATCCGGATCTCTGTCATCATCTTGTGCCAGCTTGTTGCTCTTAAAACTAGTTGTTGGTGACACCCACGATGTTGTTATATCTTGTCCACCATTCACTCCATTTTTCTAAGTTTGTAGATGGTAGAAGGATGAAAATAATTACTTTTAATTGACTTTCATCTTGAGTCAGCTTAGATTCCCTCAACTCGAAAGATGATGGCAAAAAAAAGAGAATTCTTTAGCAAACTGACCTTCGCAAGACCGCCCCCATTATAGCTGCTAATTATTAGCAAATTATTCGAGTGATTCGTTAATTTTGTCGTTCCATTCTGGTCGTTGTGTAACGTTGTCGTTGTCGTTGTCATGGCTGGACTTTTTGAAGTCTTCTCCGCCCAACAAATGGACATCATTTTAAAAGCAATGAATATGAACACGATAAGAATGGTTATAACTATTCCAATGAAATATGGCGTTGAGTCTGGAGCACTTGTAATGTTAAAGATTTCTTATTGAAGGAGAGAAGAAAGTTTAATAATTACACGTCGCTTTTAATAATAACTTGATGGTGAATGTACCTCTATCTAGTTTCGAAGTAGCACCAAGTACTAAATCACGTATGATGACACCCATGCTTGTTCCCTTCTGATTAAGAGCATAAACAACAATTAACACAGAGTCATTTTCATCAATTAGTCGAGCGTTAATTAATTCTAGCATGTCTAGCATGAAATACGGCTCATCAACGTTGGTGAGGTTGAATCTGGGAAAAAAGAAAACAAAAATTCATTTAAAAATTAAGTAAATTTTCCTAAAACATTTAAAATTAATTACTTAATTGCTTTAGTTTTTCTTGATATCATTTCAAGTTGGAAGATCTGCGGGAGATTTCCATCATAACCCGATGTACATTGCACTTCAGCCATTTCTTTCGAGTGATTGCTAACGCTGCAGTTGGTGACGGGTGATGGGTTGGCTGTAAGGCGAAGTAAGAGAAAAAAGAGAAACAACAAAAATGATTGTTTGAGAATCCAACAGCGTCGTAATCATATACTTTTACTAGAATTACCTGCCAGAACCACTTGAAATAAGCAACTAACAGATTGTTCACCGATTTCATTTATAGCCCAGCAGGAGAGCGTACCAAAGTCCTTTTTGTATAAACGAAATAAAAATGATATGATATGAAATGTAGGTAAGCAGAATGTCGGTTGTCAGTCAGAACAACTCTCAAGTTACCTGCTCTGTAACGGGAGTGTAATGAAGAACACTTCTTGTTCCATTTTTGCTGTAACGTTCAGAGTCAAGATAAAGCACTTCGCCAGAATTGTTGAACTTCCATCGGAATTTTCTGTTAGGGGGTAAAAAACGATTGCTTTTAGTGTCGTTCTGTTTTATTTTTCGCAAGGGATTCGCTTGTTTGAATATTAAGTAGCATGAGTTGATTTCAAATTAAATCAAACATTTTTCGAGCGATTATGATAAAAACTTTTAATTTAGCATTTATCTAGTAAATTATGTGACAAAACTAATTCATAAATACTTACTTTGCCGGAGGATCAGCATTGATGTTGCAAATGATTTCAACGTTTTCATCTTTTGAAGCTCCGATAAGCACAACCTTATCAGTTGCACAGATAGGCGCATCTATTTATATTTATAACCAACGATATGGTAAGGAAAATATGTATAAATATTTATGTTTATTCAAATCATCAAAAGTCAACATAAAAGTGTTGTAATTTATGTTTTTTCCTCCTTGGAAACGAGAAATGTAATTGATATTTACACAAGAGAAATGCTTCAAAAATAAGAATTTGAAACATAAATTTGGAAGTTACTCAAAATGGCTTCATGATATTTATTTAAATCCTTGAATAAGGAAATTCATAAGTAAGAAAGTTGTGCTTGCTTTTGAAAGTAATCATTCGAAGGTTGAGGATTTTAATTAAAAACATTTTTATGAAAGATAAAGAATCTTAAAGATGCTTACATTTGACCCTCAATGGAAGTTGATTACTGATGGTTTCACCTTCGCTATTCAAAGCACTACAGGCGTAATTTCCACTCGAATTACGCGTGACCTGTTGTAACACTAAGGTTTGATTAGATCTAATTATTCTAGCAGATGCATTGTGTGCTAAATGAATGCCCTGGAAAAGAAGGAAAAGATTAATAATTTTAACGAGAGGAAAATTTTGTATCGAAACTTTTACATCTGCTGGTTAACGGTCCTTTTAAGTATAAATAGCGAGTTGAGATTGAACTAGGGAGTGATGAAAAGGATGCTTTCATAAGAATTTTTAGGGGAAGTTAAGGTTTGGGTTGGTCCTTATTTCATTTCACTTGCTTTAATAATTTGGGGACATTACAAAAGTTATGTTTTTCTAAGCATCAAGCACTTAATTGAATTTTCACTCGACTTTATGTTTATTTTGAATATTGTTGTGGTTGAAATTTTCACCATAGTTTTAATAAATTTCTTTGAATGAATATGAAACAATGTTGTTCTGTGGCGAAACATTGAAATGAAATTTAAAATAAGTAAGGAAAAACTCTTTATTTCCATCTCAATTCAATCTCCATTCTTCTTCTTCTTTCCTTTTCCTTCTCAAAAAAGGTTTTACAACTCAATTAAATTGAATTACTCAATTCGGCATTCATTTTTCATCGCCCCCATAAAATATTCACATTTCCTTGTAAATTTCTTTTCTTTTTTTCTGTTTTCATCATCTTTGGTTATAAAAATGAAAAGTAAAAACTTTTATTCATTAAAAACCGGGTCTAAAGATCTTAAGGATTGAAATTTGAGTGGACTGAAAACACGATAATGGTTTTGAGATTTCTTTTGTTAGAAGTAGATAGAAATTGAACAAACCTTGCAGATGTTATTTCGCATGATATTTAGCAAATTGTTAAGTACTCACATTGTGAAGCCATGAAAGTTTCTTGATTTTGGGATTCGCCTGAATTTGACAATCGAAATAAAGATCATCACCTTCCTTGATATCGCTACTCAATAAGGTCGGTCCAAGTCGTATATTCACCAAGGGCGGGTCTGAAAGTATTCATTGTAAACGTCATGCTTCAACTTCCTCCACTTGAAAATATATTTATTTTTCTTAAAAGATTCCGACTTTCTGTAGAACTTTTGAAGTTCACTTGTTAAAGTGCTTTCATTGAAAATGAAGTCTTCCTAAGGGAACTCATTTCATGTTGTGAAAATTCTATTTCAAAGATTTCAATTAGAGCTATTCACGTAGACGCTTCATCCGCATAAGTCAAGGGAAAGAACATTAAAGAATGCTTTGCCATGTAAATTTCTTCAATCTCAAAAGAACATAAATTCTCGATTTTTATAGCTCGCCAGAGAGTTATTGGAGGAATGTTTCATAGCAAACGCCTTGCACACGATATGGGAAAAGCGAAAAAAAAAACTGCCAGCATAAAAAGATGGAAGAAAAAAAGAATATAATTGATCCCATGTGTTACAACTTCAAGCTTCAAACAGAGAAGAAAAGATTGTTACATACATTCGATTTGCTTTGCCTTGGTAAACATAAATTCTAAAGAAATAAATTATAAAAATTATGATGCATTTTTCATGGCGAGAAAGAGAAATAATAAAAATAAAAGAAATTGTGATACTTCTTAATAGAATACCATTAAATTGAAATTTATGTTGATTTTCATTTTAACTTTCCGCCGTAGCTTTACTTTAACTTCATTCTCATTCCATCTCTCGACACCAGAAGCACACAAACATTGTGACGCAAAAGCATTTTTAAAAGCAAACCGACACTTGTAATCCACCTTACTACTATAAACCAGCCATTAAATTTTATAAATAAGAATCTTTTACTCAAAGATTACTGCGGGTCGTTGAAGAGGCGGTGAAAATATGGAGATTAATTTTGAAAGAGAAAGTTTCATTGGAAAACTTTTAAACATCTGCAAATATTCGCAGAATATTTAAGATTTTAAAGCTACAATTATTAAAACCATGAAATCTCTAATTACAAAGCTTTCAATTTACAAAAGAGATTAAATAAAAATCATTTTGGATAAACAGCGAAATTTCTAATTTATCTTTCTTTACTTTGAAAACTGTTTAATTAAACTTTTATGAATCATGAAATTTATTCATTTCCAAAAGTCTTTCATTGTAACTATGTAAATACAAAACCAGATCACAGTTTGCATTTATTTAAACTTGAAATCGACCTTGACACTATTCAGTTCACAATTTCCTAACCCAATTTCCTTGCGTAACACTACTCGAGTATGAATTTTAAGTTAAACAACATTTCACATTCACAAATGAATTCATTGGAGAAAAGTAAATTCAGTAAGGAAGATAAAGTGAATTTGAAAGGAAAAGCAAGTGAATACTCACAGACTACACTTATTTTCCATGTTGATTCAAGGAACAGACCGCTCACGACGGGATTCTCAGCACGACACACCATAAATTTTCCATCATCTTCAACGGTAGGTGAAAAGCTTAATTCTGATCTTGTGGTATTGTTGAGAATCTCATCCTTCAAGTTTCAAACCGAGAAGAAAGGAAGTAAAGAATTAACATTCAAGATTGTTTTTTTCCTGCCTTCGCCAAATTTATTTAATGGAGAATTTCATCTTAATTGATTTACTTAATTATTAATTACCTTTGTCCTTCGTAATTGCCGTTTTCCCTTATACCAAGTAATAACAGCATTCGGCCTTGAACCAGAACTTTCGCACGCTACCTCATACCTTCTATCAGCAACGAGAAGGGTTGGTGGATTTTTAATGTCAACGGTGAGAGGTTTTACTGAAAGTAACATGAATGATTTTATTACATTTTGGTTGCTCGTAACCAAAGCTAGCTCATAATGTGTAACCGCAAGGCGCTCAAGCAATTGAAACGAGAACGTATCTTGCTTAACTGTTTTTTCACAACAAAAAATAAGAAGTAAAAGCAACAGTAATAAAAGCTGTAAACACACAAACAAAGGAAGAAAAAAAAATGCTTTTAGCTGAAGCATTTTAGGCTTATACGATGTCAAAAATTTATGGTAAAATATTCTCGCTTTTTTCTTTCTTCTTTCTCTTTCTTATGATGTGTTGCTGAGTATGTTAACAATGTAAGGAGCGAAGTACGAAAACATAAACGTGAGTATGTTGGTTCATTTCGAGTCAATAAATCTAAACATATTTCATCCATAAAGTTCCCCTCTGGATACGACAATCAAGCCCAAGTCCACCCGCAAAGTAAAAGCAAATAATGGCAAGAGAAGAGAAATGAGAAACCATTTTCATATTATATTAACTTACAGTTCATGTCTAAAACGAAGCTTGTTTCTTTAGGCTCAACAAGCTTTGTATTCAAAGCTTGGCAGGTGAATATTGAGTTTAGGTCTGAACGTTGAACGGACGGCCAAAGTAAACGATTTTCGATAACATCGCCTGAATTCTGTTCGTACTGATCATCGACCTGTAAGCCATTAATAAGCCAACGAACCTGGAATAAAAAAATGATTTGAAACAAATTTTTACCATAAAATATATCGATCGTTAAAAATGTACCTGTGGCTGTGGACGTCCTGGAAAGTCACGAAATTGAAACACGGTAAAAAAGGAAAGACCAAAAACATTAAATTACTGTAATAAATTCATTTCTCTTCAGGATGGAATAAAAAATGTTAATTTTCTTTCAAGAGTTTAGTGAGACTGCTCACCCGCAGTCGCAAACAAAATATAAACGCGTTTTTGTAGAGTGAAGGATGTTGATGTTGATACAACAATCGACTATAGCAAGAGAAGTGAAATGTTGGTTGTTGATGAGAAAGAAAAAGATTTAATTGCTTTTTTATGTAAATTAAACTCGATTTTGATTGCATCAACAACAATGAAAAACAGTCGTTTGCTACAGTGAAAAAGTTTTATTTTATTTTTTATTCAAAAACAAACTTTTAGCTAGTTTTTTTAACTTTCTTCTCTTAACAGTCGCTTTTCCTCCTTCCTGTGCCACACAATGAACAACGAAAAAGACTTTCTGCTTTTTCCGTTTTCTTTCCACACTTTTGTGTCCTCTTGACAGCGTTGAAAGTTAAATTGAAACTTAGTGAAATTTTTGCAAATATTTTGCAATTCTAGCTGATGGTGCTTCATTGTTGTGCATTTTGGAAAATTGGAGCGAAGCATTTAAATTTCATTTTTTCTTTCGCTTTACCTAAGAACAGTTTGGTGAAAACGATTTAATTTGTGTTGAGAAATGCTCTCACAAATGATGCACAAATGCTATCAAAGATCAAAGCAAACTGAATTTCAAACCTAAAATGCTTCTTGTTTCTTCAATTTTGAGTAAATGACTTGAAAAATACAAAAGTTTTGTTAATATTTTTGAGAAACTTTCTCCAAATGCTTTAAGAAATTCTAGACAAAGTATCTTGAAGTTTGTAATCATTCTCATTAAAAATGTATTTCAGAATCGAGAGAATTCTTAAAGCTTCTTTAATCTGCTTGCTTCAATATAAACGCCCGAAAATATAAACCAAACTTCCATAGTTAATGAATTGATCCGAAAAATCAATAGCACTTCATTAAAAATACACAAATCTTACCTCCGACAACACGACAACTAAGAATAATGTCTTCTCCTTCTTGCTTTGGACCGATTTTTGTGCTGTTCAGTTGCCTTCCCCATCTATCTAATACAACAGGCTGCTCTGGTAGAACTGCAAGCACAGAAGAAAAAAAAAGTTTAACTTTTGATAAACGATTTTTTTTCCTGTTGAAAAGGAAATTCATGTCGAACGAATGGACAAAGTTTCATCGATTTTGTTCCCAATTTCGGCAAGGAATTAAATTAGATTTTATCGAACATACAAGTTTTCGTACAAGACAATAAATATCCGATAACTTTTCTTCTCTCCCCCTCTCAAGTCGTGTGTTAATATTCATCTACAGATTTTATGGTAATTGAAAAAAGGCCAAGAAAGTATTTACAAGTGGCAGCAAAATTAGGTTTCCAATATCAACCTTCAAGTTGACAGGAAAGGAAAAAATATTTCTTCACATAATGTGAGCTTGGAGATGGAGATAAAAATGAAAGAATAAGACGAAGAATTAACCAAGGATGTGTGATGAAATCCGAAATAGAATAAAACGTACAAAAACTATAATTTCAGCACTTAATCAATACATATATCTTCGAAGAGCGTTGAGAGGGATGATAGCACGGCATGTTTTTCTCATCATGCTCCCCTTTCGAACTCTTTATTACACTTTTCACACTCATGATAGTCGAGGCCTGGCGTTGGCAAATTTAATGATTCAGTGTGTGTGCGTGACTGTCAAATAATAATTGTAATGGGACAATAAATAAGAAATATCTCCCAATTTTCCAATTGATCTTTTTCTTTTTCTTCTTCTCCTTGATAAGAGCTTATGTTGAGACTTTTATGTTCTGCCAAGCGTCATACATTATGTAGATACTCACATAAACTTCTTGGTGCTGTAGACTAAGGCAAACCGATAGCCAATAAGGAAAAGAGCAAATATGGTGTCTGAATATATATGTAAACAGACTAAAGCATAATGCGATTGATTTTGGACATTTTTTATGCCTTGTTTTTTTTTATTGAAGTTTTTCTCTCGTATTGAATCCCAAGTCTCGAATCGAATAGAAATCGAGAAACATATGCGCATTCGTTCTTTATTTATTAAATATTCACATATGTTTGATATGCTTAAAATGTATAAAGTATGAATAAATATATATGAATCAAACTTTACTCACTTATAACTGATAAATTATATGTATAACTTTGTGTTTGACTTGCACGAAAGTCTATTCGACATCGATAGATTCCTTGATCATGCCGTTTAATATCCTGGGGAATGAATAATAAAAGAAGAACAAAAAAAAAAGATTAAAGATAAACGAAAGGAGAAGAAAAGTTTCCACTTCTTCTTCATATCGTGCAAAAAATTGCTGAGAAATGATACTGTGGAAAAATTGTTGATAATAATTTATTCATGCTCTTCTTTGGGGACTTTGCTTCAACACGAAAATTCTTAAAGATTTGTAAGCTGAGTGAAAAAAAAAATTATTTCGTTGTGTTGATGAATTTTCATCATAAAAAAAGCTTGAATGAAGCAAAGATAAAAGCAAGTCGTGAAATTCGTCAGACGTTTATCTTTCGTTGATTTTAAGATGTTTGACGTAGAAAAACTTCAGCATTTGTAATGAAAGCATGCAAGAGAGCCTTCAGCTTTGAAAGAGTATGAATTTTTAATAAGATTATCAATAAAAGTCAACTTTAACTACTTGATATGCAGCTTGAATCAGAAGTTTATTATAGTTGGATTGAAAACCTTTTTCGAACTAAGGTATGTAATTTAAGCTTTAAGTTCACCTTTAATTTCAAGTTCTCACGATAAAGCTTTTCAAAGCCTTATGACACTTATGAGAAGTGATAATTTTCGACACTTTCACACTTTTGAATATTGCCCACGCTACTTTACTTTTGTTCCATGGCAAACGAAACAAAAGCTTGAATAACGAGAACAATAACAGCCGATGATAGACTAATAAATCTTGAATGTTTATGAAGGGTGCTTTTTCATTTGTTTTGAATTAAACTTGAACAATGGTGAAATCTGATTGAGAAACATTACGTCGCTTATCACAACAAAGTCTTTCTTTCTCAAATTTTAATAAATGAGAAAGAAGTCTTTGGAAATTTCATTTTTTGTTTCTTTCATGCTTATCAAATGATGTCGAGGTTTCCCTAATTTTAGATAAAGATGAAAACGATGAATCATTGAATAGAACAAATATTTGCTTTATGTTTCTTTTAGCTGCTTTAGATATGGATTAGAATTGTAAATAAAATATATTTATAAACATGTGGAATTATGCATTAGTACATTATGTAACATACATAAATATAATATGATTGTGTAATAAAAAAACGTGATTTCTCTTCCATATGCTGACATATAATAACATCAACTCACCTTTATTACTAAAGATTCAGGTTTATTGTCAATGGAGAAGCTGGCACGTGACCCAAAAACTTCTGGTGCCGACCAATGTTTAGCTGCCCGCTGTTTTCCTTTTTCTCTCACATCAACACTTTTTTATTATTTGAAAGAGAAAAATGAGACAATTGAAAAATATCCGAATAAAAAAAATGAAGTGAGAAGAGGAAAACATAATTATGGTCGCCAAGCGAGAAAATAAAGCATGAGACGCCTGTAAAAACATTTGAAACTGGAGGGGCTTTTGTTTGTACTTTAAAAAGGAAAAGGAGAAAGAAAAAATTAAAAAGAAGCAACATTTTACCGCATTATAAATGCGGACTGAAATTTATAATCATTTCTTTCCGCCTGTTTCTTTTTCTTTCTAAAGGATCTCATTTTAATTATAAATCCTTAATTATAATCATCAAAGGAAAAACATAGAAATGGAGATGGATGGACGGAAGTACAGAGAATAATGAAGAAAAATACCAACATCCAGATAGTGGCGAATTTTCACTTCTCTTTGGATTGTTACAAATAAAATGAAAGAAGTATAATTTGAGTATTTTAATTATCTAATACCTATAGAGTGGTATGCCACCACCATTTTTAAACCAAAGCACCATAGCAACATCAGATCCAGTTATTGGACATTGGAGTGTTATACTTTTGCCTTCAACTGCAACCACATCAACTGCTTGAGCTGCAATTATAACAAGAGAAATAAAATAACAATAAAAGTTTCCTGCATGTGAAATTTAAGCTGCAAAGTATGCAAAATCGTTATGGCAATGTTATTTATAAATTTTCTTCGATTGTAAGATTCGAACAAGAGCCTGAACAAAAGCTCAACTTTCATCTTAAACAATTATTTACTCTCAACAATACATGAGACTTCATATGTTTGGATTTCTAAATCTCGACAGAAGGGACTACTCGATTGCTCATTTAAACACACATAAAATCACGTAGACGAAGACAACAAAAGTTTCTAATTAAGTTGTGTCATGTTTCGCAGCTTACATTAAAGCTACGAATCAATTCAATCAAGTAACACATTAGAAGAAAAATAGAATACGGAAATAAACCAGTTTCTTATCGCACAAGAACGAATGGACGGAGAAGGAATGAAAAAGGAAGAAGAACTTTGAATATCGCTCTCATTCGAATGTGTACATATGAGAATTGAGAAATGAAAGCAGTAAGGTTTGATTACAAATCAATCTAGGACATGATTTTGTTGATTTCTTATTCGGTGGAAATAATAATAAGAAACTAAATAAAATCATTTTCACCAGCAATGGAAACATTTTAATTAAACGTATGGGATAAAAAAAGAACACGAAAGAAGACGGAGATATAAATACAGTAAATAAATGAGTAAACACATTGATATTTATTGAGACCCGATGAACATGAAGCGATCAAAATTAATTAGAGAACCTTCCATACATACTCCACAATAAAAAAGAAATCTTTCTTTTTTCTCGAACAAGAAAATTAATTAAGGAATCGTGAGTTTATGAGCTTAGGCGTGCGATTAAATGAAATGAAGTTTCCTTCTTCCTTCGAAGACTCTTCTCAATTTTATTTGCATAAACTAGACATAAAGAATAATGAAAATCACATTTTCTTTGAACGTCCGGAATTAAAATTAATTTTCGAAATCCGAAAGGCATTTGGAAAACTTTTTTCTGTTTTTCTTTCCTTCTTTCGAGAGATATTGTGTAAAACAGATAAAACAAGATTAGATGATAGGGTCAGTTTCAAGTCATTAACTTAATCATGACGACTCACGCAATTAAGAGGTCGTAAATGACTTTTGTTAGCGCCCCTTTTGCAAATATATTTAATTAATTAAAACATTGAGCATAACATTTCATTCGAAGAAGAGATTAAATCAAACTATACGAAAAGTTCATTCTCGTTTCATTGATAAAGCTTAACAAAAAAAAGTTAAAAATAATGGATGGAGGAAGGCTTTAAATGTAGTTTTTCTCTGATAGATTATAAATTTATTCCGCCCACTGTTTGTTAAGTTAGGGACGGCGAGAAAGCATGTACAGTAACGTAACTGTTTACTTCGTAAATGTTTGAAATTATAAAACATAAGCAGTGTAAACATCAAGAAAAGGCAATTCTGCTGTTGAGTAAAGCTTCGTGTTGTTTTAGGTTTGCTCATAAATAATCGGGCAACAGTAAATTTTATCCTGCAGAAAAATCGAAATCCTAGTTTAAGTTTGAATGTTGACCTAAAATAGTATTAGAAATTCAAGACTTCTTAAGAAAATAAACAATTCTTTTATCTTTAAGAATTAGTTGCTCGTTACGTACTTGAGAAGAAGGAAATTCAACTTAGGTATTTAAATTTGTGAATTTATGTGTTCAATGAACTCAACGACGAAGAAGTGAAATAAAAAAATATTTCGCATATTTTCATGTTCAGGTTTTCCCTTTAAGGTTTATTTTCAGAAAAAATTCTCACGTAATGGCAATATTTCATAATGTATATGACTTGAGGAATTTTCAGCTTCAAGAGGAGAGCAAAGAAATGAAAAACTAGGAAAAAATATAAAAATTATGTAAATGAATTTATGATCGCATTTATTTACATAAAACTTTGGAAAATGTCACCATAAACTGCAATGAATGGCTTTTCGTTTTACTTTCTTGTGCTGTTGGATTGTTTGATTAAAGAAAAGGTAAAAGTTGGAATAAACCACTTTTGATGTAGCGTAAATCACATCGAATGGTGAAAAATCAAAAGTTGAGTATCAAATAATTTCTAGCTAATGAAAAGTTAAGTAAAGCATAGTAAGTACACAAGACAATTAACTATTGTAGGATTTTCTCTCCTCTTCTAAATACCTCAAACATTAAAGTTGTAAGGCTTAGTGCCTTCAACATTAAGTTGAACGAGATTTTATGCTTTTTGAGCATTTCTTTGAAGCAATTAGAATTTTTTTTATCTTTGAATGCTCTCGACAGAAATGAGAACAAAGTTTTAAGCATTTGAATGAATTCAAGCAGAGGATTAATTTGATAACTTTCTGAGATATCGCGAGGGGATTTGTAAAAATAGCATGAGAAGCAACGACAATGTTCAATGATGGTTGGCAAATATCTAGAGAGATTTTTAAGCTTTTCTATTTGTTTTTTTTTTTGTGAAAACCTAATTTAAGACGAAAACACCTCGAATCTTGATTTCTGAGCAGCGTTTATATTTGAACATTATGCTTCTTTCTGTCTCTTGTGCACGTAGCGTAATTTAAATTATGTTAATTTCCATCTTGATTTACATTTTTTTTCTGTCTTTCGTTACACTTTAAGTAAGTATTTTAAAAAATATACCAAATAGATGAAGAGAAAAAGAATCTTATTAAAAGCTTTTGACAAATTAAAAATGGATGGAAATCAATCAGCAACTGTTTTTAGGTCAAAACAAAAACAATTCATTGACGAAAATGAAACAGAACACAGCACGAGACCTGGAGGGGTGTCAAGCATGAAGGTGTAAGAGATTTATTGTTTAAACAAGAGCGAAATTTTTATCGATTTCTCATCACACATCACTATGTTCATACACAAAACATTTCTCCAACACACGTTTTTGCCTTATTTCGAATAAATTTCATCGCTCATTGATTTTTCATTATTTCATCCGGTTTAACAATGCCAGGAAACGCTGAACAAGAAGACGTAATGTGCGTTGCTTCGCTCTTTTATGTCTTATATTTATTTGTTTATATAGAAAATATTTACGTGTGTGTTTGTGTATGTGTCAATGCTGATAAAATTTAAAATACGTAAAGCTCGAAAGTTTGAAAATGCGTATGTTTATTTGAGAAATAAATCTTGTTCTTCAGAAAAGATAAAATATCAAACCATCGAATGAATTATGAAACAGTTTAGAAATACGTATATCAGCATTACAAAAGCCACTTTTTGAATCAAATCGACTTCTACGCAAACATAAATTTTTGATGAAATATTTATCTTCGAGGCATTAAAAATAATGCGAAGCTATGAGAGAAGAAAGTAAAACGCCTTGAGAAAAGCTTCGAAGTTTTTAAGAAGCTTTCGTAGTCATCAGCACACTGAAGCTTATTTTTTTTTGTTTTTCATAAAACTCTCGCTAAGGATAAAAGTTTAAAATATTTCCTTTACAATTATTTTCAAATGAGAATTCTCTTTTGCGCAATTTGCTTCAAGCAATGGATAATTATATTTCTTTTAACAAAGAAAGGAAAAAAGGAAAGTTTTCTCGCGTTGCTCTAAACAGCACTTATGTTTAATTATTGTATTTCAGACTTTTAATGCGATTTTCCAACTGTAAATTTGAAGAAGTTTCCATAGCAAGTCAAATGCATTATATGCCATTTTTTTCCTCTAATTGAAACGAAAGCTCTAATGTATATAATTAAATTCTCGTTTGTACTACCAACAATCTCTTAAACGTTTACAAAGTTACTCTTAATGAAGATGAAGAATATCAGTAATTACAAAGTTAGCGATTGAAAAATGAATTCATTTAAATTATGACCAATTTAATGTGAAGTAATTTGAGAACTGATTTGATTATGAGAACGTTGAATGTGGCATAATATTGAAAATTTAATGGCCTTGCATTTTCGAACCATTAACAGAAATTGAAGACCTTTCATAAATAATAAGAATCGTTTGTTTATTAAGATTAATTTTTCGTAAAAAATAATTAAAAATCATTTATTAAACTTCCAAAACTCTTGAAATTCTTCAATAAAAATTAATGAGTAAAAAGTCTAATTAAAATACTTTGAAAAAATCGCAGAAAGCTTCACACACAAAATGAACAACGAATTATTGGTTTCGGAATAATGGTATGAAGATGGTGAAATACTGACAAAATTCTTCTGGGAATCGCTTTTCGATACCACAATTCAAATGAAACGCCAAATCAAATATTTTATGCCAAGCCCACCAAAAAAAACAGAAGAGAAAAAGTTAAAAAATGTTCATGAAAATTTCAGAAGACGACATGAAGCGAAGAGAAAACGAGAACCATATAAACTCAATAAAGCCTCCAAATGTGTTTCTTCTCTTCATGATATTAAATTGGATACGCAACAAAGGCTACATGATAAACATACAAAACGAACAACTGAACATACAACATGATTCAGCAGATACATAGATACAACATTCTTTATTTTATCATTCATCGGAAAATTCGTGTATCATGTTTTGAATAACATTTTATATAATTTTCACTCAGCATACCAAATAGCAACAAATTAAATTATATTTTAATGTTATTCAAGGTATTTATTTGAGGTAAATTATTTAATTAGTAATCCGTGAAGTCATTTTTTAAGTAGAAAAAGAGAGGTTAATATCAATTAATTACAAAATGTATGCTTACCACTCTTATCCTTATCAGTCAACGTTTTTCCATTAATCAAGTTTATGACAAGTACAAGTTTGTAGACCAAAACACTTAAATATTCATTAAATTTCATTTTCACTGCTTACTTCACCTTCACATTCATTAAATATTTAAGAAAGCTTCCATAGTCCATAATGCATATATTCACAGACGACCAAACACAAATTAAGATGGTTCAGGAATTTCATTTCCTAAAAAGATTGTTCAATGTCACGAGATTGAAGTTAATCGAAAAGGCTTCTTTCTTGCCAGTATTTAGCTTTATATACTTCTCACATTTTCATCACTTTTACGAACATTTTCCCTACTTAACCTTTTTTTTAAGAACTGAATATTAAAAAAAATCTCAACAAATTTTTTCTTTTTTGCACATTTCTTTTTATCGCTGAAACCAAAGGGCAAAAAAATTTCTTTCGTCTTTTCTTTTTGTTATACCATACAGATCAACTAGAATTATCGTTACTTTCACAAACGATGTGGAAAATATATAATTTTTTTTCATTGCCACTAAATTCTCTGAATTCAAAATAAAAATTTTTTGTAGCAACTAGATAGAAATTCTCTATTTCTCTTAATATCCGGTTATAGCTGTAATAGCAACATAGAAGGACGGCTGAGAACGGCGGCTTTAAGGGAGAAAGAGAAAGAAATCATTCGTCCTCGTCGTCGTTCTGGGTCTTCACAGATGAAAATCGATTTTTAATATCGGAAAATTTTCTAATTCAGTGAATGCTTAGATTAATATTTCCTCCCCCTCATGGAAGTTTGTGTACCAAACTCAACGATTCGCCGTCTTAAACAGATTAAATAGTCGCTTAATCTATGCTTCTGTAACTTCTGGCCCATATTTTTGATAGATATTACGAAAAGAATATGAAGGGACGTTGAAATATGTTTTGATTTTTGTTCTTTCTTTTCTCATGTTGATTTTGCCATTGCCAAGAGACAAACATAAAACCATTCATGATGTTTATGAGACTTATATTTGATTTTCATTGTTCAAAACACCAGAAAGAAATTATGACGAACTCTTGATGAGGGATGAGTTGTTTAGATGCAGAACTGAAGAGGCATTATGAAAAAAGATCAAAATTCATGGAGAAGAAAATTCTTTGAGCCGTAAAAGAAAGGAAATCTTCCATCCTAAAGGTTCGTCCTCTTGTTCTTCTTTATTCTCTCGTAACAGTTTCATATATTTAAAGGTCAATATGTGCGCTGATGGCTTGGCAAATAGGGACAAGTTTTGTTAAAGAATCGTCATGACAGGAAAAACGTTAAAAGTATGATGAATAAACACTTTCATGCCCATCATTTGCCCCCAATGAAACTTATTCGTCATGACTGTTATGAGTGTTTTTATGTCATGGAACAGTGAACGATTCATCATGTTACCATCCTACTGAGCTACAAAACGCTCGATTTGTTAATGCTCAACATACATGGAAGACATAAAAATTATTCCTTTAATTTAATTTCTTCTCAAAGACGAATTGTGTAGGCTTTCAGTCATTTTTTTCTTTTTCATTTTATGTGGCATAGGAGACTTTTCCATCATAATCCCACCATCTTTTGGTAATCACACATGATCGATTTGTGTCTTTTTCAATCTATTTCTCTCATTCCAAACACATCCATAAAAGCTCTCATTTCTAACAAATTGTACATTTAATAAAATCAATGCTATAATTGAAACGAATCGGCTTCATTTCTTTTTTCAACAATTCACAAAATGTTAGTATTTATATAATGTATAACGAACGTACATTTTTTCTCAATATATCCCAAAAAGAATATCTGAGCAAGTAAAAGGAAAGGAAATTGGAAAATTTTAGTTTTTCAATGCCGAAGTTTACCACAAAAAGAAACTTTTCAATTTCCAGTTCGTTAAGTTATTTCTTATGAAAAAGACTTTTGTTAAATATGTTTAGTAAACATGTATTATAATGGTACTAAATTTTTAAAATGTTTGTGCAAAAGTCAATGATGAGAAAGCATTCTGATTTTAATTAAATCAGCATAAAGTATGTTTTTTAATTTTTTGTATGTGATGTAGGTTTGCAAAAATTGTTTGTTATTCAATCAATTCTGCCAATTAGGTAACTCAGAAAGGTATTTACATAAATTCTCTCCAATGCACTCGAACATGAATAGCTAAGAATATCAAGTGAAATTTCTTACTTTTTGTTGTATTTTGATATGAAAGTAAATATTAAAAACATTCGTTGAATTTCTTTTTTCTTGTAGGAATTTTCGTTGCATTCAATTGAATGAGTTGAACAACATTACCAATAGAATAAACCAAAAATTAAGTCAGATGAAAAACTTCGTCGTTAGCAGACTGTGTAACGAGACGTAAACGAAAGGAAAAAAGTATCAAATTTGAGTTCATTTGTTCCATTCATTGAAAGCGAAAATGGAAAATCCTGATATTTTTCCTCCTTATTTCCGTTTTTCCTGCTTGTAAATAATCATTAATCAAGAGCGGAAAAGTTGCGCAAAAGAAGATGAAAAGCGTAGTAAATACTTGCTCAACTCGTCGCTCTTTAAATGTGTACAACTTTATATACATTTATCTAAAAAAATATGTTGAATTCTTTGGCATAAATATTGAAGTCAACCCGGGAATTCTAGGAATAGAAAGAAATCTTGTTGATAAATTCATTTACGATTTAAGAAAGGCAAAGTAACTTATTTCTTCGCATGATATGGTTACATGAATTCGCATCATCGCAAAAACGGATTCTGGTGGAAAAACCTCCGCATCTTCAAGCTATCAAAAGGCAACAAAATTGTTGTTCGCAGGTTTTTCCCTCACTATTCATTATGATGTATTTCGTGTGGGTGGCAATAAACCGTAAGAAATGAGATAGAAATGTTTCATTTCGCTTAATAGATTTTTTCTCCTTTTTTTTCTTTGGCTATGTGTTATGTGAGATTTACGAGTATGAAACTTTTTCATAACTTTTATAATGCAGATGGCAAATCGTGGTTGATAATATTAAAATTCTCAAAAGATTGTTGAGTGCGGCAGTCATATTTGTATCTACCGCTAACTGAATTAAAGCAGAAATGATTAAAAAAGAATGAAGAATGTCGTTGATAAGATTGCTTGTTTGTTTTTAAAAACGAAGATTTGTTCATTTTTAATAATCACATCAAGTAAGAAATAATGATAAGCGAGCTTAAAGAAGAAGAAAACATTTCAAGTCATGGATTTCTTGGATCATTAAATGTTGAATTTCAAAGTAAAAATACTAAGAAGTCACTTTCATATGACATAGAATTGAAATCGATGCATCTTGACATTCGATCCTCTGTAGAGATGTTCAAATATAAAGTTATCTTCTGTTTCGAGTTGTATTTTTCGAGGTCGAATCAAAGTTTAATCAGGTAAAGGGTTTTTGGAAAGGTCTCCTTTTCTTTCCTTTTTTTCGTTTCCCACTGTTACCTTCTACTCGAAGGAAGCAGTCGAGAAAGAAAATGATTTTCCTAAGCAAATACTAAATCCATGTATTATTTATATCTTAGGATTCAAAGATAAACATGCCATTTGCAACAATTTTTCAATCAATCACGACAGAGCATTTTCACTTTTTATTATTTTCTCATCGATAAAGTTTATCAGAATGTGGTGGGAAAATATCTTTTACGCTCGCATTTCAGATGCCCGATATTTTTTATTCTGCACGAGGTTTCAGTTTCATAAAATGTGCAATGTAAAGAGAAAATTTGTTGTCGAGTCGTTTTTATAACCCAACAAGAATTTAACCTTTTCTTTTAATGAAATGACAATTAAATTTATTTGTCACCTTCAAACAACGTTCACAATTTTTATATCTTTTGTGTAACTTAAAACAGGAAACACATTTTCATCTCACTTCACTTATAAATGACATTTATCTCCACTTTAATTTAATTTAAATATCTTTTATATACTCCACAAATTTAATTTCCTTCTTTATTTTGGTTGTTTTTATTTATTTCTCAATAGAATGCCTTCGTTTAAGCGCGCTTTATACGTGCTTTAATCACAAGACTTCGGTGAAAACTGAGTTAAAAAGAAACATTCCAGGAAAGTCGAAAGCAGACGAAAACATTCGGGACTGGGTGCTGGAAAGCGTTCATATTTATCAATTTTCTTTTGAGTTGCGACAGAGGGATTCGGTGATAATACTTTCAATTCCTTTTGTACACTGTCAAATGCATTGGAAAACATTGAATTGAAACATTGTGAAAACATTGAAAACATCAACATTCAGCGATAAGGAAAATAAAAACATCACCGGCCACTGCATTATGATGAAAAAAGGGAGGAAAATAATCTTTATGCACGAAATGAAGCGAAATATTTTATGACTATTTTTTGAAGAATTTTCATGTTAAAAAAAGATATTTTATGAGATTCACCTCTGCAAACTTACATCGATCCCCTAAGTTTTTTTTTTGAAAGTGAATATTTTATGGGGAATTTTAAAGTGTAGAAGGAGAATTCATGGCTCATGAAAATATCATGAGGTCGAGAGTATTGTATCAATTGGATCAATCACTTAATGAAACATGAAAATTTTATGACGTTTGAAGACACCCACTCAAAAGCTCTTCAATTTAAATGTTTGCGAGTGTTGGTAGTTGCTTCAGTGTCAACGAACATGCTACTTTATGATTTTGAAAAGCTATAAAATTATAAGTGTCTACATAAAGTTAAATATGTAGTTTAAAACAAAAGTAAATGACATTTAGATGTTTTTTTCTAAGTGTTTTCTATATATAAATGTACCTTGAAACAAGGCTGTTCATTATGTAATACATCGTGATAAATTACTTGAAAAGTAGACAAGATCGCTTAGAGCCATAAATAACAATGAGTCAAACATAGACGCAAGAAGCCCACAGGAAAAACTTCACTTTTACACTTGCCATCTAAATTATTCAATAGAAAGATTATCATAAATTATTTATTATCATTTTTGACTTGTGTAAAAGTGAGACGAATTTGTACAAACATCTGAAGCAGCAGTATCATAATTTAGTATGATTTATTCTGATTACTTGTTGCTAAACTGTGTAACATGTTCATCTCTAAGAAGTTTCACATAAATTTACTAAAATGGAAGATGAGACAAAAAAGCTTATAAAAACTGAAGAAGGGAATGTAACGACAAAATACTCAGGAAAGGGCATTGAGTATCTGCTTAAGAGGCAATGTAGGATGAACTTTCAAAGCTTCTCATAAACAAACAACAAGGATTTAAAATTAGAGATTCTCTTTTCATCTGAATAATAATATCTAGCTGATGATTTCATGAAAAGAAGTGAAATCCTCAAGATTCATAATATTTTAATCGTGGAAAAAGTTTATCATTTACCGAGAAACATTTCCATTCTTAAACGTTGATTTGAGTTTCTCGCGGCCCTTAATATAATTTTTAATGAGAAAGAAGTCAAATTTTCCCTGTCATTGTTGTCGACTTGCTCTAAGTTGCCTTTCAGAATGTAAGAATGTTGAAGGATTTTGAATTACAGATTACAGAGAATTACACTGGAGGGGAATTAGTATTATGGCTACGACTTTTTACAGCATTCTCCTCGGCCTTGTTGATAAAGTCACAAAAAATTCTTCCGAGAGAACTTTCATTTGCAATCATTTCATTTTTTGTTTTTCATAATGAAAACGAAAAAAACTCTCAACATTTAAATGTTTTTGTAAAAGATTTATGAAATAATAACATCATTACTTTTTCTATTAAATTTAATTTTTTTGAAATCTTCAATTCACATTTAGATGTTACAAAAACAAGGTTCACATTCTAAATATTTGCATTCAATTGCCATCCATCGTGAGCTTTTAAATGATTGTGGATGTTTGAAGAAGCATTAAGAATATATTGATTCTTATTTGAAGCATTAAAGCAGAGTTTGTGCAGTCCAATCATTAATTTATCTCAACACTTCTATTTCCGGAAAGAGATTTAATCTTGAGAAAGTTTTTGGTAGTACAAAGCTAATGAGAAACCCATTACAGATAAAATTATTTGAATACAAAGATCCTATTTTCACACGTCATATATTCTAAAGGATCGGAATTAATGCTTTTAAATGTAGGAGAACCTTTTCTATCTCCCCTTCCATCATGGGAGGAAAGCAAAACATCTTTTCGAGTGCCATAAGATAATTGAGGATGAAATTCAAATTATTCTCGGTCTGAATGTGTGGATGGATAGGAAAGAGATGCTTGGGAGAAATAATAAACTTTAAGAAGGAAAAAGCATGAGTTAGCATTTCTAACTATCTTCACACACTTTTTTAATTAAATGAAAGAATAATTCTATCATATTGGTCTCTTAAGCTACAAATATCAGACCCTGAAGAATCTTTAAAATTCCTTTTTGAAGTGCTTCATTAGGAGAATAAGAGCCTTTAAAAATATTGCTTTAAAACTTTGTTGGGAACTTCGGAGAGAGTAGATAAAGAGCCAAGCAGTGATCTGAATAAATAATCAAGAATACGAAATCGACTTTTACATCTTTAACAGCTTATTCATACTCAATTACGAGAAAAGTTTTAACCAAAATAAACAATTAGCCTCTTTTATTCTTTCACGCACTCACAACATAAAGCACCGACCGATAACATTTTCTTCCATGAATTATTTTTCTAATTTCTTTCTTTGGATTTTTGTTTTTATTTCCAATATCCCCTCGCATCAGCCCTCAAAAAACTCAAACGCACAACAAACACTTTATTGGGTTAGGAGACCAAATATTTCTCATGAAAATTCCTCACATTTGTTTTTCGTTCTATATCACCCCTTTTAGGTTGCAATAGTCTGTTCATTTTGTTATTCTAACGAAAGGGGAGTCGAAAGTATTTTCTGTTGACAGAGTTGAATTTCGATACAAGATATTCGTCGGTTAGATAAGTAAATAATTATTGAATTATTTCTTTATCTTCATTTAGTTAACAAAAATTGCTAAATGTTTAATCCCTAAAGAAAATTTTAGCTTTTTGGATATTAAAATTTTCTATTTCCAAAAAAAAGTTTATTTGAATTCTGGGGTGAATTAACATTCACACAAAAAGTTTATTAGTGGAAAAACAGAAATGTAAACTCTCGCATTAGGCTGATCAAAAGGGAGAAAAATGGTTGAATGATAGAGGAAATAAAACGTTGTTAACACATATGCCTTTTCCGACGATTTCATCTGAGAAATAAATGCTTTCAACCCTAAAACTTTATAAATATGCTTGATATTCAATCCAACTACTTTTTCTCTCTGCTCATTCTAATTTTCAGAATGCCAGATAAAGTTTAATCTAGATTACCAACACACGATCAAAATATTACATGGAAACGGGCATGAGAAGTTATTTTAGATTGAAAACAATTTTTAAATTTCGTACATGACAGTATATTAAACTTCATTTACAAGAATCATTTTACAAATAACTTTGTTAATTTTAGCATAAATTTATTCTAGCTTCTCAAAGTCGAAAACAACACTGGTATACCTTTGGGAGAAAAACAAGTCTGTTAAGCATGAATATTTCAGCTGAAAATAAAAGTTTATGATTTCATCTCTTAAATTAAAATGTTTTAATAAATTACACAAATTTATGATCATTTGAAGAATCTCTCGAGTGAATGAAGGTACAATGAAAGTTTCAATTAATAAATATATAAACTGAAAATTTATTTAATTTGCCATTTCTCATGAGAATTTAGCCTGCTGTTGTGTTCGTGAAAAGGATTTGCAAAACTTACTTAAAATGTCATTTATAAATTAAAGATGTTTGACGACACTATTTAATTATGATTCGTTGAAGCTAAACAAACATCTTGTTATTACAATGTATGACTGAAGTAATTCTCCTACCGACTCATGTGTTGAACTTTGTAAATACTTTTTTAATGAGAGAATTGTGAGTTTGTTAAATAAAATCTGAAATGTTCTCGAGAATAGAGTTTGAAGTTTAAAAGCTTTTAAAAATTGAAGCTCACAGTCTTCTCTATCAGTTTATTGCAGCATAAATATGGTAAGGAAATTTATCTGTAGTATGCTTGTTATGTCTATTTATACGACGAGCCATCATGAGCAACATATTTTTTCATTACTTTTTCTTCCCATATTCTTTTTTATTTCCTTCTTTCGCCTTTCCTCAACAGTAATCATGAGGAATAATAACATTTGTTTTTTTGTTTTCCTCTTGTGGCGCTTTCGCTTCTACTTTCTTTGTGTAAGAACAATCATTAATCAACGAGAAGTTTATTCACAGTTTCAGAAAATTGTTATATCTTTTCCCAGCTTGTCGTTTTCCTTTCATTCTTCTCCCTCTCGTGTGACTTTATGTTGAAATGCTTGTTTCGAATTTATTAAATGGAAAACTCAAGTTATTCGTAACATTCAGTCACAGAAAGTTGAAATTCGTCATTTCCGAATTGAATTCATCCTTCTAATGAATATTTAATTTGAAGCATAAAAAAGTTTTCTCTTTCTTCTATCTTCAATTTCTCAACTTATTCAGTGATAAAAATGCTTTTAACACAAAAAATGATGCCTATTTCCAAACAGAATTTGTTTCATAAATATAAATTCTATTTTGAACTTCAAATGAATAGATAGATTTTCTGACCCAACTTAAATGATAGCTGAAAAAAAAATGAGAAGAGTAGCAGATACTAAGCGTCAGCACAAATAAAAGAAAGTTCTTTAAAGCGGAACAATTTCACAAGAATTTTCTGAAAAGATTTATTGAGTAAAATTTTTCCAAACTGAACAGAAAAAAACTTCCATGGCAAGTGAAAAACTATGTTGCTGAGTGAGGAAGACGTTAGAATGAAACGAAAAAAAAAGAGATTTTGCAATCTTTGAAGAACTTTAGGAAGGCGTGCTGAAGAAAGTTTTAATTATTCAACGAAATATTTTTCTAGTCTTCCATTTCTTTTTTCTTAATTCGGAATTCAAAAGAAATAAAATAAAGAAAATGAGTTTTCCATGGAAACTACTTAAAGTTCAATTAAAGTGCCATCTTATAAGGACTTTTTAATGCTGTCAAATCACATAAATATCAAGACAAGAAAAGATTGTTGACTTTCTTAAAGGTTTTCGTTATTTCTTTTTTGTGACGCGAATATTTACTGCTAATGCTTTCAAATGAATTTCCATTTAATGTTTTTAAGCTCCCAATATTCTCGCAAAAATAATGTTTTTAAATATTCATCACGACGAAGCAAGACACGCATTGTTTATGTCATTCTGTAACGTAGTGAAATTCTCGAAATTGTTTGTCTAAAGTGATTTTAAATGTTGATATTTTTCAAAATAAGTAGCACAAATGTGAATTTTATTGATTTGTTTTGGTGAAATAAAGTTCACTTTTGGGAGAAGACAAATATTTTAATCACTTGTACAATGAACCATTGAAGCATTGAAATCAGTCTTGAATGGAAGTGGGTGTTAAGCGATACACTGTCAAGCTCCAGATATTCTTTTTCTCTGAGAGAATTCCAATGGATTTTTCTTCTCTTTGCTCGTGCTCATGAAAATTTTCGGGAAATTTTTATCGAGAAGGAAAGAAAAACCACAACATATATCAAAAGCCCATACAACAACTATAATCTCATTTAGAATTCATTCATTGTTGGCACAAGATATGATTGCTCCATAAAAAAAAGAAAACGAATAAAACGAGCAGCGTTTCACTTCCGATAAGCAGCAAAATGATTATTCATAGCTGGTTTTGTTGTCAAATTTTTGATAAAAAATTCTATAAAACTGACTTGAGAGGTTCTCATTGAGATTCAAGCTTTCATCTTAGAGAACGAATAAAAGCTCATCATTTAATTGAATATTTCCATAAATTCTTATTTATTTTACTTCAAACAAAATAAGTATCAGCGAATAGAATTACGAAACGGAACAACGACAATAGGGAAAGGAAACAAGATTTTACATCACACAAATTGAAACAACAGAGAATATGCAAATTCATGAATATGAATCCTAATAAGACCCATCATCCACACTCAGAAATTCATCACATTCGGTGAATTTATTATCATCACACACATTAACTTTCTCCCCGCTTCTAGATCGAGTGATTTCGTTGCTTTCAAATGTTTTCATTTGCCAAAGTTAAGGCACATTAATTTTCATAGCCAGCATGGTTTTGAATTTCCACGCACGCATTTATTAAATAAGATGTTAAATTTGAATGATAATTAATTTCGATTTCCATTTATTATAGAACGGTGAAAATGAGACTTCGGCTCGTGCGCATCCCCTTTTTATGAAATCATGAAATCCGCCTCTCGTTAACGTCATCATTATGGGATAATAATAATAATTATGTTGTACGTGTAGTCAGCATGTGTAGCTTTATTTGATGATAAAAACTTTGTATTTATGCTACAAATCGACACGGGACAAAAAAAAGCGTTGTTTGCTTTTTGGTTTCGCTTTTCCCATCAAATGCTGAAACATATTCTATTCCATTTCAATTTCTCTCAACATAAATTTTTATTATAATGGAGGCATTGCATGCGAAGAAAAGGAAGAGGAAACAAAAAAATGACAAAAAATATGCGATGATCATAGACGGAAAATCAAGACAAATATGAGTGGAAATGATACTTCATCATGATGGAACTTAAACAATTACTTTGTCTTTTTGCCTTTCAAGACGTCGTGTTTCATGAATGTCTATGGAGAAGGCGCATAACAAGCGAGTTTACTTCAGCATGCCTTCTACATATCATTTCTGTCGGAATACAAGGAATTAAAATGTTGTTCTTTTATAGATCTTTTGTGTTTAAAATCTTTTGTTTTTCACTTTATGACGGTGGTTGAGCTGAAAAATGAAAATTCTTTAATGTAAAGAGTGGTTTAACAAAGTGTTGTGCACGTTTTGCTTTTACTTTGAAGATATTGTATTGTTGGTGTGGTTAACATTGAAACGGAACCTGAAGCGAATGCTTGAAGCTGAAAGAAATTTTCTTTTCTGTTGTTGGAGCCTCTTGAAAACTCAATTTTTTACACCATCCATGTCATCATAAAAGAATTCTTTAAAGCTGATTCAGTTTGGAGCATTCTCTCGCTCTTTATCTCTTCTTCTCGTTTCCTAAATAAAATGATTTCTTAAACATGTTAACGCGAGCGCTTTATGTTGCGTATGTTTATGCAAATCAATGTAGAAATTCACAATTAATTTCCCCAGAAGATTTCTTTACTTCGTAAAGAAGAAAGCGTGGCGCAATCAAGATAAAGAAATTATTTTTTACGCTCTCGACAATATTTTCTACGCCATAACGCGCACCATTGAAAAGGTGGGTGGGCAAAGCAAAAAAAAAACGCACAAAACCAGGAAAAGCGTAAGAATGCTTTCCTAATTATTCATAAAAATCACGATGAATTTGTCACGTTCAAACATTTCCCAAAGCGTTAAAATAAAGTCACAACGACTGAAATGGTTATGGATAAATTAAAAGAGAAAGTCCTTAAAGCGTGTTAATAAGGCAGACAAGAGGTGAGAAGAAATGAAATGAAAGAAATATTTTTTTTCCTTTGATTAACAACAGTGACTCGTGGAAACTTAACTGAGTACTACTTAACGGAATGGATGTTTGCATGACTTGGTTTTGACTTTTGTAAAGTCATAAAATGAAAATTAAATGTTTCTCCTTGTAAAAAGTTAATTGTCACGTCTTAGAGCTTTTGAAAGTCAAAGAATATTAAATTGGAAGAATGTAGTTGGAAATCAAGTTTCTCTGATGCTTAGCAAACATATTCAGGCACATAAAAGTTAAATGAATTCTTTAATCTTTCCAAGTTAATTTTCAAAACTTTACTTTCATTGTTGATACTAAGTAATAAAATTATTCGAGAACTAAACTCTTGTAATATATTTAAACTTTATGTTTCATGGATTCAAACTTTGATTTAGAGCTTTCGATGGTTAAAATCTTTATATACATAAGATGTGAAAACTATTAAATTATATTTAAACTATTCATAGTGTCGCATATAAATCTGAAAGTATTCTCTTTTTATTTTATTTCAAAACTTAACTATCTGAATTTTGGATTTTTGAACATCAATTTTAAAGTTTAGAAATTTTGGATTTCATTTCAGTTTTCCTGCTTAATATTTTAAAATAATTTTAACTTCTCATTATGCAATCTATATGAAACACTTAAATCTCAGTCGTTGAATAACAATTTGATACTTTTAAGGATTTCAATTAATTTCAATCCTTCAAGCTTAAGAAGCGTTCATATAATTCATTCAACTATTTATTACGACTGAACATAATAATTTGTTTGTGTTTCATTTAATTTCCACAAATAAACTTTCAGATCATAAAAACAATCTCATAAACTTTCCGAAAGAAGATAAATATTAATGATAAAATGTGAATAAATATTTTTAGTTAATTAATGTCGTCGCGTGAACAAAGCTTAGCGTTAGTAGAAGCTTAAAATTCATGATATCAAATACTACAGCTGAAAAATTGTAAGATTGCTGACAAAAAACCATCATTCATGAAGGAATGTGAAACATTTTGTCTACGATGTTTTTTAAAAAAATGCACAGAAGTTACCATAATAAATATTCTACATATTGGAATTTTCATATATTCACAGTACACAACATGATTTTTTTGCTATTTAAGTGCATAAAAAATAAAATGTATTGATTTTTTTTTTACTGGTATGCATAAAACATTCTCGAATGATATTAACGAACTTTGCTAAAAAAAAAAGCAATTTTAACATCCAAATAACCACGAGCTTGCTTTTCCGAAATAAAACCAAAAAACTGATAAAAGCGACGTAGCTGTAGGACTAAATGTTTATGATCCCATTAAAAAGAGAATTTTCAGAGATCAAAACAAGTTCAATGTTGTTGCGAAACATATCTTGTACAATGTTAAAAATAAGCATAAAATGTTCATCAATCTTTTTTGCTTGTTTCGAAAAAATCTAAATTTTAAAAAGGTTTTGAAAATTGAGATTAGTTCACCGGTGTATGCTGCACAAACTCAACATGTTCAGCTTTAATTCTAAAATTTTCTATGATGCTTGTGAATAAATAATGTTCAAGTTAATCTTAAATCGTGCTTTAAGATTATAAACAAATTATTCAAATAATAATGAAAATTATCTGACTTGTTTCATGGCGCAAAATCAAAATGTGATTTCAATAAAATTCATTAGAATAGATAATTAGTTTCTGTGACAAATTTTATATCACGAAACAGCCAGAAACTGTTTCAATACATAAATCTAGCATATATCCATGTAGATAATTTGACAGCTTTTTAATCTTTAAAATGAAAGCTTGTTATTCGAAAATATTTTTAATTGGTTTGTAATGATTAAATCTTTATAGGCTTTGACAAAATGTTTCTGTTTTCCTCTTTAAAATGATTAAAAAATTCAGCAAATAGGAAAGATTTAGAATAAGGATATTCTCATTTATCCTTGAATTAATTCAAATGTATCTGATTAATAATTTTCCAAATCTTTTGATGATGGTACTTATGTGATTTATATTTATTGCTCTGATACACAACTCATTCCAAAGTAATATTTATTCAAATAGAAAGCAAAAAATATTTTAAAATCTCTTTTGAATTCAGAATCCAGCTGTGGCAATGAAGGAGGTTTAAAGAAATAATGTTCAAGTTTACCATTAATCTAGCCTAATTATGAGTAACAAGCGTTCAATTTATAAATTTTTGATCAATCTAAGTTGTATCTTAAAACTCACACGCAAATTTTAACATTATTGAAAGCATTGAAAAAGGTAAGCAAGTGTACTTGTGGGAGGTGAGTTGGTTTTAATTCTTAAATTAAAATCTTAATCTTTCTCAACAATCTGATTATGTTCCAACTCTCTTTTCAACAATACCAACCAAATACTGTTAACAATAACATAAAAGCTTGCTAACATTGCAACATTAAAAAATAATTCTCATTAACTTCCGAAACACTAATAACTTCCTTTTGCTAATTTGTAAAGTTTCACTTGAGGAAAATAGAAAATTTAACAAGTTGTAAGTAATTAAATTCGTTTGACTATGCTTTGTGATGCTCAAAATACTTTATTGCCTTGTTATTTGCTTTCTGTCGACATTTTAAAATTATAAATAATCTTCTTGTTGTATATTTAGCATGTAAGTTTCATGCTTTCCTCCACCCACACTTTGATATCATCAACTTGAATGTGAAAAGCTTTTTAACTTTCTTTTAAAGAAAAGAGAAAATCATCGACTCCTTATCTCGTCATTTTTCACTTTGGAATGAAACTCTGAAATATATTTATTTACCTTCCTTGTTTGTAGCAATCAATTGCATTGCGCAAATAAATAAGAGTTTCATTCTTCCATTCTTCTCTGTTTGTTCGGCAGCACGATTTTCAAATATTCTCATTCCACTACATATAGTTAAAACCTTTGTTGCAAGGAGTGTGTAAACGAGTTGAAGTAGGTTGCATTACATAGATAAAGTTTTGTACTGCTTAATAGCTTCACTTGAACTTTAACCTGTGCCGTTAAAATCACTTCTTTAATCATACAAATGTGTTGTTCATAACGTTCATCTACCCAAAACAATTTATCTATGACTGCAGGCAACGTGTTTAAAATGTATTAGAGTGTTTTTCAGGTGCTACATTTGAAAGCTATATATTGCTACATTACACCTCTTCGCCTTGTTTTAGAGCTTAATTTATATTCTCTCATTATTTACGATTTCTGCCGAGAACAATTTCACTCTCGACTTATAGTATTGCAGAAATTGCTACGAAGTGCCTTCTAGTGTCAAATGACTTTTTCAAAATTAAACTTCCAGAATCGAGAACGAAAGGAAATAACCAGTTGTACGATCTGTTATGCTACACACAAGTATGTGAAAAGAAAATTAAATCAAAGTTTTGTAAAATTGCTGTTGTTGTTCTTGCAACCATGTACGTGAAGGAATTTTTTGATAAATCTGAAACAGGTAAAAAGCGAATGGAAGTTGGGAAACGGATTCAAAATTCAACATAAAACTTTATGCTAAATAGAAAAGTGTAAGGATAGCACCTGAAAATTTCTTTAAATTCTTTCTGTTGAATACCCGAAAGACAAATCGTGACTAATTAGTGGTTAATTGTTTGGGTTATAAAGACAGTTTGTAGATGCTTAACAAAGTTCTCAATTCACTGATTATAATTCAAACAAGTGTGATCATTTTTTCACTTTTACAAAGTGTAAGATTTTATCAAATAGAAAATCAGAGACGTTTAACTTCATAAAAGCCATTCAAACTTTGATGATATCAACTTACATCTATTCAATCGCTTTTATGTCATCAAACATAATAAATTTACTTTGCACCATGAAGAAATCTTGAGATTAATGTTAGGGGAAAATAAAAAGGAAATCAATTAGATTTATTAAAATTTGAATAATGAGATTACCCTTTAAAGGCGATAGACTTTTAATCAGTCTTCGTGAAAGACTCGAGACCCATGGGTGAATTTAATTTTCCTAACTCAACAGTCTCGAGAAGAAGGGAATTATCGATTTAGATTTTAATCCCTCGAAACGAGTCCCAACAAGAGCATTTATCTTTGCGGATACTTAATCCCCTACCCAGCCACCCTGAAATAATAGACTTTCCCGGGAAAGCCGTTTCAGTACCTCTCTCAATCATCTTTTCTATGGACGCATCCTCCTTTCTTCGTTAACAATAAAGAAAATTGATAATTGTAAGCAGATCATTTTATGATCGCTACGGAAGCAATTGATTGTTAACGAAACATTCAACTGGGAACAATTCCAATGTTAAATTACCCCACAAAAAGGAATTTCATGGTTTTTTTTTTGTAACGGATGACGATAACAAACGATTCTGGGATTGGTGAAAAAAGGAAGGAAATTGCAAGCCATAGAATCAATTAATCTAGATTAAGACGAAGCTAAGAAGCTTTTTCTCAATGATAAGATGTTGTAATCATTGATGCTTAAGCCTTCAGATCTTACGATTAAGGGGATTAAAGATTACGAGACATTTTGAAATCTAAGGTTACTTCATCATCGTTTAGCGGTTACAGAGAAAGAAAGATGGAGGGAAACAAGACATAACTGCAAGAGTGACGGTGATATGCTTGGAAAATTATTGTCATTGACGGCGTAAATTGAGACTGTTAATCTTCTCTTGCGATGAAACATGAAAAAGCATACGAATATTGGAAGGAATTGCATACTTACGCAATATTTTATCCAATTAATGAGGCATTAGAGATTAAAGAATGTGTAGGAGACGACGTGGGACGAAATTACAGAATAGACATTGGAATGTACACATTATGATATTTCTATGGTTGTCCTTTTATCTCGTAAACGAGATTTAAGCATTCGGTCGATTAATTAATTATGTATGAGTGGCTCATAACATAATTCGTGTTGCTATTTTCTCTTTTATTTACTCGGTAATTAGCCTCAATTTGATTCATTCGACCAGTTAATGAGATCTTGAAAGTGTTAGAGGGAAAAATTTTTCGTGGGAAAATGAAATTGAATTTATGGTTCATGGGTTGAAACCCAGAAGAGGTTTATTTTTCTTTGTTTCAAACAATAAAAATAATTAAGCAGCCTAACAGAGTATAATAAAAATGGAAATGCGAGGATTATTCAATTCGATTTAGTTTATTAATTGTTTCTTTCTTTATTATGCTTTTAGTGACGAGATTTTCTCATTGTTGTAATTGGATATTCTAAAACTTTAATTTATTGTTGTTTGTGAAGGATTTTGAATCAAAGATTTGTGAAAGCTTCCGTTGTGGCATGCGTTGTGGTCACATAGATCCTAAAGATATAAATATGAGCATCAACTAAAGTAGAATTCATGAATTTAATCTCAAAAGCTATCAAGAAAATCTTTCATTAAATTCATGAAAACTTTTAAAGCCTGAATTTGACTCTTTTTTTATTGAAATCCCTTTGGACGTAAAGCTGTCAATAAATAAATGAAATTTATGAACCTAGAAAACAAAAATTAAATTAGTTTAATTAAGAATTTTCATGCAATTCCATTGAGAGTGTTTCAGATCAATTTCATGATGTTTGTCATTATTTAAATTATCCAATTAGGAGCTGTTAGTTAAGGGAGAAAGCCATGCGACGAATTTAGGGAATGGTGGGAAATAAAAATAAATTTCAATACAAATTACAGATTTTTATGGTTTTTTGTTGTTATGGATGGAAAAAAGGGCGATGATGATGAACTCAATTTTACTGCTTCGATAGAAGAACTCAAATAAACCTCTTTGGGTCGTCGCTGTATGTGTTCGGTATCCTGCAGCGGTCTGTAAAGTGGATAGCTGCTTAAGAGTGGGAGGAAAAAAATCATCATAAAATAAATGAATGACTGTTGAAACAAAAAAAGAAAAAGAAAGGAAAACAGATATAAAAAAAGCGACGAGAGCTACAAAGGCTCGTTCATCAAACACAACAAAAAAAAAAAAGACGAACAAAAAGCTTTTTGAAATAAAATGCTTCATGTCATCAATTCTTTTCATCGACTGATGCTTGAATATTTTTTTCTTCCCTCTCCCTGTCTTGATGGCTTTCTATTCAAAAAGCTATGCAGTTGGTCGTTCGAATGAAGTGGCAAACGAAAAACCACAGTGGCACACAAAAAATATGAAGCAGTAGGTTGATGTTCCTTTTGTGCTTTGTTGAAACCACTCTCGAGACATTTTCCTCTTGAATTGTTCGGAAACAATGCAATTGATGAGCAAGTTTGAAGAAATCCATTTACTTTGATGCTCATTAAAATGTCAATGTTATGTCATTGAAAGTTCTTTGATTACAGTGGTCGGTTCAGCCTATCTCTCTTCTTTTGACTTCAAGAACTGACGTTGACAATGAATTCTTCCCAAACATTCTTTTTCTTTGTTTGTGTAACTTTTGTTGGCCTTTTTTCCACTTCTTCTCTCATCTCCAACCTTTTTCCTTCATTGTTTGTTTAAACATATTGCCTGAGGGGTTCTAAAAGTCATCAAGATTGCAGTTCCATTGAAAGAAAGCGTAAAAATAACCATTGTGATGATGGAGAAGCGAGCGAGAGACGTTTGAGTAAATTTAATTCAACCATCGTTGATTGACATTTGATGATGCTAAAATTCGATGAAATATGAAAGCTTTTATAATTCAAATTGACTCTAAGAATAAGGAAACTTTAAGATAAAATATGAACAACGCAATACGCTAAAGCATAAAATAAATTTTCATTCTCAAAAGCCTGGGTCGAATAATCGACATGGCCTACATTTTTATGTTCGAAATGTTAAAAGCTTCTCTCATATGTACGAATATAAATGATCATTTTCCCCTCGCAGCTCATGTCGAATGATGATTCCATTTTTTAGGCCATAAATATTCGTTTGATGCTCAGAAAAAAAAGAGACAACTGAGGAAGTGAAAACCGCTGAAGATTAGATTGCTTCCCTTTTGTGTGTGTGTGTGTTTGTGTGCAATGATTTTTGATTGAGTTCAGATCTAACTGGAGAGTGATGGATTTTTGCTATTTCCTACGATAATTCATCTTTTGTTGTTTTCATTTTTTTTTTGTTCTGTTTGCGCCTATGAAAAATGGAAAAGTTAAATTTCTTTGTTGATTTTTGCGTGGGCGTTTGATTGGGAAAAGTTATTAAAATCAAAATCAATTGAAATAGCTCAATTCAAAAGCTATTGTAGGCTTTATCTATCTTCGTTTTATATGCTTGAATCATCAGTCAGCTCAATAGCTGTAACATCATTCTGAAACCTGTCCCGTATTCAATCATCGGTTGAAGAGATGGGAGGTATAAAGAATAGCAGACATTTTTCATTCTCAATGGATTCAGATGCGAAATATAAACCTCACTTCAATGTCAGAAAATCGTGAGGAATTTTAGAATGCACATAAAATTGATGTTTCGTTGATTTAATGTCGACTGGAATAGATATGGAAGAAAGATAAAATAAATCTGAAGATCCTTATGAATACATCAACTTCTTATTTTTAAGCAATAATTCAAGCAGTGGGAGCAGACAGAAACCACTCAGTATTCAGTTTTTGAATAGTTAAACTAAATGTGCATAAAAACTTTAAAAACTTTAAATTTTATGTCTGACTTTTCTTACTCGAAGATTCCCTGTGGTATTTTTATTTTTTAGTTTTCTTTTTCTCGGCAACGTTTAAGTCAAATGTTTTAAAAAGCTTTTCTTTCCACTACAAATAACTCACCAAATATTGGTTTTATAGCGACATGCGATGGTTGTATAAGCTTTCGTGTTCAAATAACAGCATTACTAGAAGCAAGTTTCTCACCACGTAAAAAAATAAATAAATAAATATATACAAAGAAATATTGCTTTTAGACAACCTTTGAAAATTTTAATAATTGCACAACCAAAAGAGAGAAAAAGTTTACAAGTAGATATTTACATTTTATTTCAAAAAGCAACATTTCATGCTTTTAAGTTGAAACTTCTACAAAGCTTTTTTACTTTGGTTTTCATCATGGAAAGAAAAGGAACCAAAATAAATGAAATTTCATTTTAATTTTCATTAAATTTTACAATAAATCTCGAGGAAAAAGAAAAACAAAAACGAGAGTAACGATCGTAATATTTTTTTTTCACTTTAAAATATGCGGGGGTGTGGTTGACTTTTGAATGAAAATTCAATAGCTTTAAAGAAAGTACATTTGAGATTAATTAAAATAGAAACAAGGGAATTGCAATAATGCGTAAGATGCAGGATTTTTTTTTACATTTTAATTGGCAGTATCAAATGTCGTTTCTATAAAATAAATTTTTTATTTTTTATTTGAACAAAAAGGAAAAAGAAACAAATTCTAAATTCGATATATTCACGAGTTTGTACGTTTTGAAATCTAATCTGGCGACTCCATAAAGCGACTTGTTTGTATACTTTTCTCCTTGATTATATTTTCCTTTTATTTACAATATTCCAATGATATTTACAAATACAATGATAGGAAAATCAACTAAATAAGCTACTTCTTGAACTCCACTCACCTCAAATTACCTTTAAAGCAACCTTGCAATTAATGATTATTTCTCAAAGGCAATCACATTTAGCAATTAAAATTCTATGATAAAACTCAATAAAGAATGGGAAAGAGAGCTAAAAAAACTGTTCATGGGTGGAATAAAATTCTGCTACATATTTCTTGCTTCCCACATTGTTGTGGGTGGACATAGAATCGTTATTACAATCCAAATAAAGGTGTATCCACTGTGACGTGGAAAATTGGATATAGCCGCGTGCCTTGAACAAAATAACAATAACAGCTTTTTTTCCTCTACCATTCAAAGTGAACAGCAATAAATTATAATGCAAGTTACACTAGGAATGTTACCAGTCAGTAGTAGGAGACAGGGAAAGGAGAAAGTAAAATGGCGAAACTCATAAACTATCGTTGCAATTCAAAGCTTAAATATAATGTGAAAATATCCAGGTGGACGAGTGAGCAGTGGTGAAATACGTAATCGCATCGGATTTTAAAATTCTCTTTCGGCACTTTAAAAAAAAAAAATTATTTACGGCGTGTGTAGGCGAGAAGTGAAATAAAAAGAGAAAAACCACCGCGGAGGAATTATCGTTTCCAACGCGAGTAAAATATTATTTAAAGGAAGGAGAAACTTTTATTGTTTGCAGTTTGTGTTTGTGTGCATGTTAATTCCATTATCTTTTAACAATTATTCCATTTCTAATTTATCACACTTTTGCAAACAACTTTTTCTCGTTCGCTACCTCCCACCATACTTTTCCATTTTTTGTGTGTTTCTTTCTTGTTCGCTAGGCTGAAGGCAAATGGCATGAGCGCTTATGCTAAGCAGTCTGTCGAGTTTTGCAACAAGCAAACCCAACTCAGACAGGTTCGCTTTTTTAAAACATAAAAGAAGTAATCACGAAGAGAAAACTTTTATTGCGTGAAAATTGTTTAACTTTCTCGATGCTTCCGTTTTTGACGTTATTTTCCGAAAAACAAACGGGGAAAATATGAAAAAATATCAAGGAGCTTATATGGAATGATTTTCCACGATATGTCACTTTTAAGACATGTTTTGGACGTGTTGTTGTGTTTTGATAAATTTTTCTGACAACATCTAAGGTCGAAGCTCTTCCAATTAGTACGAAGCAATCACTGATGTTCTTTTTCCCAACAAATTCATACACTTCCGATCCGGAAACGACACAAGAACAACAACCTGTCTTCAAAGGTTAACAACATTAGACGAAGGGAAATGTGTCACATGGCAAATACGATGGAAGGAAGACATTTGCATTAAGCTTTTCCTTTAACTTATAACGTTTGAAACTCTAGCAAGAGTAACCTGAAAGCGAATTATTAAAGTTTGATTAAAGTTCATTACTTTTTTTTAAAACATAAATGTGATAAAATTTTATTGACTTTTTTTCTCAATTTTTTTGCAGTGCAGATCGGGACGATAAAATCCAATTACACAATTTTTTTACTCATCTAAAGGTACAATTTTTCACATCCCAAATATTTAACTTGTTCTAATTGTATCCATTGAACCGTAAATTAAATCTATTACTATTCTTTCTCTTCTTTTCTTTGATTAATTAATTTAACACAAATTTATTAGTCTTTTCATTCGCTGTGGTACAATGTTTAACACATAAACCGGCAATTTCTGTAATAAGTTTGGATCTACTAATGCCACTTTATTGTTGGCAGTTTGGTATCTACAAAAATTATAAAGAGAAAACTTTAAAACTGATTTTAAACTAAATTTTCATTACCCTCAACAAAGTTACTTCAACAGATCCAAAATTTCTACATTGAATTATGTATGTTTTTGCGTTCTTATAGTGACAAAAAAATAAAAATAAATAAAATTAAGTTAGATTTAATTTGACTTTTCAACAGTTTTTCATTTCACTTCACATATAAATTTTTCTGTTCCGAGTGGAGTTTCCAATCGTGACGTTAAAACGTCGTTAGGCTTGTTAGTTTTATTGAGTAGCTTAGTGCCTTTAAAGCTAATGACAATCTTAATGCAACTTTACATATACTTTTCTTTAAACACTCAACTTTTCTTGTTCTGCAATTAAATTCACTCATAAATTTTTAAGGAAAAATAAAAATTCAAGAATATTTATCCTTTCGACCATTAATGGACTTTCAAAAGCTTTTATTATTTCTTTTTTTTTATTGTTATTATCCTCTGCAGTTTTAATTTTAATGCCATGAAATACTTTTTTTTTATTCCTTCTCAAGTGTTTCGTTTTCTTTTTCCCTGTGTAAATCATTTTAAGTAGAGCTTGCATTCATCACATTTCTTTTTTTAATTTGAATGTTTTTCCTTCTTTTGGCATTTAATTTCGTTCATGTCGGTCGAGAATTGAGCGTAAAATAAATTGTTTTCGTTTCCTGCGATAAACAAAGTCGGTTTTTTGTTTATGTTTAGAAGATATTTTAAAGGTTCTGACATGACTTTTGATTCTTCTGATTGGATAACAAACAGACAGCTAAACTTTAAATAATTTTGAAGAAAATTAAATTTTTGTAATAAATTTTACTTGATTATGAACTTTTCCGGATGACACGTTTAGGTTTATTCACATTAATGATATATTTCTGATGTTGTAGCCTTCGTTGATCGTTTCTTGTTGTTGATGATGTTAAAGCCATTGGAAAGTATTGTCGAGTGTGGTTTGTATGCTGAATAATATTTGGTTGTCATCTGTTCTCTTGACTTAATCGTCGAATTGCTGATGATAAACGATATGCACGAACTTTTCCATCACTGAGCAAGAGATTAATGTCGAAGTGTGAATAAAAATAAAGCAAATTAGCGTAAGCATCATGATGAATGAAATCAACGTTGAAATTATTGTGAAATGTCATAAAAGTAAGGAAGAGAGAGAGAATGAGAGAAAAAAAATTAAATTAAAAATATTTGTTTGAAAAAGTAGCAAAATTGTTATTTAAAATAAATCGCAGTAGAATCTCTTTAATCGGAAGATTTTATATCCCAGATTATCGAGATTTTAATGTAGTCAAGCTTAAAATTAAAACAACTTTTCAAATCCTTTTCATGATAGCAAAACAAGAGTGAGGTGTACAAATTTTAAAATAATTTCAAGAATGAATTTTACTGGAGGGAAAGAAAATACTACAATTTAGATATTTAACCATGTAGTTAATATTCTTCTCGTTCGGGTAGTTTTCCCTCTTAAGGATATTGTAAAAGAATTTCCATTATCATGGTAAATTTTTCGTTATTTATCTTTTTTCTCAAGAGTTGTTTTCCCTTTAGTGTATTTACACCTCACTCTGTAATAGAAAAGCTTTCTCTAGAGTGAGAAGTTGAAATAAAAGAATGAAGTGCAGTGATGCAATGCGATTATGATTCATAAGGAAAGAGTTTATTTATTTGAGTGCATCATCATATAAAATGCTAATAATTGAAAGAGTTGCTTGAATGAATCTTTGAAGATTAATTTCCATCAGAAACTTTCTGTTACCTATCGCGATTTATGTTTGAAAGTTTCTCTTTTTTTCTTCAACGAAATCAACATAAACAGAAAGTGATGGAACTAAAATCTTTTATCTTAGCATAAGATGAATGTCTTCTATGGAAATTTCCAGTTCGTGATTTCATTGTGAGTTATGGGAGCTCGTAATAATGATGATGAAAATTTTGAGTTTTGAGTTTTCATTCCCCTGAGCAACTCCTCATTCGTGCATTGTAAATTGTGGTGAATAAATGATTTCCAGGTGCATTTTACGATGCAGAAGATAAACTAAATGTCTGATTGAAATAAATTTTTCTTTAATGTTCATTGCGAAACGAGATTTACTTTCTGTTCTTCTGCAAAACGAGACGAAAATGCAGAAAAAGCAGAAAATTCATTAATTTTCACAATTTTTTTTCTTCATTCGTGAACGAACGTTGTTATCAATTGACTCAGACAACATGAGAATGAATTATGTTCAGTTTGATAAGAAGTTAATTTTAGAAATTAAAGCAGAATTTCCACAACATTGGACGGATATGAATCTTCGATGAAAATTGTTGCTTAAGTCAGCAGTAAATGAAAATTTATGAATATTCTTCACATGACAATATGAAAATGGTGGGAGAGAGTGGAGGGAAAATGTTTCGAAATTAGCTTTGAAATTAGAAAATTCGGATGATGATGAATGGAATTATTAATGCGACATATTCAGACGTATCATTAATTAATTAGCATGGAATAAGATATCAGAGCTGTAGCGGTAATTAATCATCGAAAAAAAGCCTAATCGTGTTTGAAACTAACAAATTCAATTAATATTTATGTATAGGAGAAACTTATTGCATACACTTTTCCATATTTATGATTCAATGTGAAGTTAAGTCGAATTTTGTTTAACAGAAGCAAAGAATTTTGATATTCTGAGTCACAGTCATGTCATCATCCGAAGCTATTGAGTAGACTTCATAGGAAGGGTTGCATATTTACGAACCATAAGACAAGCGCTATTGCGATGGTCAGACATATCCAGTCGTACCTTCAAAGTTAGAACGAAATTTATTAATATTATCGTGAATTTTATATCAGCTTATGTGGTGAATTATGGTAAATATTTGCTGGACGAAATTATTTTACATGATGTGGTATGACAATTGAATTACTGAATAGTTTTAATATTTAAAATCATCAAAATTTAATTTTTATTATTCAGAGAATGATTTTCATTTCTTTTTGAATTAAATATGTAAAAAGATTTCTTCATTTCTATCTCAATTATATATTTTATACACATTAATTTAGATCCAAAAATGGATTTTTGACCACGTCATTAAATTTGTAAATAGAAACCTCGAAATTTCAATTAATTTAAGCTTTCTTTTTTGTACATTGCAATTAAACTCTTTAAAATTTAAGTTCATTTCATGCATCGATGATGAAAATTAAACCACGAACGATGTGCAATAACAAATAATGAACAGCAGTTTCTCGTCAACCACGTTCAAATTAATTAACATGTCAAAGCTTTAGTTTCGAGGTGATTGAAGAATAATCAACGTGAGAACATATTGTGAAAAATTTTCATATGAAAGACGAAATAAAAACAAACGACACACAAAAATAACAAAAGGAGTTTGTTTTAATTGAAAATAAAACCGAAAGCTTACAAAATTCACCAGTTAGTGTTAGTTAAGCATATCTTGTCGAGTTGTAAAATGAACCAATGTGTCATGAAGTTTCTTTCTACTTTTTCTGTTGATTCGACGAAGAAGAAGAAGCTTTGCTTGATGTGACAATCTCGTTTGCAAGGCGCCAAACACGAACTTCGCCCGAACTTTATGATGTTGAACATGCAGCAGATGGACGGACGAAAAGAAATTAATTATTTTTCATTGCATCATTTAATCGAACGAAGACAAGATGAGAAAGTTATAAAAAAGATTTTTTTTATTCGTTTATTCCATCAATGAGCGTCGTGATTTGGAAAGAAACGAAGAATGAAAAGGATTGAAAGTTTAATTAAAAAGAAACAATGTTTTCTTCTTATTTTTTACTTCTTTTTTAAAAAGCAGATGAAGAAAGTTTAACTCACTTTGAAGCTGTAAAAATTCGATTGTCAGCACAGGTAATGTCATTGATTGAAGCTTCAGTTTTCATCTCAGCAAGAGCATCACAAGATTTTACATTCCACAGACGAATTAATCCACCTCGACAAGCAGACAGAAGAATGTCAGAATAAATTGTCATTCCTGAGACCCAACCTTTGTGAGCATTGTTCATTGATTGTTTTAATTCACCGTTGCGTAAATCCCAACGTTTGATACCAGAATCACGTGAACCGGAGAATAATTCAGCATCAACACCAACTGATCCGCGCGAAACCACAAGAGCTTGGACACCATCGTAATGCGGTGGCTCAAGATTAAGCAATGGAACGACAGTTCCGCCAGTTGATGCAACTTCAAACACCTGTAAAAATAATCAAAATTAACATCCACTTAAATTATTAGTGAAGAAGGTTAAACAAACCTTAACGTAATGATCTTTTGAACCAGTTGCGACATAATCTGTATTTCCTGGGCCATCCCATGTTGTCACGCACATCACAGCTGCTTGATGTCCACCAGAAAGTTTTCCAATACACGAAAACATTCTCAAATCCCAAAAGCGAACTTTATCGCTTGCAGCGGTGTACAAATTGCCGGATGTTGTTCCCATCTTTAAAGCTGTTATTGGAGATTCACCAGTAGGGATAGATGAGAGATTTGCTGAACCGGAAAGTGCTACGCCCGAAGAGCAAAGCGTTTTAATCGGACGAATATTTGACTCACGGAGATCCCACGTTCTTATAAAAGCGCCCGAAGCTGAGAAGAGAATCTTTGAAGATTTATCGTACTCGACGCCTACCACTGGGCCAGGATGGGCTGACAAGCTAATGGATTACATGAAATGAATTTTTCTTTATGATGATGATGAGATTTGTAATCATTCAATTCATCTTACCAATGAGGAGTGGCTCCCGTTCGTAAATCCCACACTTTACATGTCCGATCTGCTGCAGCAGTGAAAAGCATCGTATCAGATGCTTTTATAGCAAGCACTGAATTGCTATGTCCATCAACAATATGAGTACACAAAAGTGGTGATCCAACTTTCATCTGAACACAAACATGATGATGATGATGATGAAAAGTTAATAATTTTTTATCACTTACTCTTCCATTGAAATCCTTAATAGAACCACCAGGTGTTGGATCTGAAATTCCAGCACCAAGTCGTGAAAAAACATCGCCTTCTTCACGTGAAATTCCTCGTCGATAAACAGGTGGCGATGATGGCACTTCCGTTGCATCCTCTCTGATGTCATTTAGTTTTGTTTTTGTTTTGTTAATGTTTAAGATGTTAAATTGTTTGGTGCACAAAACGAATGTTGGTTAGTAGTAGCGAGACAGATGAAAGCAGGCAGCAGGTCAGACAAATGTAAATATAAAAATGAAGCCCATGAATAAAACAGTTGAACAATTTATTTCTTTGCTTTTTTCTCTCTGTTCCCGACAGATGAGATCGCGTTAAAGCGAGAGATATGGCAAATTAATTCAGTGCACATCACATTTTTTAAAGTCGTAAAATGAAGTTAAAAGAAAGAAAAAAGTCAGCTTGAAATCTGGTTAATGGAGTCAATGGCAGAGAACAGATTTTTTAACTTGGGATTAGCTTCTTAGCATTTTCCATCCATCAGCAAGCGACGGATAGAAATGAAGAAGGAAAGAAAAAATTTATTAATTTCTTCTCTTTTCTTCATCGTTTGTTTTTGTTTGGCGTTAGAGCTTAAGTCGAAATGTGGAGCGGTAGCAGCAAAAGCGTCAGAAGCAGTAGCAGAGAAGAAGAAAAAATTCTCTGCCACCCACGACATGTGTCAATAGAGCTGGCAATGATTAATGTCGCTTATTTTTGGGTTTGGAAAGGAAAAATGGTTTCGTCTTCGAGTCACTTCTTCGCCCTTCAATCATTTGGAGAATTTAATCTCTCTTGATGCTTGGGCATCGAGGTTGTCTCGGTGAAAACAATTTTCATTACCTTCCAAATCCAAATCCTTCTTCCCTTTAACAGATGAAGGATAAGAAGCGCATATTCAGCTTGCTATGGAATTTAAAGTCCCAATCATCATTGTCAGTGTGCCGGATTAGAAATTAAAGCGAATTAATTCCACTGACTGTTTGTGAGTTGGCTGGTGTTGTTGTGCAAAAGGGATTCGGTCGTGTGCAAAATGATGATAAAATAAGACAAAACAATCAGAAAAAAAATAATCCACTAAAAAAATATGTGTACGACAATCCTGATGATAACAAAATGTTCTCTCGGTTCATATTGCGGTTTGGTGATGAATGAATTGAATTCAGAAGGGACACGCTTGTCGAAAATGAAAACAAGAATAACAAAAATGTGTGAAGCGCAATTATCTCAGATCTCGTGTTGACGACAACTCCCCGAGACTACCACGGATGAGACACGGAAACAGCGAACAAAAAAATAAAATACAAAATCCGGATGTTATGAAAAAAAGATGAAGATCAGAGCTCGAGTTTGGGATTGTGTTCAAAATGAATATTCACGATTTTGCTGCCAACCTCTGATCTAAACTTTTTCATCGGCTGAACTTTAATGGTTTTTCATTCTAACCCATTAACAATCGGAGTATGAGATGGGAAACAAGACAGAATGTTAAACAAATGCCAAATACAATGTTTGACAAATAAAAATCAACAACATTTGATCATCCCTTATGTTCTCACATCGACATGCAGTTTTATTTTCATTTGATTTCCCTTCATAGTTAGTTTTATCCTTTTTTGTCGGTTGTTATAAAATTTTAACCAATTTTTCGAATTAAATTAAAGATTCACGAGAAGTGACCGTGAATAGAATTAAAAATAAACCTCGGGTCGAGGCAAGTTGAATTAATTATGTATTGTCGACATAAAAAAAAGAGTTCGGTAAATTTATTTTTATTCTTTGTTCCTTTTTCTTATATCCGAAAGAGTTTCTTTTTTAATAACTGCGTACATAAAATATTATTATTAAATTTTCATCGATTTCATTTTCCCGAGCAAAAAGTTTAATTAACAAAAATTCAAATTCAATGAATTAATAACTGAAAAGAAAAAGAAAAGTAAAAAAAAAATCAAAAATAAACAAAATTGGGTCAATAAAACTTTTCCGACGATATTTTTCTCTCTGTTTAAAACTTTACCCACGCTAATTTTATGTTTGTCATTTATTGACTTTTATCGTATTGATAATCGTGTTGAAAATTAAGAATATTTTCTTTGCCAAAAGAATTAAAAGCGAAGGAAAGGAAGCATGTTGTTAACTTACAAGCCAGGTGATGTTTTATTCGACAATTGACGTCGCATAACACGTGGCGATTGTGGCACAAGTGACTGTGGTGCGTTAACATCAAGCTTACGGCTAAACATTGGTGATCCCGCAATGGCACTTTTCTGTCGTGTCAATTGGACGTTTTGTGACGTGTTGTTTCTGAAGAATTAATTCATTGAAAAAAAAGAACACAAAAATGAAACAAGAGGATTTAAGTGACGACGTAGATCAAGCTGTCAATGATGGGCAATGTTGAGGTGTCAACATATAGAAAGGTCACATAAATCCATCACATCAACACATAAAACTACTTAATCCAAACGTCGTCAGAAAACAAAGAAAACCAAATCGGGAAACATTCGAAGATAACGTTTAAGGATTCAATTCTACCGGCTTAAAATCTGTGACAATCAGAACACATAAACGCATAACTTCGAATGTCCCCAAATCACTCACTTCTGATCCTTCAAAGATCCGGGCGCTGATGGAACGCGCGCCAAAGGAATTAAACTGCTTCTACTGCTACTGTCATGTATCGTGTAGCTTCGACTCATCTCATCATCACGATTGTTTCCATTAGCAACATCTCCAAATAGAAGCTCTTGTGCCATTGGGGCAATACGACGACGCATTCGTGAACGTGATTGGAGATCACTAGAGATTGATGTGAACGTGCAAAGTGCGTTTGTGAGAAATGAACACAAAATGAAACATAAATGTGAGTAAAGAAATATTTTTATGGTTCAGTCTCAAACTCTTTAATGACTTTTTGACTGTCAACCATTTTATTGCGGTTGTACTTACAATTCGGAATTGTTTGGGGACGGACTTCGGCTGGAATGTGTACTTGTGTCGTTAATTGATTTTTGATCAAGATTTGTGCTGCCATTAATGGAGCTGATGGTAACTTCTGAAAGAGCAATTGCCGGATTTCTTGCCAGAACATGTTGAAGCAGCTGTTGCTGAATATTACTATCTTGTTGCACTTCATTTAAAAGTGCTTCCTTCTCCTTCAATCTTGTATGAGTGAGGCCAACATCGCACGCTTGTAAAATCGAATTGCTGCAAAGCTTTTCGATTAAAAACTTTGCTTCTTCAACTGATTTTATGTTTTCTAAAATATTTTGGATTGTCAGTTGTTCATGTGCTGACTGTTTTCCTTCTTCAAGTTCCATAATTGAGTTTTGAATTTGTTCGATGTTCTCTTGAATGTAACTTAAGTTTGCTTGAATGCTGTCTTCTTCTGAAGCAAGTTCTGGACTTTCAATAATCTTCTGACGCTTTCTAACACCAGACAAATCACGACTAAGTTGTTCTCTCTCATGAAGTAATCTTTCTAGTTCTCTTTCAAGTTCAATAACAGCTTGTTTGCTTCTTGCTGATTTTCCAATTGAACGTTGAAGTGAATCCCATTTAATTCTCGCCTGACGTGGGTGGAAATTTTCACTTGTTTTCCTCATCGGTACACGACCTTGTGCTTTCGTGCTCAATTGATTCTTATGTGTCTTCCTCAATGCTGACACTTCCTCCGTTTTCCTTTTCAAAACTTGATCTTTCGCAGCTACAGAACCTTGAAGTGATTTAATCATGCTGCTCTGCTTTCTCGCTTCCTTTCTAAGTTGCGCAATTTCTCGCATTCGACGAGCATCTTCTTCCTTATGACGATTGTTCTCGTCAGTCATCTTCCTCATAAGTTTGATCTTGATTTGTTTCAACTCCGTTAACTCTTGTCGTAGACTTCTCAATTGATTATCTTGTGCTTGAAGTTCACGCTGTTGTCTCAAATGTTCCTTTTGTGCTTGATGAAGTTTCTTTAATTCTTTCTGCATATCGGAAAGTTTTCTCTCATACTCGTCACGAACCTTTTTCATTTTTCCACCCTGATCAGCTATTGGAGATTCTAAAAAAGTTTGAAATTGAAGGAAATAGAAAAAAAATTCTCAGTGAAAAGTTTTCAATTTTTCTTTTTCTCTAAAATTATTTCCGAAAGATTTCTCAACTTACGTCCCATGTTAGCCAACACTTGATCTCGTTCCTTTTGTGTGTTAGTGATTTTTGCTGACAAAACATTTAACTTTTCTTCATAATGCTGCTTCATCACCATCATTCGTTGTTGGGAAAGCTCCAATTGCTCAATAAGTTTTGTTTTGATTTCAATGTCGGATTGAATGTCATTAATTTCATCTTGCAGTTCGTTTGCTTTGTCATCAGATTCAGTGTCAGATTCACTGTCACTGCCGTCATCTTGCGAACTTCTTTCCTGATTTTCTTCTCCTGGAAGTCCAGGAAGTGATTTTGACATTAAAAGTTCGCGTTCTTTTTCAAGTTCTCGCTTCGCCATGTTAATGAGATTCGATGGATTTTCTGACACTTCTGCGGTAAGTAAAAAAAGAAGAAAAAGTTTTAAATAAAGAGATATTCAATTTAATTAATTGAAAAAGCTCACCATTCATGAAACTTTGCTTCGAAGCATTTTTTGGTGGACTAACTTGTGATCTCTTCAGTTGTTGAAACATTTGTTCCGACTCTATAAGTTTTGCTTTTAACTTCTCAATTTCTGCAATATAATTGCTAACCATTTCAGTCATTGACGAGTCACTTCCATTAATATTCCATCCCGACATTGCTTTTTCAGCAAGAAGTTCAGTATTTCTTTCAGTTAAGGCATTAATTGTCTCCTGCATCGCTTTCAATCTCTGCTGAAGTCTTTTATTGTCAGCTAAGAGCATCGCGTTCTCCAGTGACGTGTCAGATATCGCAGCATTTCCTTCTGCATCAATGCTACGCTTTCCCTGTTTATATTCAAGTATTTCTAATTGCAATGCCGCAATTTCACGTCTTAATTGCGAAATTGTTCTCGAGCTTTGATCTTGGTTAATTTGGACACGGTTCTTTATGTTTCTAGCACGATTTGCGTATTTAAGCGTGTTAAGTGTTTCCATAAAATCTCGGTCACTTGGCGAAATACATGCAAGCATAACTGTTTGAGAATTTCCACCCAAAGAATCTTGAAGAAGTCGTGTTAGTTTCGAGTCACGATATGGAACATGAAGTGCTTTCTTCGTCACATCACCAAGTGCTGAAATTACATTTCCAAGTGCAAGCAAGCCACAATTTATGGAAATTCCTTCTCGAGCACGTTCACCAGTCGCACCAGTTCTCTTTAATCTTTCACTACCAGCAAGATCAACGAAATGAAATTTTGATGTCAACGTCTCCAAATCGTCTTCTGGCGATCCATTTTCTTCCGACGTCATAACACGTTGTCTTCTTATGAGAATTGTAAACAGAGCGTGTGAACGCGAACTCAACTCGTTCATATTTGTTGATGCTGTTGTTCTAGCAAGTGCCCCTTGTTGCAAACAGTTGAGTGCATCTTGTGGCCCTTTCAAAGGCCTTATTGTTGCACCAGCAATTGAAATACTTCCAGCTGTATCCTCGTGAATTTTAAATACTTTTCCTTTACTATACGGATCAAGTAGGTCAATGATCTCTTCATTGTAAAGCTCCATAAATTGTGCAGCAACACTGAATTGAAGGCTTCCCAAATAACTTCCATCCTCATCATACGGGTTCTCTTGCATTGCTTGAATCCCCGAAAACAAATGACGAACAGCACGAGGAATGATTCCCTCTTGAACCTCATTCAAATCTCTATCAAATCCCGTACCCATTGTATACGTTTTACCGCTTCCTGTTTGCCTGTTTATAAAATATTCAAATTCGTGATATGAATAGAAGAAAGAAAGATAAAAAAAAGAGAGAAACGAAAACTCACCCATAAGCAAGAACTGTAGCGTTATATCCTTTAAGAGCGCCATCAACCAATTTCTCTACGCAGTCATTATATATTGTTACCTGATAAAGATTTAAAAAGGAAGATAAAGTAAACCATCAGAACGTGAAGTGTTGTTACACAATTCAATTATTAATTTTCAGCTAAAGGGAGTGAGAGAGAGAAATCATAATCCATTAAATATATGAGACATAAAAAGTTTAAGAGAAAATGCAAAGTCAGACTCAGTATGAACAGTAACCGACGATATTTTAGACGAGAGGGAACGATGATTATGTTGTTTTGTTAATTTCCGTAGACTTTTCACCGGCTTGGTTACATCGGATGCTTTTACCGCTGTTACACCCGCTGCTGCTACTAAAATTGTTGTTTTAAATGTTTTACAACAATCTTGATAAAGTGGCTAAGGGAGTTTCCAGAGTTAAATAAGATTTGGTGTTTGTTTGAATCATTCAATAAAGGTTGTTACTCCCCCGCGAAACGTATTTTTATATCTTGTTACTTATAATTCTATTACGATGCTTATCTCATCATATAAAAATGATATGACAATGTTGACAAATTCAATCGAACGCCACTTCGAAGGAAGCTTGAGATGATTGATATTTTTAATCTCCTTGTCAACGCACATAAATATCCAGCTTTTCGACTACTAAATCTTTACCAATTTCAACTTACATCAATAATCTGTCGATAATCCACTTACCTGTTCTGAATTTGTATCGAAAACGTAATCAAATGTAAAAGCTTTATCTGTGCCGAGAACAACTTGCGGTTCGCCTGGAGTCACATATGAGCAAATACGACACATGTCAATAATTTCGCGTGGAATTTGAGGTCGAATCCTTTAAAGAGGCAAAAGAAAAATATAAATTAGATTTGTTATGAATTAATTTTTCCTTGAAAGCAATTTATAATCCATAAAAGTAGTCTGAAGGAACCGATAAATTATAAAATTGGGTTTTTTACCACGAGGGATTTTTTTGAGAAATGTACTCGACGAATTTTTTATTAATTCATTTATTTTTATTTTTGGAAAAGTCTCACAGATATATGAAAATTTGAAAAATTGAAAAGTAATTTTTTCTTGGCGACTGGAATCGAACCAGCAAAAAACCCAATATTAAAATCCCATTGGCCTCAGAAGGCTACATTTGTTCAGAATCAAAGTTGCACACAACTACATTCAAGTAATGTTGACAACGAATGGTTGTTCTTTACACGAAGATAGTTAAAAAGCAACAACAAAATTCTAAAACTCACAGAAGTTTATATATGAAGATTTGTCAGATGATTGACAAGTAGTGGCGTAGCATAATTGGTAAATGCACTAGTCCGGTTAAGTAGAGATTGCTGGTTCGATTCCAGTCGCCAAGAAAAAATTACTTTTCAATTTTTCAAATTTTCATATATCTGTGAGACTTTTCCAAAAAAGATAAATTATAAAGAGTTTTGATTTATGGAAATTAAATTTATTGAGATTATCCCAGTGTCGAGAAGCTTCATTTTAATTCACAATGCTTTTTATAAATCAACAAACCATGCAATTTAATTAAAACTTTTTCCCACTTTTCACTAGTCATTCAATGGTGAAACTGATTAAATCTAATTCTGTTTTCCTGGAGGTTTCACATTACATCAAATGAGTTAAATATTTTAAAGCTTCATGATGTTGTATAATCTCATGTGATATGAACATAGCACACCTCAAACTAGAGATACATGAAGCAAAAACTAGATGACAATGACAATGACGATGATAACGATAGAACGGAAAGTGTTTTAATTGAAAATTTATGAAGAGAAAGATTGTTAGAAACGGTCATCACATTAGCAAACGACAGAAGGTGGAACAATTCAAAGCTTTTCCCACAAGGCAGTGCAGTAAAAAGTTTTACGATCACATCACGTGTGGAATGAATAACTAATTAAGGAGAAAACGTATTGTACAAGAGATTTCAATTAACGGAGGCGTGAGTAAATACAACAGAACAGAAGTTAATTAATTGACGTAGTTTTGTAATTAACCGCAGTCAGGTTGCTGCTCGAAAGAAATACCGAAAAAAAATCTGAAATCATTTTAAATGCATTCAGACAGCACCGTCAGCGACAGACACAAAACAGAGAATGAAAAGAATTAGCGCAATTCACACGAGAATTTTTAATAAAAATTCTTAGTCAAACAGCAAGCATGCTAATTAGCATGAAGTTTTGGGCAGACGAAGTTAATTGATGTGGAAGTAAAGTGGTGGCGGAAATCTCGGAATTTAGTGCGCGTCATAAAAACGAAATTTAAAATTCATTACTTCCATCTGGTGCGAAGGCAAGCATAAATATTTCGCACTGACTGAGATCTTCTTCTTTTCTGAATTTGTAAATATTTTACGATGCACAGACAAGCAAGACAGAATGTGGTGTGGCCTTGACCAACAAACAATGCAACTTAGTCACATCTAAACGTTATTATAACAACAAATACATCAACAATATTGACGTTCGTTAAGTTTTACGATACATTTAAGTGAGCGCACTCATGTAAAGCTTATTTGCCAGCCATATGTTCCATAACGATACTGAAGCCAATAACAATTAACTAAATGACTCGCGTAACATTACACGAACAAACGATTGCTTATTGATTCCATTCATTCTTTTCTCACCAAGAAATTGGGAAATTATTTCATGAAGAACTCTTTCCTCAAAAGAAAATTCAGTGGAAAATTTGTCATGGAATTTTTTTTTTCATTAATTTTACGAAATGAACGAATGGAATTTCCATTCAACACTCGCTTGAATAAATACAAAATATTCAAATGTTCATTCGCTTAAGCTAAATAAGGCTTTACGCTAAAAATTATGTATGATGTCGATAAAAAATACAAGAAAACAACAAAAGCATAGCAAAGTGTCTAAAATTTCGCCCTTTCTTTTCGTCATGAAATATTCAGCGCAAACGGATAATAAAATGTTTCATTTTGTATTTCGTGAGCTTATTTTTTTATTAATATAATTTTAAGTCTTCAGCTTGTTCTTCATTTATTTATTGAAAAAGCAGAAAACATAAAAATAATTAATAACGTGTATCGATTTTTCAAGGCCGGGATTTCCTTTTACGTTTATTTCTTCTTTTTTATACATAAATATTAAGTTGTTGTATCTGTAGCTGTAACATTTTCAGGTGACACCACATCAACTCAGTTTCTTTATATGGATGTTGATTCCATCGTTGATTTCTCGGAATGAAATCGAAAGTTGATATAAACTGATATTGACTTTTATTGAGGTATCGTTTACAGTTACAGACACTTGATAACATCTTGAGCGATAAGAAAGTCGGAACAATGCTTGAACGATTACCGATAACATTGAACTTATTCAAAGTGTCATTGTCATAAAACAAGAAAACTTTGTCAACTTTGATTTTATTTAAGCGCGGGCTTATTTTGTGGACTAAAATTAACGAGATTAGTTAAATGAGAAAAGTTTTTAATTCTAATCTTTCTTGATTTTGGTTCTATAAAGTTTCTTATTTCTCAAATATTCATGCTTCAAATCTATAACACGTTGTCTCAAGGCAAACTTTGACTTGGACTTTGATTTCAGCTCAGTCAATAAGTTAGTCGTCTACTAATTAATGATTCCCACTGTTTTTTACTTGAAGGCAGATTTTTTTGTGTTGTAACTTAAGGTAACATCGCTCGTGCCGCCGCTCTATCATTAATAATAAAAATAACCAAAAAAGCTAAAGAATATTCTTGATGTTCCTTTAAATCGTTTCATCAACACGAAATGAAATAATCGATATGCTTTACAAAGGAACAATGAGAAAGTTGTTAAGCAATAAACAAAAAGTTTTTTCTCCTCTCACAATACGTCACGCAATGGTTTGGAATTGTTTGAAAATTTATGGTTTTCTTCATCAATCGGAATAGCCAAACAGCAGCCTTCAATTGCTTTCCTTTTACAACAGTGCTTTTGATGCTTAATAATTCATCAGACGAGAACTGTAAGAAAAATGTAAGAGACGTGGTACTTTGATTTATCGTCAATCGTTGATGTTCCATTATACGCTTGTAAAACCTCGAAATTGGTTCCTTTTTTGCATTACGACAAGGGCATTTGCTTCGGAAATTGATTTCTCGATTTTTCTTCCAATTTAGGAAAGAAGGCAAAGAAAATTTTTCACCATCAATTCGAATCATGTAGCGTGACGAAGGAGAACTTAACACAAACTCAAGCGGAAAGCACAACCAACATTGACATTGACGATTTCTTCATCTTGTGTTTGCTTTCGTGTGTACCTTCCTCTTGTCAAAATTGTACCGCGTTGATTTTCATTGTCACCTAAATGTGTAAAAAGAAGGCAAAAAAAAAATCTCGTCAAGATTTAGTCATCAACTAATTTATCATTCCATCAAAGGCAGCAGAATTGAACCTTCAGTCCACAAAAATGCGTGGAGAATGAGGTGTCGAAGAGGATGATGAGAGAACATCAAGTGGATCGTTTTCTTATCTCATTCAATGAAGGTTCGAATTCGAGGAAATTGTCAAATCATTTCATCAACATTGATTTCTGTTGTTCACTTTCTATTATTTAGATGACAAACGTTTAACAAATAAAGTGATTGTCGATAATAATCACACGTCTTGAATTAAATGCTAACACGACAAAAACATGAATGAATTCAATTTACACTCTTAAAGTGGGATTAAATAAAAGCTTCAATCGATGATGTAACAAACCGGTCTGGTGTTGCTGATTGACTAAATATTTTCACATGTAATTTTCATAATTTTTTGCAATAAAATTTCTGTCATTTCTGGTTCTAGAACTAAGATGAGATAATCATCGTCTTCCAATCTAGAAGTGTTTGCACTCAAAACACGAAAAGTGTTTTCAATCTCGACAATAAATATCACAAATGCGCGTCTTTTAAGGTTCGATTGTGGGCTTATTTTTCGCGCTTGTTCATTGTTTACCTTTCTTGAATGAATTGAGCTTGTTAAACGCGAATGATTTTGGCAGTTCTTTATAAACACTTAAACTGTCTGATGTTGATTTAACTTTTGCTTATTTAGAATCGCGAGAACGGCAAGTGGCTTATTCCTGTTTTCCGATTGAAAATGACAGAGCATTTCAGTACGCATAACTTTCTCGTACAGATCATAAATCTCGAATAAGTAAAGTGCCCGTTCCATCCATCGTTCGAGTAAAGACTATAAATCAAGTTAAACAAACACTCGAGGGCCGCAACAAAAGCAGCTTGAATGAATGAATGCTGTTTACATAAATTCGATAACAGGCTTAACAAAGCTTTAGTGTATCTCGTTGCAAGCAAACGTCGTACACTCGATTTCATTGAATATGATAATTAAATAAACAGTGAATTAATCGAGTTCTATCGACGGACGTTAAAGTGTGCACTTATCCTTTTGATGACTATTCATGACTTCATATTGTGACAATTGAAACGTCGCTTCATTACGTGTAACGATGATGATTTCAATGTAAATTTAGCAGATGTTCGACAACAAATTCTTTCCCTTTTTCATACAACAAGTGTTTCGCGTGCCTTTTCAAGTTCATCAGCAAAAACTTATTAAACTGACATTAAATCCATCTAATACGGTCTTCAGATCACGATTTTATCATCGTCTCTAAAGATTTCAATTTAAAGTCGCGGTTATGCTTTTCATTCTCCCTAATGATTCGTAATCGCATTAAAGAAACTAAGCTTCTTCTTTCCATAAAGAACTTTTTCTTCTTACAATTCAGGAGATCTTTAAGGTTTAAGTCTCTTCATGCTTTCGTGTCTTTAAATTAAATACCTCGTAACATTTCATTTCTTAGAAAACAACAAAAAACCGCATGATGATGAAGAGATTGTGAAAATTTTTCATTTCTCAACTAATTAACAATCTAAATTAAAAATGCAAAGAAATGTGACGCAAACCGAATAAATATGTACTTCGCCTACAAACCAGCTGTTTTGATTCAACAAATAACAAATACAAGATTGCCATAAGCTTTGTAGCACTTTTTTCTTCATCTCTTGCTTCCCATCTTGTGTTCAGCTCTTTCAACTTTTTAGTCGAAAAAGCAAATAACAAAATTCGAGAACTTTATTTCAAAAAAAAAACTTTTCTGTGCTGTTTTCTTGTTTTTCAAGATAAACATTTAATGGAGCTTGATGTTGTTGCTTTTCTGCTTCTTTGATGGAAATTGAATGTTTTTACCAAAAGGCAAAACCGGTTTTCTCCTCATCTTTATTATTATTTTTTGTTGCGCTACTAAAATGCTTTCATGAAGCGAAAGAGAAAAAATCAAGTCAGCAACACAATCGAAGCTTGCTCAATTGGCTTTTATGTTTTTGCTATGAGAGTTGTCGGTAGAAATTAATAAAGTGCACAGCTTGGGTGAGCTCATTAAAATTACTCAAAGCTTTATGAAATTAGGAAAATCGATTTTCAGTTATTAGTAGGTCAGGCATGTATAAAATCGTTTATTAATAGATGATGCTTGAAGTTCTTTACAATTTAAATTAAATAAGAAAATCAATTTATCGCTTACATTTAATGACATTTTCCACAACTAATCCTAAGCTTCTGAGAATTTTATTCTTAAACGCGTTCCAATCTGTCATACAACAAAAGCATTCAAATGTTGTTTAAACTATTTTTAACGCAACACATTTTCGATAAATATTTATAAACATTTCGGTTGAGGGAAGTGAGAAAAGCGATTACATAAAAACGAAAGAAAATCACTGAAGTCGTCTTTCAGTTTTCTTTCAAATTTTAATTTTTTTTTGTGTACACACAAAATGACGACAAAAAGATATCGCGGTGGCGGTTTCTTGCAAAAAAAAAATCAAAATAAATAAAAGAAAAACATGAAACCAACGACGAGAGAAACCTTTTTTTAAATCTTTAGCGCGTGCTTGAAATATTAATTATAACACAAGCATTTGCTTTCAAAAGAACGCAGTCTGTCTTATTCCGGCGTATAATTCATAGCATTCACGCTAATGGGCGCATAAATCTCATAAATGCACGAGAAGTTCTCATGGAGTTAAACTTCTAAGTAATTAAATTGCATAAAAAAGATTTCTTCTTAGTAACTTTTGATACATTTTTGATTTAATTAAAATTTTAAGTTCGTGCGGTTTATGAATGAATGAATGAATAAAGGAGATTGTAGAAATTTAACACTTTTAGTCGGTCGTCGGTATTCAGAGCATCTCATCGCCATGAATTCATCCCACGTCACAAGTATGAACCAACCAAGCTAACGAATAAATAAACCGCGAGAAATCTTTTCTCGGCACTCTGATTTTTGATGATTCAGATTCTTAATGAATTGCACGGGCTTTGATGTCAAGGGAATGTTAATTCGACTAATTTGTCATTGGAACATTCACTTTAGCGCCTGAAATGTATCAGAAACGTACACAAAAGCAAGAGATTTAAAATCGCAGCTTCATCCGCTATTGTGATGATTTAATGCCAGTCCATTAATTATCTTTATATTTTTGCTTCGAGTGCATACACGCTGTGGGCCACTCGAGAGGCTTTGAACTTTTATATGGTGGAGAGTGCTATTATTGTGCAAAGATTGGATTATCTACTTCGTATTCATAATTTTGACCAAAAAAAGCATTCGAAAACTTTAAATTATTCAATCGCTACGCTATTCATTCACACATTCAACGTTTAGTGTTAATTTGATTTGCTTCGAATGAAATTTTCAGCTCGATTTTCCTTGAAAAGAACAACTACCGTAAATGCAGATTGTAGTACTTCACATTCACGCTTTCTTGATTGCTTTTTTTCATAGTCGATTCCGTGTTGCTTGAATTGTTAGAAAGTTTTATTTTTCGCTTCTTTTTCTTGAATTTATTTAGAACAACGACCTTAAGGCTTAAGCGGACTACGTCGAAACGTTAATAACAGCCTTGAAAATTCACGAAAAACGATGAATCTTCGTTCATTATTCATGTCCAAACTACCTAATTTATCGACTTCGACTTCTTCAAAGGTGAACAAAAGGCAAAGTTCTCAATTTTTACTTCACGGAAAAAAGAAATAACCGAAATTAAGTCTTCTTCCAATATTTTGTTTTCCCAATCAAAACAAAGACTCTCATTACATATTAAAAATAGAAAAAAGTTTTTATGAGAAGACGAGAGTTTATTTTTATACATAAGTCATAGCACATGAAGAAGCAGAGCGTTAGAAATATGCACGGGAAAAAATCTTCTCAGTTCATTGTCACATCTCGCATAAATTTCATAAAACATTCTTTCACATTGATTTTTATTTCTTACCAGACAAGCGATGGAAAGACAGAAAAAAGTTTTTGAACGTAAAATTTTCACGATCCTCGGAAGGAAAGTAAGAGAGAAGGGAAAGGCGAGAAAAGGGATTTTTAAATTATTCCAATCCCAAAGTGAGTCGAAATGGGTGTAAATGGTTGTCATTTTGCTTACCTGACGGCAACTCGTACCGATGAATTCTTATCATCGTCGCTCATCTTTAAAGTGAAACTTTCTTGTCTTTCTTATTCGTTCTCTGTCACCAGTCTTGTTAATTTTACAATAATAATGTTTTTCTTGTCTTTGTTTCTTTTCACTTCCACCTTCTCCTTCTTCTTGCTCTTTTTTCTTCTTCTTGTCGTTATGTCACTTTGAAAGATTCCTGTAAGTAGAGAAATGAAAACGAAATTTAAATATTTAATGAAGCTCGTTTCATCGTGATGTCTGAAATGAAAGGAAATGGTCATAAAAGGCGTAGATTGCGAGAACTTTTTTTCTGAGTCGTGTTGTCGTCACTCATCGGCGAGGTAAATAAATGAAAATTAAAATGATCAGATTGAGTGTCATAAAACTCTTGGGTTACGACTTCATCGTCTTACAAAAGCTTCCAACTCAAAAAATTGAAAAACATGCCTCAATGATTTGCATTTGATGTGGGTAGGAGAACAAAAGAAAGAAAAAATGTTGTTGTGATTTTTCTTTCGATTGACTTGGTTCAAATGCAGGTTGAAGATTGAAATAGATTCGAAATTCCAAAGTTTTATGTTTTGTTATCAAAAGGGAGCGGAAGATAATTGAATATTTGGAGTTTTTCTGAACAAAGTTTTAAAAGTTTTCTTTCAAACACAATTTCATGTTAAACGTCGTAATAAAATTGCAAGAAATTTAAGAATCTTGCCGCAACATTCCATTAAATTTAATGTTTCAATAATCAATTCAACTTCCTTCTTACTTCGACCCCAAACATTTGTTTCGACGAAAAATCAATCTTATTATTTATTCATTCAGAAAAATGATTTTTATTGCGGTCTATTGAGACTCGAGTCAGATCAACAGATTGTTTCTTTTTTTGTTGCATAAATTTTTTATTTCCATATTAAAATTTTTGTTCTTTTTTTAACATATCCGGAATAATGACAAAAAGTAAAAAGCCACAATCCGGATGACTTAAATATCTATCTGACTTTAAGTCCCCTTAGGAACAAAGCTGAACTTGAGCATAACCTTGTGGTGTTCTCTTACAAAGCGGAATTGTTCGCGAAACAGTAAACGCAATTTTACAAGAGTAGCGGTAAACGAACCAAAGCCAAAGAAACTTCAAAGGTAGTACAAACAAAAAGCTATGTTTTACGTAATATGATCATGACTTTTATGTTATTTGATCACGAGTACAACTAACTCTAAGACGATAATTGAATGTCTTGAGGCAATTATTGTAACAACTTATAACATGGTGAAAACAAAGTTCGTTGGAAGTTTACAATTTGTTACGAATGAAAACTTTTATAAAGACTTTAGTAGAGCTTAAAGTTTGCAATGTGTTTATAAACCAATTGAATTAAATTTGGGAAGGTTGAAACTAGAAGTTTTCTACCAATGCAATGTTTTATTTATGTTAAATCGCCCACCCACTTTGCCACCTATCGTGTTAAAATCTTCTTAAAAAAGAAATTCGTGTCGTTGATGAATTTATGATCATTTCTACAACAACATTTACTCTTCTTCAAATGTCAGAAAGAGTCTTAAAATAAATAATCTAACATTTGTTTTTTCCACTCTTCCTCCCACTTTACAAATTTTCGATTTTAAATTTACTAATCAATTGATGATTAATGTGTAAACAAGAAAAAAAACGACGTCATTTTTCAATGATCATAAAACATTATCGAAAACATTTATTTTTTCGAGTAATTTTTCAATTAAAAAGAAATATTGATAAACGCCCTCGACGATAAAATATTATTCACTGATTGCATTAAGGTTTACGATGATACATAATTCAGTTGACTTTTCATAGTGATGTCGTGCAATTTTTGCACGTTGATGTTAATGATAAGAAGTTTTTCATTTATTTGTTGCCTTATATGATGATTCATTCAATGGAAAGTCAAGGTTATTATCAATTATCCAATCAATTGTATAAAAGAATTATTGGCGACTGAGTTTTGTCATTTCCTGACATAAAACATTGCAACGAGCTAGAATTTAATTTTTCCTAGTATTAAAGTAATGAAACTTGATCACTTAAATATCCAAACAATAAACAGAGAAAAAGTAAGCAATGCTTAAACATTTCAGTGTAGATAATAAAAGGTTTTGTCGAACATAAAAACAAGCTGCACATTGTAACGCATTCCGCATATCTGCATCATTCAATTTCAATGTAAATGTCATGTTGCTAGGTTCAATTCATTTCGTTCGTCAGCCAAAACTTGTAGTTCGGCATCAGCAGCAATGAGAAAATTTTATGCTTGATTGCTCAACCGTATATTTAGCATCGAGTGTAACACTTGATGTCTTTTTTTTCGTTTGCTATAAAACAGTTGGCCGTGCCCGAAAAATATGAGCGCTTAGAAAATGTAATTGGAAAATTGAATGGGAAACCAGCCTAACGTTTACTGAAATGAATGGAACAGGTTGATGTATACACTTTGAAAGACACTAATCTCAGCGTTTTTCCTTTCTTCTTTCCTTCGTATTTTATGACAAGTACTTAATGCAGGTAACAAAAACCGAGGAGATAGAAAAAATGAGATTGATTCGTGACGAGAAGTTGACGCTTGGATGGGAAAACGATTCAACTTTCTTTTCATGACTTTTGTCGTTGATTTTTGAACAACGTATTTTTATATTTATCAGGGAAAATATCGCACATGACATATGTTTTCCTTTTGTTACGAAAAGTAATAAGTAAACAAGAAAAGTTGTAAGAGAGACTGGCAACACAGAGAGAATTTCTTATCGCCATAAATGTTCCTAATTTGTTTTGTAAATATGTATTAATGTTTTCATTGTTCGCAACATGAATTTTCATTCCCCCACGATTTGTGCACCAAAGTTATGAATTATTCAAAGAATGGTTGAAAGTAAGCAAAGTGTGAAAGTTATACAGTTCACACATTAAATGAAAATTCCCACGAGTTGTTTCACTTTATAATTTTGCAGTCGTTGTTTTCGTTGTTCTCTGGCTATGTGCAACTTAACAATAATCAATGTCATTTATTTCATGACTGAATGACACCTTTCGCTTGTAATTATGATGCAAATTCTAACAACTGACAACTTGTTGCGCGACTCTCGTGGTACGATTTATTTATTTTTTGCTTTCCTTCTCCACGACAGTGAATTAAACTTGCGCCATTCGCCAAAAGCAAGACATTCGTGGGTGGTTCTTAAGCTTCGATTTCATGAATGATATTTCTTTTTAAATAAATTATGAATGAAAAAAATCACCTTCGCAAAAACGTATCGTTGTTACTGTCGTATTGCTCTCAAGTTACACTTAATTTTATCCATTTAGATTTGTCTGCTGTGCTGCAACCATTAGACTTTTGTCCTTGCTCTTATGGAGGGTTGAAAATCCAAACTATGGTAAAATCGATAATTTTTTACATCAAGAGACAATTATTCTTTTTATTATTCACTTCAGGTCTCAGACACCGACAATGTTATCGATTTTTTTTATTATGGTTCCTGTATGATTTTGCCTTGAATTATCTTATCACAATCGTGAAATCACACACAAACTTTGCTTGTTTTCTCAATTAGTATAAATATTTTTGCTCTTTTTCTTTTGCATCACTTTATCAAAATTAGACTTTTATATTAATATAATCACACTTAAATTCGCTTAAACGTAGAAATTTCGTAAACAAAATGCGAAATAATGAAATTGCAAAACAGAGCAAATTAAATTTGTAATTTTTACATTTTTATTGCTCTTCTAAACACTCAAAAACGGCACAGTTTAGTCTGCGCAAGCACAGAACGTCTTTAAGGCATTCACGTTTAAAACATACTGCTCAAACGTCTTAAAGACACCGTGAAACAAAAAATTAAAGAGGAGAGAATAAAATTGCTCAACTCAATATATTTTTGAGTTCTTAGATGTAGTGTATAGGTGGCGCTTTCAAAATTTTAAAAAACGTTAATTTTCATTATTTCCATAAGTGGAAGGGATTTTCCAAAAGTAGATAGTTAAACTGAATTGTCACTCAATTTATCTATCTACTAATAAAAAGACTGCAACAAACTGTTTAAAAATTTCATTTCGTCTTTTTGTTTAGGTATTTAAGAATTTACGACCATCAGGAAATAAAAACACCTTCACGTTTCAATTAGTGGCCTTTGTATTTTATAAGTAAGTATAAAAGGTAGAAACATTTACAGTTGTAAGTTATACTTAAAAATTTTGACAGTAGAATAAATGATATGAAAATAATTAAGTATTTTCACATACCTATATAAGTAATAAAAACCAATAGCTGTTTCCATGGAAAAAATAACAAAGTTTTATATGCTTATTAGGAATTTCCTTTAAACAATTGGATACACAGTATAATTTGTTACCCCACACAGATTTGTGCCTCTTTCTAGTCTCATATATCCACCTTCACCCCAATATTTCCCCCAACTATTTCTTATAATCCAAAAATCCTTTGGTGGATTAAAAGACCTATCAGTACCATATCCAACTAACACAACTGCGTGATTTATAACATCATCGCTACATTCTTCATCATTATAAATTCCCGAACTATATGAATAAAATGAATCAATGAAAGCATTAATTCCGATTGCTATGGGTCCAGTTGCTGCCAAAACACGTTTCAAATATTCTTCATCACCATTAAACATTTTATGAGAAGTCAAAAATCCAGCTGCGTTAGAACTGTTAAACCTGCAATTGTATCTTAATTTTTGTAACGGATATGTTGATGCAGCTTCCACTCCAGGATTTCCAATCACATAATCATATACTTTTGGCATAACACCACCCTTAATAAATATTAAAATAAATAAGATGATTTTTATTCCATTATAAACTTACATTGCATCCAAAGTTTCCAAGAATCGGATGATAATTACAGTCAATGATATTTTGTTCCGAAAGTTTTTCTAAAACTCCATATTTCTTAAATCTTGCTGCTTCTATTGTTGCGATTGCTGAAAAAGCATAACAGCTTGAACAATCATATCCTAGAAGAGATTAATGACGAGTAAATTCATTATTCTTTTTTCAATATGAATCTATTACCCTGATCGACAACTTCGGTGATATATCCTAGTGTTCTATAATCTAAACTTTTGGGGGCAGGTGGAAAAATTTCTTGTTCATCACTAAGCTTTACTTTTCCTAATACGGATGAATGGTATTGTGAATCTATTTTAAAACCATGAGATTTGATGTACTTTTCAATGTTAGTCATTCCAGATTTCTGGTTGACTCCACGTGTATAAGAATAGTCTCCTTGAAGGAAATCAGTGTTGTGTTGGACAGTTTTTCTGTAGTCAGTTTGAAAGTTTATATATCCTTTCAATTCCTCTAGATAATTAGGATAAGTTATGTTGAAGATTTTCTAAGAACATTTTCACTGCTATTTAAATAATATTACTGTAAGAAATAAATATGGAAAAGTCACCTTCCATCGCGTGAACATTTTTGAAACGACAGCACTAGGAATACTTTCAAGTTTCATTCGCATGTTTACTATTTTAACTTCTTGTAAACTTAATATAACTAAATTTAAGGAAATAATTATTTGGAAAATAGTTTTCAATTCCATAGTCTTAGTTTTTGACTGAAGTTGCTGTTGAAAAATTTTAAAAGTCAATCCCAGTTGAATATTTACATGCAAAAGCTAAAAAGGGACTGAAAAATAATTTAAAAAGTTTACTTTTATATATATTTAAATACCTGTTAGTAATATGCACGATTCAAGTATAAAACTTAAAATAGTTATCAGCGTAAGGTAAAATTACATAAATCGGAGGTGACTGAACATCATTTCATGTCCAACTCCCAGAAATAACAAAAACTTATTCTTAACTTCTGAATCATTTTATTGAAAATTTCACAAAAAGATTTCATTTCAAAAACTTAAATAATTTAATTTCTTCAATGCTTTTGAAATTGATTAGCGTTTCTTATTCATTTACAAGTCATTGTGATTTTAAGAATCTGAAAATAAATTTGATTTTAATTTATTTTATTTAAATATATTGTGATTAATAACACTTACCATTCTATCGCTGTCAAATTCTGCTTGTGTTTTATTTGGGACAATATCTTGTGGTAGGAAACCATCAAAGGAGTATCCATACTTTTTTGCTTCCAACATAAGTCGATCATCATTAGCTTCTAAAGTCACTTCATCAATATTTCGAACTTCAGGCAAATAAAATTCACCGATAAGAATCGAGCGATTAAATTCATCAGTGTCGCTAACAAGTCGATGTTCAGGTTCATTGTCATTGGAAATAGATTTTCGAGCTGTGAAATTATTTTGTGTTGAAATTTCTTCAATGAGAACTTTTCCATTGCTTTTTGGTTGATCATTCAAGCCAATCTTAATTTGGTCGCTTTCATCAGATCCTAATTTTTCAATATTTTCAGACATATTATGATAACTTTCGACAGTTTTCACATCGCGATTGTAAATCTGATGCTCAACTAATTTATCAATACAAGCGCGGTTTTTTAATAAAATGAAATTTGTTGTATCAATAACAATTTGATATTTCTGCTCCAATGATTCAAATACAAGTGTGATTAGGAAATGATAGAAGAGACCATCGCTCCTTTTGATTTTCTTTGTGTAGAATTCTGTATTTATAGCAACGTCGCTAATTTCAACATCGTTTCCCGACTTGTCTTTGCCTACTCGAGGCTTTGTCACACTCAATGGAACTTTAAACTCGGTAGCATTTTGTGTTTCGATCAGTTTATGAAGTTCTTTTTCACTGATATCTTTAGGTGCTGGAATTTCACTCGTATGACAAATGTTTATGAAAAACTTTTCTTTTGATCCAGTTTTGAAAGCTTTGATGCACATTCCTTCCATAAAAAATAAAATCGGTGTTTCGAATTTCAATCATTTTAAATATAATTCATACCTGGATATGGCAGCACAATTTTGAATGGTGCTCTAAGTGATTCCTGCTTCGATTCATTAATTATTTCATTGATTTGATCGTCAAATTCATTCTATGACAAAAGAAAACAAAGAAAATATGTAAAAGAATTCAATTGAAGTTTAATTATGTTTTTTACTTTAACAAATCGAAGACTGTTTTCAAATGATGAAGTTTCTTGTTGCTCCAGCATTTTAGAAAGAAATTCTTCGTTCAAAAGATTTCAGATTTTCAATAAATTAAATTTTTGTCGCTGATTTCCGCAGTGATTATTTTTGTTTATTTTTAATCTACAAAGATCTACGAAGATCTACCATAAGTTCAATTTGGTTCAAATTTCATTTGGAGAAATTATATTTAAATTTCAAACAGCCGTTAAATTTTTTAAACAAAACTATGATACTATATTCCTGTTAAGGAAAATTCGAATTTTAAATCCAAAATAAATAAACAATAGTTTCTTTTAATTTATGTTATTTATTGACATTATCAAAAAAGCCACAAAAAATGGTTCTATGAGGCACAGCATTTAATTTTCGAACCTTTCTTTAAAGTTCGATAAAGATTATTTTTTGCATACAGTTTTTTTTAAATAAATTATTATAGAGATACGTTTGAGATTACAGTTTAAGCACTTCTTGTAGATTATCAACTCATTGCTTTAAAATCGATTTAAAAAAAATAATTAATATACTTTTCAATGAGTATATTAACCATGATAAAACATGAAATATATTACGAAATTATATTTGTGTTGAGTTAATTAATTTATGCAAGACCCGCATCTTTAGCCATGCTATAGAAAGCTGACTGTCTATTTTGTAATAATGTTGTTGGCGATGCAAATTCTGAGATGGTTCCTTTGTCAAGAACAATGACTTTGTCTGAGTCTAAGATTGTGTTGAGACGATGAGCAATCACAAGCACCGTGCATTCTTTAAATTCTTCTCGGATTGTTTTCTAAATGAACAAGAAAACAACTAATTTAAAAAGACATTAAATAGTTTAAAATCTTACTTGAATCAGATCATCAGTTTCAAGATCGACAGCAGCAGTTGCTTCATCAAGAATAAGAACTTTAGTTTTACGAAGTAAAGCTCGAGACAAACACACCAGCTGGCGTTGGCCTACTGACAGATTTTCACCCCCTTCAGTCACTTCATGATTAATTCCAGCTGCCAATCCTTTTACGAAAGCTTTCAGATGTGCATGTTCAAGTGCACGCCAAATTTCATCATCTGTATGGGTGTCAAATGGATCCAAGTTGAGACGTAAAGTTCCACTGAAGAGAACAGGATCTTGAGGGATGATTGTAAGACGTGAACGTAATGCGTGCAATCCAAGTTTCGAGATGTTTTCTCCATCGATTATAATGTCCCCCCCAGCCGATTCAATGATACGAAACAGTGCAAGTGTCAAACTCGATTTGCCTGCACCAGTTCTTCCAACAATTCCAACTTTTTCTCCACCTTCGACGATGAACGAAATTCCACGCAAAACCAAATCCAAACCTTCACGATATCTGACTTGAAAGTTTCTGAACTCAACGCGTCCATTCTCAGGCCAATTTACTGGCAACGGTGTGTTGTTTTCCCAAGCAGCTTCTTGTTTTGTTTCTCCATATTCTTTTAATCTTTCAACTGCCACAATATTTGTTTCAACTTCTGACGTCATTCTTACCAAACAATTGAGAGTTTGTGTCACTTGAAGTGCATACGTCACTGAGAGACCAGTAAATTCTGGAGAAAGCGAGTCACTCATGACAGCAAACATCGCAGCAAACAAGATGATTAAATTTCCAATCATTTCAAGTCGAACGGCAAGCCATCGATTGGCAATAATCGAAGGATAATAGCAAATCTGATTGAAGTCGACTTTATTTTCTGACTCGTGAATAAATCTAATTGAAGATGTTTGAAAATTGAAAAAAAAAATTGTTAGATCGTATTAAACATGCTACAAAGCTCAATCATTATCAAATCTGAATGTCATAGAATCTTCAGTCAACAGCAACAGTCACCTAAAGTTTTTGCCAATTTGTAAAAACAAACAATAAATTTGAAGAATTTCACGACCCTTACATGTTTATGAATGCCTGACTGTAGACTTCACACTCAAAAATATCCATATTTAGAGTATTTTTTTTATGCTATTATCAGCCATAAAAAAGTCAACTTTGTAAAGCTTTTCCACCCCCTCTGATACAACTCACACATTTGACATATCTTAAAAGTATTTAAAAAGATTTTACCTTGGCTGAATATTATAAGCTCGAATCGTTTGTGCTCCCGTGATACTTTCGCCGAAATGTGAATAAATTGGAGATCTTGTGACCGACTCCAAACGCTTCAATTGCCTCGACGTTGCAACCTATTTGGAAACAGATAGAAAACGAAATATTGAATTAATTTTCACAATACATAAAAGAAAAGACAAATTGACACAACACTGAAATAAAAAGCTTAAAATCAAATTAAATGAAAAAAGCTAAATTGGTACTTACATAGTATCGTTGAACGAAGTTGTAAAGAATTGAGATTGGTAAGACAAAAAAGAGAAACAATGGCGTTGAGATGGAAATAACTGTTAATGTTCCAATCACCTGTCATTATTCGTTCATTGATTTAGCGAAAACATTTGAAAAATAAAAAATTCTGCATATTAGATACAAATTTAGCTTATTGTTAAAGCTATGGAATAAAAAGAATATTAAAAAACCTGTCTGTTGCTAAGGAATAGGCTAAGCTCTTTCTAGTCCGCTTATTCTCGAATAAATGTATAAGAACAAATCAGAAATCTGTAAAAATCCCACTCCTTTTTATGTTACAATCACAAACACTTAACATTTAAGTTAACCATGCACCATCAAGCAAAAGCATCGAATTAAATACATTTTTCTTTGATGTTCAATGAAAGAAAGTTTTTTTTGTATTCAGTTTTTCTCTTAAATTATTATAGAGATAAGTTTGAATTTTACTTAAGTATCTGATTATCTTCCATAAACGTAAAGTCAACAAATATATTCCTAAGAATAACAATCAATGTACGAAAGAGTGAAATTTAAGTAAATATTTTGATTTTAGTTTAAGCACTTCTTGTAGATTATCAACTCATTGCTATAAAAACGATTTAAATTAATTAATTAATATACTTCTCAATAAGTATATTAACCGTGAATAAACATGAAATATGTTACGAAATTATATTTGTGTTGAGTTAATTAATTTATGCAAGACCCGCATCTTTAGCCATGCTATAGAAAGCTGACTGTCTATTTTGTAATAATGTTGTTGGCGATGCAAATTCTGAGATGGTTCCTTTGTCAAGAACAATGACTTTGTCTGAGTCTAAGATTGTGTTGAGACGATGAGCAATCACAAGCACCGTGCATTCTTTAAATTCTTCTCGGATTGTTTTCTAAATGAACAAGAAAACAACTAATTTAAAAAGACATTAAATAGTTTAAAATCTTACTTGAATCAGATCATCAGTTTCAAGATCGACAGCAGCAGTTGCTTCATCAAGAATAAGAACTTTAGTTTTACGAAGTAAAGCTCGAGCAAGGCACACCAGCTGGCGTTGGCCTACTGAAAGGTTTTCCCCCCCTTCAGTCACTTCATGATTAATTCCAGCTGCCAATCCTTTTACGAAAGCTTTCAGATGTGCATGTTCAAGTGCACGCCAAATTTCATCATCTGTATGTGTGTCAAATGGATCCAAGTTGAGACGTAAAGTTCCACTGAAGAGAACAGGATCTTGAGGGATGATTGTAAGACGTGAACGTAATGCGTGCAATCCAAGTTTCGAGATGTTTTCTCCATCGATTATAATGTCACCACCAGCTGATTCAATGATACGAAACAGTGCAAGTGTCAAACTCGATTTGCCTGCACCAGTTCTTCCAACAATTCCAACTTTTTCTCCACCTTCGACGATGAACGAAATTCCACGCAAAACCAAATCCAAACCTTCACGATATCTGACTTGAAAGTTTCTGAACTCAACGCGTCCATTCTCAGGCCAATTGACTGGCAACGGTGTGTTGTTTTCCCAAGCAGCTTCTTGCTTTGTTTCTCCATATTCTTTGATTCTTTCAACTGCCACAATATTCGTTTCAACATCAGACGTCATTCTGACTAACCAGTTGAGTGTTTGTGTCACTTGAAGTGCATACGTCACTGAGAGACCAGCAAATCCTGGTGATATTGAATCACTCATGACAGCAAACAACGCGGCAAACAAGATGATCAAATTTCCAACCATTTCAAGTCGAACGGCAAGCCATCGATTGGCAATAATCGAAGGATAATAGCAAATCTGATTGAAGTCGACTTTATTTTCTGACTCGTGAATAAATCTAAGTGGAGACGATTTAAAAATAGAAGTAAATAAGAGAAGGAATCGCAATAAAGTTTCATGTTACCTTGGCTGAACGGTATAAGCTCGAATTGTTTGTGCTCCCGTGATACTCTCACCGAAATGTGAATAAATTGGAGATCTTGAAACCGACTCCAAACGCTTCAACTGTCGCGACGTTGCAACCTTTTTAAGAGAAGAATTATCATAAAAAGAGATTAAATTTAATTTGGCCACAAAAAAAGGAGTAGCTAAATTGGTACTTACATAGAATCGTTGAACGAAGTAGTAAAGAATTGAAATTGGTACGATAACGAAGAGGAACAATGGCGTTGAGATGGAAATAACTGCCAATGTTGCAATCACCTGTCATTATTCGTTCATTGATTTAACGAAAGCATTTGAGAAAATATAAAAGTTAACAAGTTAAAATCTTCTACGACTTAATTTTGAACTGAATAAATAAAAAGAACATTTCTAACGCTAATAAAATACACTAAGCTCTTTCTAGTCTGCTTAAACTCGTACATACATATCAAAAATGTGTAAAAGTGACAATCCTTTTATGTTACATTCACAAACACTTGTTAATAAAATGATTTCACCATGCACCATCACACAAAATTGTATCATGCTTCAATATTTGCTTCAATCGACAAACAGCTTATAAAATATAAAAATATAAAAAACATTTGCTTCACAATAAAGACTTTGCTTGGAAACGACGTTCCATGAATGAATGTGCTGAGTTCAAATTTCCAAATACATAATCTTCAATCGTATAAAAGAAAAGCTTTTCTATAATGAAACTTTGAAGAGCTTCTTCGGAGAATTGAGTGGGAGTTAATTCAGCTTTCTCACGTAGATAAATAAATATTCGAAAAAAAAATCTTTTCATTAATTGTTAAATGAATTTTCTTCTTCAATTCATAGACATTAATTCATGTCGTAAATTGAAGTGCCTTTTCACATTTTGGATGACAATTTGTGTACAAATACTTGAGAAATCATCAGAAACTAATCTGGCAACAAATTGACGTAGAATATGTTCTTGACTTCACGATAATAAGATATTGTCAAATAATTTATTAAATAAGCTCTTCTGAGAATTCTAACAGAAATAAATACATTTTCTTGGAATTTTCACAAGAAGGAAAAGGCAAAGTTTGTCATCAAAAGGTTAAATCAAGAAAGTCGAAGATTTCTTAGAATTGTTTATAAATTCATTTCAAATACATTTCAACTTCTAAGAAATATTAAACATATTTAAATAAGAAAGTAAAGTTTGCTTTCAAATTGCTTAATTAAACAGTGCCATGATTTCAACAAAATATTAGTCAAATGATTGATTTCAAATACATAATAAAGTAAATAAAATTTTTTCGCTCCCTTTCACCCTCTAAATTTACCTGAAACGCGAAGAAAGTTACGCTGTCAACTTGACGTGGAAGAATCTCATCAATGATTACAATATCCCGTGATACTCGAGATAAAATTCTCCCAATTGGGGTTTGATCAAAAAATGCCATCGGCTGTCGTAAAATATTATCTAACAAGAAACGATGAAGTTCGATTGCTGCATTGATACAGCCAAATTTAGGAATCAACTCGCTAAGCACATAACTAAATGCTGTCAATTAAGAAAAGAATTTTATGTTGTCTCAGAAAATGTAACGGAAACTTCGACTTAAAATCAATTATCGTTCAAGTTTTAATGGAATTTCTGTCTCGAAGTTTTTTTATCAACTTATCTTTGCTACATTTATCATGCCAACTCTCTTTTTTATAAATGAAGAAGTCTGAAGATAATTAAGAATTCTTCATTAAAGAAGCTCATCTCGTTCGAAATAAATTTTCAAAGTTACTTATTAAATGCATCATGTAACGTTGAACTTATCGTAAAAAACAAGATAGAAATGTTGAAAAGTAAAGTTGTGAACTTTATGATGAAAACTTGATGATAAATCAAATACATTTTTATTATTATTACACATGAAGGATTCACATATAAAACCATGACTAATTTCATGAATTCTCATAAGAAAAGTTTCATTCCAATGAAAAACCTTTCAACATTCAAACATTTCACGAAAGTTATGCAAAGTTTCTAGTGTAGTAGCAAGTTGCTTGATGTTAGGCAATAAAATTAAAGCGCGTGCTTTTTTTTCTAATCATCTAAGAATCTTAAAGTGCAGTCAGCAGTTGATTGTGGTAGAGAAAAGTAAGTAGTTACCTCGAAGAAACACCAAATTCCGTCTGATACAATTTCAGGAATTTTATTATCGGTCGCTTCAACATCAGACGAAAATCTACTCAAAATACGACCAATTGGTGTTTGATCATAAAACATCAAAGGTGCACGCATCATAGCCCATAATAAAGTGACATGCAATAGCTGTGACGCTCTTAACGTTGCTAAGCGTGGTGCTAAGTCACTAACCATAGAAGATAATGCTTTGAAGATAGAAAATAAGGAGAAGAAAGATTAATCGCTACACCGAGTGTGAATTTTCCCTCGTTTTGTTGTTCGCGTTGATTTAGAAATGAAATTTCTTTCATCATTTGAATCGAGTGGGTTGTTTCACTGATCAAAGTGATATTTAATACGTAAGATAATATCTAATTAAAGATTTAAGAAAGCGTAAAGAAATTGTAAGCGAGAAGATTTTTAAACTTAAGATTGAGTAAAATCATCAAAGTTCCAGATTGAATCTATTAATAAACGTTCATTCATTCTCAATTTCACGAAAAATTTATTTATTTGTAAATTATCTATAAGAGTTATTATCGCGTTGGTGTAGATATAAAATTTTAAGTACAATTTAAAAGATTACAGTAATTAAATTGTATTCAATTCTATGGAGAATTTCAATTTTGAAAGATATTAAAAGAGCTTCCGCGAAGAATTTAACGATGGCAATAAATCGTAATGACATGTAATAATTTAGGACAAATTGAATTTAAAATGATTAAAAGCAATCAATTTACTACTGTCAGAGGTATAATCAATTGTATTCTTAATTAAAGTTTCGTTACTTTCTAATTCCACACGATTTTAAGATTTAAAATGAGAGCACATAAAATGTTTATTAGTCAAATTAACCACGTGATGCAGCAGAGTAATTAAAAAAACAAACAAATTCTGTGAAGCTTTCGGTAATTTTCTAAGTTTAAAAGACAACAAAAAATCTAAAAAGAACTTAAATGCATTCACTAAGATGAAAAGTGAAAGTCAACCAACCCGAAAGCTCATGTTTAAAACTGTTCTGAACGCGTTTGGAAGACGATCGTCGAGTGTGTTGATGTCGTTGGAAAAACGCGCGAGAATCCTTCCTTTAGGTGTCACGTCAAAAAAGCCATTTGGACTTTTCAGAACATTTGACAACATTGCGCTGTGCAATTCGACAGCTGCTTTGAGACCAGCAAACCACGCTAGAAACGTTGCAAAGTACATCGCAAACACTGCATGATTTAAAGTTTGGTTTCCATTAGTCAAAATTCTAAAAAACAAAATTCTTTCTCTTTTTTTCTTTTCTCATTTAATTCAACACTTATAGGCATGAAAATGTAGCAAATGTGTCGATGAAGAAGAAATATATTTATGATGCCAATCATATTTACAAGCACTCATCACGTACCAATTTTTTTTAATGTATTCATATAAATCCCAACACCTGAGCGTCAATCATAATATTTAAACAATAAAACAAAATACCCCAAAAAAGCATGAAGAAAAAGCACGAAGCGTTGCTGGCAAATCACTGTCAACAGCTTCAATGTCTTTTGAGAATCGATTGATGATTCGGCCGATTGGTGTTTGATCAAAGAATTCCATTGGTGCACGTAACATTTTTGTCAGTAAATAATTGTGAGTGTTTTGTGCGGCTCGCAATGTTCCAATGTACAATGCCAAAGTGGCAATAAATGTTGTGAACACTGTGAATAACATATATACATATATTTAAACATAAATGGCTACAACATAAATAGCAACATGAGATTTGCTAACATCAATAACAATGAGAGTTTTTTTTCTTTTTTCTATGCAAAATGATGAACGATATCAAACATTTAAATGTTATGTAAAAGTCTCGAGTACATAAAGTAATGAAATATTCAATAAACTCAGTATAGACATTTTTAATGAAATATAAAGAATTCAGTGGACATTCTAAAAATAAATCAATATTAAATATATTGAGATAATTTTTTAATTGAAAATATTTGTAAATATTAAACATTAAAATTTATAATGTAACTCATGAGACCTTTACTTCTACTTAAATATCACATTTTATTATTAAAACAGGGAATGTTTCAAAAAATAAAAGTTTAAGCCCAACAGTCCTAATTTAAAGTTAATGATTTGTGAATTGAACAAGACTTGGTAACAGAATAGCATTGAATTAGATAAATCCATTCACCCTAGCACCGAATAAATGTTAGAATAGAGACTAGACTGAGCTTAGGGGATTTTGTCTTCATAGAATTCGATCTTCAATTAAGATTTCTCGGAACTATTCTTCTTTATATAAATCATTAATTAATCGGCTAATTAGAGATTTCAAAAAAGAGATCAATTTCCATTAAGACAAGTCTCCATCGAATAAATAAAAAATGTTTATCATACGATACAATAGCAACAACAGATCAATATAAATGATGAAACTCACACCAAAGACCATAGCGATGAACATTCGAAGGACATGCGGCAAGACATTGTCACATGTGTCAACATCCTTTGAAAATCGATTCAATATTCGACCCAGCGGCGTAACATCAAAAAATGTCATTGGTAAACGAAGAACGGCACTGAGTAAGATAGAATGCATTCCATTTGCAGCAGCAATTGTTCCCAGTGAAAATGTTAGCGACACGATGAATTGTGCAACAACTGAGAAAATTCAAATAATAGCGCAATGTTCACGTGAAGAAAAGATATAAGAAAAATTATTTTAATTAAATGAATTGCTGCACAATTTTCTATCACATTTATAAATTTGTTTTTCTTTTATGTATTTCATAATATGTTTGTGTGATATGGAAAGAAATGCTTTATGCTTATGTTGATGAGTCTAAAAGTTTATGACAATCAAATGAAACATAATGAAAAGCTTCCCTGTTGATACCATAACCGGTCAAGTGTCGTCTTAATCATCATAATAATAATTCTTTGCGGCGTGTCGTGAAAAAATAAACAATTCGAATGAAAGCACAGTGACTAATCACTTAATTACGAAAACTTCTTGACGTTGCTGGCATGAAAGTAATGGAAAGTATTTTATTTTTGACAAACAATTGTTTGAGATTCATAGTGAAGAAGATTTAAAGTTACCGCAAAAAATTGTAATATCCATGAACGGAGATTAAGTGGCAACATTATATCAACAATGTCAACTTCCTTTGAGAATCGATTTAAGATTCTTCCTATTGGAGTTTGATCAAAAATCTCCATTGGCCATCGCATAACATTCGTTAGCAGCACATGGTGCATACTAATAGCTGCGTAAATGCATCCCAAAGCAAGAATCACGTTGGAAATGAACGATGATACAACTAAAAATGTTTTCATTTTGATTAAATGATAAGTTAATATTGTACAATTGTTAAGAAAATCTACAAGATGATGATTGAGATTTTTTTAGTAAGTTTTGATGTTGACAATGAAGAGAATTGAAAATTTTTAAACTAATTTTACTACATTTCATGCCTGAAAGTGATTGACATGAAATAAGAAAAAAAAATTAATTAAATGTTCGATGAATAGAAGATTTTGAAAAAGAAGGAAAATAGAAAATTTTGATTCTTTGAATATCGTTCGAATTTAATTTTTTTCCATTTTTCCAGGGTCTCTTCTACATTTCCAGTGGAATACTTTTACTGGAAAATGCACTTTCCAATGTGGAAAGCTCTCTAAAGCTTCACTCTCTTTGTGATTTTCTGTATTTAAGAGAAGCTTTGGAAGGATTTTGCTTTATGTAGGAGAATTTGATTACTTGGCTATAAAATAACGTGTTGATTCAAAAGATTTTCATAACTTTTTTTATGTTGTAATATAATTTTTCTGTCTTTATGAGTACTTACCCTGTCCAAGACCAAATGAAGCATAAACGCCTAAGTACATATTTCGTTTCCCTGTATCATTCGCGGCTTCTTTATCACTTGACCATTCTGATAGCCAAACATTTGAGCCAATTGAGAAAGTTTGGAAAATCATGTTAAGAATGACAGTTGCTATAGAAAGTGTCCATCCAATGCTCTTAAGATAATGTTTATAAACGTCCCATTTAACACTTCCTGTCTCTGCTTTTTCTGTTTCAATCAACTTCTGATTTCCTCCACCATTTTGTACTGGTTTGTCGTCTTGTTTATCAGATTCCGATGTTTTTTTATCTGGTGTTCTTTTTCTTAAACTTCCTGTTTCACTAATCGTTGAGCTACGACGTGTAAGTTCACCATGTTGCGATTCCGATTGACTATCGCTTCTAGATCGTGTTGTACTAATTGCACGTTCTAATTTGGCTTTGAGATCATCGCTTGCAACTTCTTCAAGTTGTGCTTTGATTTCGTCTAAATCTTCTTCTTCGGCATTCACTTCTGTCAAATGTTGAATCAAGAAATCAGCAAAATCTCCTTTCTTTGCCATCAATTCTTTATACGTTCCTTGTTCTGACACTTCACCATACTTAAGTACAAAAATATTGTCAACTTCTGGTAAGTACGTAATTCCGTGTGTCACCAAGACACGAGTCTTTTTGGCAAGAATTCCTTTAGGACCAAGAACTTGTTCGAAAATGTGTTTTCCGACATGAGAATCAACAGCCGACAATGGATCATCAAGGAAATAAATGTCAGAATCATTGTAAACAGCACGAGCAAGAGAAACTCTTTGCTTTTGACCTCCTGACAAATTAATTCCTTTCTCGCCTATTTCCGTTTGATCTCCACCTGGGAGGATTTCAAGATCGGGCTTAAGGGCACAGGCTTGAATAACATTGTTATATTTGGCGAGATCCATGGGTCGACCAAACAAGATATTCTCTTGTAATGTTGCATTTTGAATCCAGGCTTGTTGTGGGACGTAAGCAATTTTTCCAACAGTATTAACACGTCCAGAAACTTTATCCATTTCACCAAGAAATGCTGATACGAGGGAACTTTTTCCACTTCCAACTGTGCCAACAACTGCTACACATTTTCCCTTTCCAACTTGAAGATTAATATTCTTCAACACGCTCACCTCATCACCCCAAGTAAATGTTCCATTCTCGATCAAAAGCGGATTTTCTAAGAAATTTGATTTATTATTTATCAGCTACCTTTTACCGTAATGAAGATTAATGTTTTGATAACTTACTTTCAGAATCATCATGTTGAACATTGTTTGGATCTAACTCTTCTCCGTTCATAAATTTGTTGATGCGCGTTACTGAAACGCTCGTCTACACATACATCACGGCGAATAATAAGAACGTTAGATGTTAATTTAAAGATTTCGTTTTGTAAATATTAAAACATCATCACGTACAAGGTGAATTGATTAAATTTAGTTCAACATGCATTTCATGAACTTATTTAAATTTTACTAAATTTCAACTCCCACGATAACGAGAGAAATTCTTTCTAAATAGATCTCACAGTTCTTTGCATTCACAATGAAATTTCATTTCTATTTTCCACGAGTAGTTTAAAATATTTGTTTAAATTTACAAATTGCACATTTTGATGATGTTTTAATATCGTTTCTCCTTCAAAACTTCTTTTCATTTTCATTTGTGTGAGCAACAGAAACTCAAGAAATGTTAAGGAAATGAAGATAAAATCAAAAAGAAACTACATGAATGAATCTATTCTACTTATGACACTCGTTAGACTATACGAACCTGAATTAAATTTGTTATAAGCATTGGTAACATCGAAAGTGGGAAACGAAGAATATTGAACAGTGATAAACTGACAAAAGCTTTCGTTGCATCCAGAACATTATTCTCATCAACAAAAACGTAAGTGGCGAAAGTTGTCAATGCCACCTGTTAGTGTTCAATGTCACAGCATCAACAACATCAAAGTCGTGATAAATATGACACAAGAATAAGGAAAATTTATGTGGATGGAAAGTGATTTCAAATGAAAATGAGAAAAGAAAAGAAAGAAAGGAAAAATATTTTAAAGTTACTGAAAAAATAATGAAAATTAAATTTTAATCTACATTTGAGAATGTAAATATTTAAAAGACTACAGTCAGAGTCTTTAGTTATGCAAACATTTACTTATTATGAGAACTTTGACTGTAATCATTTGCCATGAAACTTATTACTGTTAATTTATAATGAAATAAAAATCTACCAAGAAACGATAAGGAAAGAAGTGCCAGCCACTTAGTAGAATAATTGTAAAGGCAAAATTCTTTACCTCAATCATGTAAACAATCAATAATGGTAATAGCGCGAGTGGCATTCGAATCATGTCGAAAAGTGTAAGGCAAACAAAAGCTCTGGTCGGTGTGAGGATATTTTCCTCTGACGACATCACGTACGTCGCAAATGTTACGAGTGAAACCTTTATACATTAAAGTATTATATTTATTTATTTTTTGTTTTTTATTACACGCGTGAGCAAAATTTTCCAGTTGATAAATAAAAATTTATCATGAAAATGTGACGGAAATGAATCGAAAAGTATTATTTGAGATTGCCTTCATTGAATAAATATTTGATTGAATCAAACAATAACAAAGTTGAAAAATAAAAACAAGGAAATATTTTTAAATCTTTTGTTGCTGAAAAAAAGATTAACTGTAATGAGAAAAGCATGTTAGAAGAACTCACCAAGAAAGGTGCACATGACCAAATAAAACTCGTTCCAGCGTTAAGATAAGCAGCTTGTTTAAGGACATGAACTTCTTTGTCACGAATCTTCAACACTTGTTTCTCGAACGATGGCTCCCAAGCGTAAAGCTTTAAAACCTTCATGCCATTTAACACTTCATTCATAAGCTTCACACGTTCATCCTTGTTCTTCATTTGCCTGATTTGAAGATTCTTTGCTTTGTTAGCAATGACTCCATTAACTGGGATGAGAATTATCATAACAGCCAACCCAGCAAGTACACTTGGTCCAAGAATTCCCCAAAGGAAATAAATTGCAAGTGAGATTTGAAGTGGTGCCGACCAAATCATATTCAAATATGTCACCAAATCCATAAATCTCTGAGCATCAACAGCCATCAAATTGACAATTTCACCAACTGTTGATTCTTTTCTTGCACTGTTTGACATTACGAGAGCCTTTCGGAAAATCGCTGAGATTAACGCTGTTCGAATGCGAAGGCCAACGATGAACATGCGATGGAAATATTGAGCAAGAAATAATGTTTGTGTCGATGCAATTCCAAATAACAGACCAGCATAAAGATACCCACGCCATGCTGGTTGTCCGCCTTCAATAAAGTTAATTAACATTCGAAGAACTTGTGGTGATGCAAATGTCAACACATCTTGGAAAAGTTTTAAACAAGAACCAAAGAGAAAAGTTCCCCCAAATGCCTTGATAAGAGCTGGTAAAATGCTTGCTGGTTTATTGGTTTTTGCAGTTGCAAAGTTAACACTTGCTGATGATTTCTTGAATGTTGCTGATGAGATTGCTGGAGCAGGTTCGATTTGAGAATTCTTTGCAACTGATTTATTCCAATATTTGAGGAATCGTGGAGTAACTTCTGTTGAGGTATCTTCTGGTTTCATATGCCATAAATCACCATTTTCCAAAGGTCGTCGATAACCAAGCCAGATAAAGCTATCAAACCAACGGAAGAATATCTTCGAGAGGAAACTTGCGCCTAGTTCAGGGCAAGGCTTATCAACCTTTGGATATTTAGTTTCGTTCGCTTCCGAGTCAACAAAACAATTTAAAAATGTAAGCAAGGCACTTGTCGGGAAAAATATCATGAAACTGATGAAATTGTAATGATCGAAAGAATTTTCATCTCCATTTTCTGCACGCTCTGATGATCCTCGTAATTCTGTTCTCAAACGAGGAATGCTTAACACTGTAAGCATAAACCAAAAGATGAAAAGCAATCCAGATGTTCTGATGCCATGCAATCGATTAAAATGTATGAGAACGCCAGAAAGAATCTAAAAAATTTGTCATTAAATTTTTGTTATCAAAATTTTTGCATAATTTTACAAAGAACTTACAAATGATGCTATTTTAATAGCCGGTGTGTAAAAATGAACAGGATATACTCTTCCACCTCCATCACTACTTATTGCATAAACTAAATCAATTATAGTTAGAATAGTGAGAGCGGCAGTTAAAAAAAGTTTTGATTGATTTAGAAAGTTTCGAGGAATGTTCCGGTCGCCGCTATTTTTGATGTAATAAATCTCAAGCATAGTAAAGAGCCATAGAAATGCACAAGGCACATAGACGAGAACAGTTTGTTGGAAACATGGTGTAAGATCTGGATTATCTGCTTCCCATGTTATCGATGTATTCTAATAAAGGAAATAAAATTTCATGCAATTAAAACAATTACAAATTTAAAGCTACAAGTAAAATAAATCTCACCCAAAATTCTGATCCACAAAAATCATCCATGGTAGATGACTTTGTTTGTTACTACTTAAAGATGATTGAGTATAAGCTATAATTTAATCTACAAAATTATTTTTCTGTTATTTAATATCGGCAGAAAAAGAAAGTTTAATGTTTTCTCCCGGACAATTCCTTTGTTCGAGTTTGTCCGGGATAAAAACATTACTCAATGTTTTATTCGGAGACTTGCAAATGTAAACAAAAATAAATCTCGTACGAACGAAAAATTTGCATGCAAAAGAGTTTCGGGATATCTATGTTGTTGTAAATAAAAGTTTTTTAAAATTTTGAGTCTTAAATCTAACGTTCAAATATTCAAAGCTTTAATTATTTTAAAAATAATATTGGTATGAAGGATTTATTGTCAAATTGTTTCCTTTACAAGGGATTAATATTTCACAGGTTAATTCAAATATTTTTAAATCAATACATGAATCCTTAGAAACCACTGGCTATTTATAGAGTATGATATTTTACTTTTCCAAATATTTGTCACGAGAAAGATATTTCCCTTGAAAAAGTTGATAAAACATTTAACGTAGGAATTCAATTTTCATAATTCATTTCACAACCTATTTGATTGTTCATCAGATATCTTTTGAATATTGATTAAATTGAATACTTTTGAAGAAGATTGTTCATATATTTTCTAAACAACACACATCGATACTTTCTTTACATGTTCTATTGTATTTTTTTCATCTTGATTAATTAAACGTCAATTAACTTTTTATCACTCACATCTTTTGTAACAATCTGTTACATGTTCTTTCACAATGCGTAATAAGAGTAGAAACAATAAAGATGTTTAATCAATAAATCACAGAACACAATTTCACAACTAAAGTGAGTGAAAATTCAAGGTCAAAGGTTAAAAAACCTTCACCGGCTTCCGATTTAGCTTAATATTCTCTCGCTTTATGCTTTAACTTGTTCTAAACGATTTATTTTATCATCTCACATATCTACATATTGCGTTGACACATTTTTCTCAATTCTCTTCATTTTCATTAATTTTTTATTTACATACATATCAATCTTATTCATTAAATAATATCACTCGAAAATGACTCAACATTTCTTTGTTAATAAACGCGAATAAATATTTATTAAAATTTGTTATCAGTAAAGATGTGGAGAGCTGCGAAACAACACAATTAAAGTTCATTCACTAATGAAGTGACTTCTGAATTACTATGGTGTTATCAAAAACAATAAGATTTTACGATAAGATAATAAAAATCTTAAATGCTTAATTCAAATATTATAAAATTTAATCCTTCACATTTGATAAGCACTCAAATTTCTCTGTTTTATTTTAAACTTTCGCTTTTAATTTCACATGTTGATTTCTTCTCTCTCTTTTTTCGATGCTTTTGTTTTCTTCTTGATGATTGTTTTCATTTGTGCCAAATGGCTTAATGTGAGACGACAGTGGAAGTTAAATATGAGAATTCTCTTTTATATAACAAGTTTTAAACTTTGGATTGCGAGAATCCTGTTGTAAATTGAATGAACCTGTTTTACTGGCGTGGTTCTAACATCAATTTCTCAACTTTAAACTACCGATAAATTTTGCAACGTCACGAAACATTATGTCAAATCATTAGAACTACTGACGACCGGGGTAATTATCATACAAATCTAACTTACACTTCTAACTCGGAAATATTATTACCACACGCAGACGAAGTAATGATTGGAGTCTATTAAAGCTTAATTATGTTCCACAGAAAAAAATCCAGCTATTAGTAAAACCAAACTGAACCGCTCTACGCGACGTCGAACACAAAACTGAGCGAATGAGACGAAAGCGATCGGTGTATGTAAAATTAAATTTGTTTCTTTTACTACATTATTTTTTGTCGCTCCGAAATTTGCTTGTGTTTGTGCATAATAAGTGTTCTTCACATGCTTATCACTAAATCTTCTCACGGAGCTCTCTTGCTTAAGCTCATGAAGGGCTCTTTGAACAGGTTCAGATTTTGTTTACAATTAGGAATGTGACTTGATTTGTTGCTTACAGGTATAAAATAAGAATTAACTAGCCTCGTCTTAAATTTATTGTTAAATCATCATCTTAATGACCTTCCAAATCAAAGATCGAAAATAGAATTTTTTAGCTTCCTTCTGCTGTTGATGAAGCAAGAAATAATCGAAGAGTCATTGTGTGTATTTTGTAGTTAGATATTTGTAGAGGATTTTTTTTCGGATTATCCCATATTCTAACGACTTAAGCTTTCAAAAGCTTTTGATATTGCGTGATCGTATGGAATCAGTTCAAATAATGACAATTTGGGTTGTTTATTATCTCTCAATGATGATCGTATTTGCAACCCAGGATAATTATGTTTTCGTGAATGAAATAAACATTTTTATTCAGATAATGTTCTACAAATTTATCGTCAACTCCAAAAGTTTCATTTTCAATATCACGAACAAAATTATTGATTAAAGTTTTTTTTTTGTTCCTTTCCCTTTCTCATTAAAATGGTTGGTGAAGCCTTGCCACATGAATAATAGAAACTTTCATCATTGCGTATCGAAATTTGAGAACTTTTCCATTTGACATTTTCCTTTTCAATGCTTGAATTAAAACTATCGATTATTTATTTCGAAATTATTTATTCTAAATGAAGCCCTAAAGTTGATGACTCATCTGTTAAAGAAGTAAAATTTTGCAGCATATTGTGAAATTGTTTAGTTGAAACATTCGTTACGCTACGATCTGTAAACGTTTTAAAATTGCTGAGATACCAATCTGAATGGATAAATGAGCGTATGTGAGCGACACATAAGTATATTCTAAAATACATAGATAGCGCACATCTTTGTGTATGAACTAATTTAAAATCAGCTGTTGAAGAAAAGTGAATGTTGATAAGATAAAAGAGATGAATGAAGAACACTTTGAATCCCACGCTAGCTAAATATGAAATCTCCGACGAGAATAATCTCATATTGCGAAGGTCAAGTTTCATTACATTAAAATGTTCTTCCATCAAACATTAACAGATTTGTCTTTCTATTTTTATACATAGACATAGTTCTTCTTATTTATTTAATTTTCCATCGTTGAACCTTTCAGCGGCAAACCATTAAAAAATTACTGCAAAATTTTGTAAATCAGGATGACTTGCAGATTTGGTAGGAAATAAAATTTGTTATGTTATCAGTAAAAAAAGATAAGTGAAATGTGTTTCAGAAGTGTCGACTGCACAAAAAGAACTGATAAATTCTTTTGCCAATAAAAAGTTTTCTAAAATCACACAAAATAACAAACAACCTTGAAGTTGAGGTTTAATATTTACAAGGGTGGTGATGAATTCTTGCTTACGGCAACATTTTTGTGCCTTTTTTTGCTGTGCTGACACTTAAAATTCAAGAGAGAAAAAAAGAATAACTTGAGCCATCCGATGATTATTTTTTATTTAATAAAACCGGATTCTCTGTTGTTCTGCACAGTTCATATCATTCATTGTCAACACCCAAGACATTATCTTCATACACAGCTTTTCACGAGAGCTAATAACAATTGACAATACTGTGATAACAGGCATGAATCAAGATAAACATTTTTCAACCACATTAAACACAACTACGTCATCAAAGCTTTGTTGAATGATATTCACTTCAAAAGGTTTTAATACCGGCAGTTTCAGAAAAAACATTTCGCTTTTCTAACATTTATGCTTAAAACAGAAAAAAAGCGTTCACCAGTTTGCCGCAAAGCTTCTATGGTTAGTCAGAAGCTCTTTGATAAAACTTTTCATCATTTTTTCGTTGATTGACGTGTTTTTGATATTGGATTTGTTGAAGAGTTTTTATTCGGTTTACTTCAGGAAACTTTATTCTCTTTTCAAAAAAAGCTTCTTACATTCCACTGGAAAGTGCAATTGGAAATGTTTACGAAGATGTAGAAAATTCAAGAGAATGGAAGGGAGTTAAAGAGAAAAAACTTTACATTCAACTTTTGATCTCATCGAACACAGAAAGTTTTCTTAGAGTAGTGATTAATGTTCTACCTTAATCATCCTCATTTTTCTTTGTTAGATTTTCCTAAAAAAACATCTGACTTTATTATTAAGGACGTAAGATGTAGATAAGTCGTCAGTTCTTTGTTGTAAAGCACCAAACATTGAAATTTTCTGATTCGAATATTTTCATGAAACTTTTATGCAATCATAAATCATAAAATTTCTTAATGATTGCAGATATCTCAGATCCAAAAATTCTCTTCAATGAGCAAGTACTTTGATTTAAATAAAATTCTCACGATTCTGTACAAAATGTTTTTTATCCGCTTGGGTTATTTTGCAATTTTATGTTGAATCTTAAAAACATTAATTTCGGATGCGGTTTTGAAGCATAAATTCAGCTTTCCTCTGTTGATTAAAAATTCAGGATAAGAAACAAAAGTTGATCCCTTTCTAAATAAAAGAATTTTGAAGATACTCTAACATTAATTTCGAGAAATTTTAACAAAAATGCATTTGCTTCGAAATATTTTCATTCATTTCTGTGAATGTAAATAATTCATGAAGCAATGTACATAATCTTTTGAGCTTCAGATAAGTATAGGAACTGACAAACTCAGACAGCTTGAAAATTTCAATATTATACAAATTATGAAAGCATCTTAACAATTTCCCTCTCAACATTGACCTTCGAATAACTTCTTCACGTTTTTTATAAAAGTTCTTGGAAACCACTAAGACATTAAATATTTTCAATAAAAGTTTTTACTACGATTTGATTTTGAAGTATTTTGATATTGTTAAAACAATTTTTCAAGTAATTATTGTGTGAAAGTTCGGTAGAAAACTTTTATGCGATTTGTGATTATTTTCAAAGTTATCAAAAGCAAAATTTTATGATTTATGTTTTAGATTGTATTGACACAATGTTGAGAATAAAATATAAAGAAAGCTAAGAAATCAGTCAACTGTAGATGTGATCTAATTAGATAATCTGATCAAATCTTCCTTGAAGTATATCAAGCGTAATATTTGAAGATAGTAAGAAGGACCTGGTTGTCTAAAAAGGAAATTGGATCCTTAAATTGAAGGTATTACTCACTCAGTAGAAAGGAAACTTGAAGGGAAATGATTGATAAAAATTAATTTTATTTCTTCAATTTGAAATCGTTGCAAAATTTGTGTCGCTACTCCTTGAGGCTACAATTCCAAGTTTTTATTTTGAAACGTTAATGAAAAGGTTTGAAAGGATCAGAAAAGTATTTCAAGTTAAAAATAAGTCTGGTTTTGAATTCAAAAAGCTTTACATGAATGTCTCTGTTAAATGTTATTCATTTTTCAGATATTTAAGAGCATAAAATTCAAAATTGTAACCTTTTCAAAAAGCTTGTTTATTCTTAATAATGTCAAAAATATCAGCAATATATCAGGGGATTAAGCGATTTGTACATCTTTAAGCATCTAAATGGAAGCCAGAGATTGTTTTATTATATTTTACATTTCATGTTAAAAGTACTTTTAGAAGTGTCAAAAAATAATCCATTCTCATGGTGATAAAGTTTTTGCTTCTTCATACACGTGTTTGTTAGTCTAATCTCTTTAGAAGTATTGAGATCATCTCATTCTTATTTTCTTAGAAGGATAATCTTATCTTATTTTAATGTTTATCGTGTTTTCATTTCTATTGAAAACTTTTGCATGCTTCCTTCCATCTACTGCGTATTTTCTCTGCTGTTTTCCATCATCGATAATTATTGAAATAAATCTCATTAGGAAGGTTCAAAGAAAATTCTTGATTTTTTAATATATTTGGATTGACAAAGACGCTTTGGGATGTTTATTAACTTGAAAGGTCAGTTTATTCATCGTCTGGGTTACAATGTTTGTAACAAACATAGGATAGATCATCAAAATAGTTACTTATACTTAAAACACATTTTAATATCTCAAGTTGAAGGGAGAGGTTTGATCGTGGTTGGGTACAAACTTAAACTTGTTTATTATTTTGTGAACATTTACTTTCTAAATTTTAAGAAATTCTTCATTTAGAACAACAGATTTCCCAGGATAGAGAATGTAGAAAGATTTCAAGACATCAAGAGAATCCCAAATTGTCTATCCTTGAGGTATCTGTTGGGAAATCTTTTAATGTAAACATTTTATTTGAAAATCAAGGGCCTCACATTTTAATGGCATAGACGAGATTTTTTACAAGGAGCTTCTTAAGTATAGCAAATTTCTTGCTAGCAGTAAGCAGCTGAAAATCTCCCAGACATTCCAACTTTTTATTGCTTATATCTTGATAAATTGCAATCTCTAACTTATTTAATACTGATGCTGCTAATTAGTTTGCTTTATTAAATATCTTGTAAAAGAATCACGTTATAAATGTGACATATGTGCTTACACTTCAGTAATAACAACAACAAGCTTTCGCTTACTCTTGGCACGAATATAAAGTTTTTAACTAAAACATTGAATGAAAAGATGAAATGGGGAATTAGAAAAAGTTTTCCTTAATCAAATGTGAAACGAATACTGATTGAAATTTATACTTTCATTGTTAAAATCTGAGCAGAATTTTCTGATTAAAACATAGAATTAAAGTGACTGCCTGAAGATGTTTAACAAACGTTCCTTCAAATTCAGAGAATTTTCATTAAGAGAAAATTGGAAATATTAAAATAAACTTCTGGTTCGGGAGTTTTTTCATTTCGAGATTAAAAATACTCGAGACTTCTGGAAGGTAGGCTAATATTTTTATGGTTCTGCCTTCTGAAGTTAATCAGAGATAAATTTTAGCATGCTTAAAAATATTAATTAAATCTACCACGAGATAATCGTTTTGACTGAAATTTTCCGACGTTATCAACTCATACGTTCCTAGTAGAAATTGTTCGACGTAGAACTTTAGGATGATCTGATTTTATAACAAAATTGCTGATTATATTTACAAAAGCATGGAAATGTTGCAATCATGTGAAGGCATGCAAACTTTACAAAACTTGAAACGTGTCACAGAATATAATAAACGATGATGATGGTGTCGTAGAATGAAGTCAAATGATTTCATCACCACATTCAATATTCCTGTCATTCCACCTTCCAAATATTGTGCTTTTCTTATTTATCTTATTGCTGATCATCAGTTAAAAGCACGGCGAACTCTTGAAGTGAATAAATTCTGTAACGAGCTTTTCACTTTTGTTTTTATTTCAAAACAGTCTCTTACAGAGAAAAAAGAAGCATCTCAAAAGATTTTGCCTTTTTAATCTTTGAGCTTTTTTGTTTGTTATTAAAATACCAAAATATTTAACAAAAGGGACAAAATTTTTTTGAAGATCTTTAGAAAGATTGAGAACCTTTTTTTCCGACGTATCACTTAAGATTTTTAAAAATAAAACGACGTAAAGTAGTCAAAGAAACGTAGACATTCGAAAAAAGGATTGATATGTAACATTAATTAAGTGAAACGAATTGGAAAAGGTCAGAAATCCATGATAGTAGTTGTTAAGAACTTTTTGTTTAAATGGAACATAATTGTTCAACTTAAATTCCACTCGCTTTAATGCTTTCATTTGAAATAATCATTAAGCATTCTATAAGCATTTTGATGAACTAATTACCCTTTCACACATTATGTGGGCATTTAAGAGTTTAAATGAGTTTTGCATTTTGTTAAGGTAACAAATGTCTAACAATTGTATAACAACATTCATAATTTTTTTTCAGTAAACTTGTTCATAGAAATTTCAAAAGCTTTTAAAAGTTATTCTTTCAAGTATGTGCCACGGTTTTCCATGATAAATTTAAGATTAATAATCAAATGGATCTTCGAATTTGGGTATTAAACAGAATCATGTCTAGCACTTCTAAACATTTAAAATTTTTAATTAATCATTTCAATGAATGCGTGATCAAAGTTAGCATTTTTTATCGAGATTATCTTTGAGTCTTGCTTATAAATATTTCATTCCTTCATTAATTACAATTCAAAAAGAATGTCCACATTTCCCCTTGATTAATCTTGTCAACACTTGAAGATGATGAGAAGTTCAATGTACCGCAAAAAAGGTTTAAATTGTGATTTCATCGTACCGGTTTTTTGACACATGAAATTTCACAAGACTCAGTGTTGAATCTCCAATTTGTTTCAACATCATAATCATCACTGAAATATGGCAAACAAATCGCCCTAACATATGGTATCTTGATTAATAAGTTGAACATTTATGGCTTAATAATGTATATGAGTATAATCAAAAAGGATAAAGAAGCTTAAATCCCGAGCGGCACAAGCGGAGATTCCGCCAAAATTGCCTTGAAAATCGCTTAATTTTCCTTCAAGGATGCGGGTAGGACGTTTTTTCAACGCTACAGGGCAGAATCTCACGGAATCTGCTGAAGGCAAGCTATAGGAATTCAAGCGGAAAGCTTGTGCCGCTTGGGAATATGCTTGGGCAATTTTTTAAGGAAAAATTTTCAAGTTTTCTTATATGTTTTCCAGCCTTCAAAAAAATTATATCATAATCTTGAATGATCCAATAATTTAATAAGGATCCTGAAAATATCATGACAACTTATCTTCAGCTTTAAAATTTTAATCAAACATGGAAATTTAAACATCTAAGGAATTTCCCTCAAAATAAAATTACAATATAAGCGATGAATTATTGCATAACTTTAAGGCGTAAAATATTGCGTGATTTTAAGGCGAAACTTATTTCAACCTGATTTCGTTTTATTTTATTTCCTTCATTCTTTTACGTAGCTATATGTGATTTAAAAACAAATTTAAGTAGATCCGTGCTGATGTTTTTGAATGAAATTTCTTAAATTACGATTCATTCTTTTCGTTACAAAAAAGAGATTCCTACATTCTCATATGACTTAACAAGATTCTTCTGGGTTGCATAGCACTTACGTTAAGAAAACACTTTATGACATTCAGAATTTAGAAGAAATTGTTCGATGTCTCTCTGGAATTTCATATATATTTCACCACTGTTTCAGTTTGTAATAAGAAGATTTTCTTTACACACTTCAAAATGTTTTACACACAATTTTCAATGGAAACTGTTGTTAACTCTAAAAAATGAAAGAGCAAATTTAATTTAATCTTATGAAAGAATTTTCTTTCATTTTTATTAACTTTAGAAAATGAAGAAAAAGAGTTACTTCAATTTACATTTGATAGCAACTGTAGAAGGCGAATAAATTCATTTATTCAGCTTTTTCATTCATCTGATATCTGATAACACAGACATATCAAATATTTACTTATTTAAACATTTGTTTGCTCCAAACATGAATTATTATGAGAAGAATGTTTACAGGAAATGTTTTATTCATTTTCGTTTTCGTAAGGTAGTATAAATGTTCGTTTTTTTATGAAAGTAAAATGCTTAAATAAGTAGAATAGATTAAGACTTAAAAAAGTCTTCAGAAGATAAAAGAATTAGATTTTTCCATAGAATGAATTTGCGATCCATTAAAAACTGCACTCATTGTTAGCATTATTTTGAAAATGATGAAGGATATGACAAAGAAATTTGAAGAACATTCATTTGTCTTCTTCATAACTGTTTATCAATAAATATTTGGCGCCAATAAAATTTTGTTAGTTCTATGCATAAATTTTGTTTTGTAAACAAATTTTATTCATTGTTGCGATGTCAATCTTATTCTTCTTTTTTTGTTATCTTAATGTTTTAACTTGAAAGCGTTTGTAATTATTGAATTATGACAAATCATTTTATTTGTTAGTGCAAAACTTAATCTGATGTATGTCAAAAAATGTTCTGATTTCAAAGTATTTTAATAAGAGAAAGGAACGGTTTCATAATAATTTAGAAAACGTGACATGTAGTAAGAACACGCAACATTTTTTGCTTTGATGGCACAGAAGCTATTAAAGAGAACTTTTTATCTAACCTAGTTGTAAACAGCAAAACATAGTTATGATGGAATCTTCTATACTTAAATTATAAGACCTGCCACTCACCAGAAATTCACTGCTTCTAGAATAAATCTTCACAAACATTTTAGGGTCTCAATGTTGTTTCCATGGAGTTATAAGAAGTCATTAGTGAAACGAAAACAACCACTCAGTTCGAGTAAATTGACTGAAGAAGGAGAAGAAGCGAAAATATGCAGAACAGATGTCGAGCACGACGCTGTGAGAAGAACAAATTTGTGATCTAATGGAGTGTAATGCGTTTGTCTCTTATTGCTGATATGGTTATACTTTGCAAATGTAAGATGTGTTAAATTGTAATTTGAAGCCTTATCTCTGATGTTTTTCTTACATCTAATGTGAGTTTCCACTCGCTTTGAAAACTTGACGTAAAAACCTTTTTTTTCAAGGGCCTGTTTTAGAGGTTTAAAGGATATCGTCTTAACAACTTTGAAGGTATTGGATACCATGTCAACATTGTCGTTAAGAAGAGTTTATCCTTAACAACAATGAAAGATACGCGGTGATTATATTTAGACTCTAAATATGAATTGAATGATTTTGACATTTTTTTAAGTCGTCTTCACAATCGTAGTTGTACGATTATAACAAATATTTTATTCTTTTACAACATTGTATGCATACATTGCTTTCTACAATCATCTGAATGAAAAGCTCTCAATAACTTTTCAAAACATTTAAGACGTAGATACAAGAGTTTGTAAGTAAACAAGATATAAATACATTTCTACACATATTTCTATGGATTCTTTCACATCATTCATGTCACATTATTATGAAGAGTCTTTATATGATTCCATGGCAAATTCAAATCTAAAAATCGTTTGCACTTGAACTTCCGATTTATGAATACCTAGACAAATGTTTATTTATTTTCAACACAACAATTTAAAAAAAAATTGAAATTTATGAATTGCATCTTTAATAAATTTAATAATTCAAAATAAAAAATTCAGGATTTAAAATATTCCTTCATAAGATTCTAGAATGATAGCATGAAGTCTTTTAAATTCATTTATTTATAATTTTTATAACAAAATAAAGACACAGACAAAGCTGAAAGAAAAAGAATAGTTCAAGAGAATGGCTTCGTTTAAAATTAATATTAATGGAATGTCTTGACGATCGTCGTGCATCCGGACGAATGTAAGAGCGGTAAGTTGTGTAACAAGCAAAAAAAGTAACAAATTTATGGAGAAGTTTGAAGCATAATCCACAGACGTCAGTCGTAGACATGCCCGTTGTCGCGTAGCTATTTTCTTATGTGCGACGATTTAAGTTCAACGAATTTGTGTTGAGACTTTACCGGAAAGTAGGAAGTTGATGATTACTTCAATTCAATTAATGTCACGTCGACCTCATCGTCGTTGTTATGAAGTTTTTTTCTCTGAATTTTTGAACTTCAATTTTCTTTAACTTAATCACGTTTCAAAGATTCACGAAAACATTTTTTTATAATTTTCACCAAAATATTGGAAACAGAAAACTTTCGCTCATTCGATCATTAAATTTCTCATCGATCATCATCAACGACACAACGATATTAAGAAGAACTATCGACAGCCATCAGACGTGATTCACGAGAGCTCTCAAAAACTGACACTTTGAAACTCGGACATTGTGTCATTCAAAACATTTTCTTTCTTCAGAATGTGTCGCAAAAATATGAAAGAAATGTTTGAGTCTAAGCATTTAAGAAAACCTATTTCTCATGGCATAATTTCCACATGACAATTATCTGTTATCAATAGCCAAGACGACTTGAATGTTTTTAAAAATATTCTTCTTTTCAAAATTCCTATTTAACTTTACTGTGATGTTTCATTGTTTTGTCTGTTCATTGATTTCATGCCTCTTCACAATCATGAAGACAAATTTCCGGTCTTTGAAGAATAAAACATTTTTTGGGAAGTTCATAAAATGTATTCAAGTAAAAGAGCAGAGATTTCTCTTCTTCAGCCATCTGATCGCTCAACGAAATCTTGGCAGGATACGACACACATGTTCTTGATATTATGTTCCTTAACTGTGTTCATTATCATTTAAGGAAAGTTTTGAAGTTCCATTGCCTAAGAGTATATAAAAGACTTAAAGGTACAGGTAAAAAGAAGAAATGTTTCTCTTGAAGCTAAGGGTGTGGGAATTTTGCAGCAGGTATCGGTTAGGTTTTCACACCTTTGAAGAATCTTCCATTGAAATGCTTCGCCTTTTCTCTTTCTTTTAATATTCAAGCACCATTTCTTAATTAGCTATTATAAATTTGTTTGTTTTGATAAGAAAACGAAAACGTTTAACGTAGGTTGCAGGTAAAAGGTTTTGAATTCTATGAGAAACTTTTCGCAGAAGTAACGTCTTCAAAACGTGATTATTTTCAATAAGATTAAGTTTCAAACAATAAATTATTAAATACGTGTAACGAAGTCTTATTCTCTCACCAGTAAACTTTGTTATTGAACAAAGTTTTTCAATGATTTCAAATTTCAAGAAATTTTCTGTAAATATAACTGGTGAGGGTGTTAATTTGAAATAAGATAATTAAACAAAAGTACTTAATAGTAATATCGTCTCTATTGCTGTCAAAAACACAAACAACTTCGTATTTGTTTTGAAATTCATAACAATTTAATAATCGTAGAAATGCTCAGTGATAATTAATGTTTAATATTTTACAAAGCAATTTTTATGCTAAATAATATTTTATTATTAATTTAACTGTTTGTCATTCTTAAAAGTGTTTTATTTTCAATGAAGTTTACCAGCAAACAAGACTCTCAAAATTTCATTGAACTTGTCGCAAACAGAAGATTTAGAAAAACTTTAAGAAACCCAAAAGAATTTAAGGATTTGAAAGACAATTTTCAAGAATGTTGAAGAATGAAGAGAGTGAGAGAAAATAAGTTAAACAATTTTTCTTCAACGATATAACAACAAACTGTTATAAACTCCATTAATGTTATTAAAGTTCTTCTCAACTTTAATTTTCTCTCTCATTTGACTTTAACAACATAAATTTTGAGCAACATTTAGTTTGCTTCAATATCTCGAACCGTGAAGACGTGTGTTTGGTGTTTCTAAAAATAATTATCCACATAAAAAGAGAATCAAAAACATTTTTTTGTTAAGTTTTGTAAATGTGTTAGCGACATGAGATCAAATTGCTCGAGTTTTAATTACTAAATGGAACGAAAATTCGTTTATGCTAGAGTTGAAATGATGAACTGGGTAGAAGTGACAAGCCCAAGAAAATAATTTATGATTGTCTTTAATATGAATTGAGGAATTGAGGAATTGAAATATGAAAAGAAGAATGTGTAAATTATTCAAATGAAATTTTCATATCATAATTGAATCAATCGTGACAGATGCTTTGACTTACAGTAGAAACAAAAGATATATCTAAATATTTGTCAAGTGAGATTAAGTTGTTTTATTTCAAAGTATAAAAGACAAATAATTTATGCAAATCATTTAAATTGTTAACCGTTTGATTGGATTATATCTGTTACCTGTTTGATTGGATCTTCCCATCAGTTTGTAAAGGTTTGTTTATACAATTCTGAAATATTACATGTTTTTAATGACGTTGTGCATAATTCAACATCTTCAATGAAGAAACAAGCTGTTCGCCGTATGTTAATCATTCGCCATTTTCAATTGTTTTCAACTTTAATGATTCATGAAACGGCGAGATTTTAAATTGAGGAAATTTTTAATTGAATTGAAAAATATCAAATCGAGTGGTTTGTGAAAGAAAAAAGAGAAGAAGCGAAAAAAAATAAAGTACAATGAATCATTACATCATTATAATCAGTGAAAACAAACGGAAGCAGTAACTGTATAGCGATCGGTAATTACAAGTAAAAATTTTTTCGACAACAAACTCGCTTACCGATCGAACTGAAAAATGAAAAATAAACAGAGAAAAAAATAATTTGACAGATTGCTTTCGAAATTGGCAATGAACTAGAATATTGATGTTTAAATTTCCGTTTTAAAAGAAATAAAAATGTTATAAATCTTTCAATGATTGCCTTTACTTTTTCTTTCTAAAGTGTGGCGCTAAGAGCTGTAATAATATGTGAAAACAAAAAAGCTTTGTCATTTATTCAAATGTTGTATTGAAACCATAAAAATCGTAATGAAATATTTTCCAGGAAAGCTTGTATTTCATCTTGGTTCATGTCAAGAAATCATTTGAAATTTTGTTACACAATTTAACAATCAAACGTCAATTGTTCTTGTCCTTGGTTTTTGCCAATGAAGAAGAAAAATGTTTTCAGCTTTTTTTTTATCGACAACGTTTCATAAATATTCAATCAACAAAAAATATCGAGTTCATATTTCAATTATTATGCTGAACAGAAAGAAAATGGAATGTAAATCAATTCAAGTGAATTTTAGTTTCTGTGAGAGGAAATTGCGTGAATTCACCGAAGTGAACATACAACAAAAAAATTTCTGATAAATAGATTAACTTAATTGTGCAATTTCTGCATGAAAATTAAAATCTGTCAAAGTTGACATTGTTGTAGATTTTTATTGACAACATTTATGTAGTTAACAATCAAAAATTTTCTGTTTAACGGGATGTTTGGATTACAATTAAAATAATTTAAAATTTTTCATAAAATTACTGACTTCAATTACTTTTTTATACGACTTGATATGAATGAGTTTGATTTTTGCATCATGGACAATTTATCGCTCATTATATATAAATTAAATTGGTGAATAATTGCTTGTACATGTCATGGGAATGTTTATGACGCAATTCATGATATCATTAAGCAAAAAAAATTATTTGACGAAAAACACCAAATCTGTTGCGAATTAAATGAATCTGCGACAGGAAATAGTAAAACATATGTTTGCCAGTTTGTGATTTCTCTCCTTCAACAATTTCCAGTATAAAATCAGCCTTTTCCGTACCCTCAAGCTGCTCAGGCTTCCTTCTCAATAAATGCGATGCGAAATGAATAAGAGATGAGATGAGACATATGAGATCTCATAGAGCAAGCATGACAGGAAACTAAATTATCGAATACGAAATGACAACATACAATGCAAAGCATAATTTGTAAAGAATGAGGCGAGAAACATAGAACGAAAGAAGAAAAAAATCGGTTGTGTGGGAGCAGTTGAAACATTTGAATGCATTTCGGTAGATGTGAGGAAATGTTGAATAAAAATATGGCAAGCAATAAAGGCGAAGCTTTCATTGTTCAGTGCATTTGTTTGTTAAATCAAACGTAAAACGTAAAACGATTTAAGCGGTAAATCTTTTAATCCCTTGCGCTTCCTTCTGTTTTTATTTCATTCGATTGTTTTCGAAAACACGACGTGCTTTCTTTATTTCGTTTATCAAATGTTACTTCAGAGACATTTAAATACATCATCATCTATTTTAAAATATTCAACGATGCTTGATTCCGTAATACAAACTTCCGCTTAGTTGAGTTTCAAATTTACTCTCAAACATTTCTCGTGTTTGCAATGCAAATTTATAACAATAATTCACATAAGCTGCAAAATTTGTCACGAGATGATATTTTTAACTGCAAAAGTCTTGTAATTCAACTCTACTGCATCGAAATCTCTTCAATGGTATTTGTTATAAATAAATGTTTAGAATTCTTTGAAATCGAACACTTTAATTGCATATTTATCTTTTCCGGTTTGAAATGATAAGATTGAAGCAATCTAGTGTTAATTCAATCGAGTGTTAATATTTCCAGTTTAGTTTCCTACTTGTTAGCAATCATTTCACCTTTCTGTTTCTCACGGAATCGATTCATTGAAAAATTATCCAACTGAAGCTTCATCCGGTTTTTAATCAATGCATTCCATCCAAGGTTGATGCAATTGATAAGACACTTTAAGATTCATTTAAATCCCGTAATCGCTTCTCTATCAGATGCAAATGGAAAACTTCTTTTTTCACTTTAGCTTGATAATGAATGGCAATAAAAGAAAAAGGGATTCAAAATTGCTTGCTGCAAATCCTCAATTATTTACAAACAGCAAGTGAAAGAATAATGAATCTAATAAAATCAGATTTCAGACATACATCGATAGTTCAATAAGATTTTGAAATTTATTTCCATTCAATCAACATATTTTTTGGGTAAATAATCTTATTTTCCAATCATGTGAGAAATGAGGAATCAATTCTTGATTTACATTCATTTTTTCCATTCCATTAAACCAAATATTTGATGCGAAAATGAAAGTTTCATTGAATTATTCTTGTTGCTACTTACATAGATATTTGCATCGACAAAGCTTCGTAAACATTTACTTACGAATTAATTTCACTTTTTTATTAAAGATTGCTAACATCGTTATAAAAACTGGATTGGAAAAGTATTATAATTAAACTAAATTGCATGAATCCACTTCTAGTCAATGAAATGTTCGACGTGCAAATTGCGAGATCATCAGCTTGAAAAATGTAAAGCTTCTTCAACAGTTTGTTTAAGAAAACATAAAAATAAAGTAGAGAGCCTTCCATTTGGCTACAAACGAATTAAAAACTTCGTTACACTCAGAAGATTCAATTTCACTTGTCCCCATTAATACTTAAATTAAATTTTCTTCTTTTTCACGCAATTTCATAAACAACGAGCTTTGTGAAGGTATTTGAGAACGCCCTGAGATTTTGAATAAAAAATATTCAGCAAGGGTTAGCGTAACAAAGTCGTTGTTGAGTGCTTGTCATCTGCTTGAAATGTACCTAAAATTATTTCAGAGTTGTTTTGAAATTTCCACCCTCATCACAGCCTGCTTTTAAGAATTTTTATAATCATATTAAATTTATGTTAAATTTCATTTCAGATGCTGAAACACGTCCAAATTTCTCCACTTAGAAATCGATCAGATTCAATTTCGCTACGTTCATCGACATCATTCTCGACAACTTCATCATGTGCATCGTCATTGTGTGGAAGTCCGGAACCGTCAGCTGATTATGATTTAAAGACGACATCAAGATCATCCAGCTTTTCAAGTCTTAATGAGTCGGTGCCTCAAGTAAGAAGGAAATTTATAATTATAACTTTAATTTTTATAAAGAATGATAAAGTTACATTACAATCTAATTGTGTAGAACGGACACATATCCGGATGTTCAGAAACTCATTGCAATAACTCACAAAAAGAGAAAGACAATAATTAAATGTCTTTCTTTTTCATGCTTGAAGTTTGCAGTGGAACAAAGCAAGAGGAGATTTGGTTCTTTGTGCAAAAGTCATCCATTTTACGCTCTGCTGATGTTGCACTCTAAACTTAATCTCTTGCACGTGCTACTTTCAATTTAGTAATATTTTTATTTTTTTATTTGAAAGAATAAATTTTAAGCACGAGTTTGAATTTATTTTCTCTTTCTTTTTTGTGTAATGTGATGATTATGAGTCACTGTAAATACCTGCAATTACTTACCCAAACATTTTGATTAATTCAACAGACGACGTTGAAAGTTTACACTGCGTGCCTGAGACTTGACATTGAGTACAAGACTTTGGCTGTATCTTGGGACTCGACTGCTAAACAAATCGTTACTCAAGTTCTACGCAGGTAAATTTAATTATTTTTGATTAACGAATTTAAATTTATAGAAATTTTGAATGTTTTCTTCTCATGTCAGATGCAAAATGCGACATCGCGACCCTCGATTATTTTACTTGTCAATGGAAGTGAGAATTCGAAGAGCTGATGCACGAACCATGTTGACACTTGACGATTCAGCTCGACCTGCAATGCTCCAAGCTTGTCATCCAGCTGGCGAGTCGAAGTTTCATCTTCAAATGAAAAGTGGTGGACTCATTCGTGTACACACTTCGGCACTTCAACAAACATCGCAATATAAAAGTCTTCTGATATCAGAACAAACAACTTCCGATGAACTTTTGACTCTTCTGCTTTCTTGTTACAATTCAACGGAACCAGTCGAAGAGTTCTCACTCTACGAAGTTTGTCCAGATCAAGAATATCAACGTAAATTGCATCCCGACGATCTGCCGTTGCGTGCTCAGATCCAACGGAATCAGAAAGGAGAAAATTGTCATTTTCTTGTTCGACGAATCCGAAACTTGTCACGTCGGACAATAAAGCTGGAAGATACAGAAGCACTTACCAAATTAAACTATTCGATGACTTTAATACCATCGACACCAACAGAAATGTCACAAACTGTCACCGACATCAAACCGTTAGAATGTTTGACGGAAAACACCAAAACTTCTTCATCTTCCACATCATCACCGTCGTCGTCGTCTTCAACGCCATCATCGATTGCGGTCTTTAAATCAAAATTCTCCAAACTCGAATCATGTCTTTGTAAGTTGAGTTTACGTTGTGATTATAACGACGATGTCGATGTCAACGGAAATGTCTTTTCACCACAAAAATTCCAACGTAACTCAAGCCTGCCAATCCAACATTGCATTCATTGCAAACGAAAGTCATCGATTATATTGAAAGGCTTCCACGAACCACTCAAACATAATCCTTCTACTTCCGCCAAGAAAGATGACAAATCCTCGACTTCGTCAACTTACAATCCTGTTTATAACGTTCGTGAGATTCGAAGTGTCGGAAATTCATTTTCATCGCTAGGAATTGATAAAAAATTGATGGAGCTTGATGCAAAAACTTTGTCTTCTTTGTCGTCATCATCAAGAAGACACAGCGTCGCTGTCGATGAGATTGTCAACGCTCACCCGTCGAAAGGAATTGGAAATTTTGTTTATATTTAATGTTTTTAAGTACCACAAGTTATGTCATATCCAATACAGAGGTTATCTTTACTAGTCAAAAGTTTCCATAGACGATAAGATGTTCTTCTTATTGAAAGAAAACGAACGCGGCAAGATCATAAAATTAAATTAATAACTTTTATATTTTGTCTGATAAGATATTTCAAGTCTTCACCATTCAATGAAACATAAATTGATTAAAAATAAAACTCAAAAGCATATTTAAGTCTGATGATCTAAGTTTCATATCTTATCGCAACATAAATAATTGAAAAAGTTTTCTAAATTCATATTCAACATAAATATTCACAATTTATACCAAAGCGACACTTTTTGAACTTTGTAAATTTATTTTCACTGAACTTTAAATTAAATAAATCATTTTAATTGAACGATCGTTTTATGTGTTTGTCTTTTTCTTCTGAGGGAAGCGACAAGTTGATAAACTTTATTGACATATTGAATTAGGTATTCATGAAACTTGATTGCTTTAGAATAAATACCTAATTCACTTTAACGTGGTCGTTTTGATGTTGACTTTAGTATCGTTAACAATATGGTATTGACTTTGAGTTAACATTGAGTTAGATACTTTCAATTAAACTTCAGAAACGATTTTGCAAACATAAAAAAAGTAGTTTTATACTGAAATTCACCCAGTTAAATATTCATTTTAGTTACTTTTAAAGTAAATGCTGAATATTTCTATTATGAACCCTTCATCAACATTAACCAAATATAAAGAAAAAGTCAAAATTGTTTGACAAGAAATTGAAACTTTGCCTACTAGCAAAATCTTTGACCGCAAAACCTTTTCTCTTCTTCTTTTCCGTAGAAAATGTTAATACAAATGAGCTGACGATTCATTCCCCAAGAGATTGTCTGTCATTGATAAGCAGCGGTTACCAATTATCCAAATTTCCGAGTCAATAATTTCATTCGAGGCTTTTGTTGAGATGTTAATTTTCTCCTAAATTATTCTCATATCAGTGAATCTTGATATTAATCTGTAACATTCTAGCCATGTTCCACCAACAAGAAATTATATTCTCCACAATTTCGGCCGATGTCAATTGAGATCTTGGGAAAGAATTCCAATGAATCTTTTAAATGAATTCATATCATCGAATAAACAGAAAGAAAGAAAGAAAAATTTTTGAAAATACATTCCAGATTATCTCATGGATCCATCGTTTATTTTACACTTCTTTTGTGATGGAAATCATCATCTTATTCCCGATTATAACATTTCTATTACAAAACTACCAAGTGAACAATTCATATTTTCATCAGTGATTTGTTTTTATAACGTCCGAGAGTCCGAAAAGAACTGACGGCGTTGATCAGTTCTTCGCTTCCTTTATCTAACATTCGTGTGTTACATGAGATAATTTAAAGCACTAAATATTCGAATCTAGCCACATTCCTCAGATTTCTTTCTCATCGTCTTCCTTTCACTTTGATTCTTCTTCACATAATTATTTTATTTATAGAGAAGAGTTGATTAAACGACCGGCATGGAATGATTCTCCTTTATGTCGTATCAGAATCTTTTTTCATTCATAGACCTTAAAACAAATATTTATTTTATTCTTGGAATTTCCTGACAACATCAAATTCATTGCCCCATCCTCGAAATAATGAAAATGAATACGACTAAACCTTGGACCAACAGGGAAGCAAGACGTCGTTAAAAATTTGTATTAATGTCAAGGGAAATTCTTTTACAAAACATTCCCTAAATTTCCTGAAGGTTTTCGTATTGTTTAACCTCATTATAAATTTTTTAAGCTTTGTCTTTTACTAAGAGATTTAAGGAATCCGTGCTGCAAACTTCGCTCTTCTTCTCAGTTATTTTTATCCAAACCAATTACCTACAGTGAATATAAATATTCAACATTTTCTTTTCGCTTTATAGACGAAATTTATGTCTTAAGTTAATTCAGCACCTGCCATTGTGGCTTACGTTCTTACCGACCCCATAATTTAGAACTATATTTAACAATTTGTGGTGTAATTAGTTTTATGTAACGCTCAGCACCATCCCTAAGAAGTTAAAGTGGAACGGAAACATTTCAACAGCTACCAGGTGAAAGAAACCAAGGACGAAATGATTTTTCTATCACGGTGCTCAACAAAGTTACCTAATCAGGTGCGGTTTCGTAAGACAAAACGCCAGCTGCAAGGACCGCAATAAAAAAGAAATAATTTCAACCTCAATCATCGTGTCCGAGGGAGCATCTTGAAGGCATCAGTTTCAAAATTAATGAAAGAAAAACAAGAAAGAAAGAGTGAAATTATTTGCATAACAACAGATTCAATTATCGAAAAAGCATCTGGTAAATGGAGCGTATGAGCGTATCGTTACTTATTTATAAGAAAAATAAATATTTTTCTTCTCATTTCTTTTTAACGCTTGGCGAATCAATAATGTGAAATATTTCGAAGTTTACATCACTTTTCCATTATGTTTCATTATTCGGTTAGCAACCCCATTAAGATGATTCTTATGAGGAAATGAATCTTCATTCACAACTTTTATGATTTGTACGAATTCTCATTGCTCTTGACATTTGCCAAAAGATATTTATCTCTTATGGTCATCTTCATTTCACTTCATAGACAGATATTTAATTGAAAAAACTTTTAATCTTTGAACACAGACAAAGAAATTCATCATCGGAGACACAACTTTCGTAATCAGATACTTTAGTAAAGTGACGGATGTGATAAATTAAAACGTTTTGGAATAAAAGTGGAAATAAATTCGAGATATAAAATAAATCGTTCTACTAATATTAAGTATTTATGTTAGGAATTTGATAATTACTCCGATGAGAATCTTCTTTCTCTTGAATTTAATCGTTTCGAGAGGTTTTCTTTCATTCTTTCTAAGGAATTTTTATCGTTCGACCTTTAGCGGGCGCAAGAGTTCAATAAATTTTCAATTCTTCTTTTCTCCTTCTTTCAAATGGGCATAGAGCCTATAATTACAGTATAATTATTATTCTTCTCTCACCGAAATTCTTCTACCATCTCCCCAGATGGAATTTCGATTGCTGCCGTAGTTCTTATTTTATTTTTGACTGCATGCTCACAATAAATGGCACCTCAGGTAGATTAATCGTACACAAATTGCTGACTTTAAACTTCTTCATAAACCTCATGATTTATCGCTTGACTATTGTCATCAATAATTGATGATAGTTGGTAATTGCGGAATAGTTGAGCGTCAAGGCCGCACACGCTTAGATGAACACGAATGACTTTTATTACGATACAATTAGTAAAGAATTGTCCAGTAGCGTCTTCTCTGCTTATTTTTAAAAAACATTGTACATCCGTTGTAATGAAATTGAAGAGAGAAAAAAATATTTAACGATCCAAAACAACATATATTCATTAAATGTAGATAAATCAATTGTTTTTATATGATTTAAATTGTTTGATGGTCAGACTTCGAGTTGAAAAATATTCTTTAAATCAACTTCATCTATGAAGACCGCAAATTTACTATAAAATTATTTATTTCCAGCATCATAATTGTGATTATTGAAAGGAAATTGATATTGAGATTCCATTCATCTGTCTCTCTTCACAGCATGTCAGGTGGTTTTCATTGAGTTTAATAGCTTTAATGTCATTTGGCTTGTTCGTATACCTTCCGTCCCTTATGTCTCGAATCTTCTTCTTTTTTTGCTTCCTTCGTTTTTGCACACCATTTGGCATGCGCTACCAGAAATAAACAGTTTAAAGGTTGCCTCATGTTTGCTAAACTTTCTTTGTCACATGTCTTGAATGATGAAGTAAAACATTTTTTATTTCTAAAAAAACATTTTAGTATTCAATGATATTGCGAAATCAAATTTCTTAAACATTTTTTTGTTTTTACTTTTATTACAGAATCGAAGATCTTTTGGAAAATTTTTCTTCATCATAAATTATTTCAATTTAAGTTTCTTGGAAAGAAGAAGTGTAAACTGGAACATGATCTGATAAACAATCGTTCAAAGGAATTCTTGATGCGAAAAAAAAATAAATGAACGATGTTGTTTATGCTCTTGAGTTTAATAATTGCAAATATTTACAATAGTATTGTTTTCTTTCATTCTACTGAAGTATGAAGGATTTTTTATTACCATTCCAGCATTGAAAAGGATTAAATTTCAATTCTAAAAATTTTCAATTCACTGATCTGAAAGGAATGACTTCCAATAGAAAAAAAACTTCATTTCTTTCTGTTTGAATTGAAATTGTCATTCAATGAACTTTCAAAGCAACATCGATGTTCTTGGTAGGTCAGATATATTTATATTTAGACATAGCTGCAAATTCCTTTTAAATCCAGGGAATGTTTTCTCAGAAGAAGATCTTAAATGTAACTTTTGACCTTTTCTATTTTATACGTCGGCGACGTGTAAGAGCGTTTTTAACACGGCTTTATTTTGAGTGATTGGTTAAGCTGGCTTACTCTTCTTCATTTCACGACAAATTCAATATTTCAGTTTACATGGCAACACTAGGATACTAAATATGTAGGAGATATTTAGGACCTCAGAGTGGAGTTTGGTAGTCTTGGACTAACACAAGAGAAGCATAAAATTGACAGAAAGACATCACACATGCCAGTGTTTATTTTTGCAATTGTCAGTGCCAGTCAGTGGTTATGAAGGTGAAAAGGGTTAAGTGGAAATGTCAGATATTCTTTTTTTTTATACTTTCAATTGACAATGATTATTAAACTAAATTGCTTGAGTGAATGTGAAGAAAAGTACTGTTACTCGTTTGAGCTTAAATACATGTAGGTAGACATCAAATGTAAATTAGATATTTTAATTTTATTCATACAACACAAAAATCCTTTCATGACATTTCTCATGAAATTTCCCCTCCACAGGAAAACATTTATTTTCAATTTTCATAACGCCTCGTTCATCTGCCTAATGGAATTTCTCGCGCTTCTTTTTCTAGGAAAAGTCTGCACCTGAAGTAAGTGAAGTGCTTTTAAATAATTTTCAATGCTGTTCAGTATTTTCGAAAAGAATTCCTTAACGCTAAGCAAGTGAATAAATTAATTGATTAAATTCTTCGACGAACAACATTAAAGTCATGCGTTGAAATTTTTTATTTAAAAATCTTTCTTTAAAATATTTAAAGCATTCTTTTCAATATCAGAAACTGTGTGGGAAAAGTAATTTGAAAATTTCTTTTTCTTTCTTTAACAAAATTTCTTCACACTTTTACATCACAAAAAATAAAATCGAAGAATAATTCTGAATAACATCGTCACAGCTTTCCTTAACATTCCCACAATCGTACTCAACGGTTTCGAAAGCAACACACAAAAGACTTGATTTAATTGATCTTTATGTCTTCAGAGAATCAAATTATAATGGTTGCTAATTGATGATACATGGTCGATGTAAGTCATAAAATTATTCTGTTCTTTCTTTTTCGATCTTAATTCAAATTTGTATGATACAAAACTGAACATATAAAAGATCATCGATCTTAAGTCAAAATTATTTACTGCCATCGACCTTTTTTAACAGCACCAAACCAAATGTTGATTACATATTCTTATTCAGTGTTTTACTGTCGATTATTAAAAAAGTGATTTCATTTTACTAGAAATCTCGTAAAATTTCGTACTATAATCTGATCTGAAGCACTCAACGGAAGACGTAAGAAGCTAAAAACAACGAAGCAAAAGCAACAACGCAAAGACGTGAAGAAGGTCAGATGAAATCATGTGTAACGAATATTATTCTTCCCATTCCAACTGGAGATCTACTTCAGTGGCTTTGCCGTCTTCAAAATGATATTTCTTCTCTTTTCTTTCCGTCTCCTTTTCTTTTCACAATTTACACAATCGCCTACCGAAAACAAATTCAAGAAGACGAAATCAACGACATTAACGAAAGACCTTACATTCCAGAAAAACCATGGGAGTCAAATTTCTTTATGATTTCAGATACCTCTCTTCATTCATGTTGTTGCGCTTTGTTTTCTCATGGATTCAAAAGCGAGAAACCGCAAAAAAGTCATCATGCTGTTGAAATTGAAATAAATTAAAGTTGCTTCGATCATAACTTCTTAAATGTTTTGAGTCAATGGGCCACCGAATTTCTTTTCATTTTTGACATTTCCCAATTTATTTACACTCGCTTTGCGATGATTCTTCAACGCCTAAAATAAAACAAATCGTTTCTTTACCCAAGATGTCGACTACGTGACAAAAAGAATTAATGAGGATAGTCTGAATAGACCGAAATGATCACTTGACATTGATTTATGCAATCTCATCCAACAAATTGATAAATTGACTGATCAAATCTGCATGCGCATTCATCTGTGTGAAAATAGTTCACTTTCCGACATCTGCAGTATGTAAATTGGAAGCTTTTGTTTTGTTTTATGCTAAAACGCAATCCTTTTTTTTGCAAGCAAACGTGATTGAAAAATTCCAGGCAATTTATTGACATTACGCTGTTTCTGTAAAGCGTTGCAATTTTATATGTTCTTTTACTGTATGAATCTAAAGCCATTGCTTATATGATTTTAACTTCTTCCCGGAAGAATTTTTATTGCAGGATATCGAGAGAAATATTCTTAGATTAAATATCTCGGATATGTTCAATTAGAAATCTATAGAAATCCATCAACTTGATATTCAACTGCAATATTTTATAAATTAAGAAAGTTTCCAAAATAAATTACCGAATCTTTGAGAGCATGAGAAAAAGTAGGAATAACTTCCTTAATATTTACCAGCAGCTCTCAGGATAAGAAAAGTTTCTAGTCGAACAGGATATTAAACATGTGTTCTCGTTTAGTTCGTTTTTTCTTTCCTTCTGAAAACTGTTAATAATATTTTTATGCTGCATATCGAAACATAAACATTTAAGACGAAAATTTAATTTATTTTCCTTTTTTTGTGTTTATTCCGCTTTGGTAAAAAAAAGCAAGTATTGAATATCCAAGAGATAACTTTCAAAGACGATCTTTTCATCTCTTCTTTCTTTAAGACGAAAACGAAAGAGAATTCCTTGGGAACATTATGATTTAATGTGAATAAACAGATGAAAAGGAAATTAAAATAGTTTTGTTGTCAGTTGCTGGCTTCTGCATGAGACAACAACATATGTTGGGCTTTGAAGGCAGTTTGAAGGATATGAGAAAATTTCTTCATCTGCCTTTGATACCAAAAGATAAGTTTTAGATTTTGTGTTCAGAAAAGAAAGCAATTTCGACACCAATTTGAGATTATCAAGAACTAATGAGACAACAAATGTTGCAAACATTCCAAGCACCAAACCCTGGATCATTAATGAAAGTTTTTTGTGCTCGCAAATCTCCGCGGTATGAAAAATATAAAAAGTCAAAAATTTCAAACAGTAATGAGAGCAGTGATGTATAAAAGCTGTTGTAGTTTTTTATCTGCCATATCATAAACAATAGCGAGCAAACAAAGAGAGTTACGAAAGTGTAAAATAATTATTCATGTGAAACAATCTTGGTAAAAACAATGCAGAAAGTGATGACACTCTTTTCTCCCTCGCTCTACAATTCCGATTTGGATCTTTTCCAAAACAAAAAATTACAGAACTTAAGCAAGTGAAAATTGCGAAAGAAAATGTCTTTGATGTTATTTCTTTTGTTTCTGTTCGTTGACGTTCGTTGTTGGAATTTCTTTTCTTAACGAAGTAAAGATAATTACGTGGAAAGCAGAGGTAAAAGAACAAGTTAAGAAGAAGAATAAAAATCATAATGAACATTAAGTGTTCATAAGCGATTAAAATATATTCCGTATGAAAGTTTACATAATCCACTAATATTGTAATTGGAGTTCTCTCAGGTGTTTCAACAACACTTCAGAGAAAAAAGTTGCAAATCTTACAATTGTGAGAAAGCATGGAAATATTTGAGTGGTGCTGATATATTTCACATTATTGCATAATTTAAATACCAATCTGTCATCACCTGCAACTGCAAACCAAATTTATTATTCAACTTAAATTACATTCAGCAAAATTACTTGGAAAATTGTCAATATTTATAAGTGACTCATAAATAATTCCAGTTTAGTGAAATCTTTCTGCGGTTTTGTTTAATTTCCTAGTGATCAGTACGAATAATACAAACAGTGATGTGAAACTGTCAAATCACCTCATAATTTGACGTTACTCCACTTAAAAATCTCTTGTGAGAATCATACTTTGGCTGATTGTTTTTAAATTGGCTTCATAATAGTTAAGGCCAATGATGTAGTTAATCTGCTTTAAGCGACTAAATAAGAGAAAGTTTAGATTTTCAAATCGTAAACATTCATTAGATTAAAGAAAAGGAAATCCTTAAGCAAGATGCTTAACATTTCAAGTATCTATTTGCTTTTCCTTAAAAAACTTGTTAAGACATCAAGTTAGAAATTTCAAGTTGAAGGAAAATGTGTTCGTGTTGCAAATTTAATTTCTAGCTCAATCTTGAATAAATTATTTGACGTGATAATAAAATTAATTAGATTTTAACTTAAACAGCTAAAGAGGAATAATTTGTTTGTAACTTGAATGACATTCACGTATTTACAGTAACCTGGATGTTATGTAAAAAGTGATGAAAATAACGTCGTTATTCTCTCTCAAGCCTCAATGTGGGACCGGAAAAGACCTTTTATGTTGAAATTAGATTCAATTAAGAAAAGATGCGGAACTCGTAGCCTTGAAAAGTACTTTATCCCTCTCATATAAATATGGTTATTTATTAATAATATCTTGACGAAGAAAGAAGAAGAAAACTCGCGATGTTTTCACTTTTAATTTGGAAAAACTTTGGAAAAGAAACGTAAAATGTTTATTTCTCAAAGAGTTTTTCAATTGTTAGAAAATTTAATTTTCCTTTGTAAAGCGAAGCAGAAAAAGTAACTTTTAAATTATGGAGATGGAATACGAAACTTCAGTTTCCTTAAAGTCTCTTCAATTATGATTTATATGCCTCGAGAAATGAGAATATGAAATGACGCTCAATGTTTGACTCAAATTTCTTTTGAATCGTCAGTTTTCAATTTAACTTGAGTTCAAAATTAGATATCTAAACAAAATGATCTGCCATCAAAATCCATCCGCACGAGCCTTTCAGTTGCTTGCTGCCTGCTTGCGTCTCTAAACGATAGCAAGAAAATAATGATAAAGTTTCCGGTGCATTGTCTGACATATTCCAAAAAGGAAACGAGACGTTCACTAATGCCGGTTTCTTTTTTGACGATCTTCTATTATTATTATTGAATGTGACAACAGGAGATGTGGTTCTATGCATTTCAATACATAGTGGTAAGCATAATTACTTAAATCGCTTTCTGACAGTCTTTTTCAAATCTGAACACGTGCTACACTTAAATTAGATACCATAGCAATTGTTTATGTTCTTTAAAACTGAAAGAACTCGATGGTATTGTCAGATTAAATAACAAAAAAATATCAGGATTAAATTTTAAAAACATTTCATGGACTTCTCGAGAACTGAAAATTCTTCCATCGTAAATTTTCACCAACTTTTCTGTTTTTCATTGAACGCCCACGACCTTCGCTAAGATCTATATTTGAAATTCATATAATTATTAATCTTAATTAAGTATAAATTGAAAAGTAATGAAAGATTCTGAAGATTACTTTTCGTCATCTATTTATGTATAAACTTAAATGAAATTATCGACCGTTTATTTATGCTTGAGATATTATTTACAAAATTGTAATTATTATTATTATTCATTTAAAATATAATAATTAATCTGCCTATTTAACTCAGCATGTTTATGGCAAATTAATTTATATTTCTTCTAAAACACCTAAAGCACGAAATTGAAATTTACGTCAATTGAAATCGAAAACAATTCTTGGAATCTCAAAGGAATCGGAAAAATTTCCATTATGAAAGTTTAAGTTTGAAGAGATTTGCCTAAATGATTTTCCTCAATGAATTTCCTTTTCTTGAAAAATATAAAAAAGTTTTCCATTAGGAACCTTTCATACGCTCAGGCTAGCAATGTAGCATTCAAATCCGATTGAGAAATATTTTTATTTGAATTTTCTGGCAAAGAAACATTTATAGATTTGGAAATGTTTTTAAACATTCACTTCCAACTGAGTTGTTTTTGACAGTAAATTGAGATTAATTTGAAAAGGTTTTTCATGAAAATATTGACTTATATCGAGTTCAAAACTTTTACTTCCGAGTCAATCTTCCTGAAAATTAGTTAAGCTTTAGAAAGATTTTACATACACAATAAAACCTTTAATGTAAAACTTTGACTTTACCTTTCACAGAATTTAAATTTTTTACTATCTTGAACTTCATTCCCACACTTCAGATGTTTCTCTTTCATTCATAAGAAGTTGAAAAGCAATTTATGCTTCAAATACATAATCGTTATATCAAACACGATTACTAAGAGATGCAATAAAAGTGAAAATTTTACAACGCTCATATTTTATATAGTTTGACGATTCAATTACGGACATACATGTGAAGTCTATCAAATTTACCATCATTTGATTTTCTCTTTTTTTCTTTCTTTCTTTCATTCATGGCTTAAATGCTCAAAGAAATTTCCTGCTCATTTGAAGTTTGAACTTAATGTAACATAGCTCCATGTACGCACTTCAATTATTAACTACTCTAACTCATTCATGCTGATGGAAGTTGTGTGCTTCATGTCTGTAAATGGTCTGATAATAAAAACGATGACAGATAAGAAGTGAAAGAAGGGGAAATTTTATAATTTAATTTTTTTTCTTTATTTCAAATTGAATTTAGAAGAAAGTCAATCAATAAGTTCAATCTTTGGTATTCTCTAACGAACCTTCATTAAATTATTTCGTGTCGATAACATTTAAGATACAAGAATGAAAATGTTTCGCTTTTATTTTCGAAAATAAATCATTAGCTTCATATATAAATAAACCTACATTGACTAAAGTTATGGAAAAGGCTGTTTAGTCATCTCATAAAATAAATCTTCATTAAAACGTGTAAAAGCTTAATTTCCTGTTCGCCTCAACATATTTTTGACTAGTGCCATCAAAAATGGATCAAGGAACGTTTCTTAAATGTAAAGATAGTTTCCAATTCCTTTCGACGGGTGAGCGTTGACAATCTCATCGACAGCGACGCTGTGTCTTCTTGATGATGACGATAAAGAAGACAAAGTTTTTGCATCAAGTTCCATCAATTTTTTATCAATTCCTAGCGATGAAAATGAATTTCCGACACTTCGAATCTCACGAACGTTATAAACAGGATTGTAAGTTGACGAAGTCGAGGATTTGTCATCTTTCTTGGCGGAAGTAGAAGGATTATGTTTGAGTGGTTCGTGGAAGCCTTTCAACATAATCGATGACTTTCGCTTGCAATGAATGCAATGTTGGATTGGCGGGCTTGAGTTACGTTGGAATTTTTGTGGTGAAACGACATTTCCGTTGACATCGACTTCGTCGTTATAATCACAACGTAAACTCAACTTACAAAGACATGATTCGAGTTTTGAGAATTTTGATTTAAAGACCGCAATCGATGATGGCGTTGAAGACGACGACGACGGTGATGATGTGGAAGATGAAGAAGCTTTGGTGTTTTCCGTCAAACATTCTAACGGTTTGATGTCGGTGACAGTTTGTGACATTTCTGTTGGTGTCGATGGTATTAAAGTCATCGAATAGTTTAATTTGGTAAGTGCTTCTGTGTCTTCCAGCTTTATTGTCCGACGTGACAAGTTTCGGATTCGTCGAACAAGAAAATGACAATTTTCTCCTTTCTGATTCCGTTGGATCTGAGCACGCAACGGCAGATCGTCGGGATGCAATTTACGTTGATATTCTTGATCTGGACAAACTTCGTAGAGTGAGAACTCTTCGACTGGTTCCGTTGAATTGTAACAAGAAAGCAGAAGAGTCAAAAGTTCATCGGAAGTTGTTTGTTCTGATATCAGAAGACTTTTATATTGCGATGTTTGTTGAAGTGCCGAAGTGTGTACACGAATGAGTCCACCACTTTTCATTTGAAGATGAAACTTCGACTCTCCAGCTGGATGACAAGCTTGGAGCATTGCAGGTCGAGCTGAATCGTCAAGTGTCAACATGGTTCGTGCATCAGCTCTTCGAATTCTCACTTCCATTGACAAGTAAAATAATCGAGGGTCGCGATGTCGCATTTTGCATCTGACATGAGAAGAAAACATTCAAAATTTCTATAAATTTAAATTCGTTAATCAAAAATAATTAAATTTACCTGCGTAGAACTTGAGTAACGATTTGTTTAGCAGTCGAGTCCCAAGATACAGCCAAAGTCTTGTATTCAATGTCAAGTCTCAGGCACGCAGTGTAAACTTTCAACGTCGTCTGTGAATTGAATTTGTTGCCAAACAATTAATTATAAATAAGAAGTTAACAATTTTAATGAGAATATTGTTTGAGTCTAGTTTCACCATTAAACAGAAAGCTTTTAGAAGGAAGCTTTGTTTCGCATTCATTCACTTTATTAAAACAATTAATTTGTTTTCTTTCTCAGCAATTGAAACGTGAATGCAACAATTAACTGGGTTTATTATTCCTATGAGAATTTAAAATGAAAATGCAACCACTTTATGATTAATGTTGTTTTCGAATAGAAATTAAAAAATGTTTCGTGGAAAATGAGAAATTTTCTTTTATCTTGCTTACTAATGTTCAGAAAATAAATTTAATTTAACTTTTTTCATCAAAATGAAAGCGTAACAATTGTCTTGATTCTCGGATTGTTCAAAACTGAAGTCTATTTATAATTAGCTTACCTGGGAAATGCTTTCTGTAAGGCTCGTGTAGCTGGATGATCGTGACTGCGTATTTAGCTGTGTGTCACTGTGAGGTTCCGGGCTACCACATAACGAAGTTGTGCATGAAGAAGAACTTGATAGCGTTGCTGATGAACGTAACGAAATTGAATCTAGACGATTCCGCAAGGGAGATATATGAACGTGCTTTAGCATTCTGAAAAAGAAGATGCTTTAATTTAATTGATGAATAATTTACTTCTTATTTATTTGTGCACACTCGTGCCTTAAATAAAAGTAAGAGCAAAAGCTCAACATAACGAATTAGAAATGGTAACAAAACTTCCTTCCCAGTAGAGCTTTTAATCTTTTTAATTGGGTTGATTATCATTTAAATCGTGTTTTTTGACTATGCATTAACAAAAGGAAGGAAACCAGACTAGAGAAGATAACTGTTACGGAACCTCAAGAACAAGTAATTTCATGTTAGGATATCTGAACGGAGACATTTTATGTTAGAACTTCAATTTATTGTTTTCAAGTTTTTGGGTAAAACATGAAATTTTACTCTCATGTAAATTACATCGAACTCCGTAATTCGACATGTTATTGCATAATTTTATTTCGATATTCCTAAGCCATTTTTTGATTATTTTTTGTTAACATAATCTGGTCATGTAAATGATTTTAATATTTATTCAAGTTGAATAATACAACAAGGAACTTGTAAATAAAGTTTTATTTACATTATTACGATACTCTTTAACATATTTATGTGTAATTAGTGAGGCGAACTTATTGAAACCGCAATTAATGACTTCTTAATTATTTACTTTTGCTTGTTTCTACTTCGATCTCATCTCTGTTCGATTTGTACAGAAATTAAGTCTGTTAAATCAATAAATAAAATATTTAATGCTTTTTTCTTTTCGCGAAAAGAAAGAATGGAAGTAAAATAAACTTCTTTATTGTAGCAAACAATGTTGTAATTATCAAAACATATTCCCGGTTCTGACTGCATATATTAACACACACATTTATCAGCTTTGCCATGTCATTTTATTTATGTTTATATCTACACACATAATACTCTGGAATTCCATCATTCCTTTTCATTTTGTTCTGTCTTTCTGTTCGCTTCCTGTCATGTCTGTTACACTGGTTTTTAAATGAAGCTTCATTCATTTTAATGAACCCGAAAGCCGTAGTAATCGAGAGGCTCAACACAGAAATCTGTTTGGGAAGTTGATAATTTTATATGTCGCTCTTTCACATTAAATTACATAATCTACGATGATGAACAACTAAAGAGAGTCGCAGATTGAATGAGCCCAACCCTGTTTGTATATTTTTATTTTTACTACACAATGCATTTCCCGTAAAAGTTGTAAAACTTTTAGTTTTGATTGTGGGTGGGTTTGTCACGCGAATCTAACTGCGACGTGATTTATTGTTAATGAATTGTTCTGTCAGTTCATTCAACTTTACTTCCTTTTTCCGTTCATATTTTTCACTGAAATTTATCCAGATAGATATCTAAATATTTGCCAGTTGAACTTCTTCTTCAACAATGATTGCTTCGAGATAAAACTTCAATTAAATGTTGTTACAACGTCAACATTAACAGATACTTAGATAACACTTTCAGGCAATATTTATTCGTTGAATTTGAAACAAGGATAAATATTTCCAAAGTCGTCTCATAAGTAAATATTTAAGACAAGTTGATGAAAGTTTCTTGACGTTCACCGTGAAATCAAGAAAAATGTTAATTGATTTTTGGAATATTTATTAAGCAAGTGATCGACTCCAATGAAAAGAGTTAATAGATTCACTGAATAGCGAAGTCAAACAATCTGCGAACGTATTTTTAAAAGATAATAAAAACTTGCCGATTACACATTGAATAAAAAAAAATTAACGTGAAATGATAATCAGAAAAAAATTCCACGTAGCGGTGATTTCAGACTCTCAATTCACATGTTGGTAATTGCTGTTGTGGAAAACACGTCATTAACCTGTCGAACGACAATCGTAAGTGCCTCGCATTGTATTTTTATGATTCACATTTTCAACAGAAATCATTCAGAAGCTTATAAGACGGCACTTTTCGAACGCTAAATATGTATCCACAAAGTCATTAAAACAATTCACTTCGTATAAACGTTGAAGCGTCATGATTGATAGCCAACCTTAAGCAAACCTGTTGACTGAATGAACCTTTTTCTAAATATATGCAATAAAAGTTGAAAACACACAAAGAAATTTAACATTGTTGTTGCGAATGTTAGCAACTTTAAGAAAAGGGAATCATTACAAACGCACAAAGAACTCAACAGAACATTTGTCCAGTTAACATTTTTTACCGACTTTTGTTTTTGTATTGTCTGTGGAATTCAATCTTTCAAGCTGAGCTAAATTACAGCTCGGGAAACTTAATTCAATTGTCTCTGTTAAGTTCAAAATTTCTCATGCGTGGCAAAGTGAGGCAATGATGATTTTGCGGAATTTGTAATTTCGAGTTCGCACAAGTTAGCAACACAGTAATTTTGATCCATTTCTCAGTGGCAGTGAACGGTAGCTGCGTAACGAGTGTGAAGAAACTTTTTCTACTATATATTCTGATTTGATTAAGCATGAAAAACTTTCGGTTTTCCTTTTATCTTTTTCTCTCTTTTTCCTCCCTTCTGCTACTTTAATATTGCAGCAATCAAGAACACCAAACTTTGGTTAGATGGAATTTCGACCTTATGTTAGTTATCTGATTTGAATTTATGTTTATTGATGAAAGATCAGAAGTTTTCTTGTTGAATGGTGTATCATTGTAAAGAGGATGAAAATATGTTATTTCCTTTTCTTGCAACAAATCATTTATCATGCTTAGCCTGCAGAATTTTCCATGGATCATTTTTCACCTTCATTCATTCTACTTTCAATTTTAGAAATTTTTGTTGTTTAAAGAACATTAAGGTAAGAAAGAGAATAGAATGGCTGGCAACAAACAAGACGTATAATTAGAATCTTTTGTTTGTTTTTCGTCTTTGGCATAAAGACATTGAGAAGTGGAGAATGTTGTATTGGAACTTGATTATAAAACTTTTATTTGCATAAAAGCGAAAAGTTAAAAATATTTTTTTATCTGTTTCCGTTCAGTTTTTTTTATGTTTTTTGCTTCTATCTCTTCATTTAGCTTTGTCGTTGTCTAATCTTGAACTACTTAGTTATGCAACCAAATGACAGTGGCAAGTTGAACAGTTATGTATGGTATTGATTAAGTCATTCAACGGTGAGATGATTGGAATTCTTCAGTTGTTAATTTGTTGCATTGTTAACAACATACCATTCATGGCGTTTCACGAAATATCGAATTAAAGAAAGGAGAGAAGAATGGAAAATGAAGTAAATGATTATGCATTTATTTACCTTTTCTGTATCGTCAATAGACGCTAGAATAAACGAGTATCAAAGGTAAAATAATAATTTATTATAAACCCTATGAATATCCTCAAAGTATCCTTTCTAATGATAAATCATTTCCAAAAACCCCACACAGTGTCGTGTCATTGTCGAAGCAGAAGCACTAAACTTTTCTTGTAATATAATATTTTATTCTTCCTTTTTTTACTTATGCTTATTGTGATGTCTTCGAATATATAATAATAAAATAAATCTTTTTCGCCTTGTCAAGGGAATCTTATTTCACTTCTTCTTTTTCCTTTATTGAGAATTATTATCACGTACAAAGTTGATTGTTATTCAAAAATAAAATATTTTCAACCACACTCGTTAAGCTTTTTTTGGGGAATTTTCTTTATGCTGTATAAGTTTATTTTTTTATGTTAAAAAATAAGATTAGATTTTCATGTTATCCACAAAAAAAAACAAGTAGTACAATTCAGTAATTTGATTTCTTTTTTAAAATAAAATTTTATTAAACACGTCAATATTGTGCAAGTTCTTCGAGAAGACTAAACTTTTAACGCGATCTTTTAAATCCACATGACTTAAATTCTCTCATTTTCTCATTTTTATAACAGTTTTGAACGCTCAGTAAGCAGCAGCTGCGCTCTGAATTTATTTTCTTTCATTTATTTATCCAAATGCAAGTGACATGTACACACATTTGTAAATATCTACATACATATTTGTTTGTTTTTCATTATTATTTCTGTTTCTCACAACTGTTTGCATATTTTGACTAAACTTTGACATCATTGTTTGTAATATTCCAGTTTGTTACATGAAAGCTCAAAAATTCACCCCGAATAATAAAATCAAATCAAAAATTCCTTCAATAACTAAAATCAATATCAACAGAGCAATTTTCTTAAGAATTTCATTTCCTGAAAGTAAAATTGGCTGTAGAAAACCGGAAATGTAGAAAATTCTTGACTTCAGCGCTTTTATTATTATTGAGCCTTGTGAAGAGTTTAATTAACTTTCACAACTTTCATTAATGTTAAAACAATTTCCGAACGGAATCAGTGAAATATTTCTGAAGAATTCTTTCCAACTTTTTCCCAATTTCTTGATCAAAAAGTTCCGATGATGGTGAATCTCGTTATTTAACAAAACAAACTTTGAATCTTTCCTAAATACATAATTTATTTCGTTCCTTCTTTTGACGTGACTTGGATAGTTTGAAGATCTGAAATTGTTCCTTTTTTTCCTTTCTTTCCATGAAGAGTATCAAAGCGCAAAGGAAACATATTTCTACCTGTTGCTAACATTGACCTGATGGCCTTTATATCTGGAACACTTGCCATTTAAAATTAACAATATTGAATGTAACATGTGTCGCACATCCTGCTTATTGAGTGACTTTAAGGCTTTCAAATCAACCGGATACTTCATCTTTAGTCAGTGTCAAAAACTATAAAATCAAATTAAAGCATTAATTTTAAGTGTTACTGTTACTTGTTCATTTTATGTTTCTTTGAAGTGGTTTTTGTATCATTAAAAGAGATTATTTAGCAATTCATATTTCACATCTGCTAACAAGCGCTTCTTCAGTCGAAAAGGAAAGGCTCAAACCAAATATTTAGTAATATTTTAAATATCATTATGAAAACAGAAATAACATAAGCGCTTTATTGCTTTTATAATAAACGCCTACAAGTTCACGCCAAGCTAAGCCGTCAACCTACACAATTTAAACAGTTTCGATTTGTAAGAATTCCAAAACATCTGCATATCATTTGAACGTGTCTCGTTTCAATTTAGTCACCATGAGTTATCAATCAATCTATGCATAAAAAGATTAACACGAAGTTCACTCTGTGGGACGATGCGGAATTTATTTGACTTTGACTTGATCAATCTTTTACTATGTATCAACTTGATATAATAAATTCATTCATTATGAGTGAGTGAGTGAGGTCGTCTTGTTTTAACCGCTCGGTGTCAACCATTAATTAAAGCATCGTTGGCATACATTAAAGAGTGTTGGTTTAGAAAAGATTTCCCTCTAAAAGAAAAGCAATTTCTTTTGGTTGCAAGCTAATTTTGGGTCATTAGCTTAGAGTCATAACTTATCATCATTTATCAACCAGCGTTCACAAGTTTGAGTAATTCTCGACCGACAAAAAGGTATTCAGATAGAAAATAAAAGACAATGCATTGTTTTCTAAGATTTTTTCGCCCATTTTTAGTCTCTAATCTAAACAATCTTTTCAATTCTGAATTTTATCGTCTCGTTGTTATCGCATTTACTCGTAGGTATGATTCTTGTTTCAGTGAGACAAAGCATCGGTTTGATGAAAAAAAGAAAAGATTAATGCATCGTTCAAAATGATGTTGAGTTGTTTTTCTCAATCTTTCTCTTGTGGTATCAATTTGTCAGTTACAAATGACACAAACATTCATCTTTTCAAATTAGTTAGAGATCGATGTCAAACTTAAGGCGGATTACAGTGGTTTTAATTTTTTGAAGAACGTGGTAACCAAATATTGACATGGAAAGTCAATCTTTTGTCTCTAAGCTCAACTCGACAACGCAGTCAAGCAGTCAATTAAAATTTCTAAGTTTGAAAGGTGAGAACGCTTGAAACAGAAGTCTTGTAATTGACTACGCTGATGCTTCTAAGATCTTTGTGGTTAACGCGTGAGAAATGGAATGTTTAAGATCAAGTTCCATTCTGAGTAATGAAAATCAACTTCTCTAAGTTTCAACTTAAAAACAAACAATAACAAGAATAAAACAAATTCAGTGGTTGTATTTAACGTTTACGGTTTCATCAATTAACGCCTATTGTATGGGATCATTGTTATGTGTCATGATCAATTTGAAAATAAATTGATAACTGTGAGTCATTGTTTTTTAAACGAAGGTTTTCGAGAAATGTAAGTAATACAATGAAGAGAAAAGTTCGAAGAAGACTCAAGAAAGTTCTCACGAAAAACAATTACAAAGCGATGACACGAGTTTGGGTTGAACCCGCAAAATGGTCTTTTGTAACATGCGTTTAACGGTTTTCATTGTGATTGTTGAATTTCTATGCAACTGCAGTACAAAATCTTAAAGAAACATTAAATGGAATTACCTTAAGTTTCTAAAGTCTCTTTATTACATAAAAAGATGTTTCTTAAGATTTCCCAACTAAAAGAAATTTTGTTTTCGAGATAATGTAAAACTTTCAGGAATTTTATTGCGAACAAACTCAGTTGCATAACTTTTAGGCGAACATTTTTTATGTTTTTAATGTTTGAGCCTGAAGGATTCAAACTTCGAACAGAATTCAATTATTTAGGAAAATCGGAAAATTCCAATGTCATAAAGGTTCTTGGGAAAGTTAAAATAAATTCTACCCAATTTCTTTGTTAGCTGAAGTGGATGTAAAAAAATTAATATGAAAAGCAACCTCTCGAACAAGTTAAACAGAAGTTGTAGATATGCAATTGAAAGCATTTTATAACAGAACTCACAAAACCTTTCGTAGCTATGTTCATAAATCATTCTAGACGGTGATAGTTTGAAGTGAAAATTCTATCAATTATCTTGTGCATATAAATTTTCTTTTATTTATTTCCCTCTTGTAAAAGTCACTCAAGCCAGTGTTGTTAAATGATCAACATTTTAAAATAAGACGAGAAAACTACATGAATCGTAATTATCTGTTAAAAGTCAAAGAAATTCAAGATTATTAGAATGAAGTTGATAAATGCTTCCAACATTTTGAATGACTTTAATAGCTTAATGCACAACAAAGATAATATTTCATAACTGAATATTTTATTCTGCATCACTTGAACTAAAACAACAATATGCATTTAGATCCATTAGATCATCAATACTGTGCATTCATTGATATCGACTTTCTTTAAAAGTTAAATATTTACAATTTAGTTTCACAATTTATCGCTTCACTTTAGTTTGCAGTTTAAATGGAAGAGAATGGAACGATTCAATATTCATAAATATAATTATCATCGTCATGTTATGGTTGTCGAAGAAGATAGAAAATGTTCGTAGTAGGTTCATCTTTCCCTTATTCATAACTCATAAAAGGGTTTTTGGCATCGTTAGGAGTGGTAAAAATTAGATTTTGTTATCCTTTCATAGAAAACTTTGTGAAAATTATTGTTAGTTTTATAATGAAAATAAATAAACATTAAAGAAAACTGTTGAAATTAAACAATAACTAATCACTGAAGAAAGAAAATATTTTTCAATCAATGTTCAGTTCATTTTCGACGGTAATAAAATTAATTTATAGCACAAAGATAAGATTGATAGCAAATTTTTTTCTATTTATTGATTGATTTCAATATAGAAGCACAATATGGAAGTAGTGGCATGTTTAATCCATTAAAACTTATCTATGTTCTACAATAATCGGCTTCCCACAAGAACCACTTCAAATCATCCATGAACTGTTTCATTTCAATTCCCCACTCTTCTAATTTGTCGACGAATCTGATAAATTCTGGGTCGTATTCAACTTTTAATGCAATGGCTCTAAATTCAGCACTTGAAAGCTTCTTATACCCTGGGCAAAGGTAAGGATCATTTTCAACTTTGTACATCCACATATCGTAGATATCATCTCCTGGGATCTCAGCTTGCAAATCGTCCATGCTATTGCAGAAATAAACGTCATAAAAAAGACTATAAAAAGGTGTAAATATTTAACTAACAATTTTCTGACTCCACTGACGAAAGGAACAGCAACCGATTTGTGTTTATTCAAGCTTGATGTTGGCGATGCCTTCTGGGATGTCCATGGGAAGGGGAATTCTGGATGGCAATGATCACCTTCAGGGCTTAATGTTAAAAAATTAAATTTTATATGGTTTCACCATTTTGAAATTTTCTTGCAAAAATACTTACTGTGGCATGCGAGGCGTTCTGTTGAATAATTCAAGTTAAAATCTTATAAAATTTCTCGTAAAAGAAAATGTGTTCATTCAGTTCTTACCCGAGAATATCACCAAGAGTGTTAAGATAAAGGTAGCCATCAAGATCAAGATTTTCGCAAAAGTACCACATGAAATCTTTGAATTCTGGCATATTCTGAACTGAAAGAATCAATACTCTGAACTCTGGCCCTGTGATGTAGTTGAAGAAGGCAAGCATATCGGGATCGGTGAGAATAGCATCAAAGAACATGTTGACTTTGCATTCAATGTCCATTAAATTGAACATGTTGCCAAGTGCACCAGCAAGTCCTTGATGATGAAGTTGTCCACAACATGGCGATGGTGGAATTTCCAATGATCCTGGATTTAAACAACGAACTTGTGCATTTGCTGTTACAGCAAAACAAGCAAGTGCGAGAGCAATCAAAATCTTCATTCTCTTCGTAATGAATTAAGTCACCAACTGAATTGAAGTTGATTAAACTTGTCGTTATATAGCAAAAAAAATCAATCAATATTATCCGTCTAGAAGATTTAATTTGTACATAAAGTAAAACAAAAAAATAATTAAGATAAGGTAATCGTTCAGTGGTAGCAAATTTTTAAGTACCTACTCAGATATGTGTTGTTAAGTCTTTAATAATTCTGAAAATTTAGCTAAATTTGATATTTTGTGAGTTATTGCTTTTAACCATTTGTTTGCTGGAAACTTTTATCTGGAAGTCGTCGATAAGATAATTTTTAAGTTTATTTACGTAACATACTTCTTTGTTGTTTTGACGAATCATTTTTAAAAGTGCTGATTTGTACTTCGCCATCTGCAAAAGCTTCTCAAGTCAATGAAAACATTAAATATATTTATTTATTTATTTATTTCATAAATTATCTAACAAATTCTTCAAGAAAATACATTTTTCTGGATTTTTTTATAAAATTTAAAGCTTGAAACATAATTTAGTGTAACAAACATTTCATTACATATTTTTCCTTCCTCATTAATGAATTTACCATCGTATTGTCTTCTGTTTGTTCCAAATCATATAAAAAATCTAACTTATTATGAACGAAATCAAGAAATGAACATTTGAAAGTTTCATGATATTTACAAAAAAATTACCAAACCAAAATATGAAAGAAGATTGTTGAGTGTAAAATTTGTGTAAAAGGAAAACAAACTTTGATATAAAATAAATAATGAAACATGAATGAATTACATGGAGCAGATGTCATCGTTTATCATTCTTCATTATTTACATTTGCATAAGTTTTATCATTTAATATACCGAATTGAACATTGAGCTTTACGTTTCTCTTTCTGAGATTTCAGTTTAAAATTGGCATTAGTTATGTTATATTTATTTATTTAAATTAAAAGAAAACATCGATTGATAAGCTTTAATATTTTCTTCTACCTCCTGTTTTATTCTTCAAGAATTTTCGTTTTAATAAACTGTAAGATTTTCAAAATCACAGCCATCAAGAAAAGTTCAAAAATCTCTAAAGATAAGTGACATGAAACGATAAATTAACACTTGAAATCTTGAATTAATTTTTCAAGTTTGCTTTCATGTGAAGTAAAGCAGATTTCAATGAAAATTTTGGCTCAAAGCCATCTAGATATAAAGAATATTTTTGTTATTTGTTCAGTGTTTTGGATTTTAATTACAAAAGTAGGTACACAAACAAATATTTAATGAATAATATTGACATTAAAACAAATATAAAAATTTTGATTCCTGTTTTTAATTATTGATTTCCTTTTCTGGAGATTAACATGCAATGAAAATTTTGAGATGATGAAAAATAAATTGTCAATATGTGATTAACTTCAACTTCTAAGTAGTTACTGATACTTGGACTGTAAGTAGGTGCCTTTTCTGGTGGTTCAAAAAGTTTCCCTGATTTTAATTGATGTCAACTTAACTTTCATGTTTTATAAAAGCTTAACCATAAATGTAGCTTGTCTCATCTGACAACTGACTCATTACAGTTATTATTTATAAGAAAATATATAAATAATCTTCAATTATATTTCTCATACTTCTGTCTCCATATTCTAAAAGCATAAGCAACTTTTCAATCAAGGTTGTGGTTGAACTCCTACATACGTTGTGTCTGTTGGTAAAGAATGCTTCTAGGAAGTTCATGAGAGGCACGGTGACATGAATGAAGATTATTTTAGAAGAAATAAACAAGAAAGAGTAACGAAAATAATTAATTAAAAGTTAGCATTGTTTAGCATTTCAGTTAAAATGAATTTTTGTTTGTTTGTTTGTTCACTTACGTGTGTAACTGTCGCTCGTTTATTGAGAGCTTTGTTCTTGTTTTGCTTCAAGGAACATATCAAAAGCTCGCTCATACCTTTTCTGAAGTTTCTTGATAGAATTGCATACAGTAAAGGATTTATGCCTGAATTGAAATATGTTGCGAGAAATGTGAGTGGTGTGAAAAGAGCGTTAAAATTCGAGTCACCGCGATAAGCTTGTGACCTGTTTGAGAGCAAACTGTTAGAGAAATAATTAATGTTGAAATTTCAAAGTTAATTACCAATATTGCCACATTTTCCTAGCATGTAAAGGCAAATTGCAAAGCGCGAATGTTAAGACGACAACCATTAACATTCGCACAACTCCTCGACGAGCTCTTAAAACGTTATTCGTTGAGTGTGTTGATATATGCGCTTGTTGCGTATGGTTATGACGTGAATGACTGATGCTTTGTGTTCTCCAAGTTGTCACTCCATTTCTATCTGATTCCATAGAAACCTAATAAGAATGAAAATTGTAAAAAATGACTCGCATCTGCCTTTTTCCTTACAAACCTCGCATTCACTTGTATTCAAAGCTCGTTTATCATATTTGATTGGGTGTTTTAAAAAAGGTGCATTATTAACTCCTGTTGATGTTGATGGAATTGTCGTATTTTTCATCTGAAGACTTCGTCCTAGTCCTTTAGAACTTTTCCACAATGAAATAGCTATTCGGCTGTAGAGAACCTTCAAGAGAAGATCAACATTGTTGAATTCAATCATTTCTATTCATATTCCTTCAATCTATCTCTTCAAAGCCAGTTTACAATGTCAATTATACCTGACAAGATTTTTTGAATTTAAAGCTTTCGGCTTTAAAACTTTTATATAATAATCACGACAGCATAGAACAAAAGTTTACATCTCAAATATTCTATGTCGAGAATGAAAAATAAATTAGATTCGAGATGTTGAAAAGAAAAATATTTTATTGGAAATATCGAAAAGTTTTCTTTATATTTTCAGAAGGAAAGAAAAAATTGAGAAATTTTTTAATCAAAAAAATTTGCTCTCGACAAATAAGAAAACATCAACAGGAAAAAGAAGAAAATAGAATTCGAAAATGTCAAATTCATTATTAATTTCGAGCGAGATGTCAGAATATTTGTCAGATATCTTGATTTATACAAATTTAAATAAATTTAATTCTCAGAAAATGTTTAGGAGCTGATAAATTGATCCATCCAATATTTATGACAATCAATCTTTATTACCATTTTTATTGAAACATCTTCAATAAACTTGCTAAATATTTCTCTATGCTTGATAAATTTTATGCATTCATTGCAATAGCTTTTATATTTGCATTAATAAAATGATAAGAAAAATTGTTGAAGCTCAGATTTATTGAGATTTTTTATTGGAAACAACTGAATTTATGATATAATAACATTTATATTGATATCAACATACGAGCTAAATAAACGATTTTCCCAAGACAATAAATCCAAATGATAACGACTTGAATAAAATTGAGACAGAAAATCATTTTTGCGTTGAATCAATACTTAATACATACCGTCATCACCATTAATGGCAATAAATACAGAAATATAAAGTTCAAGATGTCAAACAACTTCACATTATAGTCCCTACGATTCACTGTACAAATGGTTTCTATTTTCAAAGAACAATTCGATTAGAAAACAAAAATATTATGAAAAAAGTTTTCATTCACCTGTTTCATTTCCCAATTTATTGGTAATCGTCTCAACGTAAATAAACTTTGGGATCGAATACATCACAGATGCCCACCATACTAATACTATCACACTCTTTTATGAGTGAAAAGAATGAAATTAACTATTAATTAATACACATACATATGTTAATAATATAACATAAGATCAAAGCTTTGCATTCGTACAAATGAATTTTATCCATTCAAGGGTATTCATTAATATCAAAGCACTTACTTTTAATCTACTTGATGTTAAAATCTGTTTACTCGTGATAGGATGCTGAATAGCTAAGTAACGTTCCATACAAATGACAACAAGTATGAATATTGATGCTGTATAACTAAGTGAATGTATAAAGTGATAAGCTTTGCATAAAAAGCTTCCAAATACCCAACTGAAACGACGAAATAGTAAATGAGAATTAAAATAGATCCTTTTTTGTTTATTAAGTGAACTCAGCAGTTCTTTCCATTAAACTATGTAGATGATGACTTTAATCCAATTAGATGAGATTACAAGAAGATTTTATCACGTGTTTATTTTAATGAAACATGAAATTCAAATTGAAAAAAATGTCTGCTTACCTATCTATTAAATACATTGATAAGTTCTGAAACACACAGAATATCCCAACACAGAAGTCAGCCACAGCTAGGTTTGCCAAAAAGAAATTCGTAATTGAACGAAGTCGTCGAGATAAGGTCACTACCAAAATCACAAGAAGATTGCCTGAGGAAGACGCATTGAAATAAAATTGAATCATTTTTCCTTCTTTTTATTCTTTTCGCAGTAATTGGATAAGAAAATTGAAAAACGGAAGAAAAAATTATGACACGACTTTCCTTTTTTAACAAACTCACATTTACGGACTACTGAACAAATTTCTCTATTATTCTATTTCCAAGACTACGTGTTCGTTGATAAATATATTTGAGTATCAGAAAGCTTATAATGAAATATTTTCAATTCGAATTATCTTCCACCATAAAAGCTTTTTACTTGCTTTTCTCATTTGATTTCTTTTTCAGGACAACACTTACTTAAGTTATTATTTTTTGAACTTTTTTAATTGTGTTTGCAATAAAAATCACCAATAAAGTTATGAGCAAACCCAGGCATTAATGCTGTTTCTTTGTTACCAAGTGATGTGAAGCAAACCATCGTCACGCATCGCATGATTTTTTATCCAGAAGGTCTAAAGTATTTTTTTAATATAGAGATAGCTTTATCGGCCTTTTATAAGCTTTTAACCGATTTTTGTTGTAGCAATATTTGTGAACGTCAAAAGATATTTACTAAGTGAGCTTTTCCATTTCCAGCACTCATGTAATACCTCAGACAAAAATATGTAATGGAAAAAATTGTCATATCTTCTTATGCCATTTTATTTTATAGTCTGCGCATTCTGTTTCTTGCTTGTCTTCAAGTTCCAATCATAAATTGAAAATTGTTCCCCTAAACCTTTCAATGTTTTCTTAGGTCGTTTTCTCATGGAATGTGTGAAGAAAGCCAAAATTAAATATCTACATAAATTTGTGTCACGAGCTTTAAGCTTGGAGTTTCACCACATGGAAATACCTTCCAGATTTACAATCATGATACAACCACAATTTGACATGTTCTATCAAAGAATAAAAAATATCTTCGTATCTGATTAAACCTGAAGCGTAGATCTTCAGATACCGATACCTATTACAGAATAATAAGAAAATACAGAAGATATGGAAAAACTTTCCTTTATCTATTTCGAGGCTCGTTATAAAGAGAAAAAGATTAATATTTGTCGTACATATACAAATATTTGTTACCCTTAATAAGTCTTATAAAAAGAACTTTTTTCATCCACAAAACATTGTCAAAATTTTGATTTGTGTTTGGTAATAAATCAGTTTTGATACCCTTTTTCAGTTCGAATAAGCCATGGAATTAACTTCTTCTTTTCTAGATTTATGAATAAAAAAAATAAGCCATTGTAAATTTCAACTTGATCTGTGAAAATTGCAGCGACCTTTTCATGTGGGAAGAATGTTGAAAAGGAGTCCATAGGGAAACCTTGTTAAATATGTATCTTTCAGCTTAGCATTTTTAAAGCTGACGAATCTTTTGAGAAAGGTGAACAATATAAGTTTATTTTAAAGAAGATTCAAAAGATATTTCAGGGCCATTTAATTGTCGGTCTAATTTGTTCCGACTATGGTAAATAATAAATATCCAAGCCGAAATAATCTTGTTAACTAACTTTAGTCACTCTTAGAAGTTAATTAGATGAAATATTTAAATAGACATTCAACGATGTTCACCTTGTAATGTCAAACATACTCAACTTTATGACTAATAACAATAACGAAAATAAAAAAATAATCTCTGTACAATGCGTTCTTCTACAAATTTGAAGGACTAACCCGAATTAAATAAAAATCTCTGAAAATGTTACTGAAACTGAAAGAAAATTTTCAGTTTAAAAATCATAAAAAAAATCTCTTCTCAAGTATTTTAAAATCATTTCGATGAAAAATTTCTTCATGGTATTCATTCAGAAAAAAATGATATTCTTTAATTGATGTCTTCATATGAAATATTACATCTCATGAATTAAGTCTTCCATTTCAAAATTATTAATTACTTCTACAATAACTCACCAAAAAAGCAGCAGCAAAAAACCATTGTATAAAGTGTTATAAAAATTATCCGAACTTCCTTTCTGTCAAAAATATATTCTCTTGGCTCAAAATCAAAATTGAAGTCAATCGTTGCGTTCGTATTGTTGTCATTTTCACTTTGGCTGTTATATATCATATCCCCATACACGGTGGAGTTATCATTGAAACTTGACATTGATTTTCTTACAACTGTCACATTATCGTACATATCGTTAATCATTTTCGTTGACAGATTCATCTTCGAGTAGGCATCTAACTTATTTACATATTCACTTATAATTCATTACACCTGAAAACATCTCTTCCTAATATTATTTAAGATGTTCCTGTAAAGATCATAATTTAATTAATTTCTATCGGATTAGAATTACAACACTTCAACATTTCCACAAGAATAAGCTTAAGCTTTATGTTCCATTAATTAATCTTTCATTTTTTTAGAAAAACTTTTAATCTTCAATAAAACTTTTCAAACCACCCGATAATTTGAGAGATGAATCTTGGTATCAATTTCAATAATCCTATCGATATTAATTTAATTTTAAAAGTAGGTGAAGGAAAATGTGGATTTAAATTTTTTTTCCACAAATTCAATATTCTTTTGAGAAACGCTTTTTATTAAATTTTTATCACATAAAATTGAATTAAACTTTACAAATGTGAAATTGAAAAGAGAAAATCGTTTTATTCTTTATTCAATTTCCCTTAAATAAATATTCTTCATTATTTGATATATTTGCTTTCACGGTAGTCACATTTGTTGATAGAATTGAGTTTTCAAATAAATTTTATTTCAATGTAAATATATCTCAACTGAATTTCTAGCTGGGTACACATGAAACGAATATTTTAGCACTAAAATTCACATTCGATAAAAACATCCTGAAATTTTCCAACTGAAAACGCACGGAAGACATTAAAATCGGACTATCAATTTCAACACCAAACGTCTAGATAAATAGTTACACATAAAAAATATTGAACGTTTATTTCCAATTTATTGAACGTTAAGATCTTCCGAATTAAATGAGGGAAAACAGTTCATGGCCAGATGCTTATTTTATTCATCGGTTGTTCTGTGTTTTGTTCATGAACTTCCTTCGCTATAATTTCTTAAATTTCTTAAAAAGATTTTAACACTTTCGTTGTCTCTTTAAACATCTTTTCATTTTTCTATTCACATTTAGGGAATGAATTTTAAATTTTATTTACATTTAGGTAATCCAATTGTTGAATATTTTCCTATTTTTTTATAATTTATGCAGAAAAATATTAAAATTTAATTCCAATTCATAAATCACTGAATCCTTTTATGATTTTCCGATTGTTACGTGATCAGTTGTGAAAGTAGACTGCGCTATTTTTTTCCATCAACGATCAATTTATTTAACATGAAGCCTGGAAGAAAATGCATTTTCCATTCGGAGAGGAAAAATTAATGGAAATCAAATTTTCCAAGATTTTCTTTTGAACGAGCACGTGGCATGGAAATGAATATGAAAATTTGAGATTGAAATTTAACAATCATCAAGTGGATTTTCTTTTAAAAGTGAGAGGCTGGAATGAAGTTTTGTGTCGTCTCATGATTTAAAGAGAATGTTTCGTTCCTCATGTGAAAAATCTTTCTTGACATTGAAAAATCTGTTGCATGATTTGTTTTGTTTTTAAATTCATGACACATTTTATTTAAATATATTCACATGCATGACATACGTATATGAAATTAAATACTTTCGAATAAATTTGTAAGTTTGCCTTTGACAATAGCTCCAAACTCTCGGGCTCCCTGTTCACATTCTTGAAAGCCTGAAACATCTCTCATTCGTCTGTACCAGTTGTTAACATTGGTGTATGGTGAAAGGTTAAAGCCAAAATGCTGGAGGTGTTTGTTTGATGAAAAGAATTGATTATTATGTTTGAAAGGCCCTTAAAAAATGTATTTGCTTACAACTAAAGTTGATATTGAAGCCAGATATGCGAAATCTGCAATTGTCATGCAATTCCCCGCAAAGTATTCATAACCTTCCAAGAAATTCTATAGAATTGATAAGAGATTGACGACAAGAGATAAAAAACGAATAAAGAAATATATTCAAACCTCAAGAATAAGTAAAGATTTCTTCAAATTCTCCCAATGTTGCGCGGTAACAGTAGCAACGGTGGTAGTGGAACTTGATGAAAACGCAAGATTCGCAATATCTAATATACGAACATAAAAATCAGATGAATCATGAAATAATCGCTGATGAATGACGGCACGTGTTTTAACACATTTCGGATATAATGCGTGGGAGTTTTTAGCATATTTTTCAGCAAGGTAAATAAGAATTGCCTTAGACTCCCAAAGAATAAATTCGTGATCCACTAAAGTAGGCACGCAACATCGTGGCTAAAAGAAATTTTCTTTATATTATTGAAATTTCGATTATCTCAGTGAAAAATTTACGTTGATCTTGCAAAAATCGTTGTTTCTTCGATGTTCTCCAGCCATTAAATTGAAATGCTTCAACTAATTTCGAATGAGAAAATAAGAAGAACAGAAAAATCAATTAATATCTTTCATTGTGCTCTCGATTGTTACGAAATCAAACAAAAGTTGAATGAACTTTCCTTATATAATCAAATTTTGAAAAGCACTAAAATTGTTAGGCTTCTCAAACAACAATCTGATCTTAAATAAATATTAATGAATTCAAGGCTTCCAAAAAACTTTTGACAAAAAGCACATTACAAAAAGAAAAAGGAACCTCAATTAACTTAATCAGAATTTTCCATAGAGAGAGTGAAGGAAAATCAATTTTAGGAGCCTGTTTTTATTCTGCTTACTCAAGATAATTTCTTTGAAACTTCTTTGCTTTGAAAAAATCCGATTAGCCAAATTAATATATAATTTTAATCCACCTACCTCAATTTCCACACCCAAGTTTCTTACAGCCAATAAAACTGCTCTAGATGGCGTTGAAATACTCGCGATGTATCTTAAAAGAAAATTACTTTCATCAAAGAAGCAACAATTTTGAAGAAACTTTTTAATTACAATGTCAATGGAGCCATTTTTTCTAGTTTTTGTTCTTTTCACTTAAGCTTTTGATAACTTGTTTGTACTCCTTCTGGTAACAGCATAAAACACCAACTAATTCGTAAAGGAAGTTGTACACTTCATTTATCCAATAACAGATAAATATCTAGTTAGATATCTGAAAATATATACTCGAGTGATAAACAAAATTTGCTTTATTAAATTTCTCGATGTTGTTGTTTCTTTCACTTGCTGTTCACATCACTTCATTAATATTTATATCATAACTTACGAGATAAAGTGATAGCTTATGTCGATATTATCGCTTTTTTCAATCAACTTTCTGTTGCTGAATTTTGTACTTTTTTCACTTACTATCCAAAAACAGTTACCAACCTTTTGTTTTTCATGGAAAACCCAACGGGATTTCACTATTTAGCTACACAAACCAACTCTACTATACGAAACGAACACGGTGAATATGAAATTGTTTCAGTCGCTTCGATACGAAAACCCTTTCTCTCTTTAATAATTTACTGATGAATTAAACAGAGATATCATTGAGGTTGGAGTTGCGTACTCAGAAAATCGATGACGGGAACAAAGTTTTTATCAACTTCTACTGCTCATCATGAAACGTCAGTTTATGTCATTTTACGTCAGTTTTTATTATTGCGTCCATTTGATAATGAGATTACATTTCTTTTTATCTATTTGCTGTTCTTATCTTCTTTCTTTTTATATTATTATTCAACTTTACTGAGAAATTAATTTCTTTCTAATTTACTAAAATGTTAAAGGCATTCATTTCAATTGTAAGAAAGGCAATTACGAATATTGCATTAAAAGCCGTAAGATAAATATTGCTTAAAAAGGTTCGCTCAATTTATTCTTCACAATTTGTGCAAACATTTTAGCTCCTTTCTCATTCTCAGCAAAGCCTGGTAAGTTTGAGCATCGTTCATACCAAGTACTAAGATTGGGATAACTTGAAATGTCTTGTCCCACATGATACAATGTTGAAAATGCTGCTAAAATTGACAAGTCTGCAATGGAAGCTTCATCAGTTCCGGATATCCATTCGTTTCCATCAAGAAAATTGTCTAAGACATCAAGTGTCGATAAGACATTGTCTTTAGCTTCCTGACTGATGACAGTTTCTTGTCCTCGCATAATGGGATACTTAAAAATAAGTTGATCAAAGTTAAAATGTTTTCCACATTAAAAAACTTAATTGTACCATCGCTTCTGCTAAGCGTGTAGAGAAAACAGTTGCATCATAAAATAATTTATGATTTACAGCATAACGAATTTTCGGATCAGTGGGATACAAAGAACTGTCAGGGCTTTTAGTGTCCACTAAATAAGTGATAATTGCACGTGACTCACTCATCACAAACCCATCGTCAATCACTACGGGAACTGTCCGCTGTGGATTCAATTTACCAAACGATGAGGTTTTATGATCCCCAGCTGCCAAATTCACGATTTTAATCTAAAAAATATATAAAAAAGTTTATTGAAGTAAGCACAAATTATGAAGCATGTTAAGAAATTTTCTACATCAAATTCGATTCCTAAATTGATCAGAGTCAATAAAACGCAACGTGATGGTGGTGAAACTGAAAGAATGATCAAATATATTATAAGATGAAATTTCATTACTTTTAATCAAAACTTTTATTCATACCGGGCGAGTAGTAAAGCGTCAAAGTCATTATTGATTCGAGACGTTTTTTTATGTACCTATGCCAGTGGAGAAACAACGTTCAACTGAAGCTCAAAAGACGTAGCAACGTTTTTTTATAGGCAATTTATCGGTAGGTTAATGAAGGCAATTGCTTTTGAAGGGGAGAAAAAGTTTAATAGCTAAGGAATAATGAATTTTCTGGTTTCTTTTGTGAAGAATTCAACGAATCATTCTTTGATGTTTATAAGTTACTATGATGTTTCTGACCACCCCTTTCTGTATTAATTACTACATTGATGATCTTCGTATGATTCATTTACTTCAACGATGAATGTCTGCGTTAAATTACGAATTATTGAAACACTTTTTCTCTTACATTTACCTAAATATTTAACTTAGAAGTTTATTCACAGACACTCAAAGCTTTACATTTATAGGTTGAATTAGTCATTACTAACCTAATAACGACAAATTGCGTTCTTTCAGTGTTTATGGTAGTTATTCTTGTAATGTCAATAATGATTTTGTATATTTCATTCTTTTCTAATAGTCATCCCACGTTGGAATTTTCATTGACTTCGTAGACAATAACATTAGCTTAATCATGTAAGCTGTAAAGGAAAAGTTGACTTTTATCATCTTTCATTGTCATTGATAAAAAAAGACATAAATTTTAATATCTTGATTGCTTTTTCTATGTTCAGTTGAATATGTATGAGAATTTTACACTCAGATGCGATAAGAAATGACATCAAATTTGTTATCAAGCGAGCTGATTGATAAACCCAGGGATAAAGCATAGTTTGGACGTTTGGTTAAATTAAAAACCTTTGCCTAATGAATTTCCTTATCGTTAATTTCTTATGATAGATTAAATCAATATCAAGCATCTGCTATGTTTACATGATCTCATTAACTATTAAAACCATTGACATGACTTCCCTAATGACTGCTTTATGGATATAGCATGACTTGACATGAATATCCAATTTGAAAGAAGATTAAAATAAACTTTTCCAATGTCATTTAGTTTTATCGATCTTCAAAGTTTTTCTACTTATGAAAGTTTATTTTTCATCTCTGTAGATGTCAAGATTCGTAACAGAAATAAATATCAGCATAGAAATATGAAACTTCTTGCTTGAATGATATCTTGATTTGATTACGAAATCGTTATTTATAATTTCATGGAAGGAAAGATCAATAGCATGACTTCAAATGACCGAAAGGATATCATTTACATTTGTAAGCATTAATAACAGAAACATAACGGAAAGTCGTCATAGACATTTCTGAATATTTTCTTTTATGCGAGGTCATGGTGAGACTAAAACTTTTCTTATATTTCAGCTTGAATTAACCTTTTACTTCGTACTCATGTTACAAGTTGCAACTGTCTGAATCAACGCTAACAAATTATCGTAACACAATAAAAATATAATTTCAACTTGCCTGTGACTCGCAGCCTGTGAATGAAATATAATTGCGAACATTAGTTCAAAAAATATTTCTCACCATGACTCGACATTAATTTATTTCAGTTTTCTCATTTTTTTGTGTGGATAATATCAAATGTTCTCTCATGGCCTTGAAAACCTACAGAAGAATCGCCTCGAAATCTATGCGTTTATCGATTTTTCTTTACATTTGTTAAAGGAGAATTTAGTAGAAAAATATTGAAGATTTCTGCTTTAAAGAATTTTATTAAAGATTTTTGGTTTTAGACTTCAATAAATATTTAAATACATTAAATAACATTTATGCATCTATCAAATGTTATCCCTAATCAAACGAGAATTTTAATCCTTTCGATGCAATAATTTTGCCAAGAAGTTTTGATGATTCAAAATTCTCATCAAATCCTGGTAAACTTGAACAACGTTTGTACCATTGCTTCAAGTTGGGATAATTTCCAAAATGTCCAAACATATTGATGACTTGATTCATATCTGAGATGATTGAAATATCAGCAATTGTAGGATGATCTCCAGCAAAATATTTCTTTCCTTCTAATGAGCTGTTCAAGTAACTCAAAACTCCTTTCAATCTTTCTTTGTCTTCAGGCAAAATTTCCGTGACACCCTTGTATAGAATTGGAATCTAAAAGTTTAGAATTTATCCTTATAAATTCCCAGAATTTTCATAAAGAAGAAAATGAGAATTTCACCAATATTGGTACGAGAGCACCGAAAAAGCTTGCAAGGTCATAATACAAGAATTGATCAACAAGTCCACGAGCCTTAGGATCACTGGGATATAATGAACTGCCAGGTTTCCTTGAGTTGGCCAAATACCCCAAAATGGCTCTTGATTCATTTAGAACATAATCGCCATCAACCAACACCGGTACGAGTTTCAGTGGATTTAATTTCTCGAATTCTGGGTTTTTATGTTCTCCAGTTAACAAATTAAAGTTTATAATCTCAACATCTGCATCAACATTGCGAATAGCCATCAATGCAGAACGAGCGGGAGCTGAACCGGGAGTATAAAATAATTTCAACATCTTTATTGAGGGATTTTATGGACTTGAATACTGAAGATTGAAAGTGTTCAGAAGCAAAGCTTTCAGTAAACTAAAAGGAAAATGAAACTGCTTTGCATTTATATCTTTCTTGTTAGTATATTTCTGTACATTTGCAGCAAAGATTAAGAAGAAGCTTCATTTATTTACACACAAAAAAATATTCTGTTATAAAAAATATTAGATTAATGAACATCATTCGGATAATGATGATTCTGCATCAACATGTCCTTTGCGAATTGAATGACCACTGCAATAATTTTAATATATGTTGCAGATCAACCATGTCGTTATAGCGAAAGAATTCTCTGCATCTACACAGAGTTATGTCAGAATGACTGCAAATGTATTGACTGAAAAAATTATTTTCTGTGAAATTTGTTTTCCTACACATACTGACATATAAGATAAGATTTGATTTATGCAAGTAATGATTGAAATTTGATGAAAATCCATATTCTTACATGAAACGCTATTGAACAGCACTTTAAAAGACTTTATATATCCATGACGCAAGGATAGAATCATTCCAATTTAATTATCTTGATTTACATTGATCTGCATTCCTACCCCCCCTTGAATCTCTGAGTCTTTTATTTTAAGTAATTTTGATCTAAATTTCTAGAAAAATTAATTATGTCCAAGAAATCGATTACAAACAAGCTCATCAATTATTTGAATCTTAAATTACTGTCCAATTATTGAAGTATAAAAGTTATCAAAGCACCCCAATTGTCTCATTCTTATGGGAATTCTAATTAAAAAACAACTGCTGTGATAGAAGAAAAATATAATTCGACTGGTTTGTGAGTAAAATCTTCTCGTGACCTTGGAAACAACTGAAGAATCGCCTCGAATTTATTTTTCGTTTATCGATTTCTCATATATGTAAAGCGAGAACTTGGAGAAAAAAATTTTCAAGATTTCTTTTTAAATGATTTTTAAGTTTTATTAAAGATTTTTGGTTTCACAATTCAGTAAAATGTTTTGAGGTACATTTCATAATACTTTTAAGTACTTTTTTTTATCTCAAGATTAGTCAAGAGACAACTTAATACCCTTCGATGCAAGAAGTTCGCCAATGACTTTTGCACCTTTTGCGTTCTCATCAAATCCTGGTAAACTTGAACATCGTTTGTACCATTCCTTGATGTTGGGATAGTTTCCGAAGTGTCCAAACATATTGATGACTTGATTCATGTTCGAGATGATTGAAATATCAGCAATTGTGGGTTGATTTCCAGCAAAATATTTCTTTCCTTCCAACGAGCTGTTTAAGTGAGCCAAAGCTCCTTTCAAGCGATCTAAATTTTCAGTTGAAACTTCCTTAACACCTCTGAATAAAATTGGTCCCTGGAAATTCAGAAGTTTTATTAACTTCTTTTATTCATTTAAACAAAAATAAAACTTTACCAAAACCGGTCCGATAGCACCAAAGAAACTTCCAGCGTCATAATACAAGAATTGATCAACAAGTCCTCGAGCCTTAGGATCACTGGGATATAATGAACTGCCAGGTTTCCTTGAGTTGGCCAAATACCCCAAAATGGCTCTTGATTCATTCAAAACGTAATCGCCATCAACCAACACCGGTACGCGTTTTAACGGATTCAACTTAGCGAATTCTGGTGTTTGATGTTCTCCGGCCAGCAAATTCAAAGTTACAATCTCAACATCGGCACCGACATTGCGAATAGCCATTAATGCAGTACGAGATGGTGGGGATCCGGGAGTATGATATAACTTCAACATTTTAATTGAGCGTTATTTATTCGAATTTGGGACTTGATGAATGAAACTATGCAGAACCAAAGTTTGTAATAAACTGAAAGGAATAATGAAACTGCTTTGGTTTTTGTATGTGCTATGTCCGATAATTCTCTTTTTTCCATAGTGTGTGAAATTGAGAGAATTTTTTGAGGCTTAGGAAGTTTAAGTTTCTGTACATTCACGTAAATTTTTAAAAACAAACTTCATTTATTCACCTGAGAACTTTTACATGTGTAGATTAGAAACTCTTATCTCGGCTTTTTTTTCTTGAGTAAACATCAGGGAGTATAAAGAGTAAAAAAAGATTTCCCACATCGTTCATTTGAAAAAAATATTTTTTTATATTCGACAAGCTTTAAATTATGCAAGTAAGCATGAAAAGTAAAAAAATTTCAATCGTGCTCTTTTGAACATGGAAACCTTCTCAACTTTTCCACAAATAATTTATCTGCAAGTGTGCCGCATATGAAAAGCTCGTTATTGAAAATGTAAGTTATTGTCGAACAATTAAGTTGAGTAAGGCAAAAACAAATAAACGAAATTTTAAAATCCATAGACCTTTAATATCTTATCTTATAATGAAAACGTCAAAAGTCTACTTTGTTGCCAGGTAAAGTATCTCTTTGAATCTTTAAAACAAACATTTAGCATACAAATAAGAAGAAAAATAAAATCCCAAGTAATGCAGACCTTTTTTCCACAACAAAATTTTATGATTTGTGTAATTAATTATTAAATTGAAGATAAAAAGTGTGCGGTCAAATGTTTTTTTATTTCACACTTTTGACTTTTAATTCTGTTCCGTAATAAGCAAAGTACTGACTTCATCGTATCATTAATTTTCCATTTATCATCATGACAAGAACATAAAACACTTTACTTGAAAGCTTTTTGTTAAAAAAAGATTTTCTCGTCTATTGTCTACAAATCTTTAAAACAACACATCATATACGTATAAAAATTGTTTTCCTTTGTTTTTCACTTTGATTCTCTGACATGATTCAATTTATTGAAATTCGAGGGATTCCTTTTGAAGCCATCAAATCCTTTATGTGTTTAGAACCTGAAAGATTTTCTTCAAAGCCAGGAAGCGATTGGCAACGTTGATACCATGATAATATATTCGGCAAATCACCATAGTTTGTGAATGATGCTTTAAACAATATGAAGGTCGAAAGGATCGATATATCGACAATTGTTGGATGATTGCCAGCAAAATACAAATTGTCTTCAAGAAAACTGTCCATGATGTTTAATGTCTCTTGAAGTTTTGTGATTTTTTCTTCTGGTATTTCAACGACTTCGAACAAAATCATTGGTCGCTGTTGGCAGAAAAAAAAAGGTTTTCAAAATCATAATGACTAGGAAAAGAGAAAAAAATCTCACCAAGATTGAAACCACAAGTTCGAAGAAATTTATAGCTTCAAAATAAAGTAATTGGTCGATTCTTGCACGAACTTTAGGGTCCATTGGATACCAATCACAATCAGGTCTTCGAGAGTTGATTAAATACGTCATAATAGCTCTTGATTCTGCAACCACGAATTTTCCATCAATGAGAACAGGAACTTGATGCAAAGGATTTATTCCTAGGAATTCTGAAGTCAAATTTTCTCCTTTCATCAAATCTAATTTTTTCACTTCAACTTCCAAGCCAAGAACACGAATTGTTTGGAGCACAGCTCGTGATGGCGGCGATCCTAACGTATAATATAATTTTAGCATATCGCACAAACTGTTCTGAACTCAACAACGTCAAATTTAAAAATAAATATTTAAAGTTTTGTTGATTGAAACAACATGCCAGTCTTGATGTCAAGGTTGGTTTGAATAAACTTCAAGTTACATAACACCAATGGTGAATAGAGATTTTTTATCCCAGCAATTTATCGGATAACAGATGGTTGGTTCTACATCAAATTTGCCATTTATCATCTTCCAATATTATGCAACATAATAGAACGATTTCTCGTTACTTTTGACCCTTTCGAAGCTTATTCTTTTGAAAATTTATCAGTACTTTGTATTCTAAGTACTACTTAGGTAGAATTAGAATCAGCCAAAAGTCAAACAGCAAACATTTCTTCTTTGCAATGAAAATTTATTTAAGTTTAAGTTGTATAATTTTCATTCAAGAACATTTTTCAATGAAAAGCTGAAAAAAGTTTTGAAGATATTTAAAATTTATCATCTAAAACTTTAAACATTCTTTCAGCGAGATATTTCGCACCGTCAACATTCTCTTGAAAGCCAGGAAAGGATTGACATCTTCCATACCAATCATTGAGGTTTGAATGCTTTGCCAAATCGTATCCAAACTCCTGTAAAAAAAACTTATTTTAATTTAAATAGGTAATTTAAATATTTCGTTTCTCAAATGTTTGTGACCTTGAGTGTGGTAATTGTTCCCAAAATAGAATAATCGGCGATTGTGATGTTATTACCGGCGAACCATTGAGTTTTGCTGAGAAGATTATCGAGATAGTTAAGAGTATTAACGAGCTTCTCTCGGTCTTCTTTTAAGATTTTCTTATTCCCTTTGTACAGAACAGAACGCTTTAAGATGACAGAAAATATGTTTAGTTCTCTTTTTCAATGAAATAAAAATGAGAATATTTACGACTATTTGAGCAAAACTCTCGAACACAACAGTGGCGTCGTAATATAGCTTTTGATCAACGACAGCTCTTGCCTTTGGATCTTGTGGAAACAAATCGCTTTCAGGTTGAAACTTGTTCAGTAAATAAGCTAAAATAGCTCGCGATTCTGTTAACACGAAGTCACCATCAACCAACACTGGTACTTGATGTAACGGATTTAACTTGAGAAATTTCGGATCATTTTGTTCACCAGCTGACAAGTCAACTAATTTCACTTCAACATCTAAATTCAACTTTCTTAGCAGCATCAAACATGAACGAGATGGTGGTGATCCAAGAGCGTGATAAAATATCAAACTAGATGACATTTTTAACTTTTAATATTAAACTTAAGTATTTACGGTGAACGAGCACTTTCTTATTTATTACTTGCAGCAAGATTTACAGTATGATAAGCATCAGAGTCTTTTTTCTCATTTGCTCGCAAGCAAGGGGTAAATCAAACTGCATAAAGATTTTCGTGTCACATGCTTAAACATTCTCAAAAGTAGGTATGTATATAAAGACAAGATAATAAATGTTGAAGCTTACAATGTAATGCCCCCTGAATCTTTTATTTAACTGTTGAGAGGTTTTCTTAAATTCTTTTTTTTTCATTTCATTCATAATCCAAGACACATTTCAATTTTTTTTTCATATCACCAAAGATTTTCCAGTTGTCATAAAATCACATTTTTTGACAAAGTTAACAGCAGCACGCATTAAAAATTGTACACAATTAGATCATTTTTGAAATTCTTCCAAGAATTTTTTTATTTGAATGAGATATGACATGAAGATGTCGCTACATGTTACTGATATTTTTCACCACGTTTCTTATGTGTCTTGAATAAATGAAGCGTGTTGGATAATTTTTTCTCATATTCGCCGAAGATTTTCATATGGAGATGTCGCTACTAGGTAACTATAGTTATTTTTTAAAAAATATTATTTTAGGTCTAATTAGATCATCACTGACAACTGCTTTATCTTTTTATATTTTCACTTTCTCAATTTTCGTTTTTTTTCACATTATGTAGATTTTAAGTTTCATTATTCCTAAATATAAATTAATTTATTTAGATTATTTATATAAATCTTCTTGAAATGGTACCAAGAAATATTTCTCGAATATATTGTGAGAGAAAACTGTCTAATTAATTTTATTTGTTGATCTTTTATCAAGTGTTGTCTATAAAAATTAGCAAGCGTATAACAAGCTTCAATAAAGACAAATAAAAAGTTTCGATTCTCCTTGCGCAATAGCCATTGGCTATGTAAGGTTATGCAATATATTCAAATTATTATTTTAACTGTATTTCTTTCCTTATTTTGAATACATATGCAGTATTGGAATACTTATGGCAGAATTTTTTCATGAAAGACATTAATCTTAGTTATAATAATACCAACATATTTTCACTATGTTAGAAACAATTAAAAATTATTTGTTGATAAACAAAAATGTTAAACTATCATTCTCAAAGAGTTTTTTGTGTCATTCGATTCACATAAAGGAATTAATGAATATTAATGTTTTGGTACGCATTGGAAATGTCAACGATTCATCATTATACATGCTTCAGCATTTCGAATTTTTTTTAATTTTGATAACAATTTATTTTATCTTGCTTAAAAACTGTAAAACTTGTTTTTTAATTAAAAACTTTTAACTTGTTGTTTCCTGTCTGTTCACTACAAAGCGAAACATTTTCTTTCAAACATTATTTAAAGACTTTTTAAAAATCCGCCTTCATTAATATTTAAATGTTTCTCTTGAATATTTAATATGAAAATTTATTACTCTTTAAATATTAAAAAAAAATTCCACAAAAAAATATTATTTTCATGAGTTTTCTTCTAATTTAACTGAGATATGATTTCAATTATTTACGATTTTGCAAGAAAATCTCAAAATTAAAATATTAACTTTGGTTCTCGTTTATTTCCTCATTTTAATATCACAATTAGTTTGTTGTTGATCAAGCTTTTAAGTTGAATAATAACTTGATTCATCATTGTTTAATTCTAATGTGTTTTCCGCTCATTCATGTTATTTAAGCACTTGTGGTTTTTATGGATGACGTCTTTGAACTCCTTTTATCACTTGATGTTGTCACACTATTTTCACGTAAATTTTCTTTTTTTCTTAAACACACAAATAATCTATTCAGGGCCTCTCGGATATTTTTCATACGATAAGCGTATATTAATGGATCTATTGCTGCATTACAATGCACAAGAATTGTCGAGAACTCCAATATGTCTATATGTAATTCTCGATTTTTTGTGAACGAAATGATGAACAAACAAATGATCCCAGGTGACCAAAGAACAATAAAAGTTCCCACAACCATCGCTAATGTATGTGCAGCTCTTATTTCTTGTTTTTGTTTCATTGTTTCGTTTTGATTTGCGACTATCTCTTCTCGCTTTTTGGCCTATAAAATGAAAAAAATGATTATTAACAAACATTTTTAATTGTTAATTAATTCCTTACTTGTTTCAGAATTGCGCGATAAATGAAAGAGTAAAGAACGATCATAGTTAATGTGGAGGTAAAAGATAATGTGACACATACAAAAAGAAGGTAGTTTAAGTCAGCTATAACTCTAAGGTCACATATATTTTCAAAATGTCCACTGTTCCATCCGAATACTGGTAGAAAGCCGAAAAGAATTCCAAGTATCCAACAACATGAAATCATGAACTTTGTTAGTGTCGATCCTTTCACATGATAAGTTAAAGGATAACAAACAGCCCAATATCTGTCAATTGACACTCCAAGAAGTGAGAAATGTGAAACAGCAAATACAGACAATAAAACTGAATTTAACACTAAGCATAGTTGGAAGTCGTGTGGTGCACCAGTTAATCCCTGTAAGATCATTTGAATTTCTATAAAATGCAATTAAGTAATTAAATTAATTGCCTTACTGCGTACACTCCAAGTGGTATTGATAGTACTCCAATTAGAAGATCAGCTAGTGCTACTGACAAAATGTGATAGTTTGATTTACTTTTCAACTTTCGATCACGACTTATTACGTATATTACTATAGAATTACCAATTATACAACAACAGAAGAAGGAAAAATCTAAAATTATAAAAAATATTTGTACAATGAGTAAAATAATTTCTGTCATTCTGTTCAGCAAGCGATGCTGTTTGTTAAGTAGTTGGCCAGTGACTGAAGATGTCTTGTAAACAAGTCAGAAAAACTCAAAATGATCACGTTAGTGAGTGAGTGACTCAGTCTGAGTTTCTCAAAAACTTACACACATTTATATATATTATTAAATATTAATTCTTAACATAATGATCAAGCTTAATAATTAATTTATTCACTCGTGATAAAATGACTAACACTGACAGTAGCACAAAGAAATTCATATAAAAGTGCTTTTAAATTTAAAACCATCTTGATTTTTTGTTTTCTTTCTCATACATCTCTCGATGTTGTATTGTTGAGGTCAAAACTGAGTAAATGAAAACTATTCAGTTTAGCGTTTACCTTTCTTAATATGTTCTCGGAAATGCTATCTAATTAAGTATTTAAAATTAAGGCAAACAATTAAAGGAAATCAATAGACGAATTTTGACGACAATTTGTCTTTCAGTTTACATAGAAAAGAACCACAAGATGATTTTAGTGTTGACATTGTTTGAGTAAATATTCATTGTCGAAGTTATTTTCAATCGAGTTTACTTTGAAGGCTTTATTACACCTGTCATTGTAAATGTTCAGATGAAACCAGAAATCTGGAGAAATAAAATTAATAATTAGATATTTAAAATTCATCATGATTTCGCTGTTTTAATGTTAATGAACAGCTTTAAAAGAAACCTTTAGCACATTATCAAAAACTTGTTTATAAAGATTAAATGAAACTTTTTACCTCTCACAGGTTTTTGTTTTTCTGAAATCACTTAATAAAGTAAAATAACGGAAAACTTTGTTCAAAATGTCAAAAGCTTTTAGTTAACGAAGCTTTTCAAAGGTTTTACTCTCTGAAAGCTTCTAAACATTCGCTCGTGAGAAAGAATAACAAAAACAAATTCACACATTTTTCTTCTTTCGTCTTCATCGCTTTTTTTATAGTTGCGAGCATCGTTTTTATATTCTCAACTCGTCTTTTGTTTCTTTATTCAGTTAAAGTGCAAATTTCGTACGATCAAGTTCGGTACCAGTTTCAAGAGTTTTCGATCAAATTTTACCAATATGCCCGCAATTGGTAAGAAACTATTTACTTTAAGAGTCTTGTGATGCAACTTGCTTTGAGTAATCCGAAAGAAAAAATTGTAAAAACATGAAAAATCGAAAGAATATTCGACATCTAAACATTCTTCATTCCATATTGAAAGAAAACGACAGTGAAACTTAGCAAATGACTTTTCTTGAACTTTTGCCAAAAAATTAAAGAGAGAAAAGCCGATACACAAGCTTTGAATCATTTCGGAGCCTGATGATTGATTTTTCAAACATTTCTTTACCGATGTTGACTTCAACTTTTCTTATTCCACAAATCAGAAGTCATTGATTAAGTGTTGAGGTGTGGTTGTGAAAATAACGAATATTAACGGTTTATCATAAATAGATGTGACTTCTTACACAGTACCAACCTATCTTTACCTCTTAGTGTTATTATCTGCTGCGTGACTATCAGTTTACAATTAACAAAGTCAACTTAGGTAGTGAAGAAATCAGTATTGAATTTACTTTTAATAAAATTCAATGTTTCTCCTTCATTTCAACACATTTACTAGCATTTTGTTTTTCTGAAGCATTCGATCGCATATAAATGATTCATAAAGATTCTTGTCTCGCTTCAAAATCTTGTTAGGTGGGATCATTACCTAAAAGAGAAACGCGAATAACGAAATATTCGTCATTAAATTATTCTCATTCGAGAAAATAATAAAAAGCAATTAGAAAGATCAAAATTATGTCGATAAAATTAGAAAAATGTTGTGAAGAGAACTGAAATGTGAGAATTTTCTTGTAATTAAATATATTTAATACACTTCATGCTTCTTGATTTTGAATTCTTTCTAGATTTCTATTCATCACATGACTCATTTTCAACAAAAGCAACAAACATTTTATATGTTTGCACACTCTATTAGCAGATTCTATTGCAAATTTCGTAATACGCGATGAACTAATATGTATAAAATTGACAATGCTTCGTTCCAAAACTTCTCACAAATAAATAAAAAATAAAAAGCCGACAACATTTTACAAAAGTTTTGTTACCGATTGTGGAAATTAATGATTGTTGTCGACTTTTTGATGACTCTCGCATGTTTTATTTTTAGCATTTGAGTGAATTGAATTCTCGATCAAATTTATGAGAAAGCTTGCCGATGTTGACCTTGAACTTATGATGTCATTCAGTAGTTAAATTTGCGAAATGTGTTTCTTTCTCTTAATGGTTTATGGAGCATTCTAATTTGCAGACGCTTGAGAATTATTATTTGAAATCTAAATTCTATTTAATTAATCTCCAGAGAAATTTATGAATGCCCCAGAGAACAGTTAACATGCAAAAAAAAACACATCATCACTTGACTTTAATTAGTCATCTTTTGATGTCATTGGATATTTAATTGTGAGGTGAACATCTGAGATTTTGATTTGATGATGAAGTGACATCATTTCTCGTCACAATACTATTTAAGCTCGCGCCCATAATACACAAACTTTGAAGTGACTTAAAGAGTAATGTTTGAAAATACGATGGAATTCACTTCTTATTAGCAAGTTTAGCGTTAAAATATCAGTAATGTGTTAGATATAATGCAGGAGACGTGGCATTTGCTGATTTTGAAAATAATTCTTTTAAATCTTTTTGGTATGCAAGACAACACTCAAATGAAAAATCATTTAAAGCATGAAAGGAAACGAAAACTATGAATAGATAATTAATTCTTCATTTGTTTATTACGACTGTTCACACTCGACGTCATGATTTTATTCAAATTCCTAAAATAGAGAATATTTCACATCTGTATCTCATACAATTGTTTACCAACTGCTTTTAACTTCCTTTTTATTTATAGAACTTGAAACCCAAGATAAATTAGACTACACATGGTTGCCTGCTGGACCTGAAGGTATTGTCTTTAGAGTGCGTGCAGCTAACGATGCTCATATTGCCTTGACATCATCTGAAGGATTATCAAATCCTATGATTGAAGTGATCATTGGTGGTTGGGCGAATTCCAAATCAGCAATTCGTAAAAATCAAGCAAGACCAGATGTTTTTGAGACACCAACACCAAATATTTTGGACGCAAATGAATTCCGAGGTTTTTGGATTCGTTGGTCTAACAATTACATCACTGTTGGAAGGGAAAACGAAGCTGCACCGTTCATGTCGTACTCCAATCCTGATTCATATCCAATCAATTACGTTGGAATTTGCACGGGATGGTAAGATGATGTGACATTTAATTCAAACAAATTATTTAATTTTTTCGCATTTTGAAGGGGAGCTTCTGGAAGTTGGATAATTGAAGCGCCTCAAACTCAACAGGCACCACAAGCAGCAGCTTACACTGCAAGTGGCGCTGCACCAGTTTGGGTTAATGCTGCTGGTGGAGCAGTTCCTGAAGGAGCTCTCGTTGGAGGTCAAGATACCAGTGGAGAAAACCTTATAGTTGGTAGAGCTCTTCATGAGGGCGCAATGATTCCTGGAAAAGTTGTTGCATCACATGGTGTTTGCTATGTTGCTTGGGGCGGTGGCGAACATGGTAAAAATGAATTCGAAGTATTGGTTGGATCCGGTAACTGGGTTACTGGAGCTGGATCGAATATTCCACCAAATGCTTTGCCTGGTAATTATCACAAGACTTTAAATATTCATCGAGAAATTAATTTTGCTTCTATTCAGCTGGTGAATCTGAAGATGGTGAACCTCTTTTTGTTGGTCGTGCCCATCATGAAGGAACTGTCACCATTGGAAAAATCCAACCATCACATGGCGTTTGCTACATCTCATTTGCTGGACAAGAACTTGGCTTTAGTGATTTTGAAGTTCTCGTTTATTAAAGAAATCTTTGACTTTTGAAGCTTTCTTAATCAACTTGATAAAATCCATTTTTTTGTGCAAGCTTTCAAAGCTTTTCTAATTTTTGTAGGATACAAATAAAATTAATATTACATATTTTTTCTTCGTCACTGTTACAGTCTTAAAACTAATTCAAATAAAAGGAAAATAAAGAAGAAATTTATTGTTTTCATGTCGTCATGTCACGATTTCTCTGTAAGTCTCTAAGAGTTGAGCAAAGGATGTAATTCATTGTTTTAAACAGGATGACAAATCACTGAAAAGCTTTCTTAAAGAATCTTAGGAAATCTAATTATAAATCACCAACATTGCATCAGCGATGACGAAAATGATTTATAAATAAAATCAAAAATTTTCCTCGAATGTTATTTATTACAGATTTTCTAATGTGTTAGCTATGAAACAAGAAAATATAAAATATTGAATGAAAAATGTGAAACTCGAAGTAAAATTGATTAAAATCATCCTTTCTTATTCATCTGATCGTATTTTGCCATATTAACAAGAGCTGAGTCGGTAATTGCAGATGCGTTTCGGCTTTGACCATAGTAATCAACAATTTCACCATCAGGGTTAACAAGATAGATGATGATTGTGTGATCAACCTACTAATATAAAAAAGTAAGTTAAATCTTGTAAGAGACTTAAAAAAATTAATGATCTTACAATGTAATCGTCATCAACATCTTTAGGGTCAGCACTAAAGTACACTCTGAAGGCTTTGCAAACTGTCTTCACTTGCTCGACTCTTACCGTTACACCATGTGTTCCATTTCTAAAAGGTTGATACACATGTTGACGAGCAAAAGAAAGAAAAAAGGCGAACAAAGAAGTTCAATTCGTATTGAAAGAAAAGAACGAAGCTTTGAACAAGTGTTTTAAGATGAACTACGAAATGATATTCTCATCATCAACTATCGATATCCTATGTAGTTTTATAAATGCGGCATGCCCGAAGGTTTCACTTCCATTCTGTATGAATAAAACTACAAATAGGTAGTTCGTATATTATACACAGCAATCGTTCATAGCCAAAATCATTGTTGTCAATATCATTCGCACTCCTTATTTGCTTTTATCGTTGTTATCAACTTCTCATTTTTATCTTAAATTAAACTCTATTAGTTCAAATTTTATTCAAAAGATGTGATTAACTAAGAATTAATTCAAATAACAATCATAAAGCTTAAGTAGGAAAATACTTTAAAACTTAGCATTACTTTGTTGCATTTTACTTTAAAGATGCCTTTGTGTCTCTGATATGAGGTGATACAAAGCAAATAACATGTGGTTTTAAAAGAAAACTTAATGAGTATATTCTTCAATATATCACATCGCGAATGTTTGTGTTTATCATTCCACTAGATAAAACAAATGAAATGAAAACACAATGGAACTTTCGAGAATAATCGAATGGAAAATTAGAACTTAATACGCCGAAAGACTGCAATGAAAATAAAATATTTATTTATTTTTTAGTATTATTCATTCATACAATAATGAAGAAAGGTTTTTATCTAGCCGAATCAAAAACCGATTTTAATGAGTCACCTTATTTCAAAGAATCTAACTTTATGAAAGTGTAAGTGACATAAAATTTCTAAAAATCCAAATTTATTGAAAAAAGCTTCTTTTGCGGACATGATATGATGTTTATAATGTATGACAAAGATGATCGCAATGATCTTCTCTATCTATAATAATATTAAAGTGTCGATACTCTATACAGAAAAGTAAAGGTTAAACTTTGGGTTTTAAGTATAAAGTGTGTACGAGAAAGTTGTTTCTTATTACTTGTTGCACGTTTGCCTGAATGTGAAATTTTAATATTTAACTGTGAACACATTTCTATTTGGTTCAGTTATCTGTTGGATTTCCAGAGAAATACTATTCTGAGTGAAGTGTTTGTAAAGTAAATGTGGAAATTTTCAATTATTCTCAGTGCTTTCTGTGCATTACTCAGTGCACAAATTATTGAAGCTAATAAAATATGTAGAACAATAACTACTCCAGGTAATTTTATTTTGCATAAAAAGAACTAAAAAAAATTATATCTTGTTATGCTTTCATATTTTTCATTATGGGATTGAAAAGTTTAATGACGCAATTTGTGATGCATTTATCATCAATTCATTAATGGAGTTTGAAAACATTAAAGAAGCATTATTTCTTATTTCAGCACCTATTGAAACCCCAAATTCAGTAGACTACACATGGTTGCCCGCTGGACCTGAAGGTATTGTCTTTAGAGTGCGTGCAGCTAACGATGCTCATATTGCCTTGACATCATCTGAAGGATTATCAAATCCTATGATTGAAGTGTTCATTGGTGGTTGGGCGAATTCCAAATCAGTGATTCGTAAAGATCAAACAAAACCAGATGTTTTTGAGACACCAACACCGATGGTTTTGGACGCAAATGAATTCCGAGGTTTTTGGATTCGTTGGTCTAACAATTACATCACTGTTGGAAGGGAAAACGAAGCTGCACCGTTCATGTCGTACTCCAATCCTGATTCATATCCAATCAATTACGTTGGAATTCGCACGAGACGGTAAGATGATGTGACATTTGACATTTAATTCAAAGAAATTGTTTATTTTTTTCGCATTTTAAAGGGGAGCTTCTGGAAGTTGGATTATTGAAGAGCCTTAAAATTAACAAAAACCTTTCTCAAATCAGACTTTCCTAATTCAGACCCTAGATGTAAAATGTATAGACCTATTGCCTTCTATTTAAATTTGTTTCAAAAAATTCTTGTCGACGTTTTCTTTACGATAATTATCAATATCCGATTGACTGATGGCTTTGAAAATATTCTTGAAAGCTTCTAACTATCTAGATTCAAACTTCTCATTATCATCATCGTCAACAATGTTTTGTTCGTCGAATAACTTTCAACGATTATCATCCGAAATGGCTTCATTAATCTTTGCTAAGGCTTTTAACTTTTCTGTTGCATTTTCTTTTCTCCGACAGACGAACGCGATCGGGATGAATTTTGAGAGCATTTTCTTGATAAACCTTTTAGTAAAAAATATAAATTATAGAAAGTTGAAAGTTTTAAACAATTTTGATTGGAGGAAAACGAATTGATAAGATTTTGATAAGCAACTGAATGATGTCAGATTGGAAAATAGTGAGTTGAGTGTTTTTTATAAAAGTGAGTTGCTTATTGCTATTTTTGGGTCATTTTATTGTTTGAAAGAAAAGTGATTTAGAATGGATTATTTATTCGTTCCAAGTAATGACAAGTTGAACAATTTTAAAATATAATTTCTAATTTTTATTTATCTGTTATTGGCAACACACAATCATCACAATCACTCCTTATAATCCCAGTGAATCAATTCAGGCTCGCCTAAAGAAATCTTTGATGTTGTCACTGAAAATTTTCAATGCCTTAGATCGCGAAAAATGTTATCAAACGTTCTTATCATATAAGCTTTATTTCCATTCTTTGTGAAAATCTTTTCGAATTTGAATTCAAAAATTTATATCAAAGAAATTTTCATCGAATCCAACAGTGATCAAGAAGGGGAAATTCTTCTTTATACGGTTTTTTAAAGACAATACTGTTTAACGAATTTTTTCGAAAGAGAACTGGACATGATGATAAACAGAGAGATGAAGGTACAACAGCATCAAATTACAATGATCTTTTTAACACAAAAGTTCTCTAGGCAACAATAATTAAACGTAAAATTTTCCTCCGTCCTTGTGCAAATAAAAATGATTTAAGACTGTTTTATCTGTTGACTTGAATTAGATATTATAAAAGAAATAGGTATATAACATTTGGTTTTATATAATATTCATAAATATTTTAATAAACATTTCATGTCATTCCTTCTTTTGTGCCTTTGATGTGAGAAAAGTTTTTTTTCTTAAAATATCAAGGAATGAAATGTCGAGCTGCATTCAATTGCAAAGGACTTCAATTTTCACCATTTGCGTAAGAAGAAAAGTCCATTTTTAAACAAATTATAGCTTTCGCTTTGTAGTGTTCAGTCTTTTGTCACTAATTGTTACAGCTAAGCCCTTTTTCTACAATAAATTTTCTTAGAAAAGTAGGTCAATATCTGTACAGAAAATCTGAAAATCAGAAGATAAAAAGATGATGATCCTATTTTCGAAATTTCAACACTTAATTTTAACGTTATTAAAAATATAGCTCAAATTTAAAGCGTAGAATTTTGAAAAATTGATACATATATGTTGACGAACAAATGAACAGGAAAAAAAGGCAAACAAGGAAGTTCAATTCGTATTGACAAAAAAGAACGAAGCTTTGAACAAGTGTAATAGGATGAACTACAAAATATTATCATCATCATCATCGATGTATGATGTTATCAAAATGTGGTATGTCTGAAGGCTTCACTTCCATTCTGTATAAATAAAACAACAAACAATTCGTATATTATAAACAACATTTGTTCAAAGCCGAATTCGTTTCTGTCAATATCATTTGATCTTCGTTATTTGCTTTTATCGTTGTTATCAACTTCTCATTTTCTCATTTCATCTTAAATTAAAAAGAGCAAAGCTCTTTTTTGTACATTAAATTGAGGCAGAAATAAATAAATAGATAAATAAATAAAAAACATTTTCATTATTCCTTAGTCAAAGTTGTGCTTTAAAGATGCCTTTGTGTCTCTGATATGAGGTGATACAAAGCAAATAACATGTGGTGTTAAAAAAAACTTCATGAGCATATTTTTCATTATGTCATGTGACGAATGTTTGAGGTTATCATTCCACCAGATAAAACAAATGAAACGTTAACAAAATAGAACTTTCGAGAAAAATCGAATGGAAAATTTGATCCCAAAGACGTCAAACACTCCGAAAGACGTCAATGAAAATAAAATATTTATTTAAATGTTTGTATTATTCTTGTTTGTATTCAAAGAGTATTGAAGAAATGTTTTCATGTAACTGAGTTAAAAAGCGACTTTACTGGATCACCTTATTATAAAGATTCAAATGCATGTCAGCTTTTTTAATCTGGTAGTCAAAATAAGTATGATATAAAATCAATTTGATAGATTTGAATTAATAAATGAATTACTAAATATATTTTATTTAAAATTGTTTTTATTTCATCATCGTCTGATGGTCTAAGACAGAATCTGATAGAAATCAAGTAATAACGTTGAGCTTTTTGAGAATTTACGGTGGATCTTAGAAAACTTTTTTCTTAAAAATCAAAAACTCAAATATCGAGCTTTATTCAATTGCAAAAGACTTAAAGTTTGACAATTTTCGTAAGAAGAAAGGCGCAATAGTGCGTGCCGTTAGATATGACTGAGATATTCCGAGAAACGTAAGGACATGTTTTAAGAAAATGTAGGAAAATTTCACATTTTCCAAGCATTTTTTATGAAAGTGTTCATGACAAAAAATTTCTAGAAATCCAAATTTAAATTGAAAATATCTTCTTTTGCGGATATTTTATGATATCATGATGAATGACAAAGATGTACGCAATGATCTTTTTATATAGAATATTAAAGTGTCGCTATTCTAAACCGTAATATAAAGGAAACATTTTATAGCGTCTACATGAGGAAAAGAAGGCACAAAACCTAAACTATAAGATTGAAAGTAAGATTTTAAGTATAAAGTGTGCATGAGAAAGTTGTTTCTTAATACATGCTCACATATTTTATTTCAGTAGGATTATGCCAGAGGATGCTAGAGGGGAATTTTTGATTAATTCACCTCTATGAGTTACCCTGCAGGGCCCTGCTTAGATGAAATGTGTGAAGCAAATCCACAACATATATCAAGGACCAATTCTCCAACACAGCTTTTACCTAAAAGCATTATTTAAATTTTTATCGACTTTTTTCTCTTTTTATTCTCAGTCATTCCCAACATTATAACGCCACGTTTAGAAATTCGATCACCTCGAATGTGAAATTTCAGTATATAACTGAGAACACACTTCAATTTGGTTCAGTTGTCTGTTGGATTTCAAGAGAAACAGGTACTTAGTAAGAATATTGAGTGAAGTGCTTGTAGGGGAAATGTGGAAGCTTTCAATTTTTCTCAGTGCTTTTTGCACATTACTTAGTGCACAAAGTGTTGACCCGATTAAAATATGTAGAACAATAACTGCCCCAGGTAATTTTAAAACTAAAACAAGTATTAAAGTTTCTCAAAGAAAATTCTCCTCAAAATAAATTGACGGTTTTCTTTATTTTATGCTTTCATATTATTTAACATGTGATTGAAAAGTTTATTGATGCATTTTGTGTTGTATTTATCTCCAATTTATTCATTGAACCAGTTTGGGTTAATGCTGTTGGTGGAACAATTCCTGAAGGAGCTCTTAATGGAGGCCAAGATAGCGGAGAAAATCTTATCGTTTGTAGAGCTCATCATCGGGACGCAATAATTCCTGGAACATTCTCTGCGTCACTTGGTGTTTGTTATGTTGCTTGAGGTGGTGTCGAACATGAAAAAACTGAATTCGAAGTTTTGGTTGGATACGGCGGTGATTGGTTTTCTGAGAGTGGATCAAATATTCCACCAAATGCTTTCCCTGGTAGTTATTAAAATAATTCAAATTGTAAACGAGTGATTACTTTTGTTTCTAATCAGGTGGTGAATCTGAGACTGGTGAACCTTTTTGTATTTGTCGTGTCCGGCATTGGAAAGAAACATCCATCACATAGCGTTTGCTACATCCCATATGGTGGACGAGAGCTTAGCTTTAGTGATTGCGAAGTTTTCACTTATAAATGAAAATCTTAAATTTTGAAGCTTTCTGTATCAACTTGATGAAATCCATCTATTTAATGCAAGATTTGATTTCATAACTTTCCTATTTCCTGGGGCATACAAATAAAAAATTATTGTTTTATACTTTTTCTTCGTCACTGTTACAGTCTTAAAACTAATTCAAATAAAAGGAAAATAAAGAAGAAATTTATTGTTTTCATGTCGTCATGTCACGATTTCTCTGTAAGTCTCTAAGAGTTGAGCAAAGGATGTAATTCATTGTTTTAAACAGGATGACAAATCACTGAAAAGCTTTCTTAAAGAATCTTAGGAAATCTAATTATAAATCACCAACATTGCATCAGCGATGACGAAAATGATTTATAAATAAAATCAAAAATTTTCCTCGAATGTTATTTATTACAGATTTTCTAATGTGTTAGCTATGAAACAAGAATACAAATGATAAAATATTGAATGAAAAAAGTGAAACTCAAAGTTAATTGATTAAAACCATCCTTTCTTATTCATCTGATCGTATTTTGCCATATTAACGAGAACTGAGTCGGTAATTGCAGAGGCGTTTCGGCTTTGACCATAGTAATCAACAAATTCACCATCAGGGTTTACAAGGTAGATGATGATAGTATGATCAACCTAATAATATAAAAAATAAGTTGCATCTTATAAAAGAAACTAAGAAAATTAAAAATCTTACAATGTAATCGTCATCAACATCTTTAGGGCCAGCACTAAAGTACACTCTGAAGGCTTTGCAAACTGTCTTTACTTGATCGACAGTTCCCGTTAGTCCTATGAATTTTGGCGAAAACTCTTTGATATATTTTTCTACAAGTTCTGGTGTGTCACGAAGAGGATCAACTGTGATGAAAAGCGGTTGAGCTTTTTGAGGTTTCTCCATTTTATCCAGTGTATCGACAACAGTCGCTAATTTCTCAAGTTCTTCGGGACAAATATCTGGACAATGGGTGAATCCAAAATATATTAATAGCCATTGACCAAGGAAATCTTCAGATTTTCTTAGTTTCTTTTGCGAATCAATAAGTTCCCATCGTCCTCCGATTGCAGCTTTTCCAAGCATTCGTTTTCGTTCTCTTAATATTGCCTGATCCTTTTCGTCTTTAACATACCACATGAAACCCTGAAAATTAATTTTATTAATTTTATTACAGCATTCATTAAAAAGCTTTTATATTTACAAGCAAACCAGCTCCCCCAACAAGAGCAACTGAAAGCGATTTCCATGTCACTGGACCTTTACCCTTTCCTGCTCGTTGGTCTTTTAGTGCTGCTGATCCACCTGATGTAGTTTTTCCTGCAGTTGAAGTATCTTGAGGCTTTCCTTGTGTTTCATTTGGGTTTCCTGTGGTATTCCATCGAACCGGTGTACGCCTCACGAGATTGTTCGTGAAAAAACTTGAACATCTTGTTAATATTCTTGATGACATAATCTTTAACTTATCATACACGTAAACGATTGAACAAAAGATTGATTTTATTATATTTTCAACCTAAGAATACTTCTTGGAATCTCCTTAAATAATATTTTAATTTTTTTTGTTTATTTCTATTTTCGAAGAAAAATTTCATCACAAGATAGAAAATTCTTCTTCCATCGAATTAGAAAGCGCTTCTAAGCTTGAAATTATAAAAGTCGTTACTTTTTAAAATTCAATAAAAATAAGTAGGTAGGTATGTAATTTTATTTTATTTTTGATACAGTCGAGATTAGTAGCAAATTTATTAGTTTTCTGAAACAAGTTCAGTTTTCAAATCTTGGAGAAGCGTCTGACATTTTCTTTTCAAAACCTTAACAGATTCAATGAATATATCTTCCGGTTTATACGCCCCCAATGACTCTACAGTGAAGATGAAATGATTTCTAATTCGACTCATTGTTACAGCATCTGTTAAGTGTGGAAATCTGTAAACATTTCTACTGCAATTATCATATCGTGCATTTTTTACAAATGCACATTGATTCTTATCGATTTCAATAACACCTGGAGAAAAACATTTCTGAAGGAGAATAGCATCACGACCACAGACTTCTCGAGTTATTTTGATATCTGGAAGTAAACGATAAGATGCGCAGGAAACTGGAGAAAATTTTGCATGATCCCTTCCAAGGCCTTTTACAGCAAGCATTTTTAAATTGATCTCGTGACCAGGTCTCATCTTACAGATCAAAATATCAGATTCGCATGGTCCTACATCATTTTCACTCAATAACGTTCCCTGTTTTCCTTTGGGTATCCATTTCATTTGACTTGAATACACGTTATGATTCTTATACATTGCATCAAAGTTTCTCCCTTCTTTGCAATCTTTGTTCTTCCATGTACATTTTACTTCAAAACGAAACTCTAAAGTATCGAGTTCAGTTCCTTCTTCAGCTTCTTCCAATTTATATTCAAATGAGCGAGGATCAGCTACAAAGAAAACATATCATTTAACATGGATTAAAATTTGAATATCAAGATTTCTTACCTTTCAAAGGAATTAATCCAAACCGGTGTGCTAAAATTTCGTCTTGAATAATTGATGTGTTGTTGTAGATGTACACTTTTTCTATAGCCATTGATGGAACTTCACTAATCATTATTCGTCTAAATGCATTTGCTACAGCAGGACTAACTCCAATCATATCAAATTCAAGTTCCAAATCTTTGCACTTTTCGATTTTAATTTTCATGTCTTTTTTAAACTTTTCAACAGTAAAGAAATCATCAGAGAATCCATAATCGTTAGCATATTCCTTTATTTTGTATTCTTCCATCAAGACTTTTGGTTTTCTATCATCTCTTGATTCCGGCATCTTTATATTATAATTATTAAACTCAATTTAAGGTTCTTAAATAATGTCAACAATAACACCATGTGAAAGAATGTTTATGATAACCATTTGGACTGACGTAACGGATTAAGCTGATTGGTTTGGAACAAACACTGCTAGCCTTTTGGACAGTAAGGATTTTCAAGAATATCTTCAACATCGTTGAAAACATTTTGCGAGCAGTTTTCCGAAAAAAAAACAAATTAAAATGGCTTTTCTTCGAAGTGGAAAGTTTTTCAGATTCCTTTCAGCCGGTAAAAACCTTGTAAGTTTCAGAGAATATGAAGGAGCTCATCAATTACCTGCAACATGTACAATATGCTCTACAAAGTGAGTAAAAATGTTTTCAGAAATTGCATCACTATTTCAGAATAGTTTTATTAGGAATATCAAATTTTCAGAAAATATCTTCAACATAGAGTTTATGTCATTGTTAGAGCAATGTCATTTCTAATTTCTTTATTTTTTTAATTAACATAAAGAATTTTTTTTATTAACCTCCAATTAATGGAAAAATCGAGAATTATAAAATTTATAACTTTTCTTCCTTTTAGAAATTTCTCATCAATCAACGCAACATTACCGAATCAGTCATTAGAAAATTCCTTAAAACGACTTGATCAAGATGTGCGTCGATCAGGAAGAATTTCAAGACGTGACTTGGAAGAAATTTTGGACGAAATCCGAACAAACAAATCAGCGACAAGCTCACAGTCGTTACTTGTAATCAGATGTTGTGGAAATTTAGTGCCCGAAGAACTTCCAGAAGTGCGAACAAAGATGGTACAGGATATTTGGAAAACGTAAATAGATGTGAAATTATGAAAACTTAATGTTTATTGTCAAATTTTAATTTAATTTTTAGATTATCAAAATTAAATGTTCCAATGGATATTTCCCACTATAATGCCTTGCTGAGAGTGTATCTAGAAAATGAATACAATTTCTCACCAACAGAATTTCTTGCTGATTTACAATCGAAAGGAGTTGAACCGAACCGGTATGTAAATAAAATGTACTTAATTATAATTAAACATATAAAACTTTTCTTCACATTTCAATAATTAGTGTCACCTATCAACGATTAATTTCACGTTATTGTCAACAAGGTGATATTGACGGTGCAACACAAATTCTCGAATATATGCGTGAAAAGCAGTTGCCGGTCAATGAGAATGTTTTCAATGCTTTAATTATGGGACATTCTTATGCTGATGATCTTGAAAGTGCTGCTGGAACATTGAGTGTCATGGCACAAGCCGGTCTCGAACCATCTGCTGATACATACACAACACTTCTTTGTGGATTCGCACGTAAAGGAGATATCGAATCAATCATCAAATATATTAATGAATGTGAAATGAAGGAAGTTTATTTGGTTGACAAAGACTTTCTTGAAGTCATTTACAATTTAGCTGTGAATGGTCACGATGATAAAGTCGATGAGATAATTCTTAGATTAAAAAAAGAGCAAGGATACAATCAAGATGCAGTTAATGTCATCCTGCGACTTATTAATCAAGGACAAGAACCAACAGCAATGAAGATACTTAAATCAATGGTCAGAAGAACGACATCATCTGGAGAATTGACTGACACTGGAAGCTTTCTTGTTAAGCAACTCATCAAAGCAAATCGTCCAGTTGATCAAATCATCAGTATTTGTAATGAATTAGAAGAATCAAGAATGAACTCACGTCCACTTATGGTTGCAATTGAATCTGCTTTGACAATGACAAATGCAGAACCTGCCGTTGCTCTCGATTTATTAAAAGAAGGGAATAAAAAAGGCTACGAAATTCGTCAACATTACTTTTGGCCAATTTTCTGTCGATTAACGAAAGAAAGTGAAATTATTGGTTTGATGATGACAATGCAAAGTGAATTTAAAATAACGCCAACAAATCAAACACTTCGTGAATATGTGGTCCCGAGACTTTATAAATATGGTGAAGACAGCATTGTACAGAAATTAAGAAGTTGTGGAATATCAACGGGAACAGGAGCATCAGCTACTGCATTCGCTGCACTTGAAAAACATAATTTAGAAAAGGCTGCAGACATCATGTCTTCTTACGATTCATATTATAATCCAGGATTGTTTAGAAAACCTCTTTTAAATGCTTTACAACATACCAAAGATTATAATAATTACATTCGTGTTGTTCGACAAATTCATGACAATTTCCATCGTCACGCATCATTCAAACAAGATGAAGATGAACATGATGAAGTTAATGCAGCTGCTGCTGGTGATGGAGAATCTTCAGATGTCGCACAGCCAAACAAATTAGCACATGCAGATGTTATGGGTGACATAATTCTTGATGCTGCTGTTTATTTCCGTTCAAATCGTGTGGAAGTGATGAGAAATATTCTTCAAGTATTTGTCGATGAAGGCATCAGTATAAGCAACAGTAAAGCTGAGAAAATTCAAGATCGTATCGGCGATCAAATGACAACAGAATTTTCACTTCTCTTAGGGAAGTTGACGTCAGGTGAATTGGAGCCAATTCCAAATGAGAAGCAACGTCATCAACCGGCAGGAGGCTTCAATTTGGATGTGAACTCGTTGGAACGTTTAATTAATCGTGCTGAAGAAAAAGGAGGTGACAATGTAAAAGGATTGAAACGTCAATTACTTGTCGCTGCTATTCGATCACGAGACATACCAAAAACTGAAGAAGTTATTGAGAAATTGAAAGCTGAAGGTTTCGTCTTAACGTCAGGAGTTCACGCACAACTGATCGATCTTTATGCATCTGAAGATAAATTAGAAGAAGCTTTGAATATATCAAAGAACATCCAAAGTTCTGACCCTGAATTTCAACTTGATCAAGTGAAAGTTATTAAAATGATTCAAGCTTTCGTCAATGCTGGTCGATTAGAAGAAGGAATTGCATTCTTGATTGAAAATAAACCAAAAGATTCTAACGAAGAGAAAGCTTTCAACTATAACTCGTCAGTGTGGCGTTTGTTGAGCTCTTTAGCTGATAAAGGAATGAAAGATGAATTGTACAAGCTTTTCGATGCACTTGTCGACAATAATTTCATCATTCCTAATAACAACTTACTCGGACCATTAATTAAAGTTCATTTGATACAAGATGACTTAAGTGCTGTTGTTGATAAGTTTGAAGAACTTTGTCAGAAGTACAAAGCGACGCCATGTAAGAATGAAATTTCTTGTCGTTTAATTGAAGCTGAAGATGCGACAAACTTACAAAGAATCACAGATTTAAGTACAGAAATTCACGGAGAAGTCAACAGTTTGTATGATCTTGTGTTCTCTTTCATTGAATGTGGTCGAGTGAGGCAAGCACGAAAGATTTTGGAAACACCAGGATTGAGATCACGACCTGGTCGTATAAGCAACGCATGTGAAAGATATTTGAATGAGGAAATGCCGACAGCATTAGAAGGTTTAATGCAAGCAACTAAAGATTTAAACTACATTGATCGAGCTGACATTTACAACAGTTTGTTGCAAACCTACATCAAAGAAAATTCGACTGAAAAAGCGCTTGGATTATGGACGACAATGCAGGAAGAGGATGAACAACCTTCAGACGCTTTTCTCGCCAAACTCGCTGACTTTTTAAAATCACAAGGAGAAACTGTTCCGTTCCATGCTCCAGCAAGTTCTTCAATACCGCAAGAAGATAAAATTGAATCGATGAGAGATGAAAAAAAGAAATCAACATCAAAGGCAGCAGTTAAGCGAGACTCGTCAGATAAATCACCGACTTATTTTGAATTTAGACGAGCTTTGAATAGTGGCGATATTGATGCAATTTACAAAGCGAAAGAAAACTTAGAACCAACAGATAAAATCACTCCAATTGATCAATCTTTGATTATTGAAGCGCTTGTTAAAAGCGGAAGAATCCAAGAAGCCACAAAGCAAACATTTGACATGTTGAATGAAAATCTTCATCCATTATCGAGAATTTTCCGCTTCTATTTGAATAGCATTGCAAAGGTTGGTGACACGAAAACAATTGAAGAAGTTGGCAAATTCTTAACACCTGAAATGAAGAAACTTGTTTCGTATGACAACCGACTGTGTCATAGTTTTGTGGCAAGTGGACGATCTGATGAATATTTGAAGCTTTTAGATGAAAACATCGACAATGCTAATACTGCTGAAGAGATTTCCAAAATTGCTAGCGAATTCCCAAGAGGTAAAATTAATTTAATTTATATTTTCAAGCGATTCAAATGATGACCAAAAATTTATGTTTTCTAGGCGGTGTTTTAGGAATTCTTGAAGAAAAAGAAGGAAACGTTGAAAAGTTTGAGAAAATTGCAAGAAAATATGCTGAGAAGAATATCGTTGGACCGATTAATGTCGTCTGGACTTACTACTTCATTAAAAATGATGCAAAAGCTGAAAATATCTTCAAAGAGTTTCTCGTTGATACACCTCGACTTATGTTCCAACGTGTGATTCAAGAAGGTCGAGATGAACAGAACGAATCTGTAATTTATCGATTAATTGATGTTCTTCGAACGACGAAAGTGACTGAAGGTGCAATTGGAAATGCTTACAGTTGCTTACTGGACATTCATTCAGCAAAGGAAGACGCTGAAGCTTGTCTCAAAGCCATCGATGCTTCTATTAAAGATGTTTGTCTTGAGAATGTTAACAGAACAGCTCTTACGCGTGCGAAAGCGTGTGTTGAAAAAGCTGGAAAGAAATTCCCGTACACGATACCAGCAAAAACATCAAACAAACAAGACACCAGCTCATCGTCAAGTAGTTCCAGTTCCGATGATGAAGTAACAGCAAAGGAAAAGTCTTAAAATCTTTAAATAATCCTTAGATAATCGTTAGATGTATAATTAGTTGAAGAGCATTTAGTTTATAAAATTAAAGGTTTCGATATTTGTCTGGCATTAAATTTTCATTATCCATAAGTCAAAATAACTTTTTTTTCTGAATAATTTTTTTTAATTTTCTTTTTTTCATTACGAACTTTAACATTGGATTAAAAAGAAAAGAAAAGAGAAAAATGTTTTTCCCAAAAATAATGCAAGAAAATATAATTTATAATATTAGAAAAATCAATTTCATGTTTTATGCAACAAAGAGAACAAAGAAGATAAAGAACATTATGAGAACACCAAAGATTTTTATCATCAGCCATCGATTTTTTGAGACAGATTGGAAATATTTTAGAATTTCACCATGGGCTGCTTCCACATTGAGTTCGACGTCTTGAATGTTTGTGTCAATTCTTTCCACCATTTCTTCTTGCTCTTTCACCATATGTGCTAATTGCTGGAAGATTCCACCTAGTTCAACAATCGTACTTTCTATATTTTGCATCGTTTCAGCTCGCTGTTGCACGTATTGATCTGACTCGTCATAAAGAAGCATTTGCTGTTGTTGAAATTGATTTTTAGGGATTAAAGGTGACGATGCTGAGCCCATATCAATGCTGACTTGGTCATCCTGTTCGCTCATCAATAGACTGCCATGATTCGATCGTGTCGGGGGAAGAGTAGTTGCCACTGGAGCTTGCGAAAACTAAAATTTGTCAATTAATATTTCTTCGTAACACTTCACAAAATCAATAATTTTTACCTGTTCTCTTCTGCTTTTCTGTTGCTTCAAATTCTCAGTTCTGACTTCAAGCACCTGCTGAAAATTTGAACTCATATTGGCAAGTCTTGTTTGTAAGGCCATGACCATGTTACTGGAATGCGACAACAAATGTTTTCCGCTGGTTTTTCGTTGAGATTTAGAAATTTCTTGTAGTCTTCCAATCTGTTGATTGAGTGAATTCAGATCACCTTTAATAATATATGTGAGCTCTTGGATTTCAGCTGGTCGATCGTCAAACAATGATTTACGTTTTGCAACTGAAAGTTGTTACAGATTTTGATTAAAATTATAAATGACTCATTACGATGACGTTGTAACTTACGTAGAGTTAATTTCTCTAATTTTGCATAAGTGCTAGCAATGTTTCGTCCAATTGTTTTTGCAATCATCATGAATTCCGAGTAATTCTGTATTTGTTTAACTTTCTTTGGATCTTTCAAGTTGACAGCTCGATTAATATTCCGACCTTGAAGACTTCGGATTGTATTTGCAAACTCGACGGTCCTATCACGTGCAGTCATGATGAATTCAATTTCTGGTTCACTTGTTTGTTCCTCAAAATAGTTTTCTTTGCCTGGATAATTAGTGGTGCTCGTAATAGTTGGACTTTCACTTTTAATAAAATTTCTAAAAATCTTATTCGCGATATTTGTCACTGGTGGTGCTTTATCCTTATAAAGTTCTGGTTCTTGCTCTTCAACAATAACGTTGGTTATTGAACTTTCTGAATCTGAGTTGATTCTTCTACGCATTATACATCTAGAAATGAATTTATAAATTAAAATTAAACTTTACAGCAACAACAAAAGATTTTTGTCCAACACGGCAAGTTACAAAATTAGGTGATCAACCCTCACATTGCCCATTTGTACAAATAGCTGGTGAAGTGTCGTACAAAACAATAAATTTCTTTTGATTCAGATTAATTCTCTTCATTAACGATGATTACGCGATGTTTCGATGTCTCAATGACGTTCTAAGCATTCAGTCAAATGAAAGTGATATCGAAAAAATTTTAACTCCTAATAATTCATCAGAAAGTGAACAAGAAAAGTTTATTATCGGAATAAAGTATGGAAAATTTTTAATTTTATTTCTCATTGTCATCCTCACAACTATGTCTTACTAATTATCGTTTATATTACCTATTTCTTATAGAATTATTTACAATTCGAGGAGAGAAGACATTGGTCTAAAATTCTTAGAATCTATTAAGCATTTTGATTCTTGTCGATTTATCGAGCCAAGTTTCATTGCAGAACTTCTCACTCCAGATCAACAACAAACGGCTTCATTCAGGGGAACAATAAAAATCTTAAAATTCATTCTCGACAAAGCCAGTAACAAAGGTGAGCTCAATTGTGGAAGTGAATCATCATTTAATTTTATTTTTATCTTGCTACAGAATCTTTTGAGATGGCAATTCATCAGCACATGGTGCAATACGTTCAGAAGTCAAACATTAAAACATCAAATTTGCATGACATTCTTGAACTTATTAAGTTACTCCAAGATAGCATAAATAATGCAAACATGAGTGTTGATAATATTCAAAGATTGTGCACAAGATTGATCACGAAAATTTCTATCGTTCCGGTTCCTCGCGACCCCAAAGATCTCAGTGCAATGAAACGCGATACATTGCAAATTGTTGAATTCTTTCAAAGCTTAAGTGGAAATCAGCGTTTTCAAAGCATAACATTGCCAATCTTGAATCACGTTTATCAATTAATTACGAAAGATGAAGAACCGTCCTCATTGACTTATTTAGGTCTTGCTGTGATTCCAGACGCGTACATTGGCGAAGCTGTTGCTCATTTCCTTGACAACAAATTCTATCAAAATCAAAAGAAGCCAATTCTTAACGCTATAAAGCGTCTTATTTCATGGCAAGTGCAAACGATTTTAGATGTGCCTTTGCATTTGTGGATCGTCAAAGTCCTAACAGCACTTCATGATGAAAAGCATTACGAGATGTTACATGAAATTATTTCAACGTTTTTGGTGAAATGTTTTTTAACACTCTTGTTACCAGCTTTTCAGCTGACAACATTTACTGTTGTTCAAACAATGTTGGAACTTCAGCGATCTGAGAAGATTTTCGAGAATTTTTCTCCACGAATTCTTCGAACATTGGAACATTTAGAGAAGTTAAAAAATGAAAAAGCCTGTGAAATATTTGAGCCACTATTGGACGTCATCTCAGACTACATCAGTAGCTTTCCAAACGCTCATTTTAATTGCAAAGATCTTTTGGATTATCTTGAAGCTCATGGTCGTTCACCATCACGAAGCATCAGTCAACGTCGACATCATTTGTCACTTCCAAGTTCCTTAAGTCACAATGTAAGAATTGGTTTGGAAAATTTGGGTAACACATGTTACATGAACAGCGTGATTCAAGCGCTTTTTATGACAAAACCATTATGCAATGAATTGCTTACAATGGATCGACAAGATCGTGAAACCCTCGTTTTTCAGAAAATCTTTGGACTTCTTCTATTCTCGGAACGTTCAGAAATTAATTTAAAATTTGCTATGCCATTTATACGACCAGTTGATTTCTTGCCTGGCATTCAACAAGATTCTTCGGAATTTATGAGCTCGCTGCTCGATAAACTGCACGAGGCTGATAAGAAAATAATTTCCTTAAACTGTAATAATTTAAATGAGAATGATGAGAAACAAACAAAAATGGATGTTAATGATGATGATGATGACGATGATGATGACGAATTCGCTATAAGAGATAAGATTATTGATAACACTTCAAAATTGAATCAATCTACGATCGTACAGAAGAATTTCGGTGGAAAGATTTCAACAACATGCGTCTGTTCGACATGCAATAGTCGAAGTGTAAACATTGATTCATTTCGTGATCTCGCTTTATCATTTCCTGAGAAGGAAAGAAATGAAGATGACGATTGGGATGCTCAAACTGAATATTCAGTGCAAGAGCTTCTTGATTTTTATTTCACAACAGAACAGTTGACATTGGATGGTGACAATCAGTATCATTGTGAGAAATGTAAGAGCCTTTGTGATGGCATAAGATGCACAGAAATTCTTCAACCACCTAAGAATCTCATCCTTACATTGAAACATTTTCGTTATGATTCACGTTGTCATGTTAGATCAAAGCTTCTCATCAATAAAATGTTTCATAATGAAGAGATTTCGGTGAAAGTTCGATCGAGTCATGCGAGCAACAGTTGGAGAAATGTTAATTATCGATTGTATGCTGCTGTTGTTCATACTGGAATAAGCATGGATTGTGGCCATTATTACACGTTTGCGCATGAAAAAGATGAAATCTGGTACAAGTTTAACGACAGTTTCGTCTCAACAAGCACACTTCAAGAGCTTCACAAGTGAGTGACTTTCGTTTTTCATTTCTTTCAATTTTTAATTAAATTAAAAATTCTTTTCAGTCTTAACTCGCCAAACACACCTTACATCCTTTTTTATCGGCGTATATCAACTGCAACATCAACACCTTCATCATCGTCATCATCATCGTCAACAGCTTGTTCAATTGATCAATTGATTCCATCGACTGATGAAAAGCTTCCTAATTTCAATGAGCTACCATCGATTGTTAAATCATTCATCTCTGATGACAATGAATCGTTTAAAAAAGAATCAAGTAAATCTTAAATTTAATATTTAAAAATTATCATTGATAATCTTTCATCTTTTTGACAGTTCTTTACCCTTATAAACCACTGCAAAAATCCAACCGATGGAATGACGACGATCCACCAAGTTCATGTGGTAGCAACCTCGATATTCAACACAATCGCTTTATTTATTAAAATTCAGTTAAATTTTCTTTCGTACTTAAAAAAATTAAAAGAAAAATTATTGTTGTTACAAAAGTTCGTTACAGCATTATTTTATTATTCTTTAAATTTTATTTAATTAAATTTTGTTGTCTTTTTCTAAATATTATTAAACAGAAAGGATTTCAAGTGTTGTTTTGTGAAGGAGATAAGAATGAAAAGAGATGAATAAAATAAAAGAGAAAGAAGATATTAAACGATTGTGCATGCGCTAACAAACTTTGATTCATAAAACGCGAAGTTTCATTCAAGAAAATGCTAAAGCTTTTCTCTATTTCCCCTCATTTCCCCTCTCCCTCTCGCTTTTTTGTTGTTGGTCCGAAGCAAAATTATTATCAAAGAAAAAACTTTTTTTTTCATTGCGAAGCTTTGGTGATTACAATTCGCAGGTTCTGTTCATTCATTTGGAAAAGTGAGAAAGAAAAAAAAGGGAAAATAAAGAAATTTGTGGATAGTGTTGGGTATTTTAAAGGAATTGAAAGACTGACTGGTGATTTGTTTTAAAAGGACGCGCAGTAGTCATTCTTTTCTATACGTTCTAAGTGATTTTCACAAGTTTAAAAATAGATTTTATGCAGCATATTGATTTTTCCGTCAGTAAAAGGAAAAGCAAGTGGTTCAAGTTATGTTTCACTTCTCCATATGGAATCACATTTAAAATGAATTTTTGGTTGCTTAATTTGTTGTTTCTGATCGTATGTTGTTCAGTTGTGCTGGGAGAGTTTCCAGGTGAGTCAATGAAAATCGATTTAAGTAAAAGCTTAACCCGCATTGAAGTAAAAGCGAATGAAATGCTGATAAGAATGGAAAAAAAATATGTAAATCAATTTCAATGACGCACTTGTTTGTGACATTTGTTAGGCCGCAGACATCAATTTCCGCAACTTCAACAAGATGAACAAAACTCAAAGCTCCTTGAGCAGCTTTCGAAAATAATTGAAGAACAAGCTCGAATAAGATTTCAACAGAAAATCCACCAACATCATCAGAAACAACATGCAATTCCACAAGAGATTACTGGACCGGGTTTCAGCTTTGTCATGCCACAAATGACAAAGGAAGAGTTCCATAGAAACAACAACAAGCCCATCCAATTTGCAGTGAAACCATTCGACTCGAGATATTACGAGAACACGGATGATGAAGAAAGAGAAGACGAAGCAGCTGAAGCCGATGCTGAAGAGATCGAATCGAACATCATGGACGAAACGGAATCTCCAGCTGATATTAAAAATAAAATTCTCATTCCACCACCCATGCATGTACTAAGCGGTGACAAAATTCTTCATAGAAATCAGCAGAAAATGATAAAAATGACACCGAAACCTTCTCTACCATCTGACGTCATGCAAAAGCCATTACAAGTTGAATTTGACAACACTACGAGTTTATACATTGTAGCGTTGATAGCTGGTCTCAGCTGTGCATTTTCAACTGGCGTAAGTTCAATAAAGAAATTATTTTTTTTAATCTTGAGAGTGTCATGCTATTTCTTATTATTTATTCAGCTCATAGCACTTGGAATTATGTATTGGACACTTTATAAGAAATCTAAATCAGGTGAATTTGTATTCACGTGTTTAAATGAAACTTTCTTAAGACATAATAAAAATTTTCATTTAACAGCTGACGCATGTGACTATGCATGTGATTATGGCGTGATTGGACCACGGACCAAAAACATTGACAACTCACAATTAGCGACAGGCGATAAGAAATTGGCACACTCTGCTCAAATGTTCCATTACCAACATCAGAAGCAACAAATTATTGCAATGGAAAATCGTAATGCTGAGTTGAATCATAATGAAGAAGATAATGATTCTGATGATAATGAGAATGACTTCACGGTTTATGGTAAGTTTCTTTCATCTCGATTATTATTAAAGCAACTGAAAACGAATTTACGTATAAATAAATTAGAATGTCCTGGTCTTGCTGAATGGGATTCCGGAATGGAAGTGAAGAATCCATTATTCTCGGAAGAAACACCAGCAACTGTAGCAGCAGTTAAGAGCGATAAGACTCAACAACCATCAAGAAAAACTGCAAATCAAAAATAAATTCTTTAAACTTTATACGCGTGTGTCCCTTCCAAGTCGATAAAATCGTCAAAGCTGCATGCTCCACTAATTATACTTATTGAAAAAGAAAAAGATAAAAATCTATTTTAAAAGAATAATAAAATTAATATTTTTTCTTATAAAAAAGAAATAAAAAAAAGAAACCAAAATCGAAACTATCATGAGACTAAAAAAATGAAAATGCAAGAAATGATTTTTTCCTTAAAACTTTTTTAATTCCGTTTATTAATTTTTCATTTCGATGAAAATGAATTACGCGAGATTAACAACAATCGAGTAGTGCAACATACAAAGAACTTGTAGAGAAAAAGTCAAATTAAATCAATGATCCCATTTTTGTATTAGAGGATTATCATAATATGAAACATTATTATAAATGTAACACATCTTAAAAATAAATAATTAAAGAACAGAAATCTTAGCGATTCATAAGACAAAACATAAAACTTACAATTAATCTGAATGTCCAATTGAAGATTTAAAATCAAGTCGCTTTTTAACAGAAAGAAAAATAGGAAGAAAATCAGTTTTTAAAACAAATATGAACATGATAAAAGTGCGTGGGTGGAGAATATTTCCATAAACAATTAAATTTTAATGAGGGATTTTTGCAACCTTTCAAAATATCGAAATTAAATAAATTCCTCCAACTCTTCAACACACCCCCAACAAAATGTTTGAATAAGAAAATTATGACGCAAGAAAAGTGAGTGTGAAAAACAAAAGAAAAATTAATTTCTTTTTTGCGACATGTTTATGACAAAAAGGCTTTAAATACGAAATAGAAAACGATTTACTTTGCAACTTCATTACGATTTCCTTCTAATGCAAATGAAATTATTTCTTATATAAAAACAAAAAACTTTTACGATGAATATTTGTATATTTATTTATTTATTAACAAAGAAAACAAAAAGAAAATTCTATCATAAGATTAATGAATGTATCCGGAAAAGAGAAGAAAAAATTGAGTAAAGACTCACAAAAAAAACATGAAAATTTGTTTTTCTTTTTTCCAGTGCTAGGAAAATTTATTTAACTTTTTTTAAACATAAAGATGATGATAACTTACAGAAATTAATTTAATTTGTCGCTTCTTGACGTTTTTCGAAATCTTGCATTCGCTGTTCGATGACGGGTCGGAAATGTCTGATTAAGCCTTGGACGGGCCAAGCTGCGCCATCACCTAAAGCACAAATTGAATGTCCTTCAATTTGTTTCGAGACTTCCCATAACATGTCAATTTCATCGGGACGTGCGTTGCCACTGACAAAACGAGTCATAATCTTGTTCATCCAACTAACACCTTCACGACATGGTGTACATTGACCACAACTCTCGTGCTTATAGAAAGCAATTAAACGAGCGATTGCTTTGATGACATCAGTCGACTTGTCCATAACAATAATTGCAGCTGTTCCAAGTGAGGTTTGACACGCAACAAGACCATCAAAATCCATTAAAGCTTCAGCACAAACATCTTTGGGGATAATTGGTGTTGAAGAACCGCCAGGAATAATTCCAAGAAGATTGTCCCAACCACCACGAACACCGCCACAATGACGTTCAATTAATTCCTTCAATGGAATTGACATTTCTTCTTCTACGGTGCATGGATTGTTGACATGACCAGAAATGTTGAAGAGTTTTGTACCCGAATTACGAGTACGACCGAAGCTAGCAAACCAAACGCCACCGCGACGACAAATTGTCTGAAATTATTTAATACAAAATTAAAATTCCTATTTCTTTAATTAATCATTCCAAATAATTACTGGAGCAACAGCAACAGTTTCAACATTAGCGACGGTAGTTGGACAACCAAACACTCCAACATCAGCTGGGAATGGAGGCTTCAAACGTGGCTTTCCTTGTTTTCCTTCCAAAGATTCAATCAAAGCTGTTTCTTCACCACAAATGTAAGCTCCAGCTCCACGGTGCATAAACACATCAAAATCGTATCCCGAGTTGCAAGCGTTCTTTCCGAGTAAGCCAGCTTGATAAGCTTCAGCAATTGCCAACTGCATATTAGAGGCTTCGTTATAAAATTCACCACGAATATAAATGTAAGCAGCACGAGCGCCCATAGCACGACCAGCAATCAAACATCCTTCGATGAGCTTATGTGGATCATGACGCATAATTTCTCTGTCTTTACAAGTGCCTGGTTCTCCTTCATCTGCATTTACAACGAGATATTTTGGACGACCATCTGAGGGCTTATTCATGAAAGACCATTTCATGCCTGATGGAAAACCAGCACCTCCACGTCCACGTAAACCTGAAGCTTTGATTTCATTCAATATCCAATCTACACCTTTCTCAAGAATCTCTTTAGTTTTATACCAATCGCCACGTTTCATGGCTCCTTTTAAACGCCAGTCATGACGTCCATAAAGATTTGTAAAGACACGATCTTGATCTGCGAGACCGCCAAACTTTGTTTTTGTCTGCGGTGGTGGAGTTGACACTTGAGCAGAATTAGATCTGATTTGAATGTTTTTAAACAACGGGAGTAAGCTTGCAGCTGGAAAGAAGGTAGAAATGTAATGTTAATACGCATGTTATGAAATTCAATATAAATATGTACACAACAAAATTTTCCGTTTTGATTGTTATGTAAAAAATATTTAAGAAAATCACAAGTTACGACGAAGAATATAATTTCTTATATATTTCACCAGTTAAGAGCTCATCGATTATCACTTTAACTTCTATAAATAAAGAATGGTGAATATTATTTTATTCTCTCACCTAATTGCTGCTTCGGAGCCGAATTAACTCGAACCAAAACATTTGCCATTTTTTCTAATTTTTATAAATTTATTTTCGGAGCTTTCCGAACCCTGATTAGGACAGTCGGACATAAATTGTTCATTTTCTTATGATTTGTTAAACCCTGCAACCAAAATCAAAACAAAAAATCTACAATTAGAAGAATAATTGAATAAACATGTATCGGAGAACTGGAATTATACAAACATTTCTGAGAAGACAGAGTACGAATGCAGCTACGTTACCAGCCAACAAGAAATCTTTGATACCTTTAATAACATGTAAGAATACCGAATTTAATTTAATGTACGATGTCGACAACAAAAAAACGAACCTACCGCATGTATCAAAAATTGTTCTCGCTTCTAAAGGATGGCAACATTACAAAGCTAAAGGAGATCATTTCATTATTCATCCAATAAAGGATATCATCGAGACAAATCTTAAAGATTCGACAGATTTCGAAAATCTTAATCTCAATGAAACTCTACTGAAGAACTTACGCGAGAAGCATGACATTCGAAAGGCAACAAAGTTACAACAAGAAGCAATAGCAGAAATTAGAAATAAAAACAATGTTTTAATTGCTGCAGAAACTGGATGTGGAAAGGTGAGTAATAAATTGATTTATTCAGGATTTAAAAGAAAATGATTTTTAAACAAATTATTATTTAGACTCACGCTTATTTACTTCCAATTATTGAACAAATAATCGAACAAAAGTCAAACGAAAAAGAAAGTCGTCAGTTTAACACTCCATTAGTTCTTATCTTGACTCCTGGCAGAGAACTTGCTGAACAAATTGGAAAATTCGCTAAAGAATTATCAACTGGTTTGAACTTAAATGTGAAAATTATAATAGGAGGAAACACGAAACAAAAAATGTTCAATCCTTCATTTGAAGACATTGACATCTTAGTTGGCTCAATTGGTGCCATCAGTAAATTAACAACAACAGGAATAGTTCGAATGAATAAAGTTAAACATGTTGTGCTAGACGAAGCTGACACTCTTCTTGAAGATAGTTTCAACGAAAAACTTGTTTATTTTCTAAGGAGGTTTTCATTTCATATCGATACTCAAATGATTCTTGCATCAGCAACAATGCCAACAAACACCGATGATGTTTTTCGTGATGTTCTTGATACCGATAACATGAAGAAAGTTGTCAGCAGCGATTTACATAAAATTCTTCCATACGTCACTCAAAAATTCATGAGAATGAACAAATCAGATCGTCCCGAAAATCTTTTAAGGATCATTAAAAGTGAAGTTTTAAAGAAACGACCAGTGATTGTGTTCTCTAATAAATCCAACACATGTGACTATGTTTCATTGTTTCTCAACAGCAATGGCATTGAAACGTTTAATTTAAATGGTGACATGCTAATGAAAATCAGAACAGGAAGGTTTGAACAATTTCAAAATGGTGAAATTAATGTTTTATCGACTACAGATTGTATCGGTCGAGGCTTGAACACAGTCAGAGCACGTCACATAATAAATTTTGATTTTCCACTTTACATGTCCGATTATATTCATCGATGTGGACGAATAGGTCGATTTGGAAGTAGCGTAAATTGTCGCATAACAAATTTTATTTCAAGTCTTCGTGAACTTGACTTAGTAAGAAAAATTGAAATGTCAGCGAGAACTAACACTGAACTTGAAAATGTAAATGCGAACATTCGTCAAATTATCAACTCTAAAATTGAAAGAGAAATAAGTAAACTTGAGAGAATGAGCTTAAAAGAATTAAAAGAATCTAAAAATTAAAATAAATATTAATATCAAGTTAGTAGAAATGAGAAAGGATTTTTATTTATTCGATATTGAGTTTCTTATAGCAAAGTCCACATTGTATGAAAAATATTTCATGTCTCCTTTGTGCATTTTCTAGGTGGTAGTAGCATGTCAAGAACCTCAACTACATTGTTTAAAGATTTTAAGAAAAAAATATCATGTTTCATATACACGCAAAGAAACTCTTTTCTCTATGGTTAATAGGACAAGATGTAAGCTTCAATATATTTAAAACAACACCTATGAATATTAATATCTATATAAATTACGTCAATCATAAGCAAACGTCAAACGCATTAACGAATTGTTTGAATTCAAAACTTTTGAATGTGTCGAAGTTAATGTTCGTTCCGAAATTATTCAAAGATCTACTCAAGATAACTGTACATGAAACAACAAGTAGAATTAAATACACGTGACGTCACTGAAAATCTGCCAAGTAGAACATCCAATACAATCCACATAGATTTAAATCCGAACACGGCATTTTTGTTGATACCTTTTATTTTAACAAAAAACAGTTTTTTTCTTTTTCGGTTCTTTTTCTTCTTACATTCTTCAGAGCTTTTAACACACACGACATATAAAAAATGACTGTGATAAGATGTTTTAGTATTCTTACAGACGCGATCTCGTAAAGTCGGAATTGTGTAATAAAAGTTTTCAATTTTTTGATTTTGAATATTTTTTTTGGTTTTTAAAAGTTTTTTCAAAAGGAAATGAAGAGAAGAAAAATGTTGCCAGAATATCAAAAATTAAAAGACGAGAATGGACTTATAGACAAGGGTCCAGTATTCACAATTTCCTTCAGTAGATTCTCTTTGATCACCGTGTCACTTCCCTTATTTAGTTTTATATTTTGTGTTTCGTATTCGCTGCTATTCTTCTTCGAACAATCGACATCTACCCATTGCCATGTGTGGAATTATCTTCCATCCATCTCTGTGAGTGGTGTTATCATGAAATTAAAAATATTTTAGATAATATCGATCATGACTTTGCTTATTTACAAATATAGGCTGCAATTGGTTCGTTTCAACCACAAGCATTTGTGTGGCAAATTTCTATAATAGTACATTTTATTCCACGATTAATCATAACGTGGATGTACAAAAGGTGAGGTGAAAGTGTTAATTAAATTCACAAAACAAAAAGAATCTTTAACCAAGCGTTTTTTCTTTCTTAAATAAAGTTATTACGATCGAGTGATTCGGCGAAATCGTCAAAACGTAGCAAAATTTGCGCTTCTGCTGAACGTAGTTGAGAACTTTTCACTTTTGGGATTGTCAATTTATACTTCGAACGATAACTATGGTAAGTTATTAGTTGATTAGATAATCTATAAAAAACTCTTATCAATATTCAATTTATTTTAGAAATTCATAAAAATTGCTTTTGTACATTTATCGTGGTGTCAGAGACATACATGATGCTCTCCTATTACTTAAATAAGAACGCAAAACGTGATCCAAAATCTTCTCATTCAGAAAACAAGTCGATTAATCTCAAACGAAACTTGTTTATCATCAACATTACATCGATTGTTTTAGCTGCCTACTTCTTTGTACGACATAATGACAGGTGTGAAGGTGGAAGTAAGTTAAAGAGGAATGTTTAATAACAGAAAAAATAATATTTTATTAAATAAATTTTGTCTTTTTCATTTTAGTTTACACATTTTTTGCACTTTTCGAATACATTGTTGTTCTTACAAATATGGGTTATCATATGACAGCCGCCATCGACTTCCATAATCAACATTTAGTCTTCGATTGGCATCATGGACTACAAATTCACTTTCAATGATTAAAAAAGCCGTTATATGAGCTATTTAGATCAATTGTTTCATGTTTTGATTGTGAAAGTGTAAGAAACAAGAAAAAAAAATCTTCAAATATTTAATGAACTCAAAGATGTGTGCTACATGACGTTAAAACGCGCTACAATTTTGCTGCTGCAGCAGTTTAAAGTAAAACATAAAAAGAATTTCGTTACTTTTAAAAACCTCAATAACATAAGAATATATTATAAAAAAAACTTTTTAACATTTGTGATGTTATGTTTGATTATTAAATGAAAACAACAATGCATGGAAGAAAGCTTTGAATGAAAATTTCATTTAGCTTGGTGTTTCCTTCCAATGGATTTCCGATTATACGGCACTGAATCCATTGCTTATAGTTACATAAGTTATGTCAACAATAACAATAAAATTAACGAAAAAATTTGCAATTTTAATTAAAAAATGAACAAAATACTTTTTAATTTCTCTTAATGAATCGAAATGAACTTTCAACTTTATCGGAAATCATTTTGGCAATGGCAAGACTTGAGGTGGCACCAGGTGATGGTGCATTGCAGCAATGAAGAATTCGATTACCAATCGAACCTTCCCCATATTCAAATATAAAGTCATCAACTAAAGATCCGTCAGATTTTAAAGCTTGTGCTCGAACACCTGCTGGTCCACGTGATACATCAGCTGTTGTAATTTCGGGGACATATTTTTGAAGTTCTTTGACTTGAAGTGCGGGAAAAAGTGACTGCGAAATTTCCTTAATTCCAGCTCCAATATAACGAGTTGCCATTCGAATTAAACCTTTAAAATTTTATCAAATTGTAATATTTATTTCATTAGGAAGAAAAGAATTTACCTGGATACTTCAACGCATCGAAAAGCTCAAAAAGATTGATGTCGAACCAAGTATATCCTTCTCGTTTGAATGCAAGCACTGCATTTGGTCCAAGCCAAACTTCTCCATTCATGCGTGGTGTAAAATGTACTCCAAGAAAGGGAAAACGTGGATCCGGTACTGGATATATATTTCCTTTGATCAAATGAGCTTTTTTCGGATTGAGTAAAAGATATTCTCCACGAAATGGAACAATCTTAGGAGGATTCTTATTTCCAGTTAATCCAGCAATTTTATCAGCTTGCAATCCAGCACATGTCAAAATATATTTTGCAGAAATCTTTTGATTTTTCCCATCAACAATCATTACCGGAAAGTCAGGATCATCACATGGTTTAAAATTTTTCACTTCAAAGTTCGTGAAGATTTGTCCACCGGCATTTTCAAAATCTTTCGCATAATATTCTGTTACTAACTCCCAATCAACGATTCCAGTATGTGGAGAATGTATCGCTTGCATACCACGACAATGTGGCTCAATATGTTTGATTTCATCTTCATCAATAAGTCGAAGATCTGGAACTTTGTTCTTCAATCCTCTCTCGTACAAATCCTAAAAGTTAAAAAAATGTTTTAACATTTAACGGTTGAAAAATATTCAAATAATTATCATGTGACATCATTTTCAATGTTTTCATATTTCTTCATGATTCCGTGTTTCAAGAAAATTAAGAATTTCATGATTTAATTTAAAAATAATGGTGAAAATTATAATTCTTCTAGCATTTACAATACTTCTTGCTGATGCTAGAAAGCATCATCTTGAAATTCGTGTAAGAATAAATAGAAATAACATGAAAACCGATGATTTTATGATAAAGAACGTAATTTGTTTTTTTTTTCTTTTTGTGATTTGTTTAGGATGACATTCGTCAATACATCCCGCTAAGTACATTTGGATTTTATAAGGGCGGTCATTTGATAGCTAAAATAAGTGAATTTGCTTTACGTATTGGACTAGAAAATAATGTCGTGAGTAATTTCTTCCATATCGATTTCCAATATCTTCAATAATTGATTTTTTAAATTATTTCCTTAAGTTTGGTTTATCACTTGATAAGACAGTTAGTGACGCAATGCGTCAAAACACAGATCTTCATCAAGATAAATGCTTCTTAGAAGACAGAAATCTAGTCTTGCCAACCAATGAGCCCGCACTCTTCTTCATCATGAACTTTACATCACTTGAAGTTGTTGTGAATTGTTCCAAAAATTGGCGAAACATGAATGTTGTTGGAGAATTTAAAAGCAAACATTATAATAGTAAGTAAATGACAATGAATTTAGTAATTCATAGAAATTTTCATTGAAATTTTCTTTACAGAAATCCCTTCAAGATATCCTAATGGTTCATATGAGTGCAATATAGGAAATATTAAACTGACTGAAAGTAAAAGAAACGATGACACGTACCGCTTCTTTGAATTCAAGGTAAAAGAAATTCTCCTTCATTGAAGTTTAGCATTAAATTAATCAACATTCACTTTCAGTTCGTGATGTTCATCGATACCAAAGAAGATGAAGGACTTTACAATCTTTATTTTCATGCTTGTCCTAATTACGATCCTGACATTAACAAAAATTATTTGCTTCGATTCAACGCTGACATTGAGGAGAATAATGATGGAAATTATTTATCTGCTACTGAAATGCCACTTCCAGTTCTCTACTTCATGATGTCATTGCTTTTCTTCCTTTCCGGACTATTTTGGGTTTACGTCCTTAGACGTAGCAAACATCCAGTATTCAAGATTCATTACTTGATGGGTGTTTTGGTTTTCTTAAAGTCACTCAGCTTAATGTTCCATTCAATCAATTATCATTTCATCGAAATTAAAGGCGAACACGTTGAGGCATGGGCGATTCTCTTCTACATCACACACTTACTCAAAGGCGCTGTTCTCTTCATCACAATTGTTTTAATTGGGACTGGCTGGACATTCATCAAACACATTCTTAGTGACAAAGATAAAAAGATTTTCATGATTGTGATACCGTTACAAGTGTTAGCAAATGTTGCCGAAATCATTATTGAGGAGAGTGAAGAAGGAAGTTTGGAACATTCAACATGGCGTGACATTTTCATTCTTGTTGATTTACTTTGCTGTGCTGCCATTCTTTTTCCCGTTGTTTGGAGTATTCGACATTTACAAGAAGCATCAGCAACTGATGGAAAAGCTCTTGTGAATTTGAAGAAATTGAAACTTTTCAGACAATTTTACATCATGATAGTTTGCTACATTTACTTTACTCGCATTATTGTGTAAGTAGAATTAACGAAATTGATTTTAAGAATATTTAATGATAAATTAATAATTTTTTCAGTTTCCTGCTCAAGATAACAGTTCCATTCCAATATGCTTGGCTTGATGAGCTCTTCCGTGAAATGGCTACGTATGTATTCTTTGTTGTGACCGGTTATAAGTTCCGTCCCACAACGCAAAGTCCTTACTTTAATGTACGTGATCTTGACGATGAAGATGAGGTCGAGATTCTTACACAAACTGGGTATAACGAAAATATTCGTAATGTTACAAATCGACAAATGGTTACAACGACATCAGTTGAATCATTCAATGAAGACGAGAAAGAAAATCTTATCAGTAAGCGAGAGTCGAGTCATGAATATGATTAAAATGCTTCTAAAATTTATGATCGATCAAATTTTCTTTTATCACTTTGTCATACGTATGTATAAACTGTGCTTAAATGCAGCTTAAAATTATTCATGTTTCTAGGCTTTCAATTAAAATTCGTGTGATTAAGAAATATAAATAATTTTTTGTCATAAGCGTAGTTGAGAGTTTAGTTTAAGAGATTTTACCAAATAATAAACTATCACTCTTAAATAAAGTTTTTGTTTTTACTTGACGACATTATGTGATTGTAAATCATTGGGGAAAATGCTAAAATAACTTCACGTTCATTTTCAATAACATCAGCTAAAACTTCAACAGTAAACATTTTTATGTCAACAAAGTTATTTCAATTATCATCATCTAGAAAAGTATACGCGCCTATGGTTAGCATGATTATTGTCAACTGACCTTCAATCGCTCCTTTTCGACATCGTTCGTTGCTACGATTAATTTTCCAACTTTCTTGTAAGGAATTTTCTTTTCGTCGCAATATTTGTATGTTAAATGTAAACCTTCGACACAGAGTTTGGCTTTTAAACTACCAGGTTTATAATAGATGCCAGCATGAATGACGCCACTGTGATGAAATTTGTTATTAAATATTTCTATTTGTTATCAATTTGGGTTGAACTTTCCACAGACCTGTTATGACCGGATTGATGGAAAGCAACCTTTGGTTCTTTTTCGACGATAGCTATTTTTAAATGCGGATGTCTCAAAAGAATCTCTCGAGCTGATGATACACCAACAATTCCGCCTCCAACGCATATTAAATCAAATTTATTAGATCCATCATTAGCACCAATTGAGCTTAGAAATCTAATCCCAGAGATTGATTTATATCCACAACGCGATAACATCATTTCTTTCCGTTTGTTGACGAGTTTTACCTTAATTTGTACTTTTTTAACAAACTTATTCAAAGATTCGTCACTTAAATTAAACCTATACGAGATTATTAAAGAGATAATAATAACAAATACTTGAATTGATAAATTTACGCACACTTATGGAATATTCACAGCTGGCTGTACAGTTTGAATGGGTTAGTGATGTTGATTTTGAATTGATAAAGACCGTTAAATTTTATTTTAAAGTCCAATTTATTAAATTTAAAAATAAACAAAATTTCATTACGATTTATTACGTAGAATCATCATTTCCACGTCTTATATTTCTTGTTCCAACTTTACGCTTTTTGAAAAAGGCTGGAACGTCTCCTACATCTTCGAGTTTTGTTATTGTCTTTTCTTTAAACTTTTTGACTGGCGGTTCTTGGATCACTGCTGCTGCTGGAACTGCAACATAGATATGCTCCTGTTTCGGTAACTCTAGATCTATAGGCTTTGAAGGTTTTTGCTCTTCAACAACTTCCCATTTACCATAAGGTTGTCCACCATATTGACCAGCATAACTTGTTGAAGCTTCTTCTTCTTCTTTTGTTTTTCTTTCTTCCGTGATTTTTTTATATTTTTTAAGTTGTTCTCTTTTGTACTTTGAAGCAATCTCATCAGCATTTTCAACAGTGTTTTTTAGCTCCATTTGTCTTTGTTCTTCTTGTTGTTTTATGGCAATATCATTTAATCTTTCATATTCCTTGAGTGACATAAAACCTTCTTTCGGTTTCTCCCATACTGATTCATTTGTTTTAACATTCCAATAATATGTATCACCATCATCGGTCTTCGCTTCACACCATAATGAAGGTTCTTTTACTGTCGTAGGATTTACAGCAGCTACAGATTTCTTAGATACTTTTGGTCCAAACTCTTCATCGCTTTCATAATTCGCCAATGCCATGGGATCAACTGCTTTCTTCCTTGCCATTGTTTGAGATATCGCACGAGATGATATATCTGCACCAATGCTGATGTCTTTAGCATATGATTGCATTGCTGCATCATTCATTTTCCGAATTTCGTCATTCATTTTATTTTGAGCCTTTTGATCGGCTTCACTTTTTTTGCCGATCTCATTCAAACGCTTTTGAACGTTCAACTGATGTCGTTTGCCATTGTTGTGGAACTCAACGCTCTGTCAAATTTTTATTTAAAAGGACAAAACATTATTTTTAAAGAAAAAGTTTTATTGATATCAATTGTGATCTTACCGGTTTATTATCTGTAAGCCAACATTTGCAATATTCACAAAATTTTCTGTCTTGCGACTTCCAGTATTCAGTCCTTAAAATAGAATAAAAGAAAATCAGCAAAACTTTTAATTAAAACGATGAATCTATCAATTAATACACTGCATCATGTCACGCTTGAAAACTTAAACGAGACACGATCATAAATCTAATTTATCTTAGTTTTTATTTTTAATTTTTTTTATTTTATGAACATGAGGAAATTTCAAATTTGTTTCTCTTTTACAAATCTTCTCAATCTAGTTTCTTTACGACATCTCAAAAATGTTTTATTCACAACATAAATATTATGAGCGAGAGTAATTAAACTCAAAATTCAGATGATTTTTATTTTATTTTTTTTCTTCTTTCTCATCAAGATAATTTGCGTCACATTTATATTTTTCAAACACAGGAAAAGAGTTTTTACTTTCCTTTAACAAAGTAAGAAAATAATTCAATGACAAGTTAAATGGGGGTTGTTGATCTAAAAACCTGGATTAGGAAATCATTCAACTTCATGAAGCATTTCGACCTTTTATTATGTTTCAACTCGAGAAATTATAATGAGAATTGGATAGTGAATATCTTCAATGTAAAACTTTGACAGCAGAAATTTCTGATGATAATCCCAAACTTCTTTGTTGTAGTAAGTGAAAATTTTACAATGCAATCCTTTTGTGATGCATTTTTTGATGAAGAGATTCATGGATTTACCACGTCTCGGTGCCATCACTAAAGCTTTACCATTACTAGCCAGAAAATAATTAATTGAATCAACAAGAGAACTTCGTGATTCATCGAAGAAAAGACAATCGGCACATAAAATAAAGTCATATTTCTGACGTTCCAAAGGGCATTGATTCTCTGAGTCTTCCCATCTGAGAACTGAATTAGAAACTTTTATTTATTTGTGTTTAATAATTTCTTTAGATTTTCACTAATACCTGACGTCTTAACAAAAGTTTTTATATCATTCAACATCACAGACTTTTGAACATTGTTTATTGAGCGCGAATTTCCATCAGACAGATGAACAGCGAATGCATTGCTGTATTTTGCAAGCATCAATCCCGCAAGACAAAACATTCCTATTGTTTTTAATAATTTTTTAATTCTTCGAAATATCAATTTTTTTATTCCTTTAAATTAATTATAGCATACCACCGCCAATTTCCAAAATCCACGCATCTTTGAATGTTTGCAAATTTTCAAGGACGTAATAACTTAAAGAAGACTCTGAAGTCCACAATGAAATATTACCAGTGTTATTGAAACCGATTAAATCTTTCACCGTCCACAATTTACCAATATGTACATTACATTCATATTTGTTGCATCCAATTTTAATGATGATTGAGAACTTTTCATTTCTCTCATCAGTTATGTCTTTCTTCAAAGGTTCAATTTCAACAAGATCAAAGCCGCTAAATTTCTGTGATACATTGTTTATAGGAATTTTCTGTCTCATTTCTAGTTCACGTTTATTTTTTGAAAGAATCACTCTTGCCAGTAACTTCCAGCGATTCTTTGCGTTCACATTTTCTTTTCGCGTCACTTTTAAATTTTTTTGATTTTTCATTTCACACAAATCAACATTTGTTTTTAAACTCTCGACATTTTCCGTCATGAAAGACTGTGAATCACAATTTTTAATCATTTTCTTAATTTCTTTCCTTTCCGTCTGGTCCGCGAGACAAGTGGAGAGAATATGCTATGAGCGAAATGCTTTTTTTTTATTCAACTGAATCTATCGACTAACGATGTTTAGACTTTTGCCGATTGTATTTTTAGTTTTCTTTAAACCTGGCTCCGAGTTCAAAATATAATAATGTTTCGTTACAATTGTTTGAGACCATTGAATAACATTTCAAGTTTTATTGAGCATCTTTCTAGAGGCATCAGACAGACAACCAGGAGAAGAAACCAATTAAAAACGAAATGTAAATAATCTTATTTCTTATCCAATTTGAATTTTCTTCAATAAATTGGTGGCATGCTTGAAGTATTTAAAATAAATTCTTTGTCGTAAGTTCAATACAAGTGAAATCAGTTTAGCAGCGAATAACTTTGATTTCACGTTTAATTTCTGCTGTCTGTTTATGTTTTTGGTGTGATTTATTTTGAGAGAAATGGTTGGAAACAAGAGAAAAACGAGGAAAATGACTTTGATGTGTTTTCAAATCACATAACTCAAAGCCAATAATTGAGTTTAGTGTTTGAGTAATTTAAAACGTTTCTTTCATTCGCGTAATACAAACTTAAATAAACAGATCGTTTCTTTTCACTTTTAACGCTATTTATACTTACATCTTTAATTTTGCCTTGTTGCCAAAAAGCTAATTGTAACTAGATACGAAGACGAAACAAGAATTTCCTGACACCTGTTCACTATTGACTTCTTTTAAGATTTAATTTAGAGTTTTTATTTAGAGATCATGTTCGTTTCTACACGATACAAATATTTTTGTTTACCTATTATGCCACTGTTTCATTATCCATATGGACTAACTTTAAATTTTGAAAAGCCGTTAATTTTTATTATTCCTACAAGCTATTACTTAGGGCAACTGATTTTTTAATTAAGATTTAAAATTAAATTTAAATCAAATGAATAGTAATTTGTAGATTTTGAAATGTGACCTACGGGTGTTTGAATTTTATATTCCATGGTGTAATTCACCAAAATAATTATTTTTAATGCTGTTTTATGTTCAATCTACATGCAATTAACATGTAGCTATGGAAAAGTTTTGGTTATCCCCAATAAATGAACAGGTTTCATTGCTTTGGGGATCAGCAATTTTAATGATTGATGAAAATCACAAAATTTTATGTATTAATTTACTGATAAATAAATAATAATAAAGAAAATGAATCTCATCCAATTATTTTGTGCTTTCAACTTCAATGGGAATTAATAACACTTTATGCATTGTAAAAAGTCTTTGATCCTTTAGCTTTAGGTTTGTCAATTTTACCTTCTACGAAACGAAAGCATATCCAAATGCGTTTGAAATAAATCATATTCCATAAAATGTAGGTTGTAGGTCGAATATCCATAGCAACCTGCACCAAGAAATTGAATTATTTGAATATTTTATTTTTAATTTCCTTGACAGTAACATGATTTTGTTTCATGCTTAGTGTCACATCAAAGTTGATTTCATTTGATAAGTTTATAAAAATGAAGATTCAACAATAATCCCGCCTATCATCAGAACATTTCATCGTTTCATTATTAAGTACATATTTCCATGAATGTTCATATTACCTAACGTAATTTTTGTTTCTGTAAAATCAGCAAAAAAAAACTAATTAACGACTTTTTTGTTTAATAAAAATCGAAAAGCATTTATAACAAAAACAAGTTAAAAAAAATTAATTAAAATATTACATATATTTACACGTGTTTTATTTATATACATACAATAGCAAAAAATTTTTTTGTTCGTGAGTACCTACGTCATTTACATAATGCAGATACTCAAATAATTTTAAAAATATTTTCCTATGAGATTTTAAAATTATCGATAAGGTTTCATTGAGAAAATGATTAAAAATATTAATTAACAGCTATAAAAAGATTGTATCGCTGGTAAGCGGGAGGGTTAATGAAATCTGCTTCATAATTAGAAAATTAATATTGCAAAATCTCAAACATAAACAAACAGTGCTGATGAAGGAAAGTTTTTGCGATGATCCTATAAACCATAGGATCAGAGTGAACTAAAGAAATCACGAAAATACAAGCACAAAGTGAACGGTTTTGTTTCATACCAACGAAAAAATGCTGGGAGCATGTAATTTAACCATTTTCAGACGCAAACATTGAAAAATATTGTTTTCCTAAAGCCACAAAAAAAGAAAATAGCACCGAGAAAGATTCTTTTTTTTATCCTTGATTCCATGCATTAAACCAGGCATTAACCCAACAAAAGGGTTGCTTCTATAAACGGTGAAAAACAACAATGAAAATCCATGTTGAAACGTTTTTACATTTAAACCGTGCCCAGGGTTGATGAAATATTCAGCAAAATTTTATTGTTTGTGTTAATCAAATTAAAAAATTTCTCTTACACTCATATCATACTGAAAAGCACTAAAAAAGATGAATCTCATGATTTGAAAAAGATTTTTAATCGATTAATTTTTTAATCTTCTTTGTTTCTGTTAGATTCATGACCCGAGATTGCCCAAAGTGTTAATGAAACCATACGCAATTTTCCCTTAATCTGAAGATTTTCTCAAGTCAATCGTTGTAACATTTAAATAAGCATCTAACATTTGTAAGATTTGTAAGATTCATAGATGAATGAAATCAGAATTAAGCCAATGAAGATACCCATTTGTCTCATTCCTTTAGCCCCGCCTTTATCCAACATAAACTACAACGTTGTGTGAATAGCATTGACATTCATTCTGTTCTATTTTATTTCCGTTTATATTTAAAGAAGATGGCAGAAAAGGGACGAAAAAATTAAATAACAATGTTTTTAAAAGTTTGAACATTTACTTTTATTTATAATTAAAATGATTTATGCTTGAAGTTCACAATAAAAATTGTGTTTGGGGTAAATACATAAATTAAACCATGGTTACTTCTCAGTTATTAAGATTCATTGATTTTTCTTTAAAACTTGTTAGGTAATTAATTATGTTAATATGTAAGCAATGATGTAAAATACGTAAATCCCCTTTAAAGATTATAGATTGACGATTTTTAAGTTATCCGACAATAAAACGAGATGACTCGCTTTTACTGAAATATCGTGAAAGACAAAATGTCGCAAATTTAATACTTCCGAACGTTAATGTCGCGTCGAGTAGGAAATTTTCAAATTTATGCTACTTCGAGATCGGATTCATCACTGTGAGAGAAGTTTGAAGAGTTGTGGTTGTGTAACGAATTCACATCGGTTTGATCTTCAGGTGATATCGAATTACTTGAAACATTTGTGTGATCTTCTTGTAGTTTTCGAATTCTTTCTTGTTCTTCTCGTTTTACTTTTCGCCACTTTGCCCTTCGATTCTTAAACCAAACCTTTATAGAGAAGGAGAATAGAAAAATAAAATTCAAATTAACATCGTCATCCATTCATAGTTTACAATTTGTCATTTTCCTTTCATCATATGTTTCCTAAGTTAATTCAATTATAATTAACTGCTTTTTGAAGACCATTCCACAAGTAAGCATGATATGTAGCGATTATCCTTTTCTTAAGACTATTAGAATGGTAACAGAAATCTTTCTTAGTTACACATGTTCATGGAACAAAAGCACAAAAAGACTACAAGTAAATTATAAATGGGCCACTTTTGGTACATGAAGAATGAAAGGATTATCATGGCTTTAAGAAATTGCTCTTTTCTGATCTTTTCAATCTTATGTGTGGGAGAAAAATGAGAATTGCAATTTAATACATATTTGACATTTCGGTTTCTTTTGAGGTTTTAAAAAGTTTTCATTTGTCTGTCACTCAAATTCTAACACAATTTAAGCTTGAAATTGATACCGACGGTAGTTGACAAATTTGTGAAAGGAATAAGAAGCGTTAACATAATTAATTTAACGACACAAGAAATCATAAAACAATATGTTCAATCAACCCTCACTCAACTCAATTTCAAAATTTCTCGAATAAATATTCTTAAAAATGCTTTAGGCGTTGTTGTGCATTGGCAAGATGAGTGAAGCAGAACATGAGTGACAAATTGAACATCATTATCAATTCTTAAACAAATAAAACCACATTAGAAGAAACAACAAAATTAATAGAAAGAACAAGAGGAGAAAGGAAGGAAACTTTTTTTGGCGAGGGTGAAAATGAAACCATAAAAAGTTCTTCGAAACATTTCTCGTTTGGTATTTGCAGTCATGCGGGAAATGTTGAGTAAATATTGTCTATCATATTATGGGATTCACCCTCAAGAGCTAAACACAGCACAGCACTTAAAATTGATATTTGATAAGATTTTCGAATTGAATTGTGTGTTTAAAAGGATGATGACGGAGAGTTTAATGGAATGTTAAGAGGTCTTTTAGCCTCCTTTGAAATTTAAATAAATCGTAGAAAAATTTATGGGAATTGTTAGGGTTTAATAAAGTTTATCGACTTACCTCAACCCGTTCTTCTTTAAGGTCAACTTTTATTGCTAATTGTTCTCTCAGCACCACTAGAAAATTATACAAAAATTGTAGCTTACGATTAATTTCTTTCTACTCATCAATCTCACCATCAGGATAATGAGTTTTCTCAAAAGTCGCTTCTAGCTGCTCCAATTGTTCCTCAGTAAATATCGTTCGATGTCTTCGTTTTCTTTTTGGTGGAGGTCCATGATTTAATGAAACGTGACTATGAATTTGTGCTGCTTGAAGCATTTGTGCAGCATGCATATAATTTGGGTAGAAATTTGGATATGTTACTGTGAAGGAAGAAAAGAAATTAATGTTAAAACCTTCGACTTTGAGAATTTAGAAATCTCAAAAAATTCATTTTCCTGATGGAATTCATAAAATGTTGACATGAGCGATTAAAATATTCTTTCTTATAAAAATAAAAACCCTTAAAATGTGACAAATGGTAAAAGAAGTTCATCTTTCAAAAAAATGTCTTCACTCAAAAGATTTAACACGAATCTTGACATTAAATCCTTAAGGATAAAAATTCACCAGAAAAACATTTTCCAAACGCATACAAATGAAGAAATAAAAAAAAGTAATCCGCAAAATTGCGTAAGTAGGAGAGAAATTTTTATGTTAATTCATCCGTTTATAAGACCACGTGGCAAGAAGCAAAGATGCAAATAAAAATGTTTTAAAATATTAAAAGTCCCGAGGGAAAATTTTCTTTTTCTCTGAAAAGCATTAACTTTTGATAAGTAAGTGGTTGAATTTGCTTTTGGCAAGATATTAAAACATTGCAAACCCAGGGAATGTTTTGAAGCTGCAGGAAGCCTTTTCCTTGCTTACCTAAAAATTCTGGTGACCCGAAATTCGATGCTAAATGCGTGATATGTAATCCAGGATGGTGTTGAAATAAAGCGGCGGGTGGTAAACGCGAACGATTTGGACTTGAATCAACTAATCCAATTTTAAAAGCATTTGTTTCGCAATTTGGTGAACTCGATGGTGAAACATCCGATGAGTATCTTGTCTGCTTTGCTAAAATACTATCTATTGTGAATAACGATGAAGCTGATGTACTTCCATTTAACGTTTTCTCTCCACTAGACACATTCTCACTCTTTTTCTGATCACTTAAACTATTCCGATTAAGCCTTTGCTCAAATAATGATAAATTATGTGAACTTATGAGCATTTTGGAATTAATAAAATTTTGTGATTTTGGGGATAGTCGAGGATTTGGACTAACGCTCGATCTGTTTCTAATTAATTGTTGAGTTGTCTCGACCATCGTTGGACTTGAGTTTGGCGAGCTACTCTCTTCTGATAAATTATATTCCGTTTTTATGGTTAAGCCACTAAGTGGCATTAAATGTGATTTAATTGATGCCAATTTGAATGCTTAATTCACAAGAGTCACTCAAGAATTTTCATCTGTTTGTTAAGAATTTTTATTATTATTAAATATTTGATAACAATATTTAAGAAACTTCTTTTTTCCGTCCGATACGTATGAGTTGAATATTAAATCTGATTTACGGAGAGTAACAGCGAGACCCGAAAGCAAAATCTTCAATCTCGAAGCTCCGCCTTCATTTTTTTCCTTTGCACATCTACAAAATTTTCCCCTCGCTCTATATCTACAGTGATTTTTTGTATAATAATGATGAATAACAAGAGAGATAAAGGCAACATCTACACAATGTAATGGAGGAAGCCAGATAAACAACAAAGCTATTTCATAATACTCTCCCGAGTAGATGATGTTGATTATGTATGCAAAAATTTGATTAGATTCAGATTTGGATTAACACAAAATCGATTCGATTAAAAGATATCATCTATAATGAATTAATTTACATTTTCACAGTCTTATTCACATGTATGGAATAAGGAATCATTTGCCATGATCATTCTCCTAATGAGATTAAAACAAAAAATATATCTAATCACTTTAAAGTATTTCGAAGATCCAATTTGTTTTAAAATACTCTTTAAAGTTTTAAGGGAGATTTCCAGTCAAAGAAGGGACTTAAAAATCTTGACCGTTCTTAAATTATGTATCGAGTGCAAACAGATACTGAAATGATTGTCTACGTCTTTGGAGTTGATTCTCTTAAGTGAATAAAGAAATTTTCTTGTTAGTTTTAACTTTTCTTTTCAATTTAAGTAACTTTGATAACATTCAGATCAAAGAATGGCTTTCATGACGTGATTTCAGAATTAACTGGAATATTTATTTATAAATACTTCATAACAGTTCCAAATTCAAGCGAAAAAGTTGCGATTACAAAATTTCTCATTATGTCGTTCTATTCAACAGACTTTTTACAACTTCGTCACATCTATAATCATTGCAAAATAGATTCAAAGTTCTGAAGTAACTTATTTCAGACTTATTCAACATTTCGGAAAATAGAGTAATGGGAAAAGTTAGACGATTGTTCCCGAAGCCATTTTTATTTTTGTAACATTGAAAACAGCATGTTCAAATGCTTGTGTCATTGTGTTTTGTGTGACACAATAAACAACAATTATATCATAAATCTAATCCTTACAGCTCATAATATGTGAGTAAATATTTGTATGTGAAAGCATAGAAATCACAAGTTAACAACAATCGTTGGAGGTATCCTTACAATTCTATATTTCTATACAAATTCTGTTCAATTTGAGTAAATAATTTCACCCGAGGCTTTAAAAAGTCTTTAAGCTTCAATCACTGAAATTGTTTTAAAATTTATTCGACTACTTTATGAAGTTCATCCGCGTCGTTGCATGTCACAATGATTTGATGTTATCACATCCAAAATCCAAACGAAGGAAAACTTCAAAGTTTCTCCACGTAAATCTCAATCAGCAGAAGAACAACAGCCCGCGGCCAAGCTTCGGATTTATTGGAATTACTTTTTTATTATTCTCTCGGAAAGCGTCAGTCGAGAGAAAAATTGTTTTCTGATTGAATGGCTAAATCTGGCAGAATTAGGTCTCAAATTGTTTACACATCAAATATATTTCTCAAAATGAAATCAAACAGAGATTTTCGGTTGCTTTTACAATGGATGAAAAACAGTATTAAGTCTTGTTGTTCTTCACGATCGAAGGTAATCAAATGTCAAGCACAAGAAGAAAACAATAAAATTTTACGTCTAGGTACCGACTAAGTTTATTTAAAGTTTAAATTAATAACTCGAGGCTGCAAGAGTGTTGAGTCAAAAATCATCTGAATTATAATTGAGAAGTATAAATTTCCTTCCTTTCTTTTCTGCCATTCACCCCTTACTCTTAAACATACAGCAGCAACCCTAATAAGAACAATGCGAATCAGTTTATTGGATGTTAAGTTGATTATCATTTAAATATTAATGATCCTGTCAAAAACAGAATTTATGATTTCATATCATCTCTCGTCCCAGGATAACAATGGATACGAATAAATAAGAATAAAAAAGAAAATTTCTCCTTTCGGCTATAGCAGCAGCTCTTATTATTTTATGAATAAATTCATAATAATATTTATTTAATTTCAATATGAAATTCATTCCAAGCTGTTTTTCTTTTTCCTTTTTCTTCTCGACTTTTGAGCTTTGACGAATTTTAAGATGAAGAAATGGAAAATCGCAACTTCTTCTTCCATCATTTTTCTCCAACATAATTTTCTCAAGATATGGAAGAAAGGAAAATGTTACCGCCTTCTGTTGATTCTCCCATGGAGCTTCTTCATGTATTTAAATATCATTTTCCATCTTTGTGTATTGTATCCGCTTTAAGGGAGATAAATGTGTTTTGCAATGCTTTTATATTTAAGAAATGGCGTGGATTTGGATGAATCATCAAGTCTGACGAGAATTTCTTTCTTATATTTGATAATCAATGCTGTTCAGTTTGATAATTTTCTTAAGAATTGAAAATCAAATAAAACAGAAGGAAATAAAAAGAAAATTAAATATTTTAATAAGCATAGAAACGCCCAACGAATAAATAGTTTAGCAGAATGAAAACTTTACATAAGAACATCAATCCGTAAAGAAATTAAATAAAAACCTTTTTCTCTTTATGTTATTATGCAGCAAGTTTTTCATTTCTCTCTGCCGGTGGAGATCTTTCTTTTGCTTCTCGAAACAGCCCCAAGCTTGAAAATGAATATACATAAAACGAAACGAAAGATTTTAAGCCGCATGTTAATGCAAACAAAATATTTTCTCAACATTGCATGAGCCTAATATGCTTATAATCTTTACAAATTGGTTTTCAGAGAAATGAATCGCTTTCGATAAGAACGGGCAATAACACAAAACAAACAGCTTCGAGGGTAAACAAACTGTGCTTCTAATGCAAGTAATTTTATTTGAAGCCTAATGCTGTACCATTGTTGATGTAGATCTTTGATTAAGCGATACAAAAACCATTCTTTGCCATAATTTGATTAAATCATCAGTAAGGATTTGAAGGGAAATGAGGTCAAACATAATAGATTGAAATGAGATTCAAACTTTGTAAGTGACATAACATTTAAAAGATAACATCTCGCTAAGCAACAACTTCTCATAAGGTTTCACATTACCAAGGAAGAAAAATTTGTTTATTTTTTTATTCCTTTCTTTTTTTTTCTCCCTTCATCACTAACAAAAGTATTTGATATTTTAATTTATAAAATCCTACAAGTTTCCCTTGATTGAAATCATTTAATTTTGTCTGATGTACTTATAAATAATACTCTTTAGTGTTTACGCGTGGCGGTTAATTATTTTTATATCTTGATCATTTTTATGGCTTTTTAAACGATTTCATCAATCTCGAGCTCGATAACATTAAAAGAAAGACAAAAATATATTCCGAAACTCTTAAGTTTCTCTCAATTTCTTTAATCCATTAACTCAAAATCATCTTGTCAACTATGAAACTGGCTCGGATGTCTTTGCTTTCGTAATCTGAAGCATTCTCTTGCATTCTTATTGCACTCTTCTTTGGAGAACATCTCGAACATGGAAAAAGGTTCTTGCTTTTATTTTTTTCGCCCTTCAAAGCGAACACCTTTCGTTTAAAACCAAATCAAACAAATTTTGTTGGAATTTCAAGCATTAAATATATGTGTTTAGTCCTAATATTGTCCATGGTCATTATGTCAATATTTACACTCATTCGTTCAGATCGTCTCTTTAAAAACAGTAGCTGCGTAAGCATTAGTAAGATGACAGATTGCTTATACGCTTACTCGGACATCGTCATTGTCGATTTGTTTTCATTTTTTTGTACTTCTCTTCATCTTCTTTTCTTCTTTTTCTTTTTTACGGTGACCGGCAATCAAATATTTGAAGTGACAATCAAGTAGCATAAAATAAGATTTTCGTGGTGATAGCTTAAGATTTAAATCAATTGACTTTATAATTTTTTAAAATCTTCGAAAGCAAACACTTTAAGATGAAAACGCGTAAGACCACACACGAGTTTTTTGTATATACCTATGTAGGTTTGTGAATTGGCTTTGCCTTCTGCCATATCTATCACTACTCTAATGTTTTTGTGGATTTGCAATTATGAACTTATGAGAGATTTTGTGAAAGCGTTTTTTGTGGGTCTTTGGAAGTCAAGTGAGTAATCTTAGTTTGGTGTTGTCGTTTCGGTTGAAATTTTAAAAGAATCCTTAATGGTTGAATTTTATGTTACGTGACGTATTAATCTTCATGATGAAAAAGAAATAAGCCTTTAAAAGCTTTTTATTATCAATTTCATTTTACATCTTTATAAGAATTTTTTTTTGTTATTTCTTTTCTTGGAAAAGTTGTTTTCATAATTTTTCACAAATGTTCACATTACACAAAGCGAATTTATTTTGCATAAGACGAATAAGATGGGGGAGGAAATGGGAAAATATTATTTTAAAAAATGAGATATTCAGATGATGAAGATGGAAAACATAAATTCAAGGAGAATCTCATGAGATCCTTAAAAATAATCTCGTATATTAAGCATGGATTTAAACGGATTCATGTTGAGTGGGTTTTCAAAAACTTCTCTCAAACTTTTTTCTATTTCATTATTTATTTTGTTAAACAACTTGATGGTTTATTTAATTAAGTAAAAATATAATTCAAGCATGAAAACAGCTATGAGAAATTGAACATTCTATGATATCTGTTTATTAAAAGTTCGAAGCTATTCTTAGCTGAACAAGTATTTAGATACCACAAATCGTTAACAAAATTAAACTAAAATAAACAAAAACTTGAATAGAATTCCATTTTCATCCCTCTAACACAACAAAATATTTAAATTGAGCAATAAGTATCAAGTGCAACTAACTTTTTCTTATTACACCCTCAACATTCAAAATGATTATGTTAAAAATGTTTTTAATTGCCCTCGGCACTTTCAGCTCGTACAAACACATAAGCTGAGATTTCCAAGTGGGGTTCATAGCTTATATTAAATTATTTAATGTTTATCAAAACAAATCCCTATGCTCTTTCAAATCTTCTCTTTCTTAGGGCAAAACTTCGCATGTCCATGACAATAAATATCATGATAAAAAATTCTCATCACTCAGAGTGTTAACACTTATTATAATTTAGAAAGTAGCTCAAGGGCTTTTAATGCTTTAACACCTGATAAAGTCTTCGTAAAACAGAATTTCATTAAATTAATTTTTGTTGCTTAACAAGGTTTACATCTCTCACTTAAACGGGCTTATGTTTGGCAAAGATGGAAAGATGATAAGTACTTTGAAATATATTCTTGTTTCCCAGTCATCACGGCAAGGGGTACTGTTCAAATTGCAGGCTCTGATCTTTCAAACGCCGACAACAATAGACGAGTGATTATTCTCATTTTTGTTAAAGTGAGTGGAAAAAGGAGTAAAATGCCTTTTTGTGGTGATAGTTGCTACTACATACCTTTATCTGCTTCTGCTTTCAAAATCGGTTAAAGAAGGAAAAAAAAATAACTCACGGAAGTTGGAAGCAAATAACTTTGTAATCTGATATTTTTTCGACACCAAATTATCATTTTTTATGTTTTCATTTCAATTAGCCTTAAAAAATGTAAGCGCATCTTTCAACATTTGCATGTCATTCAATCTGTGCTGCAAACACATTGCGTCGGTAAAAGAAATATTGATGAAAACCACACCTTAATACTTAGATACGCGCCATTACAAAATTTATATTCTTCCTTCGATCAATCAATGAAGGCGAGTTCAAAGCTTCATTTAATCCTGTTCGATTTATGTATTCATAAAAAATATTAAAAATATTTTCCAGAGAAAGTAAAAATGAATAAATCGACCGTAAAAAATGCATTTAAAGAATATGGAAAGTTATGAGAACTTCTACATAATTTCAATTCTGCTTTTGTTGAAATTCCAGTTGAATAGAAATATGGATGAATAATTTCTCTGATTGAGAATCGTTTACAGATGAACAGACAAGAAATTATTTCGATCGATTGAGGTGAAACACAAATCTCTCCTAAATTTGTTTGAAACGCTTACGCTTTCCCAAAGATCATGAAGTTTCGTTTCCAATATGGATCAAGGATCAACGGATCATGTCGTCGTAATCTCACAACTGTGTTGAGCTTTAAGCATGTTAATCTAAACATATTTTCAGCTGTAGTGAATCTAACAGAGAACTGATTATGTCATAGAAAGAAATTAATATAAACTCTTGCCATTGGAAATCGAATGAATGAGAGAATTTCTTTCAGCCTTTTGGTTGACAATACGAAGAATTTTTTTCTCGTGCACATTTAACTGATAGTTTAATCCGATATTTTATCGTTACCCTTACAACATATTTCTTTAAATGTGCAATTAGGGGCATAATATTGATGAGAGTTGTTCGAGAGTTGAGTCACCTTATTCTGATTGATGAAGTCTAACAGACGAACATTTTGTTAGCGTTGCAACTTTAAATGTGCCCTCAAATCCTTTAGAAATTACCTACTTCGTAATACTACAACAGATTTTCTTCCAAGCATCAAATCCAGTTTCATGGATATCATGATTAAACTAATCTCATCCTGCATATTAACATAAAAAAATTTTCCTACGTGTTTGAGGGATTTCATTTTAATTCATACATTGAAATGCTTTGAAAATAATAAATGCGGAAACGATTGCATATTGTGTTTGAATATGAATAAACATGTATCCTGTTGTTAGGCTTATCCTTATCCTTATGAAATTTAGCAAGCAATATTTCGAAGAAAAAACTCAATTGTTTGCAAAACCAGTTAATTGAAAAGAATGTTTGTTCTTTTCTTTCGGCAAGTTTTCAAGTTCATTTATGGCCATTTTAAAGCGCAACAAAGTTAAGTTAAGATTGTTGAATTAAAAGAATGAAAATTTTCAGTAAAAATTATTATTTTATTTGATCGATGTTGTATTGTGCATGTTCAACATGCTTTCAGCAGAGAAGTAAAAGCATTACTGATGAAGATTTTAATGATGACCACCTCCATGACCACCATGTTTATATCCATGTTCACTTCCTCCCTTCTTTCCACCTTTCTTGCCATGCTTTTCATGATGTGAATGATGGGATTCATGTCCGTGCTTATTTTTGTATCCTTTGTGATCTTCATCGTAATGTCCCTTATCAGATCCACCTTTCTTCTTGCCACCACCTTCTTTGTGACCGGATTCAGATTTGTGACCTTTCGAGTGTTTGCCATCTTCTGAGGCATGATGAGAGTGGTCATCTCCATATTTCTGGGAATAGTTTTGTAATTTTATATTCGATGAAATGTAAAAGTTGCTTCATGATTCTACTCACCTTGTGTTTGCCTTCTGAATGTTTGTCATCGTAGAATTTGTGTTCTTTGTGATATTCATCCTTGTTGGCTTTCTTATGATATCCAGTGGTTTTCGAACCTTTTTTGTGGTATTTCTTATGTCCATGCTTTCCACCTTTGGATTTCTTTCCTCCTTCATGATGTTCTTTATGTGATTCACCTTCATCGTAGCTTGATTTTTTATGACCACCTTCTTCTTCATCATGTCCTGAATGTTCATCCTTATGATGGCTTCCTTTTTCAGATTTATCCCAAGAATGTTTCTTTTTATGGCCATCACCGCCTTTCTTGCCAGACTATTACAATTAAAATTAATCACTTAATTTCGAATAACAACACTTTCACTTTAAATATTTCACCTCTGAATGGTGTTTGGCACCAAAATCACTACCACCATCTTCTTCAAATCCTGATGAATGGCCATGACCACCACCATGTCCTGATGCAGCTGCTTCTAAATCAAATCCATACGATTCGTGGGTTTGACCCGAAAAAGAAAATGCAGTAGACACTACAAAATGAGTTAAAGCTACACATGCAAGCAGCTGCCACGCTCTCATCTTGATTTTTTTTATTTATTTTTATTTTTCTATTTATTGACACTCAAACTAGATGTTTAATGTTTAAAAGACACGATTGAATTGATGATTGTAAAAACTATTTTTCTTTATATATACCACGAAAAGAGATATTTTTGCATCAGCACGTTTTTCTTTCTTATGGTTGATTATTGATTATTGCCGAAAATGTGCAATCGCTTAGAGAGAACACAAAATATAAAAAGATTTGACACTGACGTAATTATTGTGATATGCATCGTTGATTATTAGGTCTTATGATGAAAGTGCTTGAAATTAAATGTTAAAGCGTACTGCGGCTGCTAGCAAAAGAAACAAAACAGCTGTTAATCGTGTGGGGTTTTTTTTCGAATCTGCTTCTTGTTAGCAATTTTTTTCGCATTATCAGATTTTGAAATTTTAACGGCATTTGTATTCAAACTTGTAAAGTCATCATGGCCATATGGCCTTGGGGAAGTACATGAGTTAAGTTTTCGAACCGTGTCGTCAACAAAAGTTTTCAATTCTCTCGTGAATTCAAATATTTAATTTTATTAAAGAAATCAAAGAAGTATAATTATTTAAAATGGCAAAATTGATCAAAACTGATGATGGAACTCTCATGACGATTCCAGAGATGCTGAAAAGTATTGAAAGGTAAAGAAAATGAAAAAAAGCTTGTTTTATTTCAAGTTTAACCTTTTCGAAATTTTTTTCAGATACAATCCAACTCATTTTGTATTTCTCGAGCAATATGTTCAGGAACAGGCTAAAGAGAATACTTATGATCTCGATGCAAATCTCGCTGTCTTGAAATACTATCAATTCAACCCACTTGCATTGAATCTGAACATAACACATTTAATTCTTCTGAAAGCATTAACGAATCTTCCATTCAGTGACTTCGTTCTTTGCAAGTATTTGCTTCTACCAACTCAGATGAGAGATGATACAGTCAAAGAAATCATATATATTGCTGATATCCTCGAACAATGCGATTTTGTTCTGTTTTGGCAAACTGTTCAGAATAAGGGCGCTCTATTCGAGAAAATCACAGGATTTTATGTAAGAAGAGAATTTATTCATCTAAAATTTGATTTTTCACATATCTATGGTAACATTTTAGGATTCTGTACGTAAGTTTGTATGTCACGTTGTTGGCACAACCTTCCAAACGGTAGACAAGGTTTACCTATCAAAACTTCTTGGTAATGTAGATGACAAACAACTAACTCATTGGGTTAAAAAGCACAACTGGACCATGCAAGGAGATATCGTCACCATTATTAAACAAGAAGAGACCATCAAGACGAAACACATTGCTGAGAAAATTGATTTTGAAAGTTTGGGAGGTTTAATGGCAAATTGCTTGTAATCTAAAACATTTAACATAAAGGAAGTAAAAACACTTTTTTGGTAATAAAGAAACAAGATTTTTATTCCTGAATTTAATTTTAATCTTAATATTATGTTGCTTTTAACAAACAGATCCTTACTTATAATTAATCTAAGCCTTTTTAAATGATTTAAGGATAGGAAAAATGTTGTCAAATGCATCGTAAATTTCTTGTCTAACTTTAGCTCCTGTCAATACGACTTTTCCACTCACAAAAATCAATAAAACGATACGAGGCTTCACCATTCTATAATGAAATATTAAATAAATGAAAAATTAAATTCAATAAATTGTAAATAAGCGGAAGCTTAAAGAAGCTCAACTTTTTGAGAAGCCGAAGCGGAAGCTTAGAAGCTTTTTGCGAAAAATCGTTAAGCTTCCAAACCCTGGTTTAGATATCACTTAAATATTTACCTATAAATTAAGCCTGGAAATAGCTCAGGCTCATAGCTGCTGAACTTTGAATGTGTCAACACCAATCCTTCAAGACGAATAGGAAATTTCACGTCACAGCTTCCCACCATATTTTGAATTTTGAAATCAAGAAATTTCGCATTGAATCCAAGTTTCTGGATAATGCGAGCATATTTTCTTGCGGCCAGCCTTGAATCGTCTTCACTTTTTGCACCTGTACACACCATTTTTCCTGAAGAAAATATTAAGGCAGTTGTTCGTGGCTCACGGATACGCATAATAACGGCTGCAAAACGTTTTGGGTTGTACTCAGCGTTACGAGCATGCAAAGCGATCTTTTTGAGATCAAGCTTGCAATTAAGATTAACAGTTGAAACGATATTTTGTAACTGAGGTAAGATTGAATTATCGGCAGGTGTCATTGGAGTCATTGGTCCTTTTGAATAGGGGCTAGCATCAATTTGAGGTGTGTGAACTTTTGGGTGATCAGGAATTGATGCTGTGGCTGGCGTCATAGGTACGAAATGACTTTGCTAGAAATGAATATTAATAATAAGTTATTGTGGAATTATGAACAGTTGTGAAAAAAATCTTACTGGTGTAGGTGGTTGTGGCATCATTAAGCTTGGAGCCATTTGTGATCCGTACGAAGAATGTGCCATTTGTTTTGGCGGATTCATGATACCGTGATAAACATTGTTCTGATTTTGTTGATGAAAATTAGTTAAGTCTTCATCGGGATGATGAAGTGGGGTAGTTGTCCCCATGCTGAATGGGCTCATTAATGGATCCATTATTACTAAACTTATAAAATATACTTTGATATTATGAAATTAGTAATATTTTTAGTGATTATAATATTTTCAGTTTGTTAAATAGCAACGAGTACCGTTAAAAATTTTTACATCAATTTTTAATTCAGCAAAATTTTGACAATGTACAGTTCAGCGGATTAAAGTGGCATCTTTGGATAATTTTGAAAACTACATCTCAGTGAAAAAAATCAAGCGATCGAATTTTTCACATAAAATTTCATAAAAAATCATCCAAAGCAGTACAAACAATAACAAGATGAGTGTTGAAGACGAAGTGCTTCGAATCCATAAAAAACTTAGTAAAATTACATCAAGTGGAACGGTAAATATCTGTGATATATCCAGAAAAAGCCGACAAATTGCGCGAACGGAGAAAAGCATTTTTCAAATTCTAAATAATAAAAAAATCAACTTGTTTTTATTTATAGGACAATCAAACTCAGGCTTTGGATTTACTTAAAGCATTACAAAACCTTAAAATTGATTTGGATATTCTAACAAGCACAAGGTAAAATGTTGATTGCTTGTTTACAATTCAAAGTTTCTTATTAACAATAAAAAAACTGACTGGATCTTATTCGATAGAATTGGAATGGCTGTAAATGAATTGAGAAAGTGTAGCAAAGATGAAGAAGTCATAAATTTGTCAAAAAAACTTATCAAGAATTGGAAAAAACTGTTAGCAAGTAACCCTGAAAGTCCAAAATCTTCTCAAAAATCATCGAATGGAAGTAGCGCGAGCAAACCATCTAGCAAAGATAGCAACAAGGATGATAAGATCAAAGATTCTAAAAGTAAGAGCAGTTCCCAAACCAATTTCCCTCCTCCATCAAGCAGTTCAACAACTGACGTTGTTCGCTTAAAATGTCGAGAGATGCTTGCTGGTGCTCTCAAAGTTGAAGACTACCCTGATGGATGTGCATCAGCAGAAGAGTTGGCTGAGGAGCTTGAGGAAGCTATTTTTGCAGAATTCAAAAACACTGATATGAAATATAAAAATCGTATTCGATCGCGTGTTTCTAACTTAAAGGATACTAAGAATCCTGGTTTGCGTAACAACTTCATCACCGGCGTTATCTCTGCCAGTCGCTTTGCTAAAATGACACCAGAAGAAATGGCAAACGATGAAATGAAGAAACTGCGTGAGAAGTTTGTCAAAGAGTCAATCAATGATGCTCAATTGGTGAGTATCAAAAAATGTTGTGTAAGTTTTCTTATAATTTTGTTCATCTTACCTAAATTTATTTTCCAGGCGACGGTTCAAGGAACAAAAACAGATTTACTAAAATGTGGCAAATGTAAGAAAAAGGATTGCACATATAATCAGCTACAAACACGTTCTGCTGATGAGCCCATGACAACTTTTGTTATGTGTAATGCATGTGGTAATCGATGGAAGTTCTGTTAAAAAGCTTCTCATTCATGTGAGCACCGAAAAACATTTGTCTGGTAAAACTTCAAAGATGAACTTATTCACAACACATCCCCAAATATTTTTTTTAATTTTTATTTAGTAATCAAAAAAGGAAGATTTTTTTTCACACGACTTTGATTGCAGAAAGAAGGGAACTTCTAAATTATAAAGAATTTGATGTTGATGTGTTTTACGAAGAAAAAACATTAATCAACAAAATAATAAAAAATTGAATTAAATTTTCTCACGTATGTTTGTGACGACATTAGAAATCTTGTAAGTTGAATGATTGAGTTGCAATCAACTAAAAGTTGAATAAATTCACAATCTATGTAAATAGATCTCTAATGCCATCACAAAATTTCATCTGACAAGATTCACACTTGAAAATAATAATTATAGAAAGTATGAAATAATAATTCGTCTCCCTTTCGATTGAGGATAAATAGAAATGTTTAGAGTAACAAGAAAACTGATAAAAAATCAAGTGTTCATTCATGATTTGTCTCAAAGCGAAATGAAATAAAATTATAGACATAAACAAAAACAAGATTTGAAATTCTTAGAATTTACTTGACATTTAAAGTTTCTGATTTCTGAGCGACCCAGAAGACTCCGCCATTCTTAGCGACAGTGAAATAGAAGTTTACACGCTCAGCCAATTTACTTGGTGCTATCCAATAAAGCTTCACTTCATGTACACCTTGATCAATCTTTTTGTGTGTTACAGCATTCTGTTGTTGCGAAAAAGAAACAGAAAGAAGATTTGATTAAATACTCAACGATTGAGATTTCATAAGCCACAAAAAAAAACATTGAAAATCTATTCGATTGTTCAAACAACAGGAAAGCAGTTGATCAATAATTTGGTTAAAGTCTGAGATTTTGTTAAATAAACTTACATTACGACCGTTACCGCAACTCAAGGTTTGAATGTATTGACGACTGGGTGAAACATCAAAACTTCCGATCGGAGTGTCGCCAACGCGTGCTTGCACTAAAAGTCCTTTAAATGTGTCATCGTTACTACGTCCACGAATTGTGATGCCGACAGTTTCGCCAGCTCTGATGTTATTCTTATCCAGAATAATATCATATGGTGAAGGGCCAGTCTGTGGTTCGACACCATGACGCGGTGTCATTGTCGAACACTCTTCAGCTGGAGCACCTGAAGAATAACCTTGAACCATCATGGGAATACCCACAGCCACGAGAACTACAAACAACTTAAAAGCCATTTTTTGCTGAAAAAACAAGATTGAGAATTTTGTTGTTGTTTAATGTTATTGGCCGCAAAGTTAAGGAGAAAAAAAAAACAATCTTTAGGTCTAAGTTCTCAGTAATTTAGTTTGCACAATGATTCGGTGCTTTACATTAAAACCGGTTGTAAAATTGCTTTGTTATTCTATCACATCACATCTGTTTGTCTGTTTAATCTTTGATTTATAGCTACAACAAACTTTCAGCAACATCTCGTAATAATTTAGATTAGACAAAACCGGTTTGGTATGGTGCAAGTTGCATCTAAATTTTTTAACGTTGCAAAATTATTATTTCCTATTAAGTATTTATTCTCAGAACTATTATTACAATGTTTAGGAAAATCATCGAAGCGTAGCATTTTAAAGATTTGCTATCCATGTCCATGACATCCATCAAGTTTGAAGTTTTTACCTTTTTATCATTTACTTCTTTTCAAGTTCAACAACTTTTGCAAGTCTCATCAGATTCAAAGATAAACGATGAATCGACAATAATATTTATATAGGTATTTAAACAGGGTCACAAATGGTCACAGCAAACATGCATAGCAAATGTCGTCAATAAATATTTTTGAGAAGTTAGGAAAGAAAGAAAATTCACTTTAAGTACAATTGTCATGTTTTGATGTTTTGCAATCAACTAAACATGACATTTCTGATTTGAGGTTTGTATTTCGTGCTTTCACTTTTTATCACAGCAAGTATTTTAGTTTTTGTCATTCATGCATAGTTGATGAAGAAAAAATTATATTCCGGCTGTTTTCGATTAGTCGAAGGTAAACTAGAAGGCAATTGATCTTTTCCGCAAAATAAAGAAATTATTTGCTAAGCTTTAAGTTTACTCTCTTGTGATGCCACATTTTTTTAATTATCTACTTTGCAAAGTTTATTCAATTTTAATCTCTTGACATTGATTTTATGTAGATTGAAAGCATTCTCACCTTTAAACTTTATTTTAACGATGTCAACTTATCAAAGGAAAAATATAAACTGATTCAAATGAGTGAAACGTCCAATGATTTTAAAGCTGTAATGTCTTGTCTTCAAGAATTTTATGTAGTTAGATAGGTAGTGGGGGTGAGCTTTTCAAGAAATACTAAACTTTTTAACGACCTATTTCAATTCAAATCGTATTTACTGGGGCCCGGCGGAATGATTCCGTGCGTACACACTCCACCTGAAACTAACTTTGAGAAACGAGTTTCGGGTGAAGAGTGTAATTCTTTATTTATAAAGTTCTTCAAATAAAAATTTTAATAACTCAGTTGTTAATTAGAAATTAAAGAAATATGTGGTGCAGTTAATGATTAAAAAGTGAGCAATACTCAATGTTTTTGGAAGTTTCATTCAAAACGAACCATTTTGCGTGTTCCGAAGACATTCTAACATTTCAATTTTCTTGTCGTATTTTGATTTCTAATTCGAGATTATTGAGTTGCTAGAGAATGTAAGCAAATAACTGATAAGACTTTTGATAACTTTTTACAAATGAAATTTCTAAGAAGTGTCTTGTATTGTGATGAAAAGTTTATTTATCAATTTACAGTTTTGCTTTCGTGGATCTTTTCTTTTTTTTTCTTATAAGAAGTGTGTACACATTTAGTCGATTCTTCCGCGATGTGGTGTGCAATGTAAATGATGTTAAACTGTTATGGAAACAATGCAATAGAAAGAAAATTATCCAAAAAACTGCTTTATCTTAAAAACAATAATTTTTTTTGCGGTCCATGAATCAATGAATGAAATGAAAAAGCGATTTAGATTTTCTTATTAGACAGTTATGAGTCTTTCTCTCTTTCTTCCTTTTCCACGAGCCGGTTTGAAAGTGTTGAGACTTCTTATTACCTAGATTACGTACAACACTTCATTTCAATTCATAAGAAAAATATTGCATACAATTTTAACGTTGTAAAATTATGATTCATTAAAATGCCTTTGGAGGTCATGGAACAATGTCTTGAATGTCTTAAATTACGCAATAAATTTATGTTTAATATTCCGTGCATTTTCTATTTACCTTTATTTACTATTGTGATTGTTGGTAGATTAAACAAAACACCATAGTTTGAATGAAAGAATCAAAAATATCGCTCATTAATCTGCAAGAACAAGGAAAATCAATGTCAAACTACACAAGAATGTTCCGAGGGAAAATGCGAACGAGTACCTGTCGGATCATTCTAATTACTTCACTGGCATGGCTGTTAATCGACGTTATTATTATAATGAAATACACTGATGGATTAAATGGTGGAATATTTAAAAAATCTCGAGACAATGGGGTAAGTAAACTTGAAATGAAATAGTAAACAATAGTGAAACATGAAACCTAAGAAAATCAAGAGTTGCCTTTTTATAAATATTTTAGAACCTCTAATCATGGGGCTGAAAGTGAAAGCATTCATTTGTAAAACAACAAACTCTGTTAACTGTTTACCTTTTAACAGTTGAATTAATTGCTTTAATAATTTTATTGCTTATGTTTTGAAGTTAAATTGAAACATAATGTGGTTTACACCAGAACCAAATGAAAAAATTAACAAATTTAAATGAGTAAGTGTTGAAGAACGTAGAAATAAATATTCACGGTAGTTTGTTTAACAAGAAGGCAATTTACCAGCGATTGCACTTTATATTTTATTAACTTGTTTTTGGAAGTAATGTGAGCATTTACATAAATATGTTTGTTTGACGTTCTCGAACCGTGAAAAGGGCTTCATTTTCTCTTTGGAATCGCTATCACGATTAATTTTCGGTTTTCTTTATCATTCAAGCAAGAAAAGAAAACATCATTTCATTAAAGAAATCAAAACTCTTTTGCTTCGCTCTCAATATTTATTTATTAAAAATAACAACACCAACACTTTGAACATTTCACTACCAATCTCGTTTAATTCAAGGTTTTCTTCAAACTTTTTTTCCCTTCATTCTTTGTTTTGTCATTTCTTGATGGAAGCTTTGCCAAGTCAACAACCACTTGCGTGAATACATGTCAATGTATTGTGAAAAAACGATGCTTCATATACTGATTAAATTATGATTCAAAGACCTGTTGCATTGCTAATTCCATTAGATAAATGAATGCACTTCAATTTAATTTCCTATTCCGGTTTCGATAAATCAACAAAATTCGAAACGGAACGCAATGTAGCGTGGTAAATTTTGGTTTACCATTTTAATAATCCAAAGCCAAGGATATCAATGACACGCTAGAATTAAATTGTTTTATTTCTCATGAACCCTTTCAGCAACAATCTCATAATGTGGCGAGTCTAAGTGGTGGACATCATGTCATTGATGAAGACCCCATCGTAGATGAAGAGGAAATTGACACAAATTTAAATAATATTGATAATGGTGATGAGATAGTTAAACGCATATCAAAAACATATCGTACAGTAGATTTGAAAAAATGGAGACCAGCACCAGTAGTAAAGGAAAATCCTGGAAAACCAGGTGAAATGGGAAAGCCAGTAAAGATGAAATCTTATCAACAAGAAGAAATGAAAGAGAAGTTTAAAGAGAATCAATTTAATTTACTTGCGAGCGACATGATTTGGCTTAATCGTTCACTTTCTGATGTTCGCCATAAAGAGTTGAGTACAATTACAAATTTTCTTTAAAAGTAAGTTTTATTAAGTTCTTAACTTGATTTTAGTTGTCGGACCAAGACTTATCCAGGCAAAATGCCGACAACTTCAATTGTCATTGTGTTTCATAATGAAGCATGGTCGACACTTCTCCGTACGATATGGAGTGTTATCAATCGATCACCAAGGCCTTTACTCAAGGAAATTATTCTTGTTGATGATGCCAGTGAGCGAGAATATTTAGGTAAAAAGCTGGAAGATTATGTTCAAACGCTTCCAGTGTCAACTTACGGTAAATTAAACTAAGTGAATAAGTTTTGACAACTCCATTAAAATTGTAAAACTTTTATTTAGTTCTTCGAACGGGAAAACGTTCTGGGCTGATAAGAGCTCGTTTATTAGGAGCTGCTAATGTTAAAGGCCAAGTTATTACATTCCTCGATGCACATTGTGAGGTAAGTTTCTTAAACTATTTAAATAAATTAAATTCTTCAATGATTATAACTCAACAGTGCACAGAAGGTTGGCTAGAACCGCTTTTATCGAGAATTGTCTTAGATAGAAGGACAGTTGTCTGTCCAATTATAGATGTTATAAGCGACGAAACATTTGAATATGTCACCGCATCAGATCAGACATGGGGCGGCTTTAATTGGAAGCTTAACTTCCGTTGGTATCGCGTGCCATCAAGGGAAATGTCGAGAAGAAACAACGATCGAACAGCTCCATTGAGAACACCAACAATGGTAAAAGGAATGAAAATTAATTAAAATGAAGATTAATGTTTTCGATTTAATTAACAGGCTGGCGGATTATTCTCGATAGACAAAGATTATTTCTACGAAATTGGATCTTATGATGAAGGCATGGACATTTGGGGTGATTAAATAAAACAAAACAACATTTTAATTAAAATATTTATTTCATTATCACTTAATTTTTAGGCGGTGAAAATCTTGAAATGAGCTTTCGCGTAAGTAATTTATTTTGAAAATTAATTTATGTTTAAGGAAAAAAGAAGATTTTAAGTTTTCCGCGTTGAATTATCGTGAAATTTGATTTTCTGGGGTGTGATAACAGATTTGGCAATGCGGTGGTATTTTGGAGATAGCACCGTGCTCTCACGTTGGCCATGTGTTCAGAGATAAGAGTCCTTATACATTCCCTGGTGGTGTCGCTAATATTGTATTGAAAAACGCTGCGAGAGTCGCTGAAGTTTGGCTTGACGAGTGGAAAGAATTTTACTTCGCAATGAGTCCAGGTTTGTGATTTTTCTGAAGATCAGGATGTGAAAGACAAGCTAACACCGCATTATTGCCATGAAATCTTCGCTTAATTTTTATTTCAATAACAAAAATTAATTAAGTTACTGCATATTGTGTAGAATTTAGCAACTAACTTTAATTAATTCAACTTTTTTCATCTCTCTCTCTTTTGCTTGCTTGCTGCAATTTTTTTTTGTGAAAATTAACATGAAATTGTTTGAAATAAAAACTTAACTCAGGTCTGGATGTGTGGCGGAATTCTGGAGATAGCGCCATGCTCAAGAGTGGTAGTTATTAATTAATTAATTAATTTAGAATGATTGACATCTAAACTTTAACTCTTATCATATTAAGGGTCATGTTTTTCGAAAATCTACGCCATATACGTTTCCTGGTGGAACGTCGCAGATCGTTAATAAGAATAATGCTCGCTTAGTTGAAGTATGGCTAGATGAATGGAAAGAATTTTACTACAATATTAATCCTGGTAATTGCTTGCTGAATAAATACTAACAAATATAATTAAAGAACGAATGTTTATTGGAAGAAATGAATGAAATTATTTACTTTATTTAATGGTTTTTAATAACAGGAGCTCGTAAGACATCTGCAGGTGACGTGTCAGGTCGATTACAATTAAGAGAGCGACTACAATGTAAGAGCTTCCGTTGGTATTTAGAAAATATTTATCCTGAAAGTCAAATGCCTTTGGATTATTATTTCTTGGGAGAAGTAAGATTTGAAATAATTTCCGATTTCTTTCAACTACAAATCATCTGATTTTCAATTTAGATACGAAATGCCGAGTCACATAATTGTCTTGATACAATGGGGCATAAATCAGGAGAGAAAGTTGGTAGCAGTTACTGTCACGGACTGGGTGGTAATCAAGTCTTCGCTTATACAAAACGGCAACAAATCATGTCAGATGATAATTGTCTTGATGCATCAAATGCAAATGGTCCCGTGAATCTTGTTAGATGTCATGGAATGGGCGGAAATCAAGAGTGGAGTTATGATGAAAATGTAAGTTAAATAATTAAACTAATAGAGAAATATTTTATTGTTTCCTAATTTCCTTTTAGGATCTCACAATTAAACATGTGAACTCTGGAAATTGCCTAACACGACCAACAAAAGACGATCCTTCAACGCCACTTCTCAGACCTTGCAATTATTCAAAAGGTCAGCAATGGTTAATGCAATCAAAGTTTAAATGGCAATCAAGACACGGATCAGAAGATGAGAAGCGAAGATAGGATTTACTGAAACTAGCCAACATGGAATAAAGACTAAGTTATAAAACATTTAACGTTCCAACACTTGTTGTAAATTAGATTCATTTACGTTTATTTTATTTTTATTTTTTTCCTATTCAATGATAATTTTAATGTTGAATGAAAATTTCATATTTGACAATCAGATAAGTGAATTTGAAAGTAACAAAGGTTGGTTGGTTTCTAACGCATGTTGATGGAACGAAGTGGAACAACTTTTCGTAGCAAATAAGCGAACAAAATAATTGTGATCCATTTGATATCAAATGTGTTGATTATTATTACCTCGGAATAAGAATTCTTTTTATTTTTCTCATCTCAATCTTCCTTTTTTATTAATAACCCAACACAATATAAAGGATAGAAGAAGAAATATTTTGCATATCAACACATGCAGAAAAGTGCACATTATTTAAGGTCTGATTGAGAGACGAAAACTCGGTAAAAGATGAAGAAATTAGAACAATATCTAGAAGAAAAAGAAGCAAATAAATGTTACGTACTAATGTGCCACAAGACACAACTGGATGATGTTGAAAAGGCAGCAGATTAAAAAATTAATGAAATAAAAGCAAAACATTATTAAATTCCTAAAATCTTCCATCGCAATAAACGACAGAACAGAAAGAACAAATTTATTGTAAATAAACAATTAATTTTATTCTCTAACTCTTTGGTGTAGGTGCAATTTTATAAATTCTTCTGCTTTCCTGTCACTTTGCGACTATTAGAATTGTAAGAAGAATCTTTTATCATTAATTATCGATTAGTTCCGATCAAATTTTTATGTTTTATTACCTAGACGCATAAGAAGAAAAGAAAACTTTGTGATCGTCATTATATCCACTTACGGTGAGATCAAAATTAATTTGTGATTTGATAAAATAATTTAAAAGAAAATGTACATAATGACGATTGCCAAGGGATTCTTGTAAACAAATAAAATTATAATAAAGCCATTATTTAATTTATTCTTACAAAACAAATGAAAGTTTCCTTCTTTTTTTTACTTTAATAGAAGACTTGAATAAAAGAATAAATTTATACGAATTCTTTTGACTTTTTAATTATCTGAAATATTAAATAGTTAAACAAAACATTTTCAACTTCCAGATTGATGCACTTAGCGAAATGTTTATTTTTGTTTTTAATTCCTTTCATTTATTCTTGTTTTGATAGGATTGTAATAATAAGGATGTTTAAGCCATTTCGCGAAGACGACGAACAGCAGATCTCACTGAAGCAGCAGCTGTTGTTGAATAAACCCAGGCACCACCAGCAACAACACGCTTACATCTCTTGCATGACCAGATTCCGACACACGATCTTTTCATGGCATCTTTACCACAAAATGTGCAGGTATATTTTCCGTGCTGGGAGATTTCAATCTTCTTCACCATTTTACGGAGTGAGGCACCATAACGGGTACCATATTTACCTACGATTCCAACCTTCTTCGTACGTTTGGCCTAAAATAAAATAAAACAAAAATGTTAGCACAATTACAATCTTTCTAAAATGATTTAAAGTCTTACCATTTTACTGTGGATTGGATATTATCTGATCTGTAAAAGAAAGTTGAAAGAATTTGTTTATTATAATATATTTTGCGAAATTATTCACTACAGGTAAACACGAATCAATTTATAATCAGAGTTATAACCTCGAATATGAAAAAATTTATAAATTTTACAATTTAATTTATTTACATCAATTTTGATCTATTGAATTCATTCTCTATTATCAAAATGTCACTTTATTTCATTGAGGAATAAGTATTTAACTCAAAATGGCAATGTTTTCCCGATAGACTTTAATAAATAATTGAGGAACAAACCTTTTGTCAGAACAATATTTTCGAAAAGGAAGAGTGGACGTCATTTGCGAACGAAGTGAAACTTTTCAAAGTCCAAATGGACAACAAATAAAAATCAAACTTTTGAAATACGTTAAATATGTAGACAGCTACATGAATACATTCCTTTATTTTTAATAAAAATTTTGCTACACCCTGATTGAACTGGAATAAATTTGATTGATACATTTGATTAACATGAATTATAATGAATGAAATGACACATGCTTTTTAAGTGTAACTAATAAAAGAAAAATTTCTTGTAGTCGAAGGGTTTCTTATCTTCGTAAGTTCTTCGATTCAATTTCTGCATGAAATCATTCAATGCGTTTGTTTCACTGAGCTTTCGAGTCATTTCATATTGTGGTGCTTTTATATCGTTATACCAAAAACCATCGTCAGAGTCATCATTTTCATTTTCAACATTCCATGATAAGTTGTCTTGGTTGTTTAATCCTTGATTTAATCCATCATAAAATTTTCCAATTGGATTATCATTTCCATAATTTTTATCGTAGTTTTCATTTTCAGACATTATTGTGAACTTCGCTTTGTTTTCGAAATATGGAACATGTCTCTTTAATCTGTTGTGAAACAACATTAAACGATCTTGATAAATCTTTAACATAAAATTATTTGCATATTGTCGCATAAATTTAAAGAACATTTATGCGCAACGAAGTGTTTAAAAATTACCTTATATTCGTTTTCATGAGATCGCGTGTAGCATACGGCATCAATAAGTCCTTTTCCTTATTGGATTGAGTCAACAGGTTTTCGACCTTCATACCAACATCGGGTGGAGTTGTGCAATGCTTTCCACCTTTAAAAAATTGTTATTAATAATTTATTATACAATCCTCTAAGGATCTAATAAATACGTTCGACAGTTGAGTATATATATCTAATAATACCTATTTATTAAAAAATAAAATGTTTCACTAACCAAATATTGCGCAATCCTTATCTTTTATGCTTTGAAGTGGCTTTGCTGGTGAACAATTAACAAAAACTGAAACCGAACATATTAAAAAAATTAATTCTTTCTTCATTTCTCTTCTTTTCACCAACGAACGTCAAAACTCTGAGACGCAAATATCTGAACTGAAGAAAAACACTCTTTCAGCTTCTTTTTTATAGTAATGAGAGAAATGTTTTCTTCCTTTCAATCCTTATGTTCATAACACGATTTCATAACTGGAATCCTTCGTAAATTGCGTGCTTTCAATAGAAAAATTGTCTTAGCAAATGGTTTATTTCATTCTTTGTGAATCATGTCCAAAAGTAACTGTTTTAAATTTTGTATTTTAAAAATAAATGGTGAAAAACTACCTACCTATAGGTAGATTATAATTTTGAAACTTGAAGAAACTAAAAAAATCGTTACAAATAAATTTAAATTTGTTGCTTCAAAACACTTTCATCCACCCTCAAATACAATGGAACTTCAGATAAGCTGATGCCTCGATAAAGTAATAAACCTTTATAAACTGATATTGTTTTGTCCCCTTTGAATCGAATTTCTATGTAGATTGCCTCGATAAAATAATATCCTTGATAAGCTGATATTTTTTTGTCTCCCTTGAGATATCAGCTTATCGAAGTTCCACTGTATTTTTATTCTAAGGAACAACACCAGCAAAAAAAATTACTCAAAGTACCGTAAATTTGACTTTTATCTGTTTTTAAATCCTCTAAATCAATAAGAAGTAAAGAAAAACTTGGCGGAAAAATCCGCGGAATCAAGAATGGATGATGCATTCTGGTGAGTCATAGCTTTTTATTCTTATCTTAAATTTGTATTTTCTTTCAACAAACAAAATATGTGGCAATTTGAAGAATCTACAAATGTTGCTGAAATTTTCTATGAAGTCAACTAAATGCTGATATTACTCTATATTTTAGTTTACAATTGGAAGCAGCACTTCTAGATGACTGCACTGTCAACGATATTTACGCAATATGTCAAGGAAAAAGAACTTTTCCCGACACTCTTCGTTCTGATCTCTGGATGTGTTGTCTGGTCACTCATAAATCTGATGCGCTTGCTCATTTCGATGAAATTTACGACTTACCATTTCAAAAACTATTACGTAGCGATTGTCAAAATTTCGTCGACACACTTGGAAATGACGAATTGGAACAAGTTGGAGTGTTGAGCGATCTCGAATCGATTTTAACATTTTATTGCAAGAATCGTAATTTGAAATATGAGTCGAATAACGGATGGATTGAAACACTGCTTCCAATTCTGTCATTGAAACTTAAACGTTCTGATACTTACAATCTCTTTGAAGCGATTCGTGACACTTACATACCCAAAGACAGCATGAAACATAGCAACGTTTACCATGTTTTCCGGCTTTTAATTCTTTACCATGATCCTGAACTTTGTGCTGTTCTTGACACCTACAAGATAACACCGGAAATGTATTCGATGAGCTGGTTCCAATCACTCTTTGCCTCAACTTGTCAGCTTTCTGTAGTTCTTCTCATCTGGGATTTGTACTTTCAGCAAAGTGATCCATTTCTTGTATTCTTTCTCAGCCTTATAATGCTTGTTAACCGTCGTGATGAGATTATTAGTATGCGTCGTGAAGAGAAAACATCGATTGTTGAATTTCTCTCAAATATGCCATGTGAGCTTGAAGCTGACGATGTCATTGATTTCTGTTCATTAGCTCAATACTATTCAACACGAACACCATCATCGTTCAAATCAGAGATGTTGAATCAATTATTCGGGACACAAACCAACATTGAAGAGCCAGTTCATGTTTCACAAGCGTTGTGTCTGCCAGTTTCGGTATATGAACTTATTGAAAATTCATCCGGAAAGCCTGAAGGTTCTGTGAGATTTTTTCTTGTTGATTGTCGTCCAGTTGATCAATACAATTATGGACACTTACCCACTGCTTTTCATCTTGACTACAATCTTATGTTGACAGAACCAACTTCTTTCCAAACGGCTATGCAAGGATTGCTGAGAGCTCAAAAAAGTGCAATAGAAGTGAAAGCATCTGGCGAACATCTTTGTTTCCTTGGTTCAGGAAGAATTGAAGAAGATCAATTTGTTCATATGGTTGTTGCATCGTTCCTACAAAAAAGTACGCAATTTGTTTCGATTCTCAGTGGAGGATATGCGGCCATTCACGATTACTTTGGTGATACAATGTTAGATTGTCTGGAAGATCATGATGTTCATCGATGTTTGATCTGTTCAAATGGAATTAATAACAATAATAATAATTTGCCATTAAAAAATCAAAAACCATCAACAAGTTCTGCTCAAAAACCACAATTTGATTTGTTTAGTAAATTTTCAACTGCAATGAAAAGTAAAACATCAGATGTTAAATCAAAATTCTTTGATATCATTGCTAATCCATCACAATCAAGTAATCAAAATCATGCGAAATCACAAGAAGAAACAGTAACTGAGAAACATGTGTCGATGAGTGAGAAGAATGGAAAACGTTATCGAAATCTTGCGCCAGTTTTTGGTCTTGATGAAGATGAAGCTGATATGGGTGCTGATTTTGTTGAGGAAGAAAATGACTCTAAAGAGCTCATAAATATTCAAGAGTATTTGAAGGGAACACCCGACCTCGTTAAATCATTCAAGTGTCAGGAAGTGCAAATAAATGGTGCAATGTATGAAAGTTATTTAGTTTTAACAGCAACGAGAATTGAAGTGATTCGTGAAGTTGATAATGGAATGGGAAGAATCCATGTAAAAAGGCCGCTTACAAATATCGTAAAGATAACAGCAAAGAAAAGACATCGTGATTTGATAACATTCAAGTATGGAATGCCTGATGGGGATAATCTTATCATAACTGGTAAGTCAACTTAGGTGTGTTTACTTATGCACTGACGACTTTTTGTTGTTTGTGTAGAATGTAAAGAAGAAATGGGGATTTAGAGTTGACACGACGTGGTAATTAACAAAATATGTCTTGATTCCATTTAAGCTCTTAACTGAAGTTAATTATAAATAGAAAGTTGATTTTTTTGTCGTTCTTGTTACTTCAGCAATGACTTATGAGTTTTTTAATCGACTTAAAAGAGATAACAATTCTAATTTTTATTAATTTCTTTTTTCAGATATGGACAGATTCCTAATTCCCAACAGCCAAGAAGCCACGAAAATCATCTCCAAGTACATTCTACAACAACTTTAGTCCATTAACTTTCTTTAATTATTTTATTTCCATTCAAGAAATTGTTATTTAATAGAAGTCTAATTCCTTATTATCTAATCTATAAAAATTTTAAAAAGTGAAACAATAAATTATTCAAGTGAAATCATAACGGTTTTTGTTTGAATCCATAGCATGTTAAAAAATATTACAAAACACTTACAAAATGCGCTTTTCCGTCAACAACATTGACATTCCGACAGCAAATGATGATACTCAACGAAGGTTATAGAAACTCAAACAGAAAAATTTCATCATTTTCATTTTCGCTCAAGTGTTCAATCAAAACTAGTCACTGCTCGACTAGAAATAAAATTAAAAGTGAAAATAACCAAGCTCAAGCAACTGGCTTACCAATTTTTGCCAATAAAATAAATTAAATCGGTGAGTGATCAACGTTTGACATTTTTTAAATTGTATCTTAATTTTTGGCTTGCATAATTTCAATTTCCGTGATTTCTTGTATTTTTAATTAATGAATGAATTTGGGACGGTATTTTTCTTTTCTGTCTAATGTGTGCGTGATACTTTGAAGAGCTTGAAAAACTCGTGATTTGTGTCAATGTATTTTTGGTTTCTTTATTTAATTTTGGTTTTCGCTTTGATTTTGACTGCCACCTGTTTCAAAGTATGAACAAGCTGGCAGTTGATTAAAGTAAGGCTCCAAGTTTATAAACTATGTTTACTCAGTACTTTTCATACATTTATATATTTATTTACACATGGTACTGTTGTTAAGAGGCAAACGTATTTAAACAAGTTTACTTTTATATTTTTTTCCAGACGATAAGTTCATAAGAGAAGCCATGAAGACTGACTGGAATGAAACGTTCAGATTCGATGAGGAAGAAATCGAATTAGCACAAATCAATGGTGATGGCATTGATGCAGTTGCAAGTAAGTGAAATGAAAGAAGAGAAAAAAGAGATTTCAGTGGGAGTGTTCTTATTTCTCCTGAATTATTTAAACAATCTGTTATCGCGTAAAAAATAAGAAAAATAAATCATCATGCGATGAGTATGTGGGGAAAATAATCACAAAAGTCACCTAGTTGTGTGATAACAGAAAACGAACCTTTGTTTAACTCTCCAAGATGTTCACAAGGCAACATCTCGGCATTGTGTTTATAAACAAACAAATTATACGAGAAGTAAGACACAATGTTAAGAGCTGCTACGATGATGAGATGATATTCGAGATTTCAGTAAACAAAGACTTGCAAAAATAATAAATAAATAAAATATAAAAAGAAGCGATTGCTGTCCGCAAAATTCTTCATAATATTCTCAACAATGGCCTTCGATCAAAAATAAATTTATCATGCTTCAGTTTCTGTCTCCGTGAGCTTGTCTCACGTGTTTTGTAACATTATAGAGGCTTGCCTTAGACAAAACAATTGCGAATGGATTTCTCATTTTTCTGTGCAGTCTCGGGCGGTTCAATTACATTGCATATAAGTTCTACTTGGTGGAAATTTTATTTATTATTTAAATTTTGAATGAGTTTACAACCAACGACAGTGATTTTATTTTATTGAGTTCTATGGAAATGAAAATAATTTTATGGCTTAATGATAATCGACACGTGCAGGTCTGCCTCACGTTGGATTCTTCCCAGAGAAAAGAAGCATTAAATTAACACAAAATCTTAGTCTAAGGAAGCAACTCAAATGAAACATCTGTGGTCAAACCTGTTTCGTTGTATCTCGTGAATATCAAAACGTTCTCTGTGGATTAAATTTGCATGAAGAAGACAGAACGGCGAGGTAAAATAATTCTTAAAAATTTCTTTCTAAGATCGAAGTCGAAGAAGCCAAATTAACGAAACCATTTGAAGAAAAGTCCGGTTAATGATGTCAAGGACATTTTTCTTCAAGTTTAGTGACAAAACCTGGTGCAATAAAAGTTTGTGTGTTTCATTTTCTTATGAATAATTGCGAAGTCAAGTTTCGATAGTCACGAAAACACATATCAATAACAAATTTGTTAAGCTTTCTGGTGAAAGCATTAAAATTCACAAATTACGAATCAGTTACTAATGCATTAATTCCCCAAATTCTCAGAATTATTTTCTTAACCAGAAAAACGAGAAACGACAACAAAGTAATGTTGTACTTGAATTTACTTTTTTAATTAGAGGCTAATGCGTGTTATTGCTTTTTATTTCCTAAAAACATTTGATTATCGATTGCTTTTCTTTGCAATTGGAATTTCTCAATTAAAAAAAATTGATCTGTTTTTGTTGCTTATAGCATTAAATATCGCAAAAATTTTCATTTTATATAAAAAAGTTCATTTGAGAGCAATCATAAAAAATTCCGAATGAATTCGTCAGTTCTCTATTTACAAGAGAGCGAATGATTTCCAGTTCCATCCTTTATCTTCTGGTTATAACTGTCGAATGAAAAGCTCTTAAATTGATTGTTGAGACGTTTGAGAGAATGTTGGAGGCTGGGAGTGTTAACTTGATTGATTTGCGGAGAATTCCAATCATTTCTAGCTTTGGCCTGAAATCGTTCATGCATGAAATGATTCAGTAATTATTATTAGCAATAAAAAGATTCAATCGTTTTGCGACTGACTCAAAACAAAGAGTAAAAATATTATGAGAACTTCTCATAAATCTAAAGAAAAATAAAAATATTCTCAATTTTCTTGGTCATGAGTATGATGGAGAATCACATGAAGGTTTTATAAATAAGCGGTCATCTCATCGTCATGAGTTTAGTTTCAAATTATCTTCGCATTGACCAGCATTGAAAATTATTCAAACTTTTTTTTTACAAAATAAACAATTTACTCGTCAAATTTCCTGCTGACTTCTTCATATTTATTTTCATCGTGAAAGTAAGTCAAAGCTTGCAAAGTGAATTTATTCAATTAATAAAAAAGAAAGAAATCAGCAAGTAAAAGTCGCGTGTGACGCAAAAAACTTGAACTTTGCGCCCTTATTTTTCAGTATTTGAATTAAAATGCGCATTTCAAGTGTCGTTTTAAAATTTGTTACGCAAATTCAAAAGACAAAACAAAAAAAAAATAATGAAAGAAAGAGAAAATTTGAATTAAGAAAATGAGAATTAAGACAAGGTTTGTTTTCTTATTAAACAGATTCATTAAACACAGACATGTCGCTGTTAGCTGTTCGTTCGGCGCCATTTCTTCTGAGTGATTACTGTTCATCATCGATAAGAAGCGCAAGTGTGTCGAGTTCATTTTCGGATATAGCATCAGGTTCAATGGATCTTTCATCATCTGACATGCTTAATCTGGAAGATATTAAGATTCAACTCAGTCAATACTGTTTAACTTGTGGTGTTTGTTGGGCTGATGAACATTTTTCGTTTGACTGTTCAGAGTGCGGTGGGTACAGCATGATAAGACCATGTTTGAATTGTGGTGGAACATGTGGTGTTTTATGGACACGAGATTTTGCATTGGTGAGTTGTAACTTAAACTTCATTGCATTAAAAAATTTAATTTTTAATACTTGACATTGATAGAGTCACGCTTGTCATGCAGCCAAGTGGAAGGGCAACTGCAAACATTTTCCCACCTTGCAACTCGATAAAGTGCCGCCTGAAAGCACAATAAACTTCATCAATCCAACAACAACCGCTAACTCAATATGCGGTATGAGCCAATTCTTTCCCAATGATCTTCGACATCGGCTTGAAAAGTTAGAGATAAAATCATGAACATTCGATCGTTAATAGTTTCTTTATATTTCGTTCGACGACTTGTAAATTTAATGACAGGGAAAATTATAAAAAGAAGAAATTGTTCTCTTAAACTGAATGATGACTAACTTAAATAAGTATCTTGAACAAGAAAGACAATTCATGTGATAAAAGAAGAAATGAAAAAGAAAAGTTGAAAGTCACATCCTTTCAGTCTTGAATCTCTCGATGCATTTAGCGAATTAAAAAAATCTTTTTTCTAGTTTTTCTTTATTTTGTATTTTTTATTTTTTTAATTATTACTTCACAATAAAAAAGAAAAGATTTAAATGCGACGTCGATCATTGATCGATTAATCGACTTTCAACATCCCCTCACATTTGATTAACTCAATTTTTCTTCTTAAACCGAATTTTCTTTTTATAATTTCTGTCTTAATCCTAAGAAAAACTGAAAGTTTGTTCACACGAATGACGTTTGTTTGAAGTATATGGAGTACTTATTTGTGTAAATATTAGGAAAAGAAAAAAGAAGTTTTGTGAATAAAGAAAACAATTGCTTAAGTATCTTAACTACAATTTTATAATTAACAAAACAAGTATAACAAAAGGTTTATAGAAAAACAAAAATCTTTAATAATTAGTGAGAACTTTAGATTGTTTCTTTACAAGTACGGTGTTTACAATGGAACAATCGATAATCATCATTAAATCACACATTTCAATTATAAGTTAAAACAAGAGAATTGGAAAAATTAAAATTGTGAAGACGACTAAAGTTATTCCTTATATTTAGTGAAATTTTAGTCGTCTTCACAATCTCTTATCCCGATTTAAACATTCAAAAATTTCACCGCATCTATCTCCCAAATCTCAGATTTATTGAAAGTTAGAAAATCTTAAGGGGAAGAATTCGATAATTGTGGCAGCTTTTGAGCAATTAAATTTTTTTAAAAAAAATGGTTTAATATTTCTCCGCCATTATCGTCACAAACAATGCACTCCATCCTGTGAATGGATAACATCCCGAACCTTTTCCAGTTTCATCATTATATTGCTCCCAAATGTAACCAGTCAGTTTGTATTGCTTTATAACATTGGACACGACATTTTTACGAAGATCTTGATATATTTCTTTTGCTTGATCTGCGTAAGGTCCCTCGATTCTCATATAATGATACAAACTTTTAAGTGCAAGATAATTGATGTTTATCCAAATCTGACCACGCCAATATGGCGGATCGTGTTCAGTATTACGTTTCATATAAAGCGGTGAATTTTTCGCAAGCGATCTAAGACCATGATTTGTCCACAGTAGCTCAGGATCACGCATCTTCTTCAAGATCATTCCAAATGATGGATGTTGAGCATCAATAATTTGCAACAGAAACGGAAAAAGATTCACATAGCCAAATGTTGTATCAACAAATCTCGTTTCAGGATGAGCGAAAGAAACACGAATCATGTCTGGGATTGTTGGCTGTTCATAAGGATTCTTCTCTTTTACAGGTGGTGGTGGTGGTGGACGTTTAAGAACAACAGAATCTGTGTGCAGTCCATAATCAGCGAAAGTTTTCGTTTTCGATGAGAAATGTTGTTCATGAAGAAGTTGATTATCAGTCAAATAATTAAACGTCTCTTCATATTTTTCAGTGTTCTTCCCAAGAAGATTTCCCAATTGAGTCATCACACCAGAAGCAAAAGCAATCCAACATCTCAAATCGATATGTCGCTCGTTATCATTCGGATGAGATGCTCGTGGAAAATCATCTAAACCAGATGTTAAAGTCTTTGGATTTAATTCCGTAATGCTACTGGCATCACGTCCACGCCATCGATAAGTTCCAAGTAGCTCACCACGCTGTGTTGTATTGAACCAAGTAAACCAAGCATTGAGCCGAGGATAAAGCTTATCAAGAATTCCAATTCGTGTATTTTTCAACATTTCTTCAGGATATTTATCCAATAAATGTTTGAGCGTCAAGAAGAACGTTGGGGGATTGCCATTTGAATTGTGTTGAATGACAAATTGTTCTGGAACACGAGCAAGTGCTTCAACGCCAAGGATTTGTTCTCTGGGAATCCAACCTTCAATGTTGATTAAATCAAACCAATGACTGATGATATCAAGTTCCATATCGATGTCCCATGGTGATATTAGAAGTCCATGAAAACCTTCGTCCCAAAGGAAACCGCGAGGGAAGAAACTTCTTGATGGAACAGCAGTTAACAATGGAGCCCTCCAATATGGAACTGGCCCGTTTGTGTGGACACTTTGCACCTTCGAAGCACCATAAAAGTACCCAACACTTCCCAACATATTCGATAATGTCGCTTCAGCAATTTTTATCTCATCTTCTTCATATCCTTTCGCTTCAAGATGAAATGTTTCAGTGAACTTCTTACGGAATTCTTTTTGTTTCTTTGACAGCAATTTTGTGTAATCATCACCAACAGGTAACGTTATGAGATCATCTCCAGCAAATGCACTCATATTTGAGACACTTTGAAATGTGATATCCAAAGTAAATGGTAAATCAACATTAACTTGCAATGCTACAAAGTTTGGTTTGGTCGTTTCATCTAAAGTTTCGCCAGAAAGAATGATAAACTTCTCCTTAGTCGTTTTATCACTGGCGAGTCTAAGGTTTGTTAAAACAGTTTCACGAAGCGATTGTAAACTTGGCGAGAGAGCACTCAAAAACGATTGTCTGAGGATTTTTCCCTTAGTGTTGTGCAAATTAATTTTGAAATTTCCTAAACCTTTTGTGACACCATCGATGCCGTACATTGAGTCGTAAGTTGGTTTAATGCTGCCACTTGTTTTCTCATCAAGAGCAGCATACCAAATAAGTGACATTGGTTCTAATATGCTTGCGTTCTTAGGCTTAACATCAACACGAGCTGTCCATTCACCACCATATTTTCCTGTGTAGAATTTGATGAATGAAGTTTCGATCAAGAAGTTTCCATCGTGAATCTCTTGAAAGCCAAAATTCTTTCCATCATGTTGAGTCCAACCATATTTTTGTAAATTGTCTTCAAGCTTACACCAATGTCTGATTCCATCACCATTTGGTCGCAATTTATTTGGAAAATACCACATTAAGCCAACGACCATCGAGTGCGGATCTCTCGTTTTAAGACCAAAATAAGTATGTGGTCGATAACTTCCCCAATATTTTTCTGGATCAGGATTCTTTTGCACAATCTTTTTCTCGTCAAGTGGTGTGTTGACTCTCGTTTCCTAAAAAAGTAAAAAATATTTTCTTCTTGAGATGAAATGAATATTTTAATAAGACAAACCAAATATCCAAAATAAACGAAATAAGATACAACAGCAATACTCGCTACACCTATTGCAATGTACCATGATGATAATGACACGTATTTTCTAGTAGGACTTGTATTTTTACTGCTATTTGTATTTTTATCACTATGATTTAATGACGATGCAGACGATTGTTTAGAATTCGAGTTAGAATTGTTTTCGTCTCTATGTGGTTGTTTTCGATTTCTCACCTAATACAAAAGGGAATAACATTAAAATTGATTCATTATTAATAAAGCAATTATTCAATGAAACCTTACCATTCTAAACTTATAGATAAAACAGCCCACGTATTTAAAATTGACTTTGATTACAATATTTTTCAAATCAAAAGCCGAATTTTCTTATCTCAGAATGACGTTACACAAGTCATGTCCATATGGACAAATTCAGTGAAATTTAAAAATAAATAATCGGTTAAAAAATTACATATTCATGAATTAACATGACAAATGTCAATTATAAAAAACACACGAAAATCTCATTTCCTCATGTTTAACTATATTCCTGAAAATCACAATGAATTGTATTCTTGGTAAAGTATTGCAATCAACTTCAATAAATAAATAAATATAAAAGAAAAAACAACTCAAATTCAATTTCAATTAGGTAATTTCCAACTTATATTCAAGATGATAATTTTATAGTACAATGAAGATAATACTTTTAAAAGCAAAAATTAAAATGGCAACAATTGAATATCTAAGACTTAATAAAAGTGGCACTTAGAAAAACGTTTCTTGACTAAAGATAGATATTTTTGTAACATTATTTTTGGCGTTGCTAATGTTGAAGGATGTATTGTTTAATGAATTTTGTGAAGGCATTTTGCTTTGTATTTTCATCCAAATCATTTCAACATCGTGATTTGATGAAGTTGCTTCCAGTTGTCGCATAATCTTAAAAATGTTTTTCAGCACGTTTTGTTGCGCTTTGTGTGCATTTCCTTCGAATTGATCTTTATATATCGAAAGGAAAATATTTAAAATAAAGTTCAAAACATGCTTGTTTGTGAGATGATAATGAGATTTACGGTTGACGCTCATGTTGAATATTAACGAAGTGATCTGCTGAAGCAAGAATATCGTATATTCACTCTTCGTTTGTCTCTCATAAGCTCTGCTTACTTTATAAATGCTTTGATGTGAGATTAAAGAATACACAGCTGTAGGTTCAAGCCTAGAAAGATTGTTTAGTACTGCAATGCAAATCAACATTGTTTGTGAACTTTCAGTTGTTTCTACAATCTTCGTTACTCCTTCTATATAATCTTCAACATAATCCTTTAATTCTTTGAAATTACTTTCTGAAGATCTCTGCCAAGGTCCAGTTATATGTGCTAAGCAGCTTATCGCTTCCTTCGTTTCTTGCTTTGCATTTTCTTGTTGATCAACGATAATGTCACGAAGAATTTCAAAGCCACTGTTGATTTCAAACTGCTGAATCGTTTCTTCTGTTGAACACAGCAATGAAAGTGCTCGAAGTGATAAAGATTTCGTCCAACTACTTTGGTTTTCCATGCAAACAAGCAACAGAACTCTTACAACGCTATTCGATATCATTGCGTCATGAAGAGAAGAAAATCCATCAATGTTATTGAACTCATTCGACAACAAGTTTGCAATGTGGGTGATGTTTGATCGTAGTACGATGTCACTTTTCGCATGTTCTATATTATCAGCTATGACTGATATTAGAAGCTTAAACATAACTTGAACCGTTATCAGGAAATAACGTTTAATTAACTGCAAATCATCATTAAGTGGGAAATCTTCAAGATCATCAAGATCTATCTTTCCAGCAAGTCGCTTTAAATCAGTCACCATTTCACGTATCGAATAAAGATTCTCAGAAATTTTCTTATAATATTTCGGGCACTGTTTGTAATAAATTTTCTTTGGTTCTTGTTGCACAACAAAATCAAGAATGACGTCTGTTAAGCCTTGAATCGACGGTAGTAAAATGCTATCGTTTCCAAGATTCTCAACATCTTCAAATTCTTTTTCTAATAAATAAACTTTTGTTTGTAAATTTTTGATCATTTTGTATGCGAGTGTAGGCGTTAAAATAGCATTTTCCATTTCAATTGACTTTGATTGAAGTGTCGACATAACTTCATTCGATACTCCAAACTGAAGACCATCAATCCAACTTTGAACAGATGCAAAGTTTCCATTAAACAGATGATTTTTGTAGATGCGATTTGGTGGTAGAAGTTTTGAAAGATTTTCCAACATTAACGATCGTGATTTCATTTTAGGGGTTGAAGTACCAGCTGGAAAATCAATTGACGAATTTAACAAAGACTTTTCTTCCATCATGTCCGGATCTCCGAAGTAAACTGTTTCGTTGTTATAAGGCATCGATGTGAATGAATCATTTGATGATCCATTAAGCGATTTTAATGATGGTAAACGTGAATTCTTTGTAATGACTCGACTTCTCTTTAATTTACAAGAACGACATGATGATCGTGATGAATCGTTTGACTTTGAAGGTGAAATCATTTCAAAGTTAGATTCTTCCAGTTCATTTGGAGACGATGGTGCACTAAATGAAAGTCGTTTAACAGACGCAATTTCTTCGTAAATGGGAATCTTTGATGGTCTTCTTATCACTGTCGGGGGCGTTGCCGCTCGACTACTTGCAGAAGGTGATCTTTCATTTGCATCTGCATCGGATGTCGTTGAAATATTCTTTTTGTTTGTTCCCAATGTTGGTGATGTTTCGACATCAGAAAATCCAGAATCCTATTTATAAAATCATTGGATTAGAATTGAAAATGACAAATGTTCAAGATAATCTTACTTGACTTTTATGACTATGACTAGATGGACTCTTCCGATTTCCCCAAATCATCATGCTACGTTTGAGTTCATTGGTCTTGTTTTCAGGCGATAAAGACTCTTCATGTTGTTCTGTTATTGATTGCAATGACTTCTTCTCATTGTAATACGTTGGCAACGAATAAAAATTATCATAAATTGAATTTTGCTGTGACCCGAACCACACCTTACTTTGTGATCGCTGGAAATTCATGTCGAGTGCAGTTGAGGCTCGTAGAGAAAGAAATTTCTGCGAAATATATAATGACGTTGAAATATGAATTCCTATGTAAAGTTGTTAGTCATCATCAATGTTTTTATGTTGCGTAATAATCAGCGGATTAGGTAATTATGTTATGTTAACAACAAAAAGTTAAGATTAAAAATTACTTAGGAAATTCTCGCTTAATTCATTGGAATAAAAATGACGCATAAGCGATTATTGTTCATATGAATGGAATTTTTCAAAGTCATTAAGTTCACATCGGATCTCCTTCTCTCTTTTTCTAAGGTAAAGCCGCGTGTTTACGTTTTAAGTATCTGAATATACGACGCTTGATTCATTAAGTTCTTCTTAGAAAATGGTGAAACGATTGTTGAAATGTTTAAAGCGTGTGAAAGTTTTTTAAACTACCTGTTTTGCATTCTATCACATTTCGATAAGCTTTATGGATTTGTAAGTTAATATAGAAATTTTTAGAATACCTCAATGAATGAGGATGTTGATGCAATTGCCAACACATATCTTTTTGTCAACTTAAATACAATAAAATGTCTTTTTAAAGAAGAGAAACGCGGTGTCTTGCTCATTCATTAAAATCTTCTTTTTGTCTGACCACTAACCACAACAAAACTTGTGTGTGAGAAAACAACTCACGTTTTTGCTTACCGCTTCTTGTTATTGTCTAAATTCCTTCTCGTATATGCAAAAATCAAAATCCAATTTTTTTTAGTGTAGAGTGATAAAACTTTCGTATATATGATGAATAATCAGTTATTTATTCTGTCTACACAATTTATTTTGCTTTTTATATTTTTTGAAACACCTTTATTTGCTGAATTGAAATATATTCTATACTCGCAAAAATATTTAACAAGAATATTTGTCACCACTCATATTTACAATGCTAATCGTTCAACGATTCAAATAATACTGAAGTCGACTTCAATGTTTCTTTCACTTCAAATGTTTGATGTTTCAATGTTTAAGCACATTCAATCTTCGAACAAATTGAATGTATTACAATGTTTCACTAATGAAACAGTAATAGTTTAGTCTAAAACATCAACAAATTAATTAGAATTAAAGTCAGAAATAGTCCAACAGAAATAATTGCAGCATACTTTACTTATTCTGCATATTGTAACGAGTACAAAAGTTGAAAGATATAACTATGAAACCTGTTATCACTCACATTAATTAGATGTTGCATAATTCATATCTGACATCAAGCAATTCTTTACTGTTAGTAGCAGCGTCTTGCATGACATTTCATCGAATATTTTTATCACCATTGTATTGCGACAACGATTATTTTGTAAAAACAATTGTAGGTCATGATCGTCATATCATTAATAGTTACATGCTTTGAGAACTTCGATAATGAAATGTTAAGATTTCAAAACATATGAATTATGTTCTGAAGGGTGTATGAAAATTTTGTAAGTCGAACACGAAATCTGTGTTCTTGAAATGTTTTCAATTTAATTTTGAAGAAAATTTCAAGCTAACTTATTTAAGTAGTTATGATTTTTCTAACGGCTTTCGTTTTCCATCCAATCCCCTCTTCATTGTGTTGAGTTTTCATAATAAAGTATATGGCAGATGCGCTTCGTGTAAATTTTTATTAGGGTGAACTATTGCTTACATCGATAATCAAAACCCCTATGCATGATGGTTCGTTCTGCCGTGTATTTGTTTCAGATGGTTCTCTTCATGTGTTTTCAACTTTGAGTGTTTAAGAATTTTTCTTAATGTTTTTTCAATCTTCATGAGATCGTAGAATTTTTATGACAAAATTATAAGAACTTGTCATAAATTGATATGCCACACATTTTAATCGAGAAAAACGAACCGAGAATACGGGCGAAAGTCATTTCCGTTAAACTTCCTTCAATTCATATTAATGCATTCATAAAACACGTTTGAAGAAGATCACAATATTCAGCCCCTACACACAGTGATGAATGAAATGGAAAAGTGAATTTTAGCCACGCGTCGTCGTCCTTCAACATTTCTATTTCATATGAAAAGAATTGTATCAGACAGATGTTCTTAAGCGGTATTCTGTTATGTTTTGGTTGGTTGATATGGTAAATGGAAAACATTGTTAAATTCTTTATTTTCCATTTATTAATGTTTGCGTCTTGATATGTAAAAATTGATAATCATGGATTATCGATAAAAAATATTAAGTCATTTAAATAAAAGCAATTCATTGCAATGATACATCTAACGGTTACATTTTTAATAAGAAATTCATATGACTCATTACTTTTTATTTTCTTAATACTTACGTCTACTTAAGACTTGAAATATTTAAATTAGAAAACATATTTGAAAAATTAGAATGGATTTAAAGAATATTGAATAATTAATATCAATTTTTAATGAGTATTTACATAAGATATTTTTTACACTTTTAAGTCTTCTTTTATGTTCATAAATTCTTCTTACTTTAAAAATAAAACCTTTTTATAATTCTCAACTACCGATAGCAAAACAATCTGAATAAATTGAACATAAAAATTTAACGTCTGAAAATTCAAATCAAACAGTTTATAAAACTCCGCCGTCGGCTTTGATGCTAAAAATATTGTTCGTGCTAAAAAAGTCGACTAAATTATTTCTAAAAGTTATTAAATTTCATAATTTGCAATGGTTCGAGAAGCTTTAAAATAACTTAAAAACTTTACTTAATACTTATACATTGAGTTGCATATGAAAATGACGTGAAAATGTTTGTATTAAGAAGGAATAAAGGCATGAAATTTCAATGTAGACTATAAGCTATGAGTGTACATGTATTGTGTATTGAAAAAGTGCTAAATTTGTGTTTATTTACAAAGTGATTCGCGGACATTTAGAAAATAATATGTCTTTTTACATTAACTTAAATTCTCGAGAATAATTGAAAATAGATGCTGAAAATGAATGAAGAGAAGAAGAAAATATTTTTCTTTGGACAGCCAGGATGTTTGAAGCATAGTCCAATAAAAACAACCGCAAGTGAAAATCACAATAATCATAACAAAACTGATAAAGATTCTGATGAAGTCAGTCTGGAAATAAAAAGCGAAGAGGAAAATTTTAAAGAAGAACGTGAAAAAGTTGATGAGAATAATCCAGAAGAAGAAGATGTCGACAGTTTATTGAAAAAAATATCCGAAGTCTTAGAAGAAAATTCTGATAAGAAAGAAGAAAATGATTTGCAACAAGAAGCAAACGCACAACCCTTGGCGCTACCAGGTTGATCTTATTTTATTTTTTAACATTCAAAACTTTAATTAATTTTTTATTTCTTATTTTAGAAAATGATTCAATTGACCAAACAGCTACAACTTCAACAAGCAATGATAAAAATTCATCATCAGTTACAATTGTGGAACAAAATTGTGTAAATATTTCTGAACAATGTGATGATTTACAATCGAATAAGGAACAAATTGATCAGAAAAATTCTGATAATGAAGAAAAAATTGATATTAATAGTTCAGAAGTGAGTGAGGAAAAACAAATTAATAAAACTGATTCAGATAAAAAAGATGTAATTAGTGAAGTTGTGAGTAATTTAGAAGATCAAGAAAAAATATCGAATGAAATCAAGTCGAATCACGTAAATGATGATCATCACGAAGAAAGTTCAAAATCTATCCTTTTAAAGTCCATTGTTCCATATGATGACGATTCATCATCGTCTTATCAATCTCAAGTTGAGTTAGATAAAGAAAAATTACTTGTCATAACTCAAGATGATGATGAGTTAAACAAAAGTGCCTCACAATCGATCAGTGAAACAAAGACATCAAATTCATTAACTGCTGGTGAACATCTTGAACCTCCATTAACTATTGATGAAAAACAGGTTGAAATTGTAGAAAGTTTAGCGAATAAAACCGAGGAATTAGCATTGGATTCAAATACAAATGTCCATGAAGAGTCTGCAAATCTACAAACAGAAATTCAAGTTCAAAATTTTTCAAATCTAGAAGAATCTCATGAAAATTTGGTTGCTAAATTAAGTGAAACAAATGCAATGGAAATAGAGACTGATGTTGAAAGAGATGAAGCAGCTGAAATATCTTCTGATGAAACAAAAACAACAGAAGAAGAAAATGACATGAACGTAGATGAAAAGTTAGACAATGAGCCGCTCAAAGTTGATGATGAACTTGACAGATCTGACATCGCTGTTAACGAAGACATTAAACATTCATCAACTGAGTTACATGTCGAGTCAATCGTGGAAGAGAATAAAATTCAAGTGACTCAACAGGTTGATATGGAAATTGAGGAAAGTGCATCAGTTATGGTGAATTTAGAAACTAAAATGATTACCGAAAATAACCAAAGTTTTGTTAATGAAGAATCACATTCAGATCTTGTGAGTGCTAATGTTTGTCATGAAACTTCAGAAGAGAAGGATAACATTGATGAAAAAAGTGAATCGCCAATTGAAGAGACAGTTGAGGATTTTTCAACGATAGAACAGAACGTTATGAATGTTTGTGAAGATAAAGAAGAAACTTCTGAAGTCATTAGCGAAACATCTCATTTGATAGAAGAGTCAACAAATCAAATCTCTGTTGACGAAGAAGTTACAATTGAGGGCAAAAATGTTGAAGAGCAATCTGAAGATATTCCTAAAAGTGAAATCACATTGGAAGAAGCTTCGAAGCCTACAGAAGAAGAAGAAGAAGAAAAAACAATTCAAGTCAATTATCAATTACCTCTCGAAATTGTCAAAGACGAAACTTCAGAACATATCGTTGATCAACCTAAAGCATCGTTTATCGAAGGAAATATTTCAAATCAAACCGAAAATGAGCTGGAAAGTGACGATAATCAAAATGTGGTTGTTGACAAAGATCTTCAAAGCGAAATCAACAAAGAAAACAAGCCCGAAGAATTGTCTGAGTCAAAGTCAGAAGAAATTGTTAATTCAGTTGAATCAAATCACGATCTTGTCAACAAATGTGCGTCCGAATCGACAATAATCGATGAAAAAGATTCAAAACATGAAATTGTAGAAAATTTCGATAATTGCAATGAGAAAATCGAGGATGAAATTCCTTCTGAAGAATTAACACAGAATTCAGCTGATGATTTGGCAACAAAGGAAGAATGTCTAGAAAGTGAAATTATTGCAATAAATCTTGAATCAAGAACAGAATTACCAAGTGAGAATCCTTCATCGAAAGAAGAAATCGAACCAGTGAATAATGTGTTACAAAAAGAAACTTCTCCAATTGAAGAAGATCAACCAATGGAAGTGACAGAAGAAATCGTTGACGTTCCAAGGGAAATAGAACAAAGTGAGACAGAAAACTCTGAGGTTGATGAAAGACTTTCATCAAAAGATGATTTAGACCAATTTTCCGATGAAGTTCCTGAAGAGTGTAATGACAACGACGATGATGATGAAGATGAAGATAAGGAAGAAGTTATTGAGCATGAGAAAGCTGAAGAAGAGTCTCAAGAAATGTCACCAGACAAAGCAGAAGTTGAAATTGTTGAGAATGAAACAAAGGTTGAATCTGAAGAAAAGGAAAGTCTACCTTTGACAGATCTTTTAGTTTCTAATAAAGAAGATGAAGAAATGGAACCAACTGAGATTAAAGAAGTCGTCAATGACACAATTGCAATCGAAAATCAAATTGTTGAACCTTCGTTACCTCCATCAACAATTGTTGATGATCAAATGTCAATTCCTGAACAACCTTCTGAGTCTCAACCGCCTATCGAAGTAAAATCCAACGAAATTGTTGAAGAAACCGACAATAAAATTGTTCAAGAAGAAAATTTCGTACAAAAATCTTCAGAAAAATGTGAAGAAGTAAAAATTCATGAAAATGATTCCGTTGATGATGTTGTGAAAGATGAAGCAGAAAAAGAACAATTCACAAAACCTCCAATTACACGAAAAAGAAAAATATCAGAACGTAAAAGCATATCCGAGAGTGACAGTGACGGTAACGTTCCAATTGATTCAGTGAGTCATGGCAACAGTTCAGATGATGAAGAAGTTGTGTTGAAAAAGAAACCAAGAATGCGTGGTCGTGTTGCAGCATCGCGTCGTGTTCAAGCATCAAGAAAGGCAGCTAATAAAACTGAAACTCCATCAACTGCAATTGATGATGAGAAAGAAGTCAAAGTTGAAGATGAAAATGAAATAAAACCCGAAGACAAGAAATTAGAAACACTTCAAAACTTGCAATTTGACTACGATGGAAATGAAGATGTTGCAGCTAACGTTGCAGCAATAAAAACATTAATTTGTAAAGAACCGAAGAAAGATTCTGCAAGTGAGAAGTCTGATGATGAAGCTGTGGAGAGCAAACCTGGAAACAGACGCGGTCGTAAAGGTCGAAGGGGACGATTCAGTAAGAGAAACGATGCGGAGTCTTCATCTGATGAAGATTCGATTGGAAAATCTAAGAAAGTTGATAATAAAAGAAGTAAAACGAACGAAGATCAACTGTCAAGTGGAAGTAATAAAAAGAAACGTGAATCAGGTTTGTTAAAGTACATTGACACATCTTTAGTCATTGATACAACGGAAAATGAAGCACCAGTCAGACAATCACGACGAATTGCACAACAAAAAATCCGCGAAGAAACTGAACGTCGACAAATGGAAGAGAAAATGCTTAAACAGATGAAATTGGATGCTGAGAAGAAGAAAAAGAACGGAAATGATGTAACGGAGGAAGAATATTGTGACGAAGACGATGAGAAGAAAGAAAGCAGCAACGACGATGAATCATTCAAAGGTACACGACGTAAGAAGAAATCAAAGATTAAACCAGCTGATAAGCAATGGCAAACTTCGTCATCACACTCCGAACACAGTGAAAGTGAAGATTATATGGAACATATTCCATCTGATCCCGGAAGTCCACTCTTTAAATCTGATCATGAATTCTCATCTGATGTTGATGATACGACACAAACACCCCAACCAGTAAAACGTGCTCGCACAGCGAAGAAACTCGAAGCTGTTTCGTCATCAGATGAAGATGAAGACATAAATCCCAACCATGCATGTCAAGTCTGTCACAAGACTGATAGTCCCGAATGGATTTTGCTTTGTGATGAATGTGATTGTGGTTACCACTGGTAAATAAATAAAATTTCACTTAATTAAATATTTCAAATTTCTTTCTTCTTTCCTTTCAAAGCTCATGCCTAAAACCCATAATATTCCTTATTCCATCTGGCAATTGGTATTGCCCACTATGCTGTCATAAGAAGCTTATCAGTGACCTTTCTAATCAATTGTCACAACTTGATACATTAATTTGTAACATTGAGACAGCCGAAGTGCGTAAACAACGACAGAAGCTTGCTGAAATTTCAGAGCAAAATATTCTCCAAGAGCGTAGAAAGAATCGAATTGAGAATGCGAGTAAAAGTCGTGAACGAGATCAAGAATCGTCAGCAGAAAGTAATTCTTCATCAGAATCAGAGAATTCATCAGACAATGCGCCATTAAAAGATTATTTCTATAAATTGAGGAAACGAAATCAAACAGCGGCGCCTTCTTATCGGTTCAATGAATACGATGACCTTATAAACTCAGCAATAAGAGATGAGATGGATGAGGTGAAAGGAGCTGGCAATTTAGGACGTGGTAAAGACATTTCAACTATCATCGAAGCTGACAAAGATGAGAAAAAGCAAGAAGATGGCGGAGATGAAGAGAAAAACGACGCTGAGACGATAGTGAAGAATATTAACGATGATGGTGAGTCAAGTGGATCTGATGTTGTAAGAACGAAAAATATCAACAGACGAAAGAAGAAAAATCGAAAACTTAATAACTTAGACATCAGTTCGGATGAAGAAGAGCATGTTTCAGATGAAGACTTTAAAGGAACATCGTCGAGTGACAGTGAGATTGATGAAGAAGATTTATCGATGTCAAGTGTCAGCGAAAGTTCATTGGATTTGCCTTCGAAGAGAAGCAAAGGTGGAACCACAAGAAGATTGAGGAATCGTGAGAAGCGTTTAGATAAAAGGTTCATTAATGACAATGACAGTGACAGTGATGATGAGCCGCTTATCAAAACTAAAAGAATAAAAAAGAAGAAAATTGATTCCGATGAAGAAGATTTCGATATCAACGATGATGATGACGACGAAGCTTCACTTGCAGAAGAAATTGATTCTGAAGATTTATGCGATGATACTGAAACTGATTCGAGTTCAGAAAGTGCTTGGCCGAAGCGAAAAAAGAAACGACAAGCGTCGTATGATGTTAAGCCAAGAAAAGGTCCTAAAAAGAAAGACGACAACGAAGACAAAGCTTTCCGTGCTGGCATTTCAAAGAAGAAAATCTTAAAGAAATCTGAAAATGAGAGTGAAGCAAGCTTAAGTGACGCGGAAAAAGGAAAACGAAAGACTCGTGGAAAGAAACTTTTGTATTTGATTGAAGATGATTTGGATTCGGATGAATCTGATGGAATCAAACCAGGAGTGAAACGACCCGAAACGCCACCCGAAGAACGAGAAATGTTCTTTAAGAAACAAGAGGAAATTAAAAGAATGTTGGCAGCTAAAGATACTGAAGCAGCTAAAAAACTTGCAGCACCAACAATTGAACCATTTAACGTTGTTGGATTAGAAATGCCAAAGTCACCATCACCGATGCCTTTCTCAAATGAACCAGCATCACTTTCAACAATCCCGAAGAATGTCATCGAAAGTGCAAAAGCTTTGGACACAGATTATAATCGAATTAAACCGATTTTCGGTGGACATCGTCGAGCAGCTGATGGAACAATTCAATCAAATGATATGAATGAAGAGGAATTGGCAAAGATGATGGAGGAAGAAGATTTCGCTCAGCATCAACTTAAATTAGCTGGTGAAGCGATTGCACGATCGAAGAAGCTTCTTGAACTTGAAGCGAAAGAAGAAGAGTTTGCAGCTTACAGTAAAGTGCCGAGAGAGAAAGAATGGATTCCACCAGCACAGCAACTAACACCTGAAGCGAAGAAACGCGTTCGTAAACCGAAAAGTGCTGAGAAATCAGGAGATGAGACAATGAATTATACGAAAGCTTTAACAGTGCCTCAAACCGTGCCACCATCATCGAATTTACCATCTTCTCCTATGCCACCATTAGTTAGCTCAAACCTCGCGCAAGCTTTACAAAACCCCCATCATCCACCACCTCCGATGCTAGCAAATCTTATGCAACGTCAGCAACAACAACCGCAGCATCCACAACAGCCACAACAATTCATATCAACACAGCCGAGTGATCGACCTTCAGTGTTGAGTAGTTTCATGACAAGACCCGAAACTATGCACTTGCAACATTTGAAGATTCATCAACCCTTGCCTCCTGAAGCTTTCAATCCTAAGAATCAGCAACCGTTACCGACACCACAACAATCACCATTCGATGATGATGAGAAGAAGAAAGGACGAAGAAAGAAATTTACGCCTTTGAGAACTGACGGATCTGAAGGAAATATTACAAAGTTGGCGAAACTAGATCCTCCATCTGTTATTCAATCAACTCACATTATTTCACCAGATCGTGTTGCTGTTGAAGACAAAAGTAAAAGTAAGTTGAATACTAAAAAAATCTTTTTTTATTATCTAAAACGAAACTTTTTCCAGTTCCTCGATCTGAACATCATAAATTATCAGTCGCAGCTCCACCACAGATATTTAATCCCGCAACAAATCCAACACCATCAGTTATTACGAGGCTTTTACAACCACAACAACGACCAGGCCCAACGTCAGGCCCCTACGGACAAAGTAAATTTATTTAAGCAATGCAAATTTCTTCATTTATTGCAGCAATAATTTATTTTAAAGCTTTTTCAGAAGTTTCACAAGCAAATGCAGAAAGTTCTTCTACTATGAGAATTTACGCAGCACAAGAAGACGTCAAAGGTGGACCTCCAACGAAGGTCAGAACCTCAATGCAACCAGCGCCATCTATGCCTCAAAGTTCCTTCGGTGAACATCCTTTTGTGCCAAGAAATATTCATACGCTGTACAGGTTTGTGGATACAGCAAATTAATAATTTTTAATTGTTATTAACGAAGGACATAATTTATTTTTTTAGAGGACCACCGACTCCTTATGGGATTCCTCCTCATGCACGACTTCCACCTTATCCGTTTCATCACTTACATCCAAATTTGAGACCTGGAGAATATTGTAAGTTACTTTTCCTATTCATCGATACTCTTGAATGAAGTAATAAACATTTAATTACTTATCACAGCAGCACCCTACAACATCCCGCCTCAATTTAGTTATTACGCTCCACCAGCTCACAGTCGTCAACCTCCACAAGCTTCCGCAATCCCACTGAACCATGGCGCATCTCAAAATGTTGCTGGACCCGAAGATATCTCAAATAGTATTCGAAATGCAAATAACTCAGAAGAACCTAGTGAAACTAGTGAATTTGGAGGATTAGTAAGTTATTTTAGTTCTCAACAGGAATTAGATTAAGTTGAATTTTAAATAAAAGCAAATAACGATTACTAGAAATCATGTAAATTTAATAAAAGAACGACATTTAGAGCACCGTTTGCAAGAATGATTATGTTTCTTTGTAAGCAACACTTATTTATGTATCACAGAAATGTATTTTAAGATTAAATATATTAACAACATCTACAAGTTAATTCAAAAAAATGACAACATTTGTGTTTTTTATGTGTTTTCATTTTTAATTTGTATACAGTTTGAAGATGTGGGTGAATATTCACTCTGCCTAGAGTGATCATACCGTTTACTATTTTTAAAAGAAGGAATTATTGAAAATTACTAAATGTTTATTGGTACAATTCAGTATTGCAACCGTCTTTCTTTTTAAGAATTATCGTCTTTAAATATGTGTTAATTTTAATTTGAAATGTGCATGAAGGATACAATTATTTTGACAACGAAAGTATTTAAAGGTCAGATATGTAGATTCACATTCAATTTCAGAAAATTTCTGTTAAAATTAAAAGTTTATTGAAAAAATCATTCTTTGTTTTCATGGAATGTCACACATATCTGTAGAAAAATTATCTTCAAATATATTTCTATTTATGACAAAAGAAATAATGATTTAATGCAAGTTGAACTATTAAGTTACCAATTATAGCTACAAGTCGTTGAAAATTCATGATTTGAAAACATTTCAAGCTCGTAATAAAAATTTTCTTTAAAATAAGTTCAATCATCACTGACATTGTATTCATCGTTCAGCCATCTTGGATAACATATTTTTAAGACGAACTTCTTTGTTTAGAAATGCTTAAATTTTAACTGAATTAAGTTAGATTTACTGTGCAAACAAAATTACTTTCGTTAGAAACAGTTTAATCTTATCAAAAGTGAACTAATATAGTCCGTAGACGGTCATTCTTGCTGAAATTAAGGTCTCATAAATTGTGAAATATAACTGGAACAATTATTGCAAAATCGAAAAAGCTACTTGTTTATGTGATTCTTTCCATTGCTTTAAATTTCATTTAATCATAAATTTGTGATATTCCTCGGATTCTGTACCTTATTGGTGATTTATAAGATAACAGAAGAGAATTACTATAATAAATATCACACCATTTGGAAGTTTGAAACTGACAGAATAGAAAGTACAAAAAAAGAAAACAAAAACAATAAAAAAAAGTTTCATCTTAAAAAGTTCATCAATTAACAAAAGAGAAAAAAATAAGTTCACAAAAGGGAGAGAAAAAAACAAGCGACGCCATGAAAATTGAAGTAAATTCTGCAGCCGATTTTGTGATGAATTTACTGCGGGTTAGGCAGCAGGTGAACTCATTGAGCGAAACTCAATTACATTCATTTCGAGGATCTCTCATTATCGTACTTCTTGAGAAATACAATAATCATTGGTACGAAAATAATCCACGAAAAGGTAAGTTTAAAAAAACCTTCCTTCATTTCCATTTCCCCACTTTTCTCAATAAGTAGCAAAAGAGTGACGTAAATCATCTGATGCTTGTTTTTCTACGAAATATGAAATGAAAAAAAGAAAGAAAAAAAAAAACTCTATACACATATTTTTTGATGCTTAACAACAATTTTCTCCCCTTCTCCTTCTATTTCTTGTGACACTCAAAGGAAGCGCATTTAGATGTATTCGAATCAATGGTGAGACGTCCGAGCCCGTAATAGAAAAGGCGGCATCCAATTGCGGCCTTTCTGCTTTCACCATCCGCCGTCTGTTGCCAGCTGAACTAACGCTCTGGATCGATCCACATACCGTCTGCTATCGCATCGGGGAGAATGGCTCGATTTCTGTGTTATATGATGGAAGTCGCTCAAGCCCATCCGATCTCGAGTCATCAGGAAGCGAAAACTGTTGTGAAATTTCGCCTGAAATCAACAAATTGGTGTTAGATTTTTACGAGAAATCCAACAATTCAATCATAACGAAACCAAAGCGTTACACTAAATTACGCCAGAACATCAACAACAGTCCACCAAGATACTTTCAATCTTTCTACCAATCGCCATCAAACAATCATTATTACCAAAACAAAGCATTCTAAACGAAAGAGAAAAAAAGAGAACCTGAGAGGACTACATGAACACAACACAAGTTTAAAAATGAACATTTTAATGACGAATAATGGCTACCTAGAAAATTAGTGATAAGAGATTTTTTTTATTACACACAAAAAAAGTGAAAGAGAATTAAACAACAACAAAGTTTAAGGAATCAGATTTATTTATTAATTGCAGCTGCTGCTGCTCGTCATCATTCTACAAGATAATAATAATAAGACGAGGAAAGAGAATTGCAAACTATTTTGCATTCTTTTTTTTAAACATTAAATCAAATTGCCATTCACAAGCGCAGAAGTTTTGTTTTTTTTAGTTTGACTTTAATTTTGTTTCGTTTCGGTTTGATTGAGAACAACTGCGAAGTTGAATGAGTGAAAGAGATGAATAGCGGGAGAGATAGAGAAAGGAATATGAAAACAGAATAACGTGACGTTCGGCACATATAGCTTGTTTACACATGCTTATGTGTACTTCAAAAACAGCCAACGAACGTCATCGATCGTATGAACAACCGTGGAATGTTTTAAGTTCAATAGATTGAAAGTCTGTAGAGTTTAGTTAGTTTTTAAGGAGAAGAAAAAAAACACATGAAAAGAAATATTGAAATGTACATCGTCGTGAAAACTTCTTTTGTTTTTTTGTCTTTCTCAATTTGTTCCTTGCTGACATGAAATTAAAAAAGAATATTTAATATTGGAAGCTTTACAACATCACTTATAATTGTAAAAACATAAAATGATTGAAAGCGAAGTTAAGAGAGTAGAGCAAAAAATCTTTCATTTAACTACCTGAAAGTTGAAATTCGTTCGGGATTAAAGAAAGAAGATTGTAAAACTTTGACTAACATAACCGGTCTTTGGGAAGAATAATAAGTAAGCAAATAACGAAAATCCTTTCTTACTTATTAGAGTAAAGACTCAAAGTGTTTATGTATCAACGATGGTTAAAAAGTTATTGGAAATGTGCAAAGAGTAAATAAATCAAGCTTATGAATGTAAATGTATGTAAAAAGTAATATAACTGTTATTGATATGTAACCACCCGAATCTTTACTCTACCTTAATTTTATTCTAAGTAACTATAGCTTCTCAAAGTCGATCAAAGATTTCTAAAGTTTTCATGGCATTAAACACTATATTTGCAATACTGATCTACTTTAATAATAACAACAACAAGAAAAACATACAGTAACAAGTAAGTTCATTTATAAGTACTCGTGAGAAGCATAATTCTATTCGTTTTCTTTTTGGATGAGTCCTGTGATAGCATAAGTTTTTATGATTGTATGTATATGTAATGTAATCAAACAACAAGCACTTTCAACGATGTACATTGTAATATTATGAAGAAGTTAAGAAAGAACTTAGTGTTGGTAGATTTGTCGAGTTTTATTAAGAAAAATCATAATTAAAAAAATTAAAGAAAATATGTGAAATCGTGATAGAAAAATTCGTACAAAAATCTGTAAGACTTTTTATAACATTGATAACAAGAACTGATAATTTAATGTTTTTATTCTCAATATTTTAAGAAAAAAACAAAAAGTAAAAATATGGAAGCTTTACACAACACAAGAGTTACAATATTCATAAAGAAAAAATGACATCCTTATTATTATGATAAGTAAAGAACAAATCTACTGGCGAAAGAGATGTGACGATATTTTTCACACTTTTCGCTCAACTGTGAGTTTTACGATTATCTTTAATTTAAGATGCTTTTAATTCACATTCGACCGAAAAGCGATCAAGACAACGAGAAATGAACAGCTCGAGAATCGTTAATAATAAAAATGATTATTTTCTATGGAAGTTAAGACCTTCTGTTAACATAATTATTCAAATTTTGTGAAAGGGTGCATAAGGCGGGTCATAATTTCACTATCTTATGCCTTCTTAAAAGAAACTTGAGCTTGATCATTTCTCGATATAACTAAAGTCTAAACTTTCAATTTAAGCGAATTTCATTGTCGTGAGTTTGATGAAATGAAGTCATCTAAAGTTATCAGTATGCAGCAGCAGTTAATTTTATAATTCTTCTTAATTTTGTCAACAACAGAAACATCTTTCCTAGCAAGACTTACTTGCTAAATATTTTTTTTAAATTTACTTTGAGATTCTGAGCAATAGATAACATTCCTATCTTGACAATAATTGTCACATTGTCTGTTGGAGAAGAATCTTGAGTTTTATACTTTTTCTATGATGACTTTCAATTTTATAAGAAAAACATAAAAACAACAGAATTTGTCTAATAAAAATGATGAATAAGATTAAAAAATTAATTAAATGTATTTGTTATTTTAACTTCAATGCCTGAAAAAGTTTGAATATAGAGTAAGAAATTATTGAAACGTATAAGATAACATGAGAGTGAGACTTCTGAAGGTAATTTAATGAGTGTTCAAACATAAGTATTTCTGTCAACAAACATCAACAAACTTTTCCGCTTAGATATTTGCGTGATAACTTTTGGGAGGAAACGTACCAAGATTTCTCTTATCAGTTTATACAACGGAAGCTAACGTTGCTCCAAATACATTTTTCATTATGCTTTACACGTGCCTTGAGCATAATTAAAGATGATGAGTCTTCACGGTGAAGGTTTCTCATTAAATTGTGTCTAACGACTTTTTCCAATGAAGTTTCTGCTCATTTTAACAAGCAAATTAAAAACTTTTTAATTTATCCGTAAGACTTCACGAAAAAGATCTATTGACACATGTAGCGCCATCTATTTGTGATTTTGAGCATAATTTTATGTTTAAATTTCAAAGAGCCGTTACTCAATCAAACTGCTGGAAAATCTGAAACAAAAATTGATAAATAAACATCGCAAGATTTATAACTTAACCCAGAGCATGTATTTGATTTAATTACAACTTCACTTTTCATAAAACTATAGACTTGATCAATACATACACATTATTATTCTTCTTTTTCCTTTCAAAAACTTTTAATTAAACTTTTATCATCCGTCTACGGAAACAAACTAAACAATTAAAAATTCATCAATATTTTACGACTGGTATTGTGATTAAACGTAATACATAAGCAATTAGGTATGTAAGCAAATCCTTAATTTATTTAATCACGTTAACATCTATTCTAATAATGGAATCTCACGACACGTTTTCATAAAATTTACTTTCTAAAATTTTTGTTCTGTTTTTGTTTTTTTTTTAATTATTGCTCCAGAATTGATAAGAACTTCCTGCTTTAAATATTCTTATAAATTTAAACATTTCTTTTTATTAATTCTTTAACAAATTGAAATTGAATTTCTTTTTGGTATCAAATAATTATTTCTTCCTTTTCATTCTCATTTTTGTTCTCATAAAATAATAAATATGATGTTGATCAAAGCTTCTTTCATTTTTTTATATAATTACGTCCTTTCTGTTGTATTCATTTATCTTTTAACAAATCAACTTAGGTAGCAATTACTAATATTTTGAAGAATTTAAATAATCTCATCGACCGCGAATTTTTCTGGAATGAAATTTCATTTTTCTTTCTCTTTAAACTGGTGACTTATGCAATGTGACTAAGAAATTTTCTAAAAAATCTTTTAGTAAATTTTATGGACACGAATAGGTATGAAGAAAATGTTAATTTCATAAAAACGATATTTTGTAGTAAAAGTTTAAATTCTTTTTACTTTCAACAACCGAATAAACTTTCATCACAAATCATCTTCTGGAATGCAATTTCAATCAACCTTTTCGACTGACTCATCATGAAGATAAATTATTGTTCGTTGATTAATATTTAATTAATTTGAATTCACATTCTGGCATCAATTACAAATCGTTGTCACATGAAAGCTCACATAAAATTTGTGTTTTTTGTGAATTATAACAAACAAATGTTTTGAAGCTTAAGTCAAGTGAATATTGTTCTGTTGAAAGCTACGAAAAATGGTGAAATTTCAGTATTCTCAAAATAGATTATCTTATATTTGAAGTTACACCATTTTCTGTTCCTCTACTTCTAATTAATTCATTTGATGCTTAACGGACACAGCTGCTAATAAACTTCATGAAATTTTATAGCGATTTTTTCTTTATGATGAATGTTCTTGTTTTATGTGCACACGACGACAATAATTACAAGGATGATAGCTTTCATTAAAATGTCAAAGCTTTTAAGCTCCCACAAATCCATAAACTTCCAACACTCGAATCTCAAAGTCTCCAGATGCACAAAGAGGTGGATTGTTAAATGTTTTACATGCATCTGACTTTCCAAATCTAACATTTTCATCCATCCAAATGGCTTGACCGTCACTGTGAAAATATTCAAGTTGTAGAAAAGGAGAATTGAGTTAAATATTTATAGCACTCACCCTCCACCAATTGTTATCATTNTAATTAAGAAAGGTGAAGTCAACAAAATTGTGAGCGAATTAAATAACATCTCAAAAAGCATTAAGTTCACATTTGAAACATCTAAAGAAAATAAGATTCCTTTCTTAGATCTACTTCTAATAGTTAAAGATAAAAAAATTGAGTTTGACATATACAGAAAACCACAATTCGTCCAACGATTCATTCCGAACCACTCTTGTCACCCTTTCATACATAAAATGGCGGCGTTTCAAACAATGACTTACAGATTATTCAACACACCATTGACTGATGAAAGATTTAAGAAAGAAGAAAAGTTTATTGTGGAAACAGCAATCATTAATGGATACGATGAAGAAATGATTCAAGGATTGTTCAAAAAACATAGATGGAAGAGGAAAATTGAAGAAACAACAACACTTCAACCTCAGAAAAAAGAAAAGAAGACAATTACGATGAAGAATGGGAAAAAACGAAATATATTTGTTGAGCTCCCTTTTTATAATCCTTTATCATACAAAATTGATAAAGTTTTAAAGAAACACAACATAAATTGTTATTATACGAGTCGAGGAAATTTAAAGGACTTATTAGGAAGCTCGAAAGATAAAATTCCAATGGAAGAAAAATCAGGAATTTATGAACTGCTTTGTAAGAACTGCCCAAAAAAATATATCGGTCAAACAAGTAGAAGGTTTGATGAAAGATATAAAGAACATAGAAGGGCTTTTAGATATCAAGATGAAAAAAGTTCAGCAATGGCAGCACATTGCATCGACGAGGAACATTATATGGGAGAAGGAAGGATAATCGAGGAGGTGAGAGACAACAATAAACTTGACGCTTGGGAAAGTCTCTATATGGACAACGACAAGAACCTTGTCAACATTAACGAACAAATCATCTCTTCGAATCTTTTCAAATTTGCATCTCTCGATTGATGACGTCAGAAGTGATTTTATCAGTATGAATCGAAATCTTCTGAAGATGACAGCTTTGCTGTCGAAATTCGCGAATTAAGGTATTTTAATATGTTAGTAAAAAGTATAAGAGTGTTTTCGTGTTTATATTCGTATAATTAGTGTTCAACTTTTTACGGTTTTCGTCCAAAACATTAAATAGATTATCTTATATTTGAAGTTACACCATTTTCTGTTCCTCTACTTCTAATTAATTCATTTGATGCTTAACGGACACAGCTGCTAATAAACTTCATGAAATTTTATAGCGATTTTTTCTTTATGATGAATGTTCTTGTTTTATGTGCACACGACGACAATAATTACAAGGATGATAGCTTTCATTAAAATGTCAAATAAAGAATGTCAAAGCTTTTAAGCTCCCACAAATCCATAAACTTCCAACACTCGAATCTCAAAGTCTCCAGATGCACAAAGAGGTGGATTGTTAAATGTTTTACATGCATCTGACTTTCCAAATCTAACATTTTCATCCATCCAAATGGCTTGACCGTCACTGTGAAAATATTCAAGTTGTAGAAAAGGAGAATTGAGTTAAATATTTATAGCACTCACCCTCCACCAATTGTTATCATTTTATTGTCAGCTGCCATAAACAATTCTGAAGCATGTGCCACATTCTTGTCACTGTCAATACCAACCCACGGATATTTAGCACGTTCAGGATACAGTGAGAAAAGGAATGTCTCGCCAGTACCAAAATACGCTTGTCTTTGGCCTCGATCGTCTTTAAGGTTTCGCTCGCACCATCTTGATGAACAGTATGCGCCAAATACCTTTAATCAAAAAAGATTTTTATTAAAATTCTAACCACATTATTTATTCACATTATTCACCTCATTATTGCACGTTTTAATCATTAAAAGCGTCGGTTCATGCTGTTCAACTCGAATAAAGAATGTCGTCAGAGAGCATCCATGCTCTTCGGTGGTGTATAAGAGAACTGGCTGATACATTGTTATCCTCACAGGTAGCCACGACCAAAGTGTGAACAACTAAACATAAAAATTTTGTAAATAAATTATAAATTACAATTTTTCATCATGCATTTAACTACAAAGTCAATCAACTTTTATATACATCACGTGTAGTTTGTTAGTATAAACTTACATCACTTTGATCAAGAACATTACTTTTTATTGCTTGGATAGGAAAAACGCCCAATGAAACGCCACGAACATCGGGCGAATGGGCTCCCTTTTTAATTAAATTAATTGAAATATTTTTTGTAATCACAAAGTTAGGTAAAACAAAGTCACAAGAAAAAAATGCAGCATGTGAGAGAAAAGAGTTAAATTGAATTCATTAGTTTTGTTGATTAATATGGTTTTAATTATGTAAATATTTATCATCCATAACAAGCAAAAGTAAAAAATATAAAAACAATTACACAGCAAAATGGAAAAATTGTCGATGAATTTTTACCATTTGCTCGCAAGTCTCTGATGCCGGTGGTAACTTAAGTTGTGGATTCTTTGAGTTTTGGGAATGAATTTTTTTATGAAAAAGAAGAAAGATCACGAAAACCCCAAAAAGAACATGAGAAGCAAGCAAAATTTTCATCGAGAAAAAGAAAAGGAAAAAAAGTAAATGGAATGTTAATTTGATTCCAAATCAGAAAAAAGAATTCACACATGAAAAAACTGAAGGGAGAAAATAATTTAATTTCATTTTGGAGCCTTTTTTGTATATCATAAGATTACCTCACGTATTGTCAAAGTGTGCGACATCATTTGAATGTTAACTTGCGATTGACTTGTTGGCAAGTTATCACTGGATCGTGAGCGCACCAACTGTTTAGAGCCACTGCACACAGATTTACTCTTCAACAGCATTTCAGTCTTTATGAACACTCGTGTGATATATGATGAGCTTTAATTAAAACGAGAAAAAGGATGAAAGACATTATTGATTTTAATCCAGATTAAAAAATGAAGATTAGATTAAATGCAAATAGGGTTAGATTAACATACATACCTCAGTGCTCTTATACTAAACGCCGTTCTCATCAATTTCAATGGCGTAACAGGTATTTGCTTGCAAAACTTAGGAATTGCATTGTCAATGTCATTTTTGATGGAATCGGAATTCCACTCTGATGAATTTTGTGTCGTGTGCTTATGAAACAAGATTAATATTGCCAATGCAACGCGATATAATACTTTAATGCCTTCATGGAAGTAACAATCCATAACGCGAACTACGGAAAGAACGAATATATATCAAAAATACCTTTTTCATTTTAATTCTTCTCACCTAAATGTGGAAAAGGTAAAGCTCCCAATATCCACCAACACCAATCGATAAAGATCCGTTCCGTCTTTTGATTGTCGCACATTCTTTGCAGATAAATCACCGCATTCTTAGCATATTTCTTGCCAATTTGCATGACAGTCTTCCACGTTACTTCATGAAGAAGCTTCGTTTGAGTTATGAAAACTTTATCTTTGGCTGCAACTAAGCTCGCCATGCAATGATAACATTCTTCCTCTAGAAAGTGATCATTTAATTAGTGACAAAATTAATTAAATCAAAAGCTAATTGGAGTGATTCGATTTCGTAGGCGTTGTGGGCTGAGATAAACTTTCGTGATTATTTAGATGCATACGAATATAAGTAAGTAACATAAGAGCTTAATGAAATTGAAACTTGATCAACTTTATGGGGAGACTTTTTATGATTATTTAGTCTGGTTATTTAGCCGCATGAGTAATTTTATTATTCAAGACACTTGAGACACTCGATCAATTTGCGTCTTCCAGATCATAACTTACATAGCATCAAGGAAGAAAAATTATATCTTATTACACCCCCACATACATCATATCTTGGTGTTAAATGTTTAATGAGTGAAAATCTTTTGATGATAAATCACCAAACTTCAATGTTGTTTACAGAAATAAAAACAAATCAATCATTGACAACTTTAAACGAACACGTTTATGATACAATCAATTAATAATTAAGTTACACGTTTAATGTTCACGCAATGAACCTTTCAAGTATCGAATGACTCAATAGAGACAACGACTTGTTGATTCACCTGTTTGTTCATCTCTTAACAGTGTTGAGTATCAAAGAATCTTCCTTCATGATGAATCGTATGTTTACAATTTAATAGACTTTGATGTCTACAAATGTGGTTACAATCATTATTTCCTTTTTCTTTATGCTTTGAGAAATCAATATTGATATAATATTACTCCGAGAAAGAAAACGAAGATTGAAGAAATTGTGTGAATTGAATTCAACGAAATTATATTTACTGATGTTGTTACCATTCTCTTGCGAAGCTTATGGAAATATAATTGAATTAGGATGAATTTCTAAGCTCGTTTCAATTTCACGAAGCTTTGCGATGTCAGTTATGTCGATGTGAATGAACTGATTAAATAGCGATAAGAACAAAATTATTTAAACTCAACGAGACATAACAACATTTGAACGTTAATCGTTGATTCATATTTCTTATTTTTATTTTATTTTTCTTTTCATTTTGTTGTTGAAATATTGTTCAGAACTATTTTTAAAACTTCCGCTTCGGAAGAAGATATGCGATCGGTTTTCATTTGAATATTTACAATGACTAATTTTTCATTCTGTCAGCAGATTTTTACTATTAAAATATCTTCTCAAGTTGATGATTGAATATTTATTTATGAATGTCAACTCAAAGAAAGTTAGCGTGGTTCATTTAAATAAATTAAAGCACAATTCACATTTTAAAAATCGAATAAAAATTTCCATCATTTCCTGAACATTTTAATGTCGATTGAATCGTAAATGTTCTAATGCAATTTATTCAATTGAATTAAAAGATTTTATTAATTTTTAATAAAAGAAATACTTGAAGCGAAGTTTTAAAGGTTTTGTCGAAAGAATTTTCATGTTTGGAATCTCAAGAGTCGAGTATCAGTACGAAGATTAATTCTTTAGCATAAGGTGTAAATTAAACTCAAATTGATGTTGAAGGCCATATGGGAATGAAATCGCAAAAGATATTTTCATTTCCTAAAATGTTTTTATCTTCTTTTATGTAGCTTACTTAAGGAAGGGACAGAAACAACAGCATTACGTAAGTAGGTAAATATTATCTGAAAATCAGCTTTCAACGAAGTCATTTAAATTAAATCTTCTTGAAATCTTATACATTATACAATATCAGCAACTTTAGACATCGCGAGAAACAGAAAACAATAAAAAAAATTTAATTGTTAAGACAAGCAAAAATAAAAAAGCAAATTTATAACTTTTCGAAAATGAAAAATGTAAACAAAATTCACCTTCAAAAGTCTTTTTTCAGTTACTTCTTTTTCGCAATGTTGCTGTTTCTATTAACATTTGTTAGTGTGGGGGTGTAAGATATCATTAATAGCTTTAAATAATAATCTAGATATGCGCAAAACTAATTTCAGTGTCGGATTGAATTACATATTTCAATTACTTAACTTACCTGACATAAAATGTAGAAGAATGGCGGTAATGGGGTAGAGAGATGGACTGTAAGTGATGTCAGGACAAGCGTAGCCTAAAACACTGACAACACGATCTGCAACAGCTCTTCCTTTCTTTGTTAGATGATACGGCAGACAATGAGTTGAGTCAACGAACGGCGGCAACATTATTGGCTTCTCAGGAAGTTCTGTTGTTCCGAAAACCTTTTAAAAAAGAAAAAAAATTTATAGATAAAATTTGAAAAAACAAAAAACAAATAAGTATTCTTACCTGATTCACCATGTCCCAGTAGAAGCCTTCGAGCATTCCTTTTCCATGATGATGTTGTGCACAAAGTGCAGGCCATAGTTGAGCTCGAACTGTTGAATTAACTGGCCAAGCATTCTCACGTATAAGAAGTTTAACTTCACGCTTTTTCCCTTGCTGGATGAGACCTTTAACATCATTGAATGTTTTGAGTGGTTGCTTCTTAGCTGTAAATAAAGAAGCATGCAGATATTCGAGTGTGAATTTTTTTTTTCAGATTTATTGACGTTAAAATTTTTCTCGGAATAAAGTTTAACAGCACATAAAAATATTTATCACCAATAAATACATAGAGTTATGTATTTAAATAATCTAAATGGAAATTGAGAATTGAGAGTCAACAAATATACAAATTTTCTCGTATGAGTAATTTTAAGGCTGACGAGTTCCATCACCCGAACGTTTGTCGTCAATTTCATGTAAATTTATGCGAATGAATAGATTAATTTTTGTTTAATTATTGCTGGCGTATAATTCCAACTTTTGTGCTGATTTCTTCAAGTAAAGTGAATCCAATTGTGTTTAAAATGTTAAGTTTAATTTTTTTGTTTGTATAGATTCAAATTAAAATTGCAAATTATGTTAGGCGACAACCCAGGAAGTGCAAATTAAGAATTTTGCTTCGACAACAATCGAAGATGTTTTGCTCTAAGCAAATTAAACATTTTATGTATTTATTTATGATTCATAGTATGAATTTCATACATTTGTATACCTTCTAATGCAGCTGACGATTTCCGCCATATGTGAAGGCAGTTTATACGGTTTTGACGGTCGACACTTTGAAGGTATTGAAGTCCTTCAAAAATATCACTTTCAGGATCAATATAAACACTTGGACGTTTACTAAAATTTTCAACAGATGATGCGATATCGTATGAAGATAATTTTCGTGCTACCATTATTTAAAATTATTTATTTTTATTATTCTTCACTTTTCTTTTTTAATTTTTCATAACATTGTGTCATTGAACTAATTTTCACACACGGAATAAAATATTTTGCTGGTATGTAATTGAACTTTCAATCTCTGCAGAACAATAACGAAATTACATTAAATCTCGTTGCCTTGTTCACACATTGATTAAATATTTATTTGCTTATTTGGCCGTAAATACTTCATCACAATAATTCAGGAAAATGAAGTTAATTGCATTTATTAATGAGCGTGATCTGTGCACTTTGCTAGATGGGAGAGCCTAGTGACACATCGACATGTGCTTTAATTTGTAAATTCTTATTTATTTTCTTTCTAATCGATTGACTGGAAGGAACAAAAATGTGTCGAGTTAATTGCGTTACGAGAAATTATTTACGTTGAATTTACATGGGAATCGATAAACTGCAAATCAAAATTATTCTCATAATTTAATCATAAACGATTCACGAAAAACGGTGCACGTGACTACACGCAGATATCTAGGAAATCTTATGAAAGAAAAAATAATTTTCAAGGCTGAATAAAAAAACGAACAGAAATTTAACATCTGATGCAATCGTTGGCGATTGAAAAAGTCATCTCAAAATATTCTTGATAAAATATTGATTTGTTTTTGGAATATTAATTAAAAAAGTTGTCAAATGATCAATAGAATTGTAGAATAAATAAATAAATAATTGCATATTAATTTACGACTCCTAACTGTTCATTTTGTTCATGAGAAAACCACATGCACTTGTATCGTGCTTAGTAAACACAACAAATGTCACGAAAACTTAATTCATACTTTAAATGCTGTCACGAAACATTGCTCAATTTACTATTGGGGTTCACAGTTACGTTTTTGTCTATTATCATTGATTAAGTTCATCATTACAAGTTGTGAGGGGAAAACAAAACAGAAACAAAAACGATTTGTCTCCATCGACAGTTTTAATCAGCTGCTGATTTAAATATCATACTACGTAAGCGCTTTAATAAATTAATCATTGTATTTAGGAACCGATTAAGTGTGGACAACCTTCGTAGACCAATTCAAGGATGATGTCACAAAACCGTTATAAGTGTGTTTGCAATTAAACTTTTGTTTACAATCTTATTATCACTACAACGTTTTCTTTTTCACAATGGCAGTTTATTAAACGATCTCTTGAAAACAATGAAAAATTTGCAATTTATAACATTTCATGCTACAATCAACTTTTGTTAATTAATTGAACGTCTAATGACTTTGTTACACATTTTATATATGCAAGCGAAAGCAGATATTTGCTAAAAAACCACGAAAGTTTTCTATTAATATAATTAATTAAAATGTTGTATCACATTTTTCATATATGTTGCTCCAAGTTGTTCATTTACCGCATATAAATTATATGATTTAATATTGTTGCGTCATTTATAATCCACTAATTACTCCGCTATAATTCAATGAATAACACTCGGAATCACTTTTTTGTTTTCCTTTAAAAGTTTAGTTGCGACTTAAACGATCGACGCTGCAATTGAAACTGAACTAAAACCAAATGAAAATATTGACAACTTTTCCACTGATTTTTTTTATGTTTATAACTCGCTTTGAATTCTCTCAGCTTATTCTCAAACATTAAAAGTGTTGTCTGTCTTTCAATCACACATTCTCATTTAAATTCAGACATTAACTAAATAAAATCGTTCGAAATTTTTAAAAAGAAAAGCGAAAATCTCAACAATAACAAAATCATTCGTGAGTAATGTAAAAAAGCAAAATTATTCATTCTCAATCGAGAATGGGAAAAATTTCGGGAAGTATTTAAAGAATAAATTAAATGTGTTGGTTGGTTGTGGTGTGGGAAAGCAAGTGAATCTAATGTAAAAGCTAATGTAAATTCCAAAAGCGCTCGCTTTTCATTTTCTTTCTTTCGTATTCTCTCAAGTGAATATTCATCAAGTTTCTTCATAACTTTAGGGATCAAATTTATTGCTGATTTGAAATTCAAATGACTTGATTCCCTTAATTTGTTTGAATAGAAAACCAAGAGATCTCAAACACATCTAAATCGATTCAATTTAAAAGAAACGAGATGAAATAAACTTGAATTTTTCTTTCAACCATTTTTGCAATGAAGAAAAAATAAATAAAATAAAATTTCTTTTCAATCAAGTGTTCGCTCTGATGATATGTAAAATGAGATTGAATATTTAATGGAACCATTACTCGCTGTCAATATAAACAAGGAAAATTATGTGAAAGATTGTCAAGAAAATGTAAACAATGTGATGACATTATTTCACTTAAAGGCAATTTTTAATGTCATTGAACGCTTTGGGATAGGACAATGTAAACATAAGCGAGCAAGCTGTGTCAACGGGAGGTAATTTGTGACTCTGATATTTGAAATAATGAGACGTGACGAACTTTTCGTCAACACATAACAAAAAGAAAAACCTTTTAAAAGAATTTAGAAGAAATTTTCTCTAGAGAAAATCTTTTTTTTCACTTGAAGCATCGCACGATTCTATTTTCTTGTGCAAATAGCTTCAGTTTATAAATAGAAGTTTAATGATTTCCGAGGAAGCAAACAATATCATCACCAACAAGCTTATGGTTCTTTCGGCATCTTTTGACAATAAAATTGTTGTCATTCATATCTAACTTTTCATTCAACATTTTAAAATCATTTCAGTATTTATCAGCACTTTATGACTTTCTTTTAGACACTTTTCACGCGAGTACGTAATGAAAACTCATTGCGTAATCAAATATTTTATTGACCGCGACAATCTTCACGTTCTACTAAATACTTAGAAGAAAATGCATTCACAACAACGACTTCATTACAACTGAATCGAAAAAAAAAACTGACTAAGTATTCAAAATCTTTTATGTTGATCGGCTTTTGTAACTGTGTGAAGGGAAATTGTTTAAATTGTTGTGAAGATTTCTGTCTTAAATATTATTTATGAATGTGTATTTAAAAACACAGACAATATTTCTAGCGCTAATTTATTTGAGAGTGAACAATGCTACTGTGAGCTAAGAGACCGACAAGTCGCTAATATTATCACGATAAAAACGAGATTAATCTAGAAAGAATGAAACGTTGTTTTCCTCTTTTCATTTTGTTTATTTTCTTTTCCATTCCAGCAGTTAATGATAATCACGAAAACAGATTTTTATTGCCTTCCCGCGAATATGAAATTGAATCTTTTTTTGAAGATCTGTCTAGGTAGTCAAAGTCATTGGTCGTTTAATAAAGTTGTTTGTTTCTTCACGAGACAAGAGTGAATTACTTGCTGATAAAGAGAAAAGAAACTTCGAATAGACTTTCTGGAGTTTTCACGTCTTAAATCTCAGTAGATGGAAGCAATCTCAAAAGTGGCTGGTAAAGTTATCTACCATGCGTTAAAGTAATTCATCTCACCGTCAGCTCATGGCATGATTTATCTGATAAATTCACACTCGGATGATTCTCGTCAGGAATAAAGTTGAGATGTTGGGGGAGTGAAGTTAATTTTTTTTATTATTTATGGTTTGTTGCATGAAGACAAGAAAATCAAAATTTTTCATCTTTGAAAACAATTAATTTTTGCAACTATTTCCTTCTCCGATGTACCATCAAACAGATAAATTGATTGCAGAACATTTAAACGTCATTACCGCTTCGTTTTCTCTCATTTCTTCTCCGCATCTTAAATGTGAATGTGCGAGTTGATAAAAAGCAACCGCTTCGCTCAAAATAAGTAAATAAATCACGAAAAGTCTAACGCAGTACAAAAACAACAAAACTTACTGCTTGTTGCTTATCTCAATACAAACACAACTTGAAATAAAATTTATGTGTTTTACTTAACACATGTGTGAATGAATCTTGCGAATCATATGATCATAACAGCAACAAATTTTCACTTATTACACAATCACCTAAAAGACGCTTATCAGCTTTTTAGTTATTCATGTTGAATGTTGACTCACGTAATCTTTTCCGATTTTAATTTAGCCTACAAATATCAAAAGTTTAAACTTATTCACGAAATTGACTCTGAGAAATTGCTCATCGATATTACATATAACTTCTGTTCCTATTTAGATAATTAACTAAATTGTGCCAATTCATTAATCTTCCTCGCGGAATCAAATTTTGATCGACAAATTTACTTTCAGTAAATCACGAAAGCATTTAACAGGTTTCTACAATGCCAAACAAGAAATTTGAATAATTTTTAATTCTTTACGTAAAATTATCGTTGAATGAGTCATAAAGAAATATGATGAGTGAAATAAGCAACCAGTTAGTTTACCGGCTTTGCGAAGTTGTTATCAAGTTTTATTTTTAGATTTTGCAAAGCACTTTGATTGTACGTGCGTGAAATTAAGTTATGAAAAGGATTTCTCCAATCAATCACCTTTTCTGAAATGACAAAATCAACGATAAAATAAGCTCAATGAGAAATAAAAAGAAAAACTTTTTGACTGAGATCTTGTCACTTTCCCAGGGAAAATAAAAAAAGTGGAGGAAATTTTCCTTTTATTTTCTCGTTTGACCTTTTTGAGCCTTCGAGGATTGAAAATGTAATCTTCAGTCATTTACCGTAAATGTCGAAAGATACAATGAAACAGCTGAAGGCACAGTATAAAACTTTATCAAAATGTTAAAATTTTCTGAGTGCTTCCTGGAATTCTATAAAAGTCGAAGCAATTCAACGACTGTCATTTTATCTTTCTCATCGTCTTCAGATGGCAAAAATTTTATTCTCGAATAAGCAAACAATGTTACCTTCCAGTATCTTGAACTGCTTTAAGATATCTTGATAGAAGCTTTAATGCACCTTTGGGGATGCCTCAAGAAAACTCAAGACAGGATGATATGTATTTCTTTATTAGATACTTGGAGAAGATGACGAGAATCGTTATAAACGCCATGGATTCAAGATGCAAAGTCATACTCTTGTTTAATATTTTATCAAAAAAAAAAATTCTACTCTGGAATATTCAACATCGTAAATGTTGCGGAAGTTCTTTTATTAAACTTGCTAAATTATTTAAAATGAAATTTACGTTGAAAATGATTTGGGTTCTGGAAAAATTTCTCAGAATATTCATAAAAAAGTTTCATACTTTTAATTTAATTTAATTATTTTTTAAATTAATGAACGAAGTCTTCTTTTGTTTGAAAACATTTTCGTTAACATAATTTTAACTTATTTCAAGTTTCTGATATTAGGAACTTTACCTTTAGTTAAGGATGAGGTAAGTGTTTAGAATGTCTGTGGTAAAATTTAACTTCTGAGCGCTCAAACTTCTTAAACAACATTATTTGAATTGATTGTGAAGAAGCATTTGTTGATTCTTTCAAGGATTCGTATCAAGAAACATCTAAAGCATCACATAACTTTCTCGGAGCTATGGAGAATGTCAGTGGGGTATTGTTACAAACTCTCCCGAAACTCATCAATTTGTTTTAACATCACGTTGTTGGTTAACATTTAAACGAACACCAGAACATTTTCCTAGTGAAATCCCACCGAGACTTTGATGAATTTCAAACTTAAGGAAATTTGCTTTGCTTACATTAAAATTGATAATAAAATGATTGAAATTTGAAATAAAAATTAATATTCATCAATTTCCAAATAAGTTTTCTTTATTTTTTTGCAAATTTCCGCTGTTTTCACTTTTGTTTACTCTTCATTAACATTGAAACGCTTACAAGAGTAATTTAAATCCCATTTTTTTATGGAAATTTTCCATTCTAAACATGGCTCGAGTAGAATTCATTAATCTATGATTTGATTTTTGTTATCTTTATCTATAATTTGTGGGACTTACCAGGCGAACTCTCATTTGACAATGGAATATTTGTGTAATCTACGTGAGGCGCAAACGCTTCGTAAATGTCGCTTTCTTCCTCAATTCCGCTCAACATGTCACCTTGAAGTGCTCCACCGGCGTTTACTGGCATTCTTAACTTTCTTCTTCGATGATTTTTAATGATGAATGATGAATTTGCTTTATAGAATTCTCGAAAAATTTTCACAGGTTTATTTGTTTCACTTTTGATTCTCAATTATGCTTAAACGTCATGAATACCACAAAATCGCTTTTTATAGAACTTTTTTCACCACCAATAATAAATTTTATTGGCAAATGCTCAGACAATTGCTGATCTCTCTATGTCAGTATCTTTTCTATTTTATTTTTATTGACTAGATTCAAGTTCGTCTTGAAATTTTATCCACTTTCTGTTTTTATCTTTTCACGATTTTTGAAATTAATAATTTTCAAAATTTTTTAATTCTTTTATGTGCATTTTACACAAAATGTTAATTTCATTAAGTTTATGGCTCTGGAGATCGAAGTTTCACGCACGACTTCATCGTTTAGATTGTTCACATTTATCTCTGATATTGTTGTTGATGTTGATGTTCGTCTTGACTTTCAATAACTTCAATGAAAGACGTCATTGTTAAACTGAAATGAGATAAAAGAATGAACAATAAGTTTTATTATTTGTCAAATGTTCGGAAGAAAAACGAAAGACATGAGAAATGTCATTAAAAAATAATAAATAAAAGAGAAAGATTGACAACCTCGGGGGTTGTTCGTAACACAATATTATGTGAAAAATTATCCCTCGGACACCTCTTGAAACTTTAATTATTTTTCAGAAACTTTTTCCTCTATCATGCTCCATTAGGTGAGAAAAATGTTCTCATGTCGAGCTTAAATGAAGTTTGAAATATCCTCTAAACGAATATGGTAAAAGTATAAATTACCCCGAAAGTTTACCAAAAGCTCACTCTTGTTGATGATAAAAAGTAAAGATAAGTTATATTAATTGTGTAACCGAAACGAGAAGATAAATAATGTCAAAAAACATGTTGAGAAGAACTAAACTATTAAGCTTATATAGCTTGACGTCATTCACGCGTTTGTTGTCGGAGAAATCAATTAACACGCAAGGGCAATCAGCCTATGGACAATAAATGTCCCAAAAATAGAAACCATTCGTTTGTCAATCTCTTTTTAAATCCAATCTGAATAATCAACCTTTTCTCTCTTTGTTTATCTAAATAATTGTTGTGTTTATCGACATTTAAATTCAGCTCTTTTGTCTCGTCATTCCAGGCACGTAAAACCACAGAAAGAATTCTTTTCAAATCCAATTAAATGTTTTAAGGTAAGAGCAACCTTTCTCAAGTCACATGTCACATGTTCAAACAATTTTTTCTCTATTTTGGAGAAAAAAATAATTTTTCGACTGAAACCCGAGCGACGATAAATCGATGAAAATTTAAAACACGACTGAAAGGAAGATTTCGTAAAAGCGTTCAGACGAATGCAGAGATTAATTTTATTTTTATCTCTCGTTGAAGTAAAGAGAAGTGGAACTGAGTGGAACTCCTGATAAGTGACGCAACAATTCTGTTATCAACTTGTTAAGTAGATGTTTCGTGTATGTGAATAAATCAGTTGTATTCAGTATGACGACTGATAACAGAATGTACATATTTAATACTTAACAAGCATTGTTTAAAAGTTTAAAACTTAATAATGTGCACACAACAATAGAATAAAATTTTGTATTTGTTTCATTCCCAATGTCAATTCGAAAGTTGTTATGAATCGGAATCTACGATGATCGGCCGATGAAAAATAAACAAAAACAAACTGAATTGAGCGTTGAGTGGTTTTTTTAAAATAAATCATAAGGAATATATGTGGGAGATCTGAAGGCTGATGATGGATGTAAAGCGACCAGATGTAAATATTTATCCAGATTCATAGCACGTCTAATGAATTTTATTGGTGAATTTCAATTTTCTGATGTAAAATTTTAATGCTTTGATAATAATAAATTGGTTTTACAAACAAAAATTAACAGAAAAACTGATACTTTTTTTTGTCCGCTAAGCCGATTTATTATCAACGCATTGAAATTTTATAAAGTTGGATATATCGAAAGCTTTGAGTCTGATCAATCGAAAGACAAAAAATGAAAATCTCTTTCGAGTTTGAGGTTCATAAATCTATTCGAACATTTTTTTGTGGCCTGACGATTATCTAGTCGACATTTATCTAATCAATTTTTTATCGATTAGCCGTAGAATGTTAAACACATTTTTAGTTCATTAGGCTTTAGGGATGAAATGGTCTCATTAATTGAAGGCTAATGAGAAAGAAAATTTCTCAATTTGAAAAGATATTTAGATGAGTTTTTGTAACATGCAACAGCAAGAAAAATAAAGAATCGTAGAAGTCTATGAAAGTTCAATCTAAATAAATTTCAAATTTTCAGTCATTAAGCAAATTGTAGTGAAGAATTTATAAAATTTCTTTTTTATTGAAAGAATGTCATCGTCAAATTCAAATTATCAAATTGATTCTGCCTCAGCTTCATACAAAAGTCAATCAGAAATTTCAAAGAAACATTCAGATGATGGTGCAAGCAGTTCAGTAGCAAGCACAAATAAAATTAAAGCGAAGCAATGTGGAAAAGCTATTCATTGTTCTTCCTCGAGTTCATCTGAAAACTGCAATTCAAGTGACATTCAAAGAAAGATCGAAAAGCAAAGAAATGTTGTTTCTGAACTTAGTAAGCGTTGGAGATGTAGAAGTCAATTGGGACTTTCTGAGAACTGTCTTGGAGAGTTACAAACGAAATTTCTAGAGGCAAAGCAAAAGCTTAAATGTTTAATTAGTAAGCAACATGAAAATCCTTCTAAAACAAAGCTTATACAATTTTCTGAAACACTCATTAATGATAATGATAATCTTAATGAAGAATGCCGACAACTTCAAAATGAAGTCATGCGTCAAAATGAATCTGTTGAAGAAATGGAAGAAAAAGTTAATACTTTAGAGAACTTATTGCTTGGAATTTGTTGCGAAAATAAAGAGTTAACAAGAAAATTAGAAGCGACAAAATGTTCCGAAGATTCTCAAGAAATTGTCAAATCAAAACTCAATGCTTACATTGATAAATCTGAACAGCTTAGTTGTGAAATGCATCAGCTAGAATGTCATATCGAAGAATTAGAATGTGAAATATCACGAATGAAGAAAGAGAAAACTGTTGCAAAGTGTCTTCAAATTGAGGCAGATGGCGACTTGCAAACAAAGAAGTGTCCTTGCAGTATTGGCGATAATTTAACAGAAATTAAAATGAAACAAATTCAATCGCAATATACTGATCTTCAAAAAGAACTTTATTGTAAAGATAAGGAATGCAAAGAAATGTGCGAACGTTTGAAAAAAATGTCAGGAAATTGTAAGGAAGACGAGCAAAAAGCTTTAAATGAAGCTCTGAAATTACGTGCTGACAAGCTTAAAGATGAAATCAATGACAGCAAAATCTTAATTAAAGAGCTTCAAGAACAAGTTGACATGTATCGAGAAAAGTTCATGAAAGGTTTGACATTCTTTTGTCTTCTAATAATTATTAGTTATCTGTTATTATCATTTTCAGCTCAAGAAAAAGTCGAATATCAAAGATATATGTTGGAAAATCTTGAAATGAATAACAAGGATATTGAATCACAAATCAATGTGGAATTAGCTCAAATAAAAGAGAAATTTCAAGAGAAATTGAAGGAATTGTGTCCCTATCCTAAGAAATATGAGGAATGTCGCTTAGAGCTTGAAGAAATGATAGAAAAACGTAATAATCTGGAAAATGACTTGAAGAAGACAGTTGAAGCGTTAGCAAAAGCATCCAAGGAATTGAAAGTACTTCAGAATCCTGATGATTCCCTTGAGAAGAAATACAAACAACTTCAATGTGAGGTCGAAGCTATGAAAGAAAAATATTGTGGAATGAAAGCGACGAAAGAATGTCTTGAAGAAAAATTATCAAATTTGAAAATGGAACTTGAAAGACTGAGAAAAGATTCGTCAAAAATCATCACAACCACAAAATGTTGTGCTGAGAAAAATCGCGATGTATTGCATCAGCACATCAATTGCCTAGAAATTGATCTAGCACAGTGTCGCGCATCAGCTGCTTTATCAATAAATGAGAAAGAAGAAGTCATCGCGAAAATGAAACAAGAGCTTTCATCCCTTTGTGGACATTTCAGCGATTGTCAAGCACAGATTCTTCAATTGAAAAATCAAATTGTTTACCTCACTAATCAACGTCACAACATCGACCCAAAAGAATTAAACAAAATTGATTATTGTTTCCCGAAGTGTGATTAAGCGATACTCCGACACAAAAAAATATCTGATCGATAGATGTTTTCATTTCTTATCAAAATAAATTAATTATTGTAATACGCATTTAATACCTTTTAAATTATTTTATACACGAATTTGTCAAATATTTTTTCGTTTCCAGAAAACTAAAAATTTGAATTAAAAATAGATGGAATAATCCGTGATTGAGCCTCAAGATTTCTACAAAACAATTTACATAAATAAATAGGTATGTGCGATAAGGAAGAGAAAAAGTTGATGATAAGCAATAAACCCGAAAAAATCTTTTCTTTCTCTTTCTCCTATCCCAGGGCACAAAGTCAATTTTTTTTGTTTTTATGTCAGAAAAGTATTTAAACTTTTGCTATTTATCAGCACTTGAATTCTTATTTACTTGTTTACGTTAAATTTCATCTTGCAGCAGCGTGATGATTAGCACAATATCACTTTCCTCATGAGTTAATATTATGATTTAATTAACTCATTTCGATCTTCAAACAACGCAATCATATTTAATAAAATAAACAAACAGCAATTCCTAATTGAATTTCATAACCACCTTCTTTGTTTTCAGCATAGACGCTTTTAAATCGATTGCTAATTAGAGTGTGACACAACGGGTGCTTAGCAACCCACAAGTTTCAGGACTAATTTTTACGATTAAAGTTGGAAAGTGATTCTATTGCAAAATCAATAAAAATGCTTGAAGTATTAAAAACACTTTTAAATTTCCTTTATTCGCGAAAACCAACCTTACAAAAGATTCCAGTAGTTTACATCGCAGGACACACAACACTTTTGTCTTTTAGCACTTGATATATCCTATTAATTTGCGTGATAATGAAGAAATCTTTTTTCTCAGCACAACATCTAAGGGGTACATAAAAAGTAAAATTCCCCCACTAAAGTGGGCATTTTATTGTGGGCATTTTAATGTAATAGTGTGAGTGCAAAAACGTAAACAATTTCAAGAGTTCAAAATAAATTTTTCAATTATTTTCATATAACAAGTAAAATACTTACAAAAATAAGCCGAAAATGGCACAATCTGTTTCAGTGTCGGTGGAAGCTCCGATTGAAAATCAAATATTGAGCATAGACTACGATGGAACTGAAGTTTATCAAACGTGATGACAAAATATTTTTTCATTTAAAAAAAAGACAGAAAAAAAATTAATTTCCCTTCTTTTGTTTAATTTTAGCCCATTAACACAATCAGAATATTTAACACGTAATGCAGCAAGAATTAATTTCACAAAAGCAGCCGAAACAACTGAAGGTGATAAAAAAGCCGATGAAGAAGTTTCCACAGTTCCTCAATCCAGTTTAGCTCCTTTTGAAAATATTTTGATTAAGCTAAGAGATGCTTATACAGAAGTTTCTGTTCTTCATGATGTTCTTGCTATTTCTAAAGAGAAACACTATTTAGTTCTTGATCCAGTACCACAAGAGCCTGCTGAAACAAAACAAATGGCGCTTGTTTATGCTCGAAAGAAAGCTCTTGGAACAGCTGCTAGTGTTCTTATTGCTGGTGCAGAAAGATTAAAACGATGTGACAATGGGCCTGATTTCCAAATAGAATTGCTTCGACTCCGTCAGAATTGGCGTTTGAAGAAAGTTTCTGATTCAATAATTGGTGATTTAAGTTTTCGAACAGCTGGTTCAAAGTTCTTCGTGCCTGGTAATTTTGAGGTTGTCAAAAATGACGACACAACACCATCGAAATCTTCAGGTACTCCTTCTCCACTTCAAGTTATCATTCCAGCAGAACTTCAAGGCATTGCTTATATCAAAGTTGTGACACAAAAGGATCAAGAAGATTTATGTTCAGCGAGTGTCAATTTACTCAACGAAAACGCTGAATATCCAAAAGCAAAAGAAACTTATTGGCAGAAGAAGCTTGAGTTCGCTCAAAATGTACTTTTCTGTAAAGAATTATTCAACCAATTGGCAAGAGAAGCTGTTCAACTTCAAGCTGCCATTCCTCATGTTGTCATTGGCAATCAAATTCGAGCGACTCTCCTTCCAGGTATTCAACTGATTATCAGCTTGTGTCACACAACTTCTTATCAAGTGTCTGAAAATGAAGTGAAAAAGAAGCACGATGGACATGATCATGTTTTGGAGCATTCACTTCATCAACTTCTTCGTGAAGTTCATCACAAGAATATTCATCATCCACTTCCACATTCAGGTCATGCTTATGGCATTGCCAAGAAAAGACTGCTTGCTGGTCCGATGGCTTTCGATAGACATGAACTTTGGGAAATGACAAAATCACAGACATTATTGGAACAAATCATCGCTCAAGCCCAACATATTTTTATGCGAAAACGTACGCAATATGTTCTCGATACATTAGCACGTGATGTTAAAGATCCTCAAATTGTTTCACATTGGAACGCTCTCAATTCACCGACAATGAGTTGGGTGAAGATTAAAATCAATACTCAAGGCTATGATACAATTTGTCGAACGTCTTTGGTGATTCATGTTAAAGAACGTTCACTTAAAGCTATCTGCAGAGATGGACGTGTCATGCATTTATCTTATGAACCACAAGAACTTCGTGACTTGATACTTACACAAATATGTCATCATCAAATTGCTGGACTGCAGTCGCTCGCCAAATGTATGGCATGGCAATTGTTATCAAATTCAACTCATCTTGGAATTGGAGCTGTTGAACCACTTGGTAATGCACATTCGTGTGTTATTGCATCACCAAATGCCGATCGAACAATTGCTGTTCAAGTTCGCTGTGATCCGCAAATTGTTGTGAAAGTTTATATCTCACATAGCCCTAAAGATTTTTATCCAAGTGGATTAGTGCAGGGAAAGTTTTGGGAGAATCTTGGTGGAAACTTCAGAGAAGTAAGAAATTTATTCTCATTTTTAATTCAAGTTTCTAATTTACATTCCTTAATTTTTCTCCAGGTTCGTTTCGATAAAATGGAAGGAAAAAACTTTTTGAATAAAATGGAATTTCTGATGGCCGCTTGTACGAAGAAAAATCATTGAAGAAGTTGATGAATCGCAATCAGTCAATTGAAGTTTTATGTTGATTTAGTTTTTACGATTCAAAATGAGCATCATCATAAACCTTGAATTTACTGAAAGATGAAATTCATAAATAAATAAACTGTTTCAATGTTTAAGTCAACGAATTTTTCTTTATTGGAAAATGCTTGAGATGTTTCTTTTTTTTTTATTTCAGATTTTAAACATTTTCTGTCTTTCTACAAATGTGATTGCGATTACTATTAATATCATTCTATGTGTTATATGTTCTTGTGTGTGTGTCTATGCCATATTCAAATGGACCGCTTGTTTATTATTTGGTTTAATTAATGCCCATTTAAAAACTACTTACGAATCGCCGTCAATCGTAGGCGGTTAAAGTTTATGCTCTAATTATTATCATTTCCTTTTTTATTATTAATATTTGAAGAAAGTGTTTGGTCTCTCTAGTGAATTATTTAAAAAATAATTAAAAGCCATATGCCAATAAATTATAAATCGCCAATTCTTTCACTTTTCTCCTTTCTTTTAAGTAAATCAACATGAACAACAAAAAAATATCAACTGAGGTAGAAAACAAAATTAAAAATAGTTTTCGAGCGATACAAGGCGGAGATGTTTGTAAACCTTGTGGATTTGTTGTCTGAAAAATCTTCTCATGGCAACCAAAACCACTCTTAAGAACCATCCGCTCTTTAAGTCTGAAATTATTTTCTGATTCAATTTCTTCCCTCATAGACAACAAACAACAAATTTAAAGAAAACAAATGGTTAGTTAAGTTGCGGTATTTTAATTTGTAGCTATGTAAATAATTTAAATGTCAACGGCCCATCCTAAAAGTTTAATTAATTGCAAATCTCTCTCAATTACAATTTGTTCCTAATTAAGAAATATTTAAGAAACAAAAGGTTTCAAATAAAAAATAAGTCACAATTGTGTCGACTATTTTTGGTAAATGTTAACTGAATATCTCTTCTTAGATATTCAAATAAAAGCAAAAAAATCATCAGAATTTAATTATCTAATTAAAAAGGAAGCAAAACAAAAATTCACAAAAGTATTTATTTGTCAGGAGAAGAAAAACTATTTTGCTGCAATGCTATAATCTGCTTATTTTTGGCTTTTCTAAAATTAAAGTTTTTCTCATCTTTTCTTATTTTGCAAATTAAATAAAGCTTTCTGATGCTGAGTGCTTAAAGAACAACACAAAATAGACTTTGACGGTTATCTAATTGAGTTCACTGAACTCATTTTTTCTGTTTTTATGTTTTTAAGAGAACTTTAAGTGTTGCTTCAAATGTGAATGAAAAATGTTTTACTTATGACCGCAGGCTTTCATTAATCCATCGGTAGCCATTGATTTTGGACGTTCAATTGGTAATCCAAGTGCACGATCCCACACAAGTGATGCAAGAACACCAAGAGCACGTGAAACGCCGAACAATACGGTGTAGTAGTTCATCTCCTTCAATCCATAATATTGGAGAAGAACGCCCGAGTGAGCGTCAACATTCGGCCATGGGTTCTTCACCTTACCCAATTCAGTTAAAATTGGAGGCACAACCTTGTAAATGTTGCTGACAAGTTGGAATAATGGATCGTTTGGCAAATGCTTGAGAGCAAATTCACGTTGGCATGTGTAACGTGGATCTGTTTTACGGAGAACAGCATGACCATAACCAGGCACAACTTGTCCTGATTTGAGAGTCTTCCAAATGAAATCTTTGACTTTATTCTCATCAGCATTGTCGCCAAGTTCGCCACGTAATTTTTGAAGCCACACGAGCACTTCTTGATTAGCTAATCCATGAAGTGGACCAGCAAGACCATTCATACCAGCTGAGAATGACAAGTAAGGATCGCTGAGAGCTGATCCCACAAGATGAACAGTATGGGCGCTAACGTTGCCACCTTCATGATCACTGAAATGATGAATAAAAAAAAATTAATTAAACATTATTAATTAGTCAAACGTTAATCAAAATTTACCTGTGAATAGTGAGATAAAGACGCATCAATTCAGTAAGTTGTTCATTGTTGTCATAACCAAGCATGCGAGTGAAGTTTGCTGACCAATCAAGTTTTGGATCAATTGCACCAATGCCTTTTCCATCACGGTAAGTATTACGATAAATAGTTGCAGCAACAACTGGGAGTTTAGCTATCAGATCCATGCTATCCTCATAAGTGTATTCCCAGTATTTGCTCTTGTGGACTCCCTGATATTATGTGATATTGAAAGATAAGATAAGTGACATTAATTTTCTTACAAAACTTACCTCGGAATATGCTTTAGCGAATTTACTCTCGTGATTTAAAGCAGTGACGGCAGCTGACAACTGTGACATTGGATGAAGAGTTGTTGGGAAGTTGTTGAGCATTGTAACAACATGTCCTGGCAATGCTGCTCGGTTGGCCCATTCGCTTGACAAAGAATCAACTTGAGCTTTTGATGGAACATCGCCAGTGATTAAAAGCCAGAAGAGACCTTCAGGTAATGGTTCAGCACCACCTGGAGCTTTAGGAAGAACCTTCTGGCATTCAGGAATTGACATTCCACGGAATCGAATGCCCTCATCAGGATCCAAAACTGATGTCTCACATACTAATCCTTTAATGCCACGCATGCCTCCATACATCTGGAAAATTTGAGAAATTTATTTTAACAACCTTGGATAGGAAAACAGGAGAACGTTAAGATAATCGGTTTTTTTTACCACGAGGGATTTTTTCGAGAAGTTAAGATAATCTTTGTGTTCACATAGGATGTGATTTCTAAGTGACATTTTTCAGATTTGAGATAATGACAAAATAAAGACAAACAGAAACGGATTTAGGTCATGAATCTTGACGGAAAATAATTTTAATTTATTTATTTTTAATGACAATGACAGAAAGTTTCATCAAAGCCTGAACATGTTTCCAAGATCATTTCTGATTTATTTATTTACTTTTGAAAGTCACATGATATCTTTATCACATCCTCAGCTGGTTAAACTCCATAAAATCATTCACACGTTCTCATTCATTAAAATATTTGATGAGACAATGACAAAAAAAATGCAATCACTCGTGTCACGATTGACAAAACGTTGAATTACCCTTGAGATTGATTAACTTACCATATCAACTGTAACTTCACCGACTTTAGTTCCTCCATGTTCTTTACGGAAATTCTTGATGCGTTCTTGTTCTTTGGGAATTTTATCAGCTAGGATTCCCTTCAAATCAGTGCTATCTGCTGAGATGTTTCGAACACATGTGATGATAGCTGGCAAAAATTTCTGTTTGTTGTAATGATAAATAAGAAGAAAAAAAGAAAAAGGGAAGAGAAAGCAAAAGAGATATTTATAAACAATTTAATTAAATGCACAGTGTTATGTGATTTCGTCTTGTTTTCGTAAAAAATTTGCTCTTCTACGTGATCATCGTTTCTGGCTATTTTCCATTTGAAAGCAGAAAATCCCTTCTAGCTAGTTTTTCTCTAAATATTTCATTTCTATTCATTACATGGTTTTAGTAAATCTAAAACAAAATAATATTACGTAACGAACGGTCAGATAATGTTTCGTTGAGTCATGAGAACCTTGAAAAGCTAACATTGTAAGCTGTTTGTAAGCATCTCATCTTTAAACCGGTTCCTTGCTCTTGACTGCTACCACAAACCATTTTATTGAAATTTAACCAAGGTCAAAGGGCTAGATTTTATACTAAGATTAAGCCGTTTAATCTACAAGGCACGGGTTCTCGTTGATTAACTAATTGTTTTGTTTTCTTTTTCGATATCTTTAAATGTATAGTGAAGCTTGTTAACAAATGAAAGAATTTGCTACCATGGAAAATTTATCAGAAATATCAGGTAGAATTTTAGATAAAATAAAAACGTCAGTTATTACACGATAATTAAGCATCGAAGTTAAAAAAAACTTTGAACTGATTATTTCAATGCTCATAAATAATACTTTGTAGGCATTTTTCAAGGCACGTTAGTAATAATATCTTTGTTAAAATATTTCCTGTGATCAGCTTATAATCGTTAAACATTGTTGCAAATTTGGAAAAATGATGACTCTTAGATAATCATAAAGAAATAGGAGAAAAAATGCAAAATTTTACCTGATCTACAAATTTTAAGTTTATTACATCACTGTCGCATCATTTCCAAAAAAATTACATAAGACACTTTAAAATTTTAAACGATTAATTTAAGTGAATTTCCATTAGCACAACCGCCAACACACGCACGAAATTGATGACGATGTGGTTCTGGATTTTTTTTTGGACTAACGATATCATTAACCCGCGATTCTTGCATTAATTAAACAAGACGAAATTTTTTTTCTCCTGATAATTTTTTGCTTACCTGATGGGCCTCTGTCAGGCATTTGGTTGATGAAATTCTAAACAATGCCATTTTCCGCTGGTCCTGCTCACTTGTCTGACACGAATGAAGTCTTAACTTTATCTGTAAAACCTTCAGACAGAAATTTTTAGAAAATCGAACTCTAAAGCCGAGTGAACCGTTTAAGTACTGAGTTTTGTAAGTGTGCGTGCAACCGATTGAGAATATTTTGAATATTTATGATTTCATAAACCGTTAAAAAGCGACAAAAGCTCAATGCAATTTGAATAAAAGTTTCTGAAATGCACTTGATAAATACGAAGTTTTATAAATAAAAGGCTTTGATTTCAAAATCTACGTTTAAAATCTAAAACACGTTTGCTTATTAGATATCTATAAAAAAAATTTATTTGCGGAATTGAATTGAAAAACTTTATAATATTAATTATAATTTTCGTTTTCTAATTGAATTTGGTACTTTTAAGCTTCCATGCACCAATTTGATAACGAAACCAAATCAGTAAGAGATCGCGGCCCATTTGGATAGAGCTCATTAGTGGAGTTAATTTAGAACCTTCTATTTCAGTCCAGTTCACGGCGATTTCATCAATTGGCATTTTAAGTGATTCTGCGATGAATAAAAGTTCAACATCAAAAGCCCTAAAAAATTAAGAATGATAAATTTATATTTATGAAAAAAAACACATTATTCCTTCGGTCTCACCAACGCTCAACATGCATTATGTTAAAAATCTTTCTAGCTGCTGATCTTGTTAGAAGTTTAAAACCACATTGTGTATCTCGAATTGTTTTGACAGCAAATATCCAAACAAGGAGATGAAAGCCATGCATTAAAATTGTTCTGAATAAACTTCTAGTTGCTGTTGATTCCTTTTCTAAATGAGCTCGTGATCCTATAGAAATTGCATCAGCTCTCCAATTGTTCTTTGTTGTTCTCTTCAAGCTCTCTTCGAGTTTGTTCAAGTCTGAAAACTTTGTTGCTCCATCAGCATCGGCGAAAAGTAAAAGTCGTCCACGGGCGCTTAGCATACCCTGAAAAAATTAATTTTTTTAATGATAAAAGAAATAACAAATGTTCTCACCAGTCGAACTGCTCCACCTTTCCCCCTGTTTTCTAGTAGATCTAAGACTCTGATTTTATTTGACGTATATTTAGCACAGTATTTTAATGACAATTCTACGGTCTTATCTTTACTTCCATCACTTACGATGATGATTTCATACGAAAATTTTGAATTTTCTTGTTCTTTTCTTTCTAAGAAATCTATACATTCATCAAGCATTGTAGGTAATCTTTTTTCTTCCTCATATGCAGGAATGATGACACTGAGTTCAATTGATGGATCATCTTCGATTGATGGAAATTGTACTTTAATTCCTGAGGGATCTTCATAAAATTCTTCTTCGTCATACCGTTTAATGATCGGGAATGGTGTCGTCGTGGCTTTTAATATAATAGCAGTCTACAATGAATTTTGTTATCAGTTAAATAATTTTGAAGCAACTTTGTTTATAAAAGTTACTAACAACAACAAAAGCGAGAACCAAAAATCCAATTCCGTAGCAAACTAACGTAAACAACATCGCAACTAATTCTTTTTTCAATATAATAAGAAATAAAATTTCGCTTAAAAATATTTATTTCATTGCGGATATTAAATTGACTTGTGAAAAAGTAAAATTATTTTTTACTTGCCACGATATGCAAGTTATTATACACTTTGTAACTGGACCGACGTTTTTTCGCCTCGGACACTTTTCTGATGTTTTGTGCACAAGCCGCATTCATATATTAAATGACGGTTATTTTATTAAAAAAACTGCATTATTGGACCGAAAATTTTATTTGTCTTTAAACTATAGTGGACTCACGTTATAAGAATTTTCTTTATGGAAAAGCTCGATAAATTCCCACACTCGCATTTTGAAACAATTTTCGTTCATTACAGATATAAATTCATTACAAACAAAACTCGTTACGAGCATGAGATTTTGTATTGAATGTATTGTCAAGACAATTGTTCGTTTCGTTTGACAAAATCGTTCGTTTCTGTGTTAATTGTGTTTTTTATTAGAATAATATAAGAGAAGCGGAAAATCAAAATGCAACGAATTCATAGAAGAAATCTTTAACTACAAAAAAATATAGGTATACGTATGTAATAATAAAATTGAAAAATACCGGTGAAAGCCGTGCAAATCTTGGTGAAAAAAGTTCTTGAGGATGCATTCATCTTTTATATTTAGTTAGTTGCATTGATAGATTGATAACGAGTTTTTTCATTAACATTTTCGGAAAAGTTCAATATAGAAAGAAACTCGTCAATTGTGACTCCCTTCAGAATTCTTATCGCGCGATCCCACTCTAAATTGTAATCAAGTACAGGGCATACTGCAGAAAAAGCAGTTCTCATATGATTATTGCGATTATTAATAGCTAACTTAATGTAACCGTTTGCACCCCAAGCCTCTCCAAAAGAGTTTTTAATGATCCAATAATCGATGTCGTCGTCACTTCCATAGCCGACCAAAAGAAGTGAATGTGTAATGTTGTCATTAGAAGTTACACTAGGATCATAATAAATTCCACTAGAATATCGCATAAATGATTCATGATTAGATGCTAGATTTACTAAAAGAGGTCCCATTGATACAAGCGCTCTCTTAAGCATTGTCTCATCATTTTTAACTGTTCTAAAATATCCTTTAATTGGAAATTTTAAGCGTTTTGGAATCAAATCACAATCCTTTTTCGAACGAGTGAAGGGATAATCATTTTCCAAACTGATTCCCTTATCTTTGATATAGTCAAATACTCTAAAGCCTATTCCACCATCGCATCCAAATGTATTGTAACTTTCTCCACAATCAAGAATTTCTTGTATTGAAAGTTCAAGAAGATTTCCAGTTTTTATAAAAATATGACTTTCAAGTGAACCAAGTGCCGCGATTGTATAGCAAATACCGCAATCTTTTTGATCTTTAACCTTTGTCACGGCACCATAATTCCTCCAATCATACGAAGATGGTAATGTGGCGTTATCATCGATGTCAATCGCTAAAGGTTTAAAGCTTATCTCCTTCTTCATTACAGCTTCAAATAATTTATTCTCTACAAAGGGTTTAATTTCCACCATCTGATTAAAGTCATCAATATTCTTGTCAGCAAACTGATTTATTCCCATTTTAAATGAAGATTCTTTACTATCAAATTTCAAGTTATGATTGGAAATTGTTTTTAAACTTTCATCAAAAATATTTTTCTTTCTGTCTTCTTCTTCTTTTGATGAATATGATTTATTGAAGTTTATCTAATTTAATGATACCTAATCTCAAAACTTTTAATTATTCATTTATTTAATATTATTATCCACCTTATATTGTTCCCAATCATCATAAATCTTTTCGTCACAATTAATAGTACAAATGAAATAAAATAGAAGAAGCGAAAAGAATTGAAACACTTCCATTGAAAGGCGATCTTATAGAACTAAAAACTCTATTTGAGTGTTTTTCAAAATAACGCGATAAGAATTAAAATTAAAATTTTCAGAGATCATGAACTTTCATTTAAGAATTGGAAATAATGGCATTCTAATAATGCCGCAATGACTACCACAATTTCTTGAAAGTTTAAAAAATCCCGAGTCGCCCCAATAATTACCGAAGGAATTCTTCAATATCCAATAGTCATTGCCATTATCACTTCCATATTCAACTAGAAGAACACTGTGAGTTGTAACCATGGACGAACACGTTTTGTCATAATAAATTCCACTGGAATATCTTTGAAACGATTCATGACCACCGTCTAAGGCAACAACTATTGGTCCATAATTGATCTGAGCTTGTTCGAGAGTCTCTTCGCTGTTGGTATCAATTATTCCATATCCAATCATATAAATTGGGAATTTCTCTCTCTGAAGATGACATTCACCATCTTTCGATTCATTAGGATAATCAGAAGCTTTACTTATGCCATTATTATCTTTCACATAATCATAAACTCGATAAGGCATACCACCAGTGCATCCCCAAGTGTGATATTTATTTCTACTACAATCAAGAACTTCCCGTTTTTATGAACAGGGCACTTTCTAAAGCACCTATAGTAGCAATCAATTGCATAACAACTGCCACACTCATATTGATCTCTAGCTTTCGTTACAGCACCACGATCACGCCAATCAAAACTCATTGGCAGACTTTCATTCATTTCAATGCGCTTGATGGTTTTTGTCGGCGTAGTCATGAAATCTTTCAGTAATTCGGCTAATTTTGATATCATTGTTTCATTTAAAGTGTATTTGCTTGAATATTCTTCAAACGTTTTATCAGCAAAATTATTAATTCCCATTTTAAATGACGATCTTCCACGTCGAAATTCATAATTATGTTTGGTAATTATTCTTATGTTGTTCCAAAATATTTCCAGTTTTATTTCTTCATCTTGAGGGGATTGAAAAGTTTTGTTGAACTTCAACTTTTTAAGAGATAAACATTTACAGTTTCATGGTTGCCATTGCAATTTCATCATTGACACTGACCTTAAAATGATGCCAGTAATCAAGTTTACTTTCCAAGTACGTTTTCCCTACAGAAAATTGCATGAGGTCGGAACATAAAGCGACAAAAACAAATAAATAAACGTTCATTTTGCAATGATGATGATGACGATGTCACTTCTCTAGTTATCTTGACTTGACTGATAATATTTTTAAAACATACATAACTTCGTAAGATGAGAAGAATTTTTATTATTAATGTAGCAGATTAATTTACAATGGTCAAGTTCAAAGCATGAAAAACGATTGAAGAACTGAACATTATCATCAACGTTCAACATGTAAATTCGTGACTTTACTTTTAGCATTATCAATAAAGTTTCACTTAAATATGAAGAAATTTTGTTTTACTTTTGAAAAAGTTTGTTTCATTGAAATTGTATTTATCGAAACAGTTGTACAAATAACGTTCTTAATCATCGTTAGATAAAATTTGTGAAAATTTGTCACAGTCTTCAATAAAGTCTTTAAGCGTTGACAAGGTGAAGAATTTTATTTCGATTAATTAATTAATTATGTCTGAGAAGGTGAAAAAACAACAAGATAATCAACAAGATGATGAAACTTATAAAGGTTTGTTTGATTGATGAAAGATAACACGATGTTAATAAATAAATTTCATGCATTCAGAACTTGATGAGAGTGACATAGAAGTGATAAAAAATTACGTAAGAAATTTCAATGAGATGTTTGAAAACTTTCGTAACTCAAAAACTCTTTCTTAGGGACGTGGCGTTTACGATAACGCGATAAAGAAAACCGAGCAGGATATTGAAGAAGCTATAAAACGAATCAATGAGATTTCTGGTGTTGCTGAAAGTGATACAGGTTTAGCACCACCAACACTTTGGGATTTGGCAGCTGACAAAAAACTACTTCAAGAAAACTTTCTTCAAGTGGCACGTTGTACAAAAATATTCAATGCTGATACTGATGATCCAATGTACATTATTAATATTAAGCAGTATGGGAAATTTGTAGTTAATCTTGCTGACACTGTTGCTCCAACTGATATCGAAGAAGGAATGCGAGTTGCTGTCGATCGATATAAATATCAAATTCACATTCCCCTTCCTCCGAGTATTGATTCAAGTGTTTCTGCCATGCAATTGGATGATAAACCAGATGTGACATATTCTGAAATTGGTGGATGTAAAGAAGAAATTGACAAGCTTAGGGAAATTGTTGAATTGCCTTTGTTAAATGTAAGTTTCATTTTTAAAATATGACAAGAAAGTAATTTCAACTCTTGAAATATTAGCCAGAAAAATTCATAAAATTGGGGATTGATCCACCTAAAGGTTGCCTACTTTATGGACCTGTAAGTTAAGATTATATTTTGATGTAAATTTCAACAAACCTAATAAGAAACTTTCAGCCTGGAACAGGAAAAACTTTATGTGCCCGAGCAGTCGCCAATCGAACTGATGCTTGCTTCATTCGTGTCATTGGGTCAGAATTAGTTCAGAAATATATTGGAGAAGGTGCAAGAATGGTTAGAGAACTCTTTGAGATGGCACGAACCAGACGAGCTTGTATCATATTTTTCGATGAAGTTGACGCAATTGGTGGAGTGAGATTTGATAATGGAAATGGAAGTGACAATGAAGTTCAGAGAACGATGTTGGAATTGATTAATCAACTCGATGGTTTTGATGCTCGTGGGAATATTAAAGTTCTAATGGCAACTAATCGTCCCGACGTTCTTGACCCAGCACTTATCCGTCCTGGCAGACTCGACCGCAAAGTTGAATTTTCACTTCCCGATCTGGAAGGTCGAACACATATTTTCAAGATCCATGTCAACTCAATGTCTGTAGATAGAGATATCCGCTATGAGCTTTTAGCTCGTCTCTGTCCCAATTCAACAGGTGCTGAAATCCGTTCTGTGTGTTGTGAAGCTGGAATGTTTGCTATCCGAGCTCGTCGAAAAGTTGCAACTGAAAAAGATTTTCTTGATGCTATCCAGAAGGTCATTAAAAGTTATGCAAAATTCAATTCGACGCCAACATACATGACATACAACTAAGCGAAAAATTTTCTTGTTTATCAGAAATGTGCAGTTATTTATTCATATACGAAATAAAAAAGAGAAATCTTCAACTACTATACTAAGCTCGATGAATGCATGCATCCATGCAATCTTATCAAAGTGTTGTGAGACTTCCAATAAACAGCATTGCTTTGTGAGTAACAGAAAACGAGAAATGAAAGTTCTATTTGCTGTTCTTTTAAGTTTAAATATTTATTGTGTAAACAGTTATGTCAATGAAACTGTTCGATTATGGAAAAAGTTTCAAGTTAGATTATCATGAAATTTCTTATAAATAGTTTTGTTTAATTCACTATTAATTTTTAATCTTTCAGACAGATTTCAATAAAACTTATCACTCAAGAAATGAAAGTGATGAAAAGTTTGAAAAGTTTTCTCAAAATTTTAAAACAATACGACAGCATAATGAAGGAAATTCAAAGTTTAAAATGGGAATAAATCAATTTTCTGATATGACATTCGAAGAACTATTAGATTTAAATAAAGTTAATGTTTCTATTGATTTAAGTTTCAACGATGTGCCTTACAACCCTCTGAATTTTAGAAGCAATGAAAATTTTTTAATTCCTTCTTCATTTGACTGGAGAGACTTGGGAGCTGTCACAGGTGTTAAAGATCAAAAATTATGTGGCTCATGTTACGCTTTCGCAAGTTTAGCAGCAATCGAGAGTCAAGTTTTCATAAGAAAGGGAATAGAGTTGAATCTTTCTGTTCAAGAAATTGTTGATTGTGGTGGAAATGATTACTTTATCTCGGACTGTCAAGGTGGAATGAAGCATATGGTGTATCAGTACGTCAAAGATTTTAGCATTAGTTCAGCTGATGATTATCCTTATAATGCAGTTAAAGGAGAGTGTCGAAAAGATAACTTTTCTCGATTGAAATTTCATGTTGAAGGCTTTGGCGAGGTTCAGTCATATAACGAACATTTGATAATGGAAGCACTTGTGACAGTTGGTCCATTAACAATTTCTTTAGATATCGATCATGAATCATTTCTGAGATATTCTCATGGTATTTACAGTGACCCAGATTGTACAAGCAACACAAATCATGCAGCTTTGTTAGTTGGTTATGGAAGTGAGAATGGAGAAGATTTTTGGATAATTAAAAACTCATTTGGCGTCTCATGGGGAGAGTCAGGATACATAAGAATCACTAGAAATAATGATTTTGATTGTGGTGTTACAAGTTATGTGCTTTTTCCAATTATGAAATGAAAATTTAATAAAACTTGTTCACGGATATGTATAAAAAATATTTTAAATAGCTTTAACATACAAATTTACTTAACTACTTTAAATCATCGATTTAAGCTATGCCATAAAATCCAAGGGTTAGATTTACGACATCTTTTAGGATTAATCTTACTCTGAAAGTTGCGCAACCCCTTTGTTGTTTATGTGATAGGGTTTTTGTTTATGATGCTCGAGATAATTGCCTCGTGCCCCGACGGTTCGCGCGGATTTGACCTTCCATACAAAATGCACAGGGAAAATTTCTCCGTGCACGAGATTTATTTCCGACCACGAGATTTGCGATGGCAGCGCCGCCAATATGATTAAAACATATTTGATCTCGATCAATAACAGGTTTAAAAAATTTTTTAGAATGTTTGGACGAGTAAACTCGTTTGAAAAAATACAAAGAGAAATAGTATCAAATTAACTAGTTAATAATATAAAAATGTCTTCAAAATCTCCTGAGCATAAAGAAAATCAATGTCCATTTCATGCTGAACGAAGTGGTGAAGTCAGAGAAGTTGGAAGTCAAGCTGTTTGGTCACTTTCATCGTGTAAACCTGGTAATTTCTTTTTGTTTACGTTTTTGAGCAGTAAAAATATATCATCTCTTGTAATTTATAGGCTTCGGAGTAGAGCAACTGCGTGATAATTCCATGGAAACATATTGGCAATCTGACGGTCAACTTCCTCATCTTGTCAATATTCAATTTCCCCGTAAAACAACCATCAGTCAAATCTATATCTACAGCGATTATAAGCTTGATGAATCTTACACACCATCACGCATCAGCATCCGATCAGGAACTCATTTTAATGATCTCAATGAAATAGAAATTATCGACTTATGTGAACCATCGGGATGGATTGTCGTACCAATTAAAAATATTCGCGAAAAACCAATACGTACATTTATGATTCAAATCGCTGTTATCAGCAACCATCAAAATGGACGTGATACACATATGAGACAAATAAGAATCCACTCGCCAATTGAAGCAAAACGCAACCTCGCTCTTGACAAATTTAATGAATTTTCAACCGTTGAGTTTCAGCAATTTGCTACAATTCGATAAATTTCTTTCATAATCAATCTTACAATTTTTCTTAGAAATAAAAACGTTTTTTTGTACTGAAAGTTTGTTTTAATCAACTGTTACGTCATTTCAACTGATTCAGAAAGTAAAATTGAAAAGATTGTAATTATTTTTTTCCCCCTAAAAGTTTTAAGAACAATATTTGAGTTAATCATTTTTTCAGAGGCATATCAATTTAATTTTTTAGAGAATAGCATTTAGTCAAATTACTTTCACGTCTCTCGAGAACAGGAAGAATAATTAAATAAATTTATCATTAAATTTATCATTGTACATATAACATAACTTAATGGTTAATCNGAATCCCAGATGATGAATTAAAATAAAATTCGAAACCGGTCGGAAGAAACAGCAAAAAATCGCTTTGTTTTTCATTTATAGTCTGATTAAGCCACTAAAACAATTTCAATATATCATCAACAACAGACGTTAACAATTTAATTCATTATTTTTTCCCCCTAAAAGTTTTAAGAACAATATTTGAGTTACTCATAGTTTTTTTTTTCAGAGGCATATCAATTTAATTTTTTAGAGAATAGCATTTAGTCAAATTACTTTCACGTCTCTCGAGAACAGGAAGAATAATTAAATAAATTTATCATTAAATTTATCATTGTACATATAACATAATTTAATAGTTAACCGGTCGAACGATTTCCCTCGCTTGTCCATGTGAAGTGTGTTTAACAATGACCACTTTATAAATAGATATCTTTAATTACTGTTATGATTTGTAGACACAAAGATCATAAATAAAAAATATCATTACGCGCGCTGAGGATTTAATAAGTAGGAAGAATTTGTCGGTAAAATATAAAGTGCCGTCCAAATTTGGGATATTTTTAAATTGACTCTAATTAGCCTAATACATAGCGCACTTACAAAGTAATAAAAAATATTCAACACCTGAAAAAAGTTTCGTGTGAGAATTATCTACTTAATGTTATCACTTTATTGACGTTTCAACTGGATTTTAATATAGATTGATCTTTAGCCCTCTTGAGACTTTACAATCAACATCTGTTCGCTTGATTAACACCTGGGCATTAAAAATGAAATTATATCGGAATTTTCCTATAAATATTATCACCATACCGTGAATTATTTAGTGTGTTGTTCAAATTTCATTGAATATGTTGAAGTATATTTTGGTATTAGCGTTTACATTCCAGGCAGTCGTTGCCCGAACTCCAGTTCGCCAGTGTGCAGGCAATCTTCCTTTGCCTAATGCTGTATTTTTCGAAAGTAGAACAAATCCATGTTTGGCAGAACCTTGTCTTCTATCACGTGCGAGTGGTAGGGGTATTACTTATGTAGACTTTACTCCAAGAACTACTGCAAATAGCATCATGCCTCGCGTTCGTGCAATTGTATTCGGTGGGATTATTTGGGATCAAGAACTTCCAGCTGAAATCGTCAATAACCCTTGTAGTATCTTGACACAAGGATCCTGTCCACTACCAGCAAATGTACAGGCGTCTTACCGATTAGAGCTTCCAGTTGATCCATCAACACCTCTTATTCCAACAGATACCGAAGTCACTCTTTTCGATCACAACAATAATGTCATATTCTGCTACAGACTTGACACACAACTTGTAGCTTAAATATTTAAATATTTTGATATAAATTACGTAATAAAGTTCAATTTTCAATTTAATTACAATTTTAGTTTTAAAGAGAGTTTACTGTAAATTCTGTTGTCAAAAGTAATGAGAGAATTTTTTTATCTCATTTCAAAATCAATTTCATTTCTTTCTTGAGAATTTGCTTTTTGTTTCCGTTGCTCACAACTAAATTTCGTTCTTAACTCGCGTTACCTATCATGATGCTTTCCAAACAAGTTTTTCTCGTAATTTCTATGATTTTAAGTGTCAATCATATCACATGTTTCTATTTATCAGAAATTGAACATTTAAGAGATCATTTCATAAGAAATTTAGTCGAAGAAAATCGCGAACTTTCATTACTGCCATTGACTGATGATATTGAGAGAGAAATTGACCTGAAAGTCAATGGATTCTTGAACACAATTAAAAATGTTTCTGTGAAAAGAAAGAAACGTGACACTGACGATGATTTAGTGTTTGATGAAACAAGTAAGTGTAGAATGAAAAATAATTTTATTTATAATTAAATTCTTACAAATAATCTTTGTACGAACACGTGGAAATGAAATCATTGAAATCCAAAAAGTTCCATTTTCATATAAGACGATTGATGATTCTCGAGGTATTTGAAGAATCTTCCATTATCCATCGTAACATTTTCACCATCGCAATCTTCCCCCGTCATGATTTCTTCGAAGCCATTAAAGCGTAGAAATTTTAAATCGTTTGCATCCGATGTTTCAGTTTTTATGATTTTAAGTTTCTTCCATTGCCAACTCTTGATGATTTTGACAACCTCTCGAACACTTTCCGATGGACCTTCAATGCAAATGACTCCAGGCTTTCCAGGCCACATGAAGCCATTAAGCTGATGATTCTTACATAATTTATTAATATCTTGACGCTTTATTTTGCTGTAAATGTGATGAGACCAAATCCACTCTCTTTGTACTGTTTCTGCTTCATTTTCATCCTTCACTGAATTTGTCGTTTGATTTTCAATAGTGATAATATCATCAAAGTTATCTTGCAGCCAAAGAATGACTTGATACATGTAAGGTTCACTCTTGTCAACTTCAGTCTCAATGAAATTTTCAATTGCTTGCTTAATTCTCATCTCTTGGTGCTTGTTTAAAGAATCTGTTCGTATCATAATAATTGGTGATTCATGTGTCGGATAAAGTTGACCCAACATCACACTCAATTCAACCTTCACGTTTTCTGACATTTGAATTTTTATACGAAAATCTAATTTTTCATCAACGCTTAAACGAGTTCCGCGAAGAAATTCTTGAATATCGTCAAAGAGTCTTGAGTTATCTGTTTGAAATTCCCCAGGCATTGAGTATATTGACTTTAATAATTCATATTCGTCTAGTTGCTTCCGTAGACTTTCTCGAAGCAACACAAGTTGCATGACTTCCATATGTGTTGACATTATCTGTAAGAACATCGAAAAAATTAATTTAATTAAGTTTTCTTCTTTTCAGGTGATGACATCGTCATTCTAAGAGGCTTTGAAAGCCGTGGTTATGTCCCAATAAACTTTCCTCAAGACATTTGCATGTTTTCCATTAAAGGGAAAATTTTCGCTGTTGGATTAACTTTTGGGCAGAATATCACCAGCACTTTAATTGATGACGACACACCAGATAAAAGATCAATGATGATTTTCATTCGAGAAGATGGAAAGTTTAGAAAAATTAATGAATATAAGTCAAAATATTTAACAAAGATTGATTGTGCAACTTCACATGACGCTGGTTACATTGCAGTTGTCAACAGCTTCAATAAGTCAGAGGTTGATGATGATGATCATCTTCTTGAAATCTCATCGTTTGTCATGAAAATTTCATTGGAAGAATCTGGTGAACCTGTGTTGGAATATTTCCAGAAATTTGCAGTTCCAGATCAGAATTCTGTTCGTTTGTGGTCATATGGAGCGAAACTTTACTTAATCTTTACGTACAACACTGGGCCATCGACACCTCTAAGTGTTTGCACTCTATATAATCTTGATTCAACTGGATTTAGTCCCATCGATGATCTACCGTGTCAGAATGCACACGTCGTTGAATTCTTCACAGTAAATCATCAACTCATGATATTCATAGGCAATTATCAAGACAATAAAGGAAGGACAAACACTTTCTCCTACATAATGAAATACGATTTAGATAAGCAACGTTTCGTTGAACATCAAAAAATTTCCACAAATGCAATCGCTGTTTGTCGATATTTCTATTTAGATGAAGATAATCAACGACAACATTTTCTTTTCATCGGTAATTCATTTGAAGTGAATGAGAATGGTGAAGTTAATTACGATGTTCACTCGATGATTTACAAAGTTGCTAATGGATATTTTATTCCTTTGCAAACAATAAATACTTTTGAGATTCAAGACATGCTGCCAATTATTGTAAGTCGAAAGAATTTTAAAATGTATAAAATTCAGTAATTAATGGAATTTTATTTAGGGCGACCATCATGTCTTTCACTTTTTGATCGCAAGTGAACATCAAGAGGTTCAAATTTATTCTTACAATGGATGGAAGTTTGAAGAATCACACATTGACTTCACTGGTTATGCTTTTGGTGCCGGTGTTGTTAAATTGCGAGCTTTTGATCACATCATAAATGGAACAACAACTATTGGTGAGATAATTTGACATGAAATGATTTTTATATTTAATTATTCGTAATTTATAGTGGTCGCTAATCAAGATTCATTTGATGAGACTTGGAATGTTTATACGGCGCTTTATGAAACGGCAAATGACCCAACAAAACTTCAGGAAAGCATTTCAAAATGGTGCATTGATGCACAAGAACGATTATATAGTTTTGATGTTGATGACACAAATAATGTTCTTAATTCAGTTCTTTCAATAACTGATCCAGAAAGTGAAGCTGCAAAATTTATGGGAAAGATTTTCCTAAGAAACTCAACAGTTGGAATGATTAAAGCAAAAGAAGTTCGTGGAAAAACTGTTTTCTTTTCAAATGAAACTGCTGAAAGGATACAAAAACTCTCCGATCGCTTATCGAAGCTTTCAATGGGAGTTAAACATGTCACAAGTAAAATTCAGTTTATAAAAGCGACACAACAAAGAAAAAAACGACAAACAACACAAATGTTGGTGAGGAAATTGATTGTGAATGGCCCGCTGAATATTGAAATGATTAATGGACGTCCGATCAGTAATTTAGTCTACGTCGACAACAGAAGGAATAAAAATTTAAAGAACATCATCGCTAACAGAATTGATGTGTCGAAGGAACTTTTTGTGAATGAGGGAATCGGTGGAATCGAGTTTAAAGAAGATAATGTTCTGCTTAATCAACCAAGTCAGATATTAAGACCATTCATGATACAAAATATTTCTGTTGATAACATCGCCAACATTGAACAAGTCAATGAAATTCCATTTGATGACTTCTTCAAACTATTGCGACGAAAACTCGATATAAAAATTCCAAACACGATTTCTGAGTTAACAGTTGACACGATGACAATCGGAAGATTCTTAAACAATCACAATTTCACTGCAATTGCAATAAATTCATTGAAGACATCTGGTGATCAGATGGTAATGGGAATGATGAAAATTGGTGAATTAAAAACAAGAAGAATTTTATTCCAGAAATTAAAATCTGAAGAGAAGATCTCAGGAGTTCCACTTGAATTACTTGTTGACATCAACGACACAAGAAGTGAACGATCATCAATCAACCAAAATGTCAGATTCACTGAAGATCTGAATGTCAATCGACTTTTCGTTCTACAAAGGATCAACAACATCAATGTGAGGAATGGAGAATTTCAAGTCATGAGAAAACGTGGCCCAGAAATGCAAATTGTGACTGGTGAGAAGTTTTTCGATAATATCAATCTCAAGTCACCGATTCTACTCCGCGGAAAGATTGAAAGTCAAACATTGCAACGTATGAATCCAATATCAACAATCAACAAAGATCTTGTGCTTGAAGGTGATTACACGATTTCTGGTCCAGTCACAATCAGAAATGTTTTAAATGTAACTGAAGATATCGTAACAAACGATCCAAATTTAACTCTCAGAAGACTTGTCGAAAGTGGATTCAATCTCTTCACAACTGAAGAAACGAAGAGTAAATTAATCTTCAACGATGTAGTTAAAGTGAAAGAAAATTTACAAGCTAAGTCGTTGAATGAAAAACCTGTGGACAGTTTTGTGAAGATGAATGTTCGAGAGCTCCAAGTGATTCGAGGAAAGAAAACATTCAAAAATGGTTTGATGGTGCATGGTGGGACAATTCAAGCTGATGTTGTAAATGGTGTGGATTTACATGAACTAAACAGAACTTCAATAAAGCGTGTTAGTTCTTCTACACAATTTATTGATGGAAATGTTGAAATGATTAGTCTTGAAACTCCATCTTTGACGTCACCTAATCTTGGACTCAATGGAAAAGATTTTAACTTGGTGATGAATGCAAACAAACAACAAAACATTAAAGAAATGAATTTGAATGTATTGAAAGTGAGAAATGTTAATGTTGAAAATTTATATCAAAGAGAAGGCGGAAAAGTTTTTGGATCTGATTTAGAGTTTCTTATTGATGACGCTGTTTTGAAAGGATCATCATTCGAAACCGAAGTTATTGCTCCGAAAACATTCAGTACGTTGTATGTTGAGCATTTAATGTTTTCTGAAACCAACGAATGGAAGTCAATCATCAAAAATTATGAGCAATCCATGGCAGAAGATGTCAATGTAAGTGGCAATTTGGTATTTGATAAGCCATTAAGAATTAAGAACTTGTTGGTGACTGGAACAATCAATAACATTTCTGTTGATGACATGGCGAATAATTGGCTTCGTACTGATGGTGATCAAGATTTTACTGCCCCTCAAACATTCAGATCAATGGAAGTTTTGAAAGATTTGAAACTGACATCAAACACATTGAATCATGTTGACCTACAGAAATTAGTCAGTGAATCAATTTGGACTGATGAGCCATTCGCTGTTGAGAGCTTAACAATTGAAGGAACAGCTCATGTAGCAGGGAGATTGTTGACCCCGACTATAAATGGTGGAACTTTTGGAGACAACTTGATTCTTAACAACACAGCCAATGAACAGATAATTAAGACCCTTGTTGTCGATGATACGCTCATTACTGAATATTTAGGATTCAACAGAGTGAATGGCATTGACAGCAATAAAACCATATCAGCATTTACTACAAACGAAAACCCAGCGAATTTACAAGTTCGAGGCAAAATTCTTTTCAATTATCAACCAGAAATCCTCAACTTTAACGAATATAATCTTCAAGAGCTTCACGATAATGTTTGGATGGCTGATACTGATGTAGTTTTGATTGGTGAAGATATTCAGTTTTTAGGAGATGTGAAAAGTAATGGAGCTATTTATGCGAACGTAAGTTTATTAATTTTCTTTCAACTCTTTTTATTTTAATGCTTCTTTTCTCTCACAGACTCTGAATAATTACAATTTAGATTATTACAACGAAAATTACTTCAGTCTCACTAAGAATCAAAATATTGGCACTTATCTAAATGTTAATGGAACTGCTTATTTCAACAAAGCACTTTCTGCTCAAAAAATAATCGTTCCTGGATTGATAAAATCTGACGTGTAAGTAAATTTTACCTTAATAATTTTATTCTTTATCTGCTTATCGTCGATGATTTATTTAACTAAGTTAATATTTTAATTATCACTGGCGTAAATTTATCTAATCACACTTGACTTGTTATCTTAATCAATTATTTTATTCTGATTTCTTTTAAAAATAATTCAGAGTTCTTTCAAAGAATGTTTTCTTTTTCTCGATTAACAAAGTTTTGTTTTTTCAAATTTGTTTTCACCGTTATTTCTTTGTTAAATATCTTTTCAGTAACGACAAAGGATTCAGCATTGACAACTTTGAAAAAAAA